TAAGTAATAACAATATTAAAGGCTATCTTCTTAATAAACTTAGCTACCTATATTACTTAGTTAATATAATATAGGATATGCTTAAGGATTAAGAGGTTTGCTTTAAGCAAGCTTGTATATAGGATAAGATCCTTACAAGCCGTAAGTTTATAAGGAATAGATCTAAGTACCTTAAGGAGCTTTAAATAATACTTTTATTATAATATCTTAGTTTAATTACAAAGCAATACCGTCTAGTAAAGAAGGCTTTACTAATAAGTAGAAATTTATTTCTAACGCCTCTTAAAGACTAACGTACATGATAAGCGAGTGAGACAGACAAGCGAGTGAGACAGTAAACCAGACCTTCGCGACAATAATATCGAAATCTATAACAAGAAATCTTAGATTGATTAATACTACTCGGATTCCTGTTCTTCGGATGTTTCCTCAATAAATTGACATGTTCTCGCGTTGTGGCCTGTATTCCCGCATACGCCACACCGACGATGAGTCGTCTCAGACCTCACTTTGCGACCACTACTCCGTCGCGTTTCCTCTTGTAGTTGCGTGTCTGCCTCTCTTTGCGACTGTATATCCTCTCCAGTAGATATAGTAAGACTTCCTCCTTTCTGTAGACGTGTTTTCTTAGCCCTTCGACGCCGACTTAATATTGCATTCTCCTCTCGAAGGATTTGAACCTCTGACTCTAGTAATGCTACCCGATGCCCTAGTCCTTCTGTCCCTCTGGCTAGCTTACTCACAGCACTATAAATTGATGCTGGAGAGCTGCTTCGGTGGCGTGAGATTCGACTCTTAATAAAAGTAGACTGTGATCTTGCTTCGCTTGGGTTGCTCGGCGTCCTAGAGATCCAAGGGTCTGGTGTCTGAGGGACCCCCTCCTCAGGCGTTGGCGTTCGGAACTTTACATCCAGCTTTGAGAGAACACTTTCTGCATTCAAAGGGACAAGTCCAGCTCCTCGGAAACCTCCCTGGATATTTTTCCTCGTAAAAGACTGCTTAAAAGCTTCGTGAAATGCTGCAAAGAAATCTTCCTTCGAGATATGGGTTGTGCCTCGCCGCATCTTATTCTCAATTTGCCGACCGTAGGCATTCTTTAACGGCTGAAAACAACCAACATCTAAGGGTTGAAGTAGATGAGACGAGTGAGCCGGCATGCACAGTGTAATAATGTTGTTTTCTTGACAAAAGAGCTCGAAGGCTGCGGAGTGGTGACTTTCATGACCATCAACAACGAGGAGGCGATATTTCCCAGACGTACGTGGTTTTGTATAAATGTCGAAGTGTCTGATCCAGTCAATACCTCTCTCGTTTGTTGTCCATCCATTTTCAGACGTTGCAATAGCCCAATCGCCCGGAAGAGAGGTTTCTGTATACTAGCTTGAGAGGTGATACTGGCCTGCAACGATGATGTATGGCGGGATGCTCTCCCCTTGGGAATTAATAGCCTGGATAACTGTAACCCATTCCCTATTGCCAGGCTGTGTCATCTTCGTATTTGAACGCCTTTCAGCACTTGTAACAACCATTCCAGAAGCAATAACGCCCATCATAAAGCCGGTCTCATCAAAGTTGTAGATATCAGCATCAGCAATACCATACTTCGCAATTGTATTCTTCACAAGCGAAAACCAGCCACGAATCACCTCTGGATCTTCGCATTGAGCTCTCTTATAGTCATACTTGCGAAAGAAACGCGTCCTAAGCTGTGGTTGTCGCTTGACGAAATTAGAAGCCCAGCGCTTCCCAACTGGAGGCGCGTCGCGCTCTGCGAGAAGTCGATTGGCCATTTCTTCCACACCACTCAGCCGGGGAGGAAATGATCGCGCATCTAGGTCGAGAATATACTCAACTATTGTCTTCTCTTCTAAATCTGATAAATTCCGTGAATTAGGCATGCTGTCGCGTCGTGAGACTATTCCCTTTAGTCGCCGGCTTAATGTTGCGTGACTGACTGTATAGAGTGCACCTGCGGCCCGAGCACTAAGTTTTGGGTCATTTCTCATTGCTTGAAGGGCAATTTGTAACCTTCTTTCAATACTAGCTGATTCCATGATTTATTGTAGAGGAAAAGGTGCCGGTCGCGTCAAGGTGCGACGGTCGCGGTTTACTGTCTCACTCGCTTGTCTGTCTCACTCGCTTATCATGTACGTTATATAAAAGACTATACTATCTTTATAAAGTATAGTATCTTATACTATTATAAGATCTATTCTAAACTTATAGATAAGGTATAGTTTATAAAGGATAAGGTTTACCTACAATAGCGGCTGTAGGAGTCTTCTTCCTAGGATCTATATCGATAGATTCTTAATCCGAAGATTATAAGAAACCTCCGTAGTAAACTTAAAAACTTAATATAGCTAGTCTTATTATCTTTATTATTAAAAGATAATACTTAATTAAGTAGCTAGCTAGCTAGACAATTATATAGCTAACTATAAAGTTAATAACCTAGCTAATTAGCAGCAAGGCGTAAGTATAGCAGACTACTAGGAAGCCGTAATAAGATTACCTTAGCAAGGCTTATATAAGAGACAGCTAGTAGCTAGGCGCTAACCTCTTCCTAGCAGCAGACACGAAGCTAAGTAACTACTCTTAGTACTAGCCGATCAACTAGCCTTCGTTCGAATAGAAGAAGATTATAAGCAAGCATCCGTAGGACGAGGAGTTAATAGGAACTACTTAGTAGTAGTAATAAGAGTCTTAAACGTTAAAGGTAGGGGGGGTATTCTTTATTATTATATAAGAGGAAATAGAAGTAGAAATTAATTAAGATTTATAAAAGCCGTTTTAGTTTAGTTTAATAAAACCTAATTCCTCCTTAGAAAGGAAGAAAAAGACTTACTATTTAAGATTTATAAAAGCAGTCGTTTAGATAGTTTTGCAAATCTTAAATAGGAGGAATAGCTAAGAAACGTAGGCTAGTAGGGCAGGCCGGCTTTATGTCTATGAAACGGAGGCAGGCCTCTTATAGCTGTGAAAAGGTGGGGCGTTAGCAACGCTAGCCTCACCGCCTTCGCCGACTTGTACCTGTAGGTCACCAAAATTTCTAGCCAATCACAACCTTAGAATGTAATGCGTCCCTAAGGATGATGCGTCCCTATCAATTCGTGATGCGTCCCTATCAATTCCCTTTTTTATTCTCTGGAAGAGCTTAAACTTTTCATGTTTGGGATTCTGATACGCTTAGTTAGTTCCAAATGAGTATTACTTCTTAAGGAAACTCGCAACAACCCTGGCTAGCGCGCGGTATATGCACTGAAATTAGGTTGGCTCTTTTTACACTAGTCGGTCTTATTTTCAATTTACCTTTTGCATATATAAAGCATTTCCAGAGGCCTACCCTATCTACTGCGGAATGACCTCATTCTCGCCAAGAGCGTTAAATTGGCGGGTTCTCATACTCTTTCGGGAATTTATCGCGCTTGAAGCAGCTTGAAACTTCCCCTAATTCATACATTTGGTGTCAGCCTTGTCGGAATTCGCAGCAGTTATCGCATTCCGGGACTGTACATTTCGTTTGAAGCAGCATAGTCTGTTCTCTTGAGGCACTTTCTAAGTTTCCTTGAAGCATGGCCTTGACTCTATTTATAATAGCGCACATGAACAGAGTCTGTTACATAGCGTCCCTAGCTGCCACCGAAGCATCGATGCCGCTGAGAGTCTCAACTGTGGATACCAGGCCCAAGTCTGCAACCTTATGCAGCGGGGATTGATTGAAGTATCAATGATACTCATGTGACACCGCCGGTTCCTGAGGTGACTAGTGAAAACACGAATCCGAAACTTCCGTAGACTGTGAAGTAGGCAAGTGGTAATTTCGGGTTGAAATTGCCCGAAGTGACGTTCTTGACAAAAATCGTAAGCTTTGTGGTTAGAATATACTCCGCGAAGAGATAGCTGACGCCCGCGACAGTATTTTGCGTCAGATCCTCACGAACCAGAGCCTTTGTCATATCCCATCTACGTTTACGTGTTCGTTCGTCGCTGTTTATTGTTTTCTGACTGTTTGCTTGAGCACTGTTTCTCATACATTAGTCCTATCCCACAGTTCTAACCCCTACCTGTCTTGGCTTCGGCTTGGCTGTCGTCAGTGATACGAGAAGCTAGATGTCGCAACTTAACCCAAGATAAGTAACCTGCTCATTTCGCGTCCCCGTGACCAGCCTGCTGACGACGGATATCCAGCACCTAGCCAGACAGAGTGCGTTACCATGTTGTACGAAATAACCCCCTAAAAATCGTCTACTGGCAAGATTCATTTAAACTCGAATTACTCAATCTCTATATCCATATCCAGGGCAAAAGATATAGTAGGAAAAACGCTGACCCCCCGAAGGACATCGAGTTGTTTGCGACCATCGAAAAACTCCGGCTCTTGCTAGAGAGCAAGACTGCCTCGTCGCGAAGCCAACGCAAACTCCCCAAGAAGCTGCGAGGCTTGGTGCCTGTGAACCGTCAATGTAAATGCGCAGAAAGCCAGTTTTGCCGCTTTCGAGCTTGAACGGTAGCAGACTAAACCTCAGACCAGACATCCTCAAGCAACAGGTTTCACTAGGGGACACTTTGTTCAGCAAGAGCATTTCTTCATTCAGGGGCCGCCCAAGGCCGTCCGTCCCTAACGGGTCTCACTAGAAATGTACACACGCAGGAAAAATCTACACCGCGCGCGCAGGGGGTCGGACTACTCTTCATCGACCGCCTCCGCTTCCACGATCCCCCGTCTAGGGTGAGGTACATGAAGGGTTGAAGGTTGAGGGGAAAAAAAAAAAAAAGGTTAAGTAAACAGGTGTGTAAGGAAAAAGCAGAATATAGCCATTTATCAATAAGAGGGCGGTGGGTAGTTTGTTTAGTTTCCGCCCCCGCCACCGCCACACACTCCTCGGTGTACCCAGAACGCCATGCCATGCGCATCCAGATATGTTAAACCCCCCGTACAGTACGCAAAATCAAACAATCTCAACACACGTGATTATATCCTCGACTGGCCTTCCTCGTTAATCGCCGAAGCTCATCCATCCCCAGGTTCCCAGACCACCTGCCAGAACAAGGAAGGTCAGGATGCCGGCACCAGCCTTGTCGGAGACGGTGATCGGTTCGGGCTCGACGCGGTCCTTGGATTTGCTTCCGGCGTTTACGTCACCCTGGGAGATACCGCCGGTGTTGTTGGTGACGGGGGGCTCGGCGGACTCGATGAGCAGACTTGAGACGGCGGCGAGCACGTTCATGGCCTCGCCGGCGCCGGTGGTCTTGTCTACGGCGGGGTCGACAAAGGTGCGATCGGCCCAGTAGAAGCCGCACACGCGGCCGGTGGCGCCGCCGGTGCACTGGTTGACGGCGGCCTGGGTGGACTCCTTGAGGATGGGGAGGATCTTGTCCTTCATGAAGGGGGCGACCTGCGTGACGACGGCCATCCAGCGGTGGACGTAGCCCTTGAACGACAACATGTCGGGCGTGCACTGGCCCTTGCGGCCCTCGCAGGCTAGTTCCTGGGCGATGTTGTCGGTGAAGAAGTGCGCGAAGAGGCCCTCGGTCATCTTCTCGACGCGGCCCTTCCAGATATCGGAGCCGTTGGTCTGGAATAAAAGTCAGTTTGGTTTGTTCTTTCTATCCATGTATATGAGAAGATTGGAGGGCAGGCAACGTACGTAGTTGTACATAAAGGCCGCGCCCTGGGTTAGAATGGCGGCGTTATAAGAGAACTGCTGCTTGTTGACGTCGGTGCAGTTGTGCTCGACGTGGCCACCGTCGTAAACCTCCCAGGTCTCGTGGTCAATGTAGTTTACACCCCAGAGCCAGTCCCAAGTCTTTTCGGCGTGCTGAGCGTACGTGGCGTTGTTGGTGTAGCGGGCTAGACGAGCGCCGATGTTGAAGAAACAACCGTTTGCGATGGCTGTACCGTGTTAGCATCCCCATACCATTTCATTTCATTGCCCATCTCAACCACCCGTTCCCTGGGATACATCCAAAGCTCCGGGGAGAATGAAAGACTGGACGTACTGTTCTTGTAGTTGTATCCAGCATTGGAAAAGGGCACCTGCCATCTCAGACCGCCGTTACAGGTCTCGTCGTGACGGTCGGGACTCGCCTGGGTGGTCCAGACGGCCTGGGCGAGGGCCAGCCACTGCGGCTTGTTCTCGGGAGGGTTGGGGAACTTGTTCTCGGCGGCCAACATGGCGGACATGCCCCAGAAACCTTGATCGTCGTTTCCGAGGGATGCGGTGTGGTTCGGGGGCATGTAGTCGGCGTTGGGGCCGGTCTGGTGCAGCATGCCCTCCATGATGAGGTGGTTGTAGGTCGAATCTCCGGTGAGCTTCCAGTAGTCTATGTAGGTTCCCATCATGGCGCCACCTTCCCACCAGTAGTAGTCGCCCTTGTGTTCCGTGGGCGGACCGGGCAGGATACCGGGGATCTCGCCGGACTCGTTGCCCTTGTAGAACTTCATCAGGTCGTAGGCAAGGGTTTTTGCTGAGGCCTTGATGTTTTCTGCGGGTTGCGGGGGAGCATCGTGTTAGTGGGGAGGGTATACTTTTGCTACAAGTCGGAGTTGGAGATGCGGCGGCATTTTGGGGTAAGGGTCGTTCTCCCGTTGCTTATCCCCTCATCCTCACGACGATCCGGGTTCACATACCAGTTGTGTCGATTTTGTAGTACTGCGCATTAGCTGCCGGGAGGCTGCCGATGAGCAGCAACGCCGCCGAAGCGGCAGAAGCGAGTGATGTGACCATGGCGATATGCCGGTCGGGTAAGGGAGCAACGGCGATTTCGCGATCAGAATCAAGTTGAAATGTCAAATCGAGACGACTTTAAATAAACATTGGCGGAGGGTTCCAAATATCGGGGGAGGAAAAAAAGATTCGATCGGTCGGTCGATCGTTGAGTCTGTCGTCGGGTTTGGTTCGGATGCAGCGAATGTATCGAATGTGAATAATAAGAAAACGGATAGCGAAGGTTTGAATGGGGGAAAAAAAGGTTTCGTCTACGAAAAGCGAATGTTCATGGCCGCCACCGCCTGGGATGTTGTTGTTGTTGTTCTTTCGTGGTGGACAGCCCGCCGCGGGAGGCTGGTTCGTGGTTGACTTGTCGGCGGCGGTGGGTGAGGTGAGAGTGAAAGTGAGAGTGAGAAAAGTGTAGTAGTGTTGGTGTTGAGTGGAGGATGAGCTGGGGATGGAGGCAGGAATAGAAACAGCAAACCGGCAGAAAATGCGGGAATAGGGGGGTTTGCGGGAGAGCCGGACCACTTTTGGCTCTTATTCTGGATTTGTCTACAGAGTACATAATTCAGGAATAAAAAATAATAAGTACATTAATAGTAGACAGGATGACGCGGTGAATTTGTCTTGGTGGCCGCCAAAGTCTTGGTATTCTTGGTACGGTCTTGGCCTTCTGGGCATCGGGGCTGTGCAGCAAATGAGAGACGGCGCTGATGTCGAACAAGACTCCTCTTGCTCGCCAAAAAAGTGACGGGGTGGCCATGATTGGATTTTACGAGCCGGCATCCCACGGGTCAGCCACGGTACATCAACAAGGTTATGCAGAAAAAGAGTGTCTGCGGGCGGCTGGATGGACGAGAAGAGGGGGGTGGAATCATCATCATCAGGGACTGGCCTTGCCATGCTTGCTGCTGTGCCTTAGAGATTTGCGGTTCTAAATCAGAGTTCGTCTATAGTCAGTATAACTGGAACCCGTCCCTGACATCAACAAAGTATCCGTACACAGACACTCAGCAAAAATGTCAGTCAGTCAGAAAAAAAAAGACAGACGGGACGAACTCTTTGGTAAGGCGAGGGCTGGGGGAGGCAAGGAGGCAGCCATCGTCACAGTCCAGCCTATCCCTACCTGGCAATGAATTGCCAAGACTCATTCCAGGTGAGGAAAAACTAGGGGAGAGCCTCTGTCACAACGAGGGGCTTTTTTGCGGCTTTGAGGGTCTTGTCACGACTCACGGGCGCACTCAAGACAAGAGTCAGGGCAGTGGACAGCTTTCAATTAAACGACCGTCAGTGACTATAGTATGTGTACAATTTAGTACGGAGAAGCAAAGCCTGTATTGTGGATGCGACAACAAGAGGAATCCAGGGGTCGCTTAGAGCTAAGACTCAGCAGGCGGCTTGGCGGTACAATGGCGTCTCAGGGCAACCTATGGATTGAATTGAATAGACCCGGACTGGGTGAGAATCAAAGTCAATAGTGAGTTGCAATGATCGCCCGCCCGACAAATGGGAGAACCGTTAGTGGCGACCAAAACAACAAAGGGAAGCGGTCGACAATGGGAGGGGGGAACAACAACTGACAAAGCCAGCAAACGACACGTATCTTACACTAGCTAAGTTTGCGCCTGCAGCTTCATCCCAACTTTGCAAGGTCACACTCATACGAGATGGACTAAAAAGGGAACACTTGCTGCAATGGTCGGATGGCAGAGGCCGTGAGCGACAGATTCAAGGAATCGGACGGCCGTCTTTGGATGCAGAGAAACACGGACACGGGAAAATGCAAGGAACAAAACATGGCAGAGGCGAAAGAACAAAAAAAGTAAGCTGTCAGATCAGTTCAATGTCGGCGCGGGTGGTTGTGCACCAAAAGCCAAGGCAGTCTGTGTTTGCAAGGCCATGTACGCCAAGCAAACCGATCGGGGCGGCCAAGGTAGATCACACAATGGCAGTATCCTTAGGGGAGGGGCCATCGGTTGCCGTGTAGGATGCTGACGGGCGGTTCGATGTTCTATGGTCAAACACCGGGATAGCGAGGATCGTCAAGGGCGACGGCGCGAAGGTTTCCGTAAGTCAGTGAGGGCAATGATGATAGTCGATCCGATCATGAGTGAGATGTAAGGATGAGTGAGTTGGAGATGAGATGAGATAATCTGGTTGTTCGAGTGGATTGAAGAATGAAATTGACCTTGCAATTGATTGACATTGGGGAAGAGCCACTGGGGGTGGATGGCTGGGTAGGCAGGTGCTGTCAATCCGGAGGGGAAGTGCAACTGCAACAGGGAACACGGGTCCTCTGGAAGGAGCTGTTCGGTCGAGACCGCTGAACCCAAAACCCAGAATTCAAGGTTGTATTATGTAAACTCGTCAATGGACCCACTTGTCTTCAAGCGAGACCAGTCGCTATCGATGCCAAGGCCGCCAGGAATTTGGATGGAACGTTCAAATTTCAGCGCTTCAAATAGGGGAAGGGACACCCACATTAGTACTGACTCTTTGCATAAAATCTCTCTTATGCATATCTTCTGCACTACGGAGGCTGGACCAATCCTCCGGCTCCCCCCTCTCCAAAACCTTCTCAGCGCTCCCAGAGTGGCGCGGGGGGAATGGGGGAGCAACTACGGAGTACATCCTAAGGTATTAGTAGTAGGCAGTGCCAGGACAGCGACAGCGGCAACTGTAACGCCAAGACTCCATAAAATTAGCGCATGCGGAGGACATGTCACAGCAGGCTTTTCCCCTGAACTCCCCCATCAGCGGCGCCCGAGCGGCCCGGAACTTGCCTGGTCTGGACCTTGGGTGGCCTCGACAGTTATGTATACTAGGGGATATTCGTATTTGTGCCTGTATGGTTTCTCTAACGTGTACTACTATGTAGGAGTCTCGGGATAGTTTTCAAGCCGGGTGGCATCCGCCAGTTAGAACCTAATGGGAGACGACGCCGGACCCCTTGGCCTCCGCGTCTGAATCCCCTCATCGACTAAAACAACCCCACCAAGACTCACTTTTCTGGCGGAAAGCCGTCCTCCAGCCCTGTCGATACAAGACGCGTATACGTATTTCAGGCCAGGGCGTGTATCACAGTACGACATTTCGTATCGTTGTCGACATACGATGCGCCGCCCCGCCGCCATCCCATAAGCAGGGTCGCGTACCTGATCCTCCCGCCGCTGGGGCCGTCAGTCCTTGTCCAGCTGACCTTTCCACCTTTCAAGATTGCGTGAGCCGAACGTCCCGAAGCCAAGAGACACCGGCTCTTTACCGCCGTGGCCCGGAGAATAGTCGACTTGACAGGCGCTCCATACGGCCCGGAGCCAAGCCAGTTGTGCGGTACGGCTAGGCAAAATCTGCCGATGTGGATAGTTGTTGGTCCGACCGTTTGATTGTTTCTAGATCGTTTGCTATCTTTGACTACTCGAACACAGGTGCGGTGAACATGAAATACGGGACACAGCTTCGGTTGCAATGTTGATGTTGCATTTGTTCAAGACCTATGCTTGTTCTTATGCTCACGTCTTACTACGTTTATTCCCATCAACTGCTACGATCTGCCTCTTGCAATCAATATTTCTTCCTTCATCCTGAGACATCAGTACAATCGTCCAGATCCAACCGATGCTTCGATCAGATGCTACGCTCCATCTCCACTTACCTACAGCTGCCGGGCTCTCTCCCTTTTTACATCTTTCAGCTCCGCGCTTACGTGAGATGTTTTCAACAAAAACAGCTCAAATGGGGTTACATAGGACTGTAAGGCTGCGATGCGCTGACAAGCACGACCCACCATCTACGATGGACTTGATTAGGGGTCTAAAGACGCCATTGGGTACCCGGAAGAGACCATGATGCCATTAAATACCGAGGAATTCTACAACAATGAGCTGGGTCCGTTGGTATGCCCAGACAATTTACCGCTGCTTCAACAGGCACTTGCCGCAATACTTTTCGAGACAATGTCTCTCTCTGAGCTGATTTACATTGTCATAGGCCTCGTCGTCTATCAACTCCTAAATCGCCTACTACACAGGCTCGTGAGGAGCTTCAACCCGGTCTTCTATGAAACTCTGCAACTCGACAAATCTCGGAAACTGGCCCCCTACTTTGTCTTTCCCGTCGGCTTCCTTTTAACTTTCATCACAACTCCCGTCTGTCTATACGCGTACAACAACACGCCCCCAGAAACGGATACCGTTGGCAACCAACGCCCATTTACAACCTCCGGCAAGGTCTGTCTTGCTTCTCGCGGCGTCCTATGGGTCTCTGAACTGCCGCTGCTGAGTTACTCCCTAGAGTATGTGGCCCACCACGTTCTCGCCCTGGGCTCGCTGCTCATCGTCCTCGTGCGAAATCTCCCACGGCGGCCGATATACCTCATTTACGCAGGTCTCGTGACGGAACTGTTCTCCGATACCGTGGCGCTGTTGAGGCTGCACGGCCGGAATGCGGGCACCTCCTCCGTCTTTAGAAGGGCCATGCTCGCCAATGTCGTGTCCATGGTTGTGCTGAGGATCGCCCCCATCAGCATCTTCGTCGCCTGTATGCGGCAGACGAGTCCGGATCTTGTCGGCGGTGTCACCATGTACTGCGCCTATCTCGTCCGTCTGACGTTCATGCAATCGAAAACACTCGGTTTCGTCCAGCCGGGCCTGACGCAGCAGCTTCAGGCACGGCTTTTCGGGAAGGATGCCAAAATACCCACTGTCAACTGGCTTCCTCGCCCGATGACCCTCGTCACCTGTGCTGCGGTTGCCATTGTCTCATTATCCGTTAGCGAATACCTCACGTCGGAACCGCCAGTGCCTGCGATCATAGCAAACTCGGAAACGCGGCCGCCGATGTACTAGTGACGCCTGAACGCTATCGTCCCGCCGCTGACTCTCATCTGGTCTGAGACGAAGGGTTCGAACATCGCAACTGCGTCCTTCAACAATCACCATGAGATACTCGAATACATTTAGTCATCACACAATGCTTTCTCAAGGAACACAACCGGCCAGTGCCATCTCACCAACTCCCCATAACGAGCAATTTGAACAAAAAAACAGTTCTGTTTCAGTCGTGTCCCAGTTATATCCATAACGGGCATCCCGACATATATGTACATGCCTACATCTAGTGGCGGACAGTATACAAAAAAGAAGAGAAAAATAATTTTTACACAGAAACTACACGCGCTCCCCCCGAAAAAAGAATTTCCGTTTAGGCGGTGGTGGCACCGGTGAGGGTGAAGGAGTAATCCAGACCCTTGTTGGCCTCGCTGCCTTCGAGCTTGAAGCCGTTGTACTGGATAGGGGCCTTGGGGGTGTTTGCGACGACGAGGCTGACCTCCTCGCCGGTGGCGATGGTGGCGGAGCCGGCGCCGTTGACGAGGGTGACGTAGCGGCCCTTCTTGGTGCTGGCGTCGAAGATGGACAGGGTGGCGGTGAACTCGCCGGCGGAGGTGACCTTTGCGTCGACCTTACTGCCGGTGACCTTGAGGGGGATGATGTTGGCGCCCATGTAGCGGGGCGCGCGGTCGGACTTGGCCTTGTAGGAGGAGCCGGAGCCCTCGACGCTGTCGAAGTTGAGGCGGCCCTTGGAGCTGAGGAACATGGACTGGGCCTGGTCGTGGCCGATGTCGACGTAGGCCATGCGGGCCCAGTAGGCGCCGACGACGTCGCCGGCGGTGTTGTTGGAGGCGACGCGGTCGAGGGTGTGCAGGGGCGTCTCGTTGCTGCCCTCCTTGTACTCCGTCATCATCTTGTGCAGCGTCTCCTTGCCGAGGCCGCCGAGGTTGTCGGGGTTGTTGGTGAGGTAGGTCAGGAAGGGCCAGGCCTCGTAGTAGTTACCGGTGCCGGCGGTGCCGTCGACGATGACCTGGTGGGAGTTGACGAGCGTCTTCTCCATGTTGAACTCGGTGCGCCCTTCCTCCTGGTTGTGCTTCTGGCGGGACTCGGCGCAGAGAGGGGAGGTCTGGTAGGTATCCTGAACCCAGTTGGCCACCGTCTCCCACCAGGCGCCGGTGTCGGCCTGGTCGACCCAGGTCTTCTGGTGGTAGTGCAGGCCGTGACCCCACTCGTGGACGGTGACGCCCGGGTTGGTGAGCCACTGGTCGACGACCTCGAGCCAGGCGGCGCCGGAGGAGTACTCGGAGTGCATGACGCCGGCGGCGGTGCCGAGGTCGCCGACGGAGTAGATGTTGGTCTTGTAGAAGGGTCCGGCATTGCTGTCGTCGTTGAAGGAGAGACCGGTGGAGCGCCAGCCGAGGTTGTGCACGAAGCAGTCGTAGGCGCTCTCGAGCATGCCGAGAGCCTTATCGGCGTCGCCCGAGCCGGCGCCGTAGACGCGGAAGTGGTCCGAGTCCTTGAAGTTGCTGCCTCCGGGGCCAGCTGTGGGCTGGGCCTCGAACTTGGCGGGCTCGGCAGCAGCCTCGACGGTGACGCTGGCAGGCGTGGTGGGTTCGGGGTTAGAGACCTGCTGGGGCTTGTTGAAGCGCGAGGGGTATCCCCAGCGCTGCTGAGGCGCGGCGTAGGTGCTGCCGGCGAGGCCTTGGAGGAAGAGGGCGAAGAGAAGCTGGTTTACTGGGGCCATTTTGGGCTAGTGTGTTTGTGTGTAATTGTGCGTGTGTGTGTGTGTGTGTGTGTGGTGAAAATAGAAGGACGGTTAACGAATGTTCAAATTTGAATAAAGGAATGTGGTTTAGAAAAGACCTAAGCTCTTCTGATTTGAAAGAATGGACGAGACCAAAAAAGTTGTGATGTAGAACCTGCTGATGAAGGAGATGAGACTTCCCATCCAGGGCAAACTGGAGGAAGACTACCATCTTTTAATAGCCAGAGACGCTTCCATCGCCAAGACTCTCTAGTAAGGGTTCGGTTCGACAGTGCCAGAAGATTATGACATACTAGACGCTTCGATATTCAGACCAAGACGTGCTGGGGCCGTGTTGGCGTTGTCGTCGGTCTTAGCCTTGAACATGGGGGGTTAGCATCCAGTGTTTCTGACAGAGTAAAAGGTAATTTGCGATGAAACGGCGCGCGAGACGGTCCAATCAACGTTTTTTGGGGGCTCCTCCATTCCAACCCCTTGGTCTGCCCAATACGTCCGGCTCCCTGCACCGATCTCCCTAAAAGAGAGCCCAGGTTTCAACCCCTTGGTAAAAAAGAGCTGGATACGGAGAGAATCTCATGATCGTCAGAACCAACTTTGAACGCTGAGTTTAGCGTATGTCTTCTCCAAGTTACGCTTTCTGCGGCTGAAGCTTCATAGTCTTAACGCCGTGAGCCAAGATAGTTGAGAAGACTCATCACGTTGCAACAATCACATAAAACCGGGTACAATAAGCCCCAAATTATGTCAATATACGCTTCTCCATGATTGAGCAACGCGAAATGACGATGGCCTCGCCTAGCACCCAGGAGCCCCGCGTCGAAACCCGACAATGGCATCATGTTCTGTGCCTCGCTAAGCGCTGACGGAGAGAAATAGAGAGAGGCGTTAGTAAAAGGATTCCACCGGGGGTTCCACCACTGTCTGACACGCTTCCCTGCAGCAGATCCATGGTGATTGACAGCCATGTACCCCCCCAATAAACAATTTAAAGCGTCGGAAAGTTCTCCTGAGCTTAATGAGTTTGTCCATTGTTCCCGGCCATTTTCGAACCATAACAGGCGGATATTTCCCTATTGCCCGTTACGGGGCCTCGCTTAGGCAGGAACAAAGGTCTGCTAACGGGGTCCCAGCGCTGGTTTGGGCTCAACGGTTGTACTTCCCTTCCCACCCACTCCACCGGTTACGCTTATTGTCCTTAAAGGAGACGCTCAAATGACGAGTTGCATTCGTGCATGTCCATCAGGCTTTTCAATGTCTCGCGACGATCTTTCTGGGCTGTGATGTAGAGCCACAGATTGTCAAACCATAATCAACAGTGATTGACGAATACCTTACTCGAGGCGATTAAGAGTACAGGTAGTTCAACAGCACCATCAGTCGGTCGGAGCGTACCTAGACAATTCTTTACGGGGTTAAAAATAAGCGCAAATGAAATCTCCGTATTGTGCAATTTCCTTTAGGCCTCGGTTTCGCATTTTACCCTTTCAATGTTGAAGCTTTTCACTCACCCAGACAGAGTATGGGCGAACGTCTTTTGGCCGCTACTGGGCGAGTCAGTCAACACGATTGTATGGACTTGAAAGGATACAGGGATAACCTAATGATATTCTGATTAAAAAGCAAGCGCAGCTCACTCGCGCTTACTCGCCTGAGGAGTGCTTGCGAGAGTAACTCTTGAGTGTGTTTTCGACTTGAAGCTTCCGCAGAATGAATGGTCCAATCCCGCCCAAACTCAGTCAAAAAATAAATGAACACGTACATTTGGTAACGGCCCAATCATTGAGACCATTCTTTTCGCTGTACCTGAGCGCTTGACTTTTCTCTAAATGGGAATACCTTGGTACCCTTGGCTAAGGTGCTCGATTACACCTAGCTTACCCAATTCCATCATCTGCCTGCAGAACCTTATTCTCTAGTCCAGACGTATCTACAGCGAGTATTAACTTTAACGTCTCGCAAGCGCACATTTTACCTAGACCCAACAACATACTTTCTTTTTCCTGTGATCAGTAAACCAAGAGATACTAGTCATGGAAGAAAAGCGGCTTGTATGGGCTATTCAGGAAAAAGTTTCCGCCTTTTCGCTTAATGATGACAAAGCAACCTTTCATGAAAATAATTGTTGATTTCAAAGACCTTTTGGGTAAAAGTATAATCGTACTTGTGTGAGTAGTTCCTTAATTTTAGATGCAGCACCTACGTTTGTCCCTGTACTCTCCCTCGAGATTGAGGCCAAGTTGCCAATCGATCCATCAACGACCCTTACATATGGCCCTTGGCCATCTGTCAATGGAAACGAGTGTTGCTGTGCTGGGCAAGCATGTGCATCCCAGCAGATCTACTGGAGTTGCTTTATCATCGTAATGGTTGTCTCGTCGCCCCCTTAAACAGCCAAGACGGGTTTCTGATGGCCCTTCCGTCATCTGCAAAAGCTTTGAGAAGAAGCGTAATTTATATTATTACATGATCTCGTGTCTGTAAGCTCCCTGTGCGATTCCAGTCTACTTAGACGTCTCGCAGTACTTGCTGCGGACTGTTATTGTGGCAGTGCTTTTCCAACCGAAGCTATTAAGGATGTGCCTCACTGTTCAAGCTCTCCACAGTGAAGGATGGAAGACCCAGAATAATAATATAGCAGTCGAACGATAATTGAAATGGCCAAAATGAGTCGTTGGATAAGCTGGGATCCTAAGAACTCTCTCAGTCTGACGGGGATAATGTGAGCTGAAAAGCAGTAACAAATATGCGCCATGTCTCCTTAGAATTACCGGCATGGACGGCCCTATTCCAATGGTAATGGTCACCAATACTTGGGGCTTGATCATTTTGGTCAAATCCATCTACAGGAATTCTGCCCGGACTCATCAAAGCTGACTTGATGCCTTGAAGCTAGGTGGGTTTAAATGTTATCGGCAACAACCCTATGAAAAGAAACCTCTCTGTCATTATCTCCCTTTGATGTAGGTTGTGACCCAAACGTGGAAGGGAGGTGTCAGCCGTGTCCACCTGGAATTTGGGAAAAGCCAGCAGTCATACCAGCCAAACCAGCCATGTTTAGTTGCTAAGACAAGGCGGAAAACAGGATATTGTTGGCCCTTGTGGATGAATCTTGTAAGCCGTATTGAACGCATTCAAGTAGGTTGCAGCGACACGGGACGACAAAAGAAAATGTGCCAAGTCCGACGCAATCTGTGTCACTGTATTCAATGATCTAAGTGCCAGACAACCGCAACCATCAGACAGAATTTCTCAATCTGTTGTGCCTTACAAACACTCAACATGTTCATCCCAAGCTCCAGAGGCATACAATGAAAACCGTCTCGACTAATCATCTTACGTTTTTGACCAGTTAGGAAACCGAACATGAAACTTTATTCTAGCTAGCTCATAATAACACGCGTGTAGTTCGTAGGAACATCTTCGAAGCCTACCAAAACTTGCGAGCCCTGACTTTACACTCATAGCGTGCCGTCAGCACTATTTCTCGGTGGAAAATGACACGACTCAGGCTTCTGAGATCGTTTAGCGCACAACAACGGCTAAGGCGGAGGCAAGCAATCTATCTGGGGCCAAAGCCACCAATCCGCTCGCAGGCTAGACACCGGTTGAAGACATCCATCCGTGCCGTCGCAATTTCCCACCACTCAGTGCAGCGGGGCCTTCGACCTGGCCATTTAAGAAATATAATAGAGTTAAGGTCCTTTTGTATGATACCTGTTTGACAGGTTTGACACTTATTGATTGGAGGGAAAAACAGCAGAAAGTAATTGGACAATAGCCGCTACCCCTCAATCTTCCGTCGAAACTCTGCCGAAGTTTTTCTAGACGAGGGCCTCCATTAAAAGACGTCGCGATGTCTTGGCATCCGGGGCAAGGCTGTCTCTTGGCATGCATGCATGCGACACGAACCAAGTTCGATTCCATTCTAGATCTCTTTCGTCATGAGTGCCAAGACTTTGCTCTCTCTGCTTTCCATTGCCAACCTGGTCACGGCTCTGACGTGCCCGGTTGCTGGTAGGATCAATGCGTCTCTCACCCGGCTGGTGTGAAGCTGACACATGAGCAGGTGGAACTTCCAATGATTCTCCTGCTATTCTAGCCGCACTGAAGCAGTGCAACAACGGCGGAACCGTGAGTGATGGTTGATGTGTCTGTAATTGAGTTAATGACATCAGCTCATGTGATACTCGTCTAGGTCGTTCTTGACAAAACCTACACCATTGGCTCCGTTCTCCAGACTGACGCTCTGTCCAACATCGCTATCCAGCTTTCCGGCACCATCAATCTCAGCACAGATCTCAATTACTGGCAAAAGAATTCCATCCAGCTCAATTACCAAAATGCCTATACTGCTTGGGCCATCGGTGGTAGCAACATCCACGTAAGGTACAATCACCGCGCAAGCGGACAAGTATACTAACATCAGGCAAGATATATGGCGGCGGCAGCTTCAATGGTGGCGGTGACGGTAAGTTACTCATATCTAAGCTCACACATTCTCGAATGCTTGCTAAATGTGCTCACACAGCCTGGTATTCCGCCGGCAAAACTGGCCCTGTCATGTTGACTTTGTTGAACGCCAAGGATGTTCTCATTGAGCATATCAACATGAACAAGAGCCCTTTCTGGCACAATCTCGTTGATGGTTGCACCAATGTCACATACAGCCACGTCAACATGAACTCCGTTCAGAATAACGGAAAGCAGGCACAGAACACCGGTATGTACAAACCTACATTATGATCGTTCGGGACTTTTATCTGACATTCCAACAGATGGGTAAGCTCTTGCAAGATTCCATTTGGCCCTGTGGAAAGAAGTACTAACCCCGCCAGCTGGGACACTTACCGCTCCTCGCAAGTCACAATCGAGGATTGCACTATCATCAACGGTGATGACTGCGTCTCTTTCAAGCCCAACTCCACCGACATCGTGGTCAAGAACCTGTGAGCAATGAATTTCTCCTAATATCTATCTCTGATAACCAAGAAACGGCGCGCTGACTCACATATGCAGATACTGCCAAGGCTCGCATGGCATCTCCGTCGGCTCCCTGGGTCAATATGCTGGTCAGGTGGACATTGTGCAGAACATCTATGCCAAAAACATCACCATGGTCAATGCTTCAAACGGTGCCCGCATCAAGGCCTGGGGTGGGAGTCCCTCCGCCACCTCCACCAAAGGCGGCGGAAAAGGTTTCGTCCAGAACGTCACCTTTGAGGACTTCGTGATGAAGAACGTCGACCGCCCGATCGTCATTGACCAGTGCTACATGACAAACGCCGACTCCTGCGCGCAATACCCTTCTGGCGTCCGCATCAGCGACATCCACTACATCGACATCACGGGAACTGGCGGCAAGGCTTCGGAAGTCGTCAACATGGTCTGCAGCGACATTTGCAACGACATCACTGCCACAGGCACCAAGCTTGTTGGCACCAAAGGAAACTCTGAGTACATCTGCAAGAACATTGCCTCCGTCGATAAACTCGACTTTCCCTGCAGCGCGACTGGTGTCACTGTTGGCGGCACCTCAAAGACAACTAAGTCTGCCAAGTCCACGCACACCTAGGTTAGGACAGTGACGTCCATGATTTGTACACAACAATTCTGACAGTCGTATTTGTGGTTGATGCGGTGGAAGTAACGTCAAACACTGTTGAAATTTCTTGGAAGGAAAGGATGTGAGCTATGTTTGTGTCTTCAAACTACAATACGCCTGTTGTTAATCCACAAATTTCTGAGAAGAATCGAAGTAGCATCTAGTAGTAAGGCAGCGGACTCTGCACCAGTGTGTCTCTTATCGATTCCTTTCTGCTCATGGCTGCTGCCCGTGCTATACCAATGAACAAAGATTATTATTGACATATAACGTCTTCTAATGGTGTAAACGAGAAAGTATACTAATTTATACTTGTAATTGAAGTATTGAAGATTTGAAAACGCGACTTAAAGATCTGTTTCATTGCTATAGCGGCTTCATCACAACCTAAAGCTACCGTCTTACTTCTGGCACTAGTTGATATGAGGTTTCTATAGATGCCTTGGGAGTGATAGTGTCCTAAATATGTCTCTAGCATATTATCTAGGTTCTTATGTATCACAAGAATGCCTAGTTGTATGACAATGCAATTAACTTCATAAACATCAACTCGAACATACGGATCCCCAACCTTTTCTTATACATTTTGTACCACTAAACATCGAGTAGGCAGATTAGCAATTACGCAGGCGGCAGGCCGTTGCGACATGTTAGCATAACCTGTGAAACAGACCAGATTGTACTGGCTGACGTTACAAACTGGCAGGCTGGCACACTTATTTAACAGCCTGAGTTGTGCGCCTATAAATCATGCCGCGCGTGGCCTAGCATATCACTAGAGAGACCTGAGTCTGCTTCGTCTCTGTTCGATCAGCGTTAGCTACAAGCGCGCTGTATGCAGGCCAAGACATCAAGTGAGAGTGACTGCAAGCCCCCCACATTGAAATGAGCGTATCGGAGGCCTCTTAGGTGACGTGCCCCCCGCACCACCTCCTTGCTTCCTCACGATCACCTATGCTCTGAAAGCGCCCTAGTAAGTAGTAGCAGACTAGGGTGCAAACGTAGTTTTGCAAGCCCTGTTGCAGGGACTTCAACACCTCAAAATGTCTCAAGAAGGGAACACACTAAAAATACAATGTCCAGAACTACTTCACCACTCTTGTGCTCGACGGAAACTCATCGCCATCGACTCCCAGCACCATATCCGTCCTAATTGTATCAGTAAGCCTGAATTCAGCAACTTAAAGCAGCCTGCTCAGAAGAAATGCCAAGATAGAAAGACACCGGAAATAAGTCCCGCTACCCGAATGATCTAAATATAGTAAGCATATAAGGCTGGGAAATGCCCCCCAACATTATTTAATGAACTTTTGCCATTCCCAATTTTTCATCCTTCTATCCCATATTTAAAAATTGCAACAAAACCATGGCGTCAACATCACGAGCAAGCCGAAGGTGCCGAGTTTGTGATGGCTTGAGAGATGTGCTCCCCAAAACATGGGAGGATCCACCCGTTAACAAGGAGATTTCGTATTGGGCTTGTTTTGCCAATGCCGGAAAAGGTCGTTGTGTGCTGTGCCGCCTGCTCATTGATGCAGTCACAAGTCCACTTGCCTCACGGCTTCTCGAGAATTTTGATGGCACTGTTCAGGAATACCTTGAGAAGGAGCATCGAAACACCGATGTCAAGATACATCTACGCGCCTCGGCTGATCATTGGATTTCAGGAGATCCAGCATTGCGCATAAGACTTTGCGCGTATGTAGAGGATAAGGATGATCTAGAGTATAAGTATACCACTCATTCAATCCATTCAAGGGAGGACAACTTATTTCCGGAGCTGGAGCTGTTCAGCTTGGACAAGGAAACTCCTTCGCCATCTATCGTATCGGGTAAAATCATCCGTCCAGACGGATTTTCACCAGAAGTTATGGGGCTTGCCCTATCATGGCTGATCGACTGTTGCAACAACCATGAATACTGCCATCGGCTGCAGCCTAACAGTTTACCTGATCGATATCTTTACGTCGGACGAGATCGTGATCCCGAGCTGCGTATCAACACTGGATCGGATACGGGCTACTACGCCACACTAAGCCATTGCTGGGGAGGTAACATCAACTTGCGGCTTACTACGGAAAATTTGGAGGCGTTAAGCCGAGGCATACCGTTATCATCCCTTCCCAAGAACTTCCAGGAAGCCGTCCACGTATGTCGCGCGCTGAAAATTGAGTACTTGTGGATCGACTCGCTCTGTATTATCCAGAATTCTAAGAGTGACTGGCAAGAGCAAGGTTCCAAGATGGCAGATATCTACTCCAACTGCTTGGTTTGCATTGCTGCAGACGCCGCCAAGGATAGTGGGGGAGGCTTTCTTCGCACTCCCGGGAGACAACACGCGGCGAACCAGGCACATGAATTGACCACTGCCGGTATTGCAAACGTCTATGTTCGAAGACCAGCTATTGAGGCATACAACGTGTGCGTTAGCAGGCTCAAATACAGTTGCCACACATGGTCCGAACCAGCTGATGGGCCAAGTCCTCTGAGCAGTCGAGGTTGGGTGCTCCAGGAGACGCTTCTTTCTCCACGAATTCTGCATTTCACATCCGACGAGCTCATGTGGCAGTGTCAGTCGATAGCTCAATGCGAGTGCGCTCCTGGGTATACGGACTTCGTAAGGGAAGGGAGTTCCAAACCTGACACATCAGTAGAATTGTGGAGTTTGACTTGGGACACTGCTATGGAAAATTTCATGGCGCGCAACCTGACGTTCCAAACAGACCGGTTAGATTCATTGGCTGGGCTTGCCAAGCGCATGAAGAGTAAGGCCCAGGCAGAGGGGATACGCACTTCTTATGTGGCTGGGCTTTGGACGCATACGCTGCGCATGGACTTACATTGGAAGCGCGAGGTGAAGGAACCGGATCCTAACGTCTTCGACAATGAACCATCGGAGCCATCGTTGGAGGAGCCTTTCAATCCTAGCAGTAGAATTGACCCTTACATTGCCCCGACTTGGTCTTGGGCATCCATTACTGGTCGCGTTCAGCCAGCTTCCAAAGTCGGACATTGGCGTGAGAATACTCTGAGATACATGCAGGAAGAACTTAGGGATGAACTTGAGCTTGAACCCATCACTACAGACTACCTGCCGGCAAGTGTAAATGCATTTGGGGCTGCAATGCAAGGGTCGAGCTTGACATTGAGAGGCGAAATATTTGACGTTGTTGTATCGCAATACAACAAGCTCAAGGATGATAACTGGGGAGCACCGGAATATATAGCTCATTTTGTCGATGTGGAAGATGATGTCCCTAACCCTGACGGGGACAGAGATATCACATTCGAAGGCCGGCACGAATGTTTTTTCGACACGGATGAAGACGAAGAAGCTGTCAAAATGGGCCAAAGAAACCTTCTGGCTTTAAATCTATCGAACTATACGACATTTATACTCCTAGAGCAGCTTTACCGAAGTGGGAGCACCCGCGTCTGCAAGCGAGTGGGCATAGTTAGTGATTTTGAGTCTGAGTTTGGTCTTGATTTCGACGTCACTCGAGCGGCTATATTTCAAGGGTGGGGGAAAAGGAGGAAGATAAAAATTGTGTGATCTTTACTGTAACGAAATAGAAACATGAAAAACAGAGTTTCTGCTTATTGATTGCATCATGGATGAGAGCATAGCGAAACTTCCAGTTACTAGGTGTGCTAGATGCAGCAAACTGTTTTCTGAACCAAGGACGAACTGATTGGAATATTCTTCCTTCAGCAATAAGCACCCGGCTGTTCAATTAGTAACATCATTCTTGACAGCATAATGCTCAGCTATTCTAGTACTTTGCAAAATGTTGAACTGGTCTGGCTTCTTTAGCAGCCTTTATAAGGGCGTGGATAGACTTGAGCACAGCCTCAAAGCGTCAATAATAATGATTTTATGATGGCTGCATGCCACCGGAGCTCGCTTCAGACGGGGATTGACCTTTGTTAAGAGTGGCAAAATCTGATGTCTCTGTCTGTCCTCTACCGATTGCTCCCTATATTGTTGTTACGTGACTTGTGATATAGCTCTCCCGTTTCTGGGTAAATCCCTATTGTTTGATAATCCTGCAGTACAAATGTCTTGTTCTAACCGCCTGATCTTTGAATGGGTCGTCCAGCTATTACCCTTGAATACGAATCATAACAATAGCATTCAATCAAGCAAGGACGCCCGCTTTATGATCGAGTCCTATTCTGTCAGGTCTTTGCAGCCCCTGTTTCTCCCAATTGTCCATCGCCTGCTCAAATAGGGCTGACTGCTCTTCCTCAGCCGGCATAGGGTCGGTCTTTCCCCTCCTTAGTCGGCTTTCCATCGTCTCATTGAGCCTAGCCTCCAAATCCATATCATCCATCAGGTCGTGCTTGAATGTGTAGGTTCGAGTCTCGCAGTTCTGCCATCCGGTCGCAGGTTTCAGCCATGAGTCCTCCCAATCCCCGGTGAAGTAGTGTAGGAAACTCCCGTGCGTTACGAGCGCAACTTGAGGGTCGGCGTCGCCTTGCTCGATGAGTTGTCGGATCTTCTGTCGAATCAAGATACGAGCGTCGCGGGCGCGGGCTGCTATTGCGTGGCTTTCTGGGCTGTAGCGAGTCCCCAAAGCTTTTACGTTCCAGCCGTCCTCGACGAGAGAGAGGTCGACCGGCCATTTGTTCTCGTTTACCACTCTGCGGAGGACTGAAGGATCAGTTCCAATGTCGCAAGGGTCGTCTGAGGTTTCTTGAGCGTCAGGGATAGCAATGATCTCGGGGTGACACTTGCTGCTCGTCGTGAGGGCTGGTTGAAATACGAGATGAGCAGATTGAAGTGTTCGGCAAAGCGGAGAAGCAAGAACAAGAGATATCTTTGACTGATCTGAGAAGGCTGTTTTACGCAAAGTTTTGCATTGCTCTTCACCCAAGGGAGTCAGGTGAGGATCAGGAAGAGTGTAACATCCGGCCCCAATGTTATGAAAGCCCTGTCCATGGCGGATGCAATGTATCACTGGTGACATTCTGAGAGGCGTAGGAGGAGTGAAGAGTGTTCAATGAGAAAGATGTATTATTGAATGACGCAAAGAGGGTGGCTACTGACGGGACTGCAGTTCATGATATATACACTGTGGCATGATGAAGTTGAGCTTCCTCTTAGTAATACCATTGCAAAAAACCGGAAATGCACCCAATTCTAGACTGCTGAAAAAGCCTGAAATCCGCTGATAAATGCTTTTAATTTGTAATCAAATTTCAATTAGTAGCGTCAAACTGTCTTCTAAGCTATCGTTAAAGATTTTGGAAACATATGTACTGAATCAATATCATGTTCTCAAAGGTTGTAAGTTTGGACGTAACAAGGATGTGGATCTTGCCGCATTCCGAATGGAACTTCATCCAATCAAGATGCTGGTAGATCGGCAGCAACTAGCCTCAAATAGGCAGCCAAGACGCAAGTTGTGCATTAGCGCCATCTCGCCTTCTTTGAAGGTGAACAACATCTCAATATCTTCATACTCGTTAAGCTCTAAGTAGTGGACTGGCGTAGTTTACTATCTAAACGTCAAGTGTCCAGAATGTCGTATCTCCATATGCTCTGATTACAAATGGAGTGATGAATTGGCCCCAAAAAGTAGAATTAAAAAGGAAAATAAAATTAAATATAATAAACATATCCATGATCTCTTGCCCTGATCCTGTCAGAGCCAAGCCTTGATTTCTTACACGTCTCTAAATATTCAGTGGCCGATATTCAATATGACACACCCACCACTACCTTCATCGCAACCTCAGCGGGTTCTCAGCTACCCGTCAGCAGCACTGACTACACTATCGAGGAAATGTAGCCCCAGAGGTCTACCTCAAGATGTAAACTCTCCATCAAACGACAACCCTTTACCGAATCTCCATGGCAATGCGGAATCGATACCGCCAGTCGACGAGTCCCTCCAAGCACGAATCGAGCGCCTGAGTCGCGAGCGTCCTCCGATCTTTACAACCCGCTGGAGCGAGGTACTTCTCGTCTTCAGCATTTCCATGTCCCAATTCTTGACAGAATATTTCGTCTCAGGCTTCACTGTCCTCCTCCCCACACTGATCACCGAGCTCAATATGTCGCATGCGGAAAGTGTCTGGCCAGCAACCGCCTTCTCCCTCGTCATCGCCAGCACCTTGCTCGTCTTTGGCCGTCTGGGCGACATGTTGGGGGGATATCCCATCTTCATGGGGGGTCTTGTCTGGCTTCTTGTCTGGAGCATAATAGCCGGGTTCAGCGTCAATACGCTGATGCTCGACCTCTGTCGGGCCCTGCAAGGACTAGGAGCTGCGGCATTCTTGCCCTCTGGAGTCATGATCATGGGGTCGTTGTATCGTCCTGGGCCACGAAAGAATGTCGTCTTTGCAGTGTACGGCACTTCAGGGGTATTTGGCTTTTTCGGTGGCATTCTCGTGGCAGGAATCGTGGCTCAATTCAGGCGCTGGGGTTTTTACTTCTGGGTCGGAGCCATCGGCAATTACGCTGTTGACTTCAGCCTTGTCCGTTCCACGTCATCGTCCAAACGACCAACCCCCGAGCAAAGCCAGGATGGATTACGGCGGCGCCATCTCGATCGTCTGCGGCCTCGTCCTAGTCGTGGTAAGCATCTTGCAATCAGCACACGACCCTGCAGGTTGGCGAAAGCCATTTCTTCCAGTGTGTCTCACACTTGGTGTCTTGTCGCTTCTTGTTGCAGGCTACATTGAAGTGCGCGTCTCTTCCCAGCCTCTCTTACCAGCTTCCATCTTCACGACTCCTTGCATGAGCCCTCTTCTTTTGGCTCTTTTCCTGCTTTACGGCACCTGGGGCATCTTTTCTGTATATGGCACTCTCTATTTCCAGAACATCATGGGTGCCAGCCCCTTGCAGGTGGTAGCGTGGTATGTGCCTCTCGGTGTTGCAGGCCTCATTCTCAGTGTCATCGAAGGCTTGATCTTGCACCTGGTTCCAGGACGTGTGCTGTTGATCATTTCTGGCCTGGGAGCAGTTGGGTCGCAGCTCCTTATAGCTCTGATTCCGCTGGGAGGGAGTTATTGGGCATGGGTTTTCCCCGCAGTCATCTTGAGCACTGTGGGAATCGATCTGTCCACGATCTTGATGACGGTTTTCGTGACCACGACGTTTCCTACAGCGCAGCAGGGGCTGGCTGGGAGTGTTATCAACTCTGTGTTGCAGCTAGGAGTCGCTGTCGTCCTTGGATTGGCGGATAATATTCAATCAGCAACGGTAGACGAGGCAGGATTAGGGAACAGCTATAAGAACACGTTTTGGTTTGGAGTAGGTCTTGCAGCTGCGAGTTTGTCGATTCTGGCAATCTGGGGCAAGGTACCCAAGGCCAGTGGTGATTTGACCGCAGATGAAAAGGCTGAATTGTTGGAAGAGGCAATGAGTGAGCAGCAAGGACAATCAGCCAACAGGAGGGAACTCTAAGAGGTTCATGATCTCACACGTAGACCTCTGCTCAAGGGCAATTGCTAGACCAAACAATCTTCAATTCGTCCTCATTGCCCGGTGGTCGCTCCCTAAGTTATAGCAATTAGTTACCTATATAGACTGTGTCACTTAGCAATGGACATCTACCACCATAGAGGCCTACCATGAATGCATCGCAATCATGCAACCAACCAGTCGGCGCCCATGTCCTCTAGCTTCTTGATCCAGTTCCAATTCTCTTCCTGTCTGCGGCGTTGACCATTGCTACTCTCGACGGCATCCGCATTCTTTCTAAACTCCCACATTGTACTCAACACTCCGAGAGCTTCTCTTGTAAGCCCCCAGGGCTCCTTCTCCCAAAGCTCCTGGAATCTTACCGCTACCCAAGCACGATTAGTAGGGTCAACCATTTCCAGGCCAGCAATGAAAGCCGGCCACGCTGTCGCAGTAAATAACGCATCTCCAGGGCGCATATGTGAGAGATGGGTGATGATTTCAACTGCAAGCTTTTCAGTATCATCTGGCAATACTGTGCTGGGCCATAGAGCAAGAATCACGCGCGATAGATAAATGCACACAGCTGCCCTGTGTGCAGCGGCAATTTCCATCCGATAGAATAGATCGTCAGCCGGTGAGCGTGACTGTAGATTGATAGCCCAGACAGCTGCGTCGAATGACCTAGCAACGTCTAAAAGATGAAGCGCATCGCGCAGCCCTGAATTGGTCAAGGAATCCGGATGCTTGGAATCATCGTCCGTCTTTCTTAATAGTCGAGCCCCTGCCTGTATCAAAGGAAGAAGAGCTGCCGGAAATGACGAGCAATGATTGCCTTCTGCATCTTGAAGAAGTGACATGGTAGTCGCCGATATCCCGCCAGTATGCGGTAGATGTGAATTTGCGAAGGATGACCCAAGAAGATCATATCTAGGACATGTCAAGTCAGAGGTCATCGATTACTGGACAAGACGACTTACACCAAGCAGTTTGACACCAACCATCGACGAAGCGGGCTAAAATCAGTTTCCGTCGCAATGGAGGATGCGATAAGATCCTCAATAATCTTCCTCGCACCGTTCATGTGAAATACCCAACTCCCTCGCCCAGAGTCGATGAGCTCGAACCCAATAAGCAGAAGCACTACCGCGAGAACCACATCAACATCCGCTGAAGCCATGTCTTCGAGAGCAGACTTCAGCAGACAGAGTGCTCGCTGCTTGGCCTTGAGTGCGTCATGGAGAGCCTCCGGGTGAGATGTCATACATGGACTAATCGATAGAGAGCCCAGTAGGCTTGTGCTGCTCTGAGTCGGGGCTATCTTTGTAGCACCACTAAGAGACTTTGATGACTGTTGAGAAGAATTTGACAAATGCAAAGCTGAACTGGCGATGATTGTCTGCATTAAGACGGGGTGCTGATGCGCTATCGGAATCAGGTCACGGAATAGATTATGTTTGGGGACGTCGTAAATAACGAGGTCCCGGCAAACAGCACCTGCGACTTTCAACGGAGAATGTTAGTGTGAAGAGGAGCCTAGCGGACGGAGGTGGCCTACAATAGTCCATATATCTCCTCGACCGATAGTCTAGATTTTGCATAGGCGGATCTATCAACGAACGAGGTAACGAACGAGGAGAGCTCGGCTTAGGACTTGCGAATGGGGGCTGCCTTGTAGGCACGATAGAAAGACATGGCGCTTGTAGAGTCAAGGGCCTGTCTCTCTTCTTGACCTCCCTTATGTTGTCTGATGTAACTCCAAGCATTTTTCCTCGACTCGCCATACCATTCTCCCATCGCAACAGAATGCCATAGCCTAGACAGCTTTGACCCCTCCTGGTGCATTTGAGGCACTGCGGAAGGGATCGGTCACATTTCAAGCGACTTCGCCTACAGTTATGGCATGCTTCCATCTTTTGACTCATGGCTCAGCTCTAATACGGAAAAAGGAGAAGGGCGATGCTCATAGAATGGTGAAGAAAAACGCTTCTCCGTACTTGCGCGTCAAGGGTGTCGTCAGTGATGGTGCACTGCGCTATTACGGAATCAGCCGTTAGTGTTTCAGGAACCGTTCTAGGGCGGTCAAACAAATGACACAGGCAGAAAATGTACGTGGTATCAGCGTTTGTAGGCCTGTGGCGCTGGGGGTGGCACTAGCCCCACCCCCACCGCGTGGCAACTCTAGGCACATCCCAACTGTCACCGGCATGGGCGACAAGGACCTGCTGTCAAGAAGGGGGCAAAAGCAACCTGCAAATGCTTAACTGAACCAGACCTACCAAGAACTGACCGGAGATGCAATCGAGCGAGAAACCGAGCCGACGGGCGGTGGCCGATGGGCGACTACTAGGTACCCGCGTCGCAACCCCCGCCAAAGATATTAATGCTGCGGTGTAACGATGCGGCCATGTCAGGGTCGCTGATGCGGGGGTTCTCCGTCCTCGTAAGAACTACTATGTATAATATAGGCCTAGTCCGCTAATTACAACCATTTTCCAGTCTCGGTTGGGCCCGCGCGTATCCTTCAGCCTAGAGCCTAACTATATTTGGGTACTGAATTAGGGTATTCAAGCATAGCCACTGGCAACAATGTCACTATACCAAGACCATATCTGTACGGACACCGTCAAGGTTGATGTGTTTTCGGTTCGAATGCCTCGTAATGCGTCAGCAGTATTCGGGCACAGTTCTGGCGTTCGCCCGATGCGCTATTTGCCAATCATTCTATGCGCCGACTCCCCGTTGGCTGCTGCTTCTGCAACGCAACCGATGTAGCAGTGCGTCCGTGTCTCCTATGTGACTTGTGGGACCATGTGAGGGACTTTGTCTGGTTCATGGTCGGCTTATCTTTTCTTCTACCGGCATGGGCATGTCATTTTTCTACCAGATTCCATCGATTGCGGTTACGCAACAAGTGCAATTCTGCCAACAGAGCTGGCCATTTGAAAAATATTATTTACTTCTTTTGGGTCAATCAGATAGCCTGATAGCCTAATTGTTCAATTGCGGTGTTTATAATCTGGCCATGAGAGGAGTATGCATGTTGTCAGAGCTGTAACTGCAACCCTATAAGAAAGGTCAATTTAAGGATTAATGAGGTACTATCTTGCGACGTTGTAATGGCGCGAATGAGTGGCTCGAAGATGGGCCAAGGTTTTTGTTGGCTCGCAGCTGTCGATGGGATAAGCTGTAGCTACTAGGGCATGGTAATATTATACGACGGTCTGAATTGGCAAAAAGCTTAGTCCAATGTGGCATCCGAGTGGTTAGAACCCCAGATTGAGATTGCGTTAGCCGCCCTTCCCTATTAATCCTTCAGGGACTGGTGCTATTATTTTTGATTCGCCACGTTACGATGTTACAGGGGCTAAAGGGACCCTGAGAAGTGAACATGCATCAAATGTAAACCAGGAGTCTTCGAGAAATACCTCAGGCCGTTATGCATGCGGCTGCCTCGTCATCAACGAACTATATTAGAGACAGCAGGATGCAGGGTTATTTCTTTATAGCCTACTACATAACCTATCTACTTCAGCTGCCTTGGCTATGCGGACTAAGCCCCCCCCCCCCCTGATCATCGCAATTGCAACTAGTGTTGGCTTAGTTAATGGGTTTGTGAGAAAGTGCAAAAGTCTAAAACTTTTCTCTCGGATAGGAAAAGTAACTACTTACTCTTGCACATGCACGCTCAGAGTCTAGCGGATAGAATGATTCAAAAGTTCTACACTGTGTGGTGACCCAAGGGTATTGTGCACGAACTGGATCAACGCAACGGCGCAAAACCCTCTCTTTGATGACTGGATCATACCATAGTACGTTTCACTGAAGTGGATCTCGGCCGTAGCACGCAGCTTCAGGGCTGAAATTGCTTATACCTATGCATTGGGACACAGTCAGCAACGTAAAACAGATAATCGCTCAAGATTTCGTATTACTTTGGAAATACGATATCTCTCTCTCTCGGAATTATACAATTAAGTGGACCCCTCGCCAAGATATGTTCCAAAATATGACTGCCTATCAGCAAGCTGAATGAATGAGGCATTTTTAGGATCTCTCGAGTTTTAGAAAGTCTAAGGAACAATTGCTTGAGAACTGACAGCGCATGTTCACCTGAGTCTCTTGTGGAGAAAAAATGGTACAGGACTGTCTCCTATACGTATAGGTTCACAACATGTCACATCTTCAACAACATACACTGCTTAAAGAACAAATCTTGAAGAAATTCTGGCTCTATGGGCTTGAAAACCTTTGCAGATTCTTCAGTGTAGTTATGCAGTTCGGTCTTCTAAGAAATGACCCAAATATACAACGCCATAGCACAAAGTAAGACTGCCAGCTCCACTGCACAACACGTTGGTAACAACTGCTACTATGTTCCCAATGGAGCTTAGACTTCGCCTCCATGTACCATCTCAAGCTACAACGAAAATCAGAGAGAAACTACCTGGTGGAGCCCCGAGGTGAAGAAGACGGAGGAACCGAGCCTGAATTAACCAAAACCAGATCATCACTGAGACTCATGGGTTTTCCTGTAAGCAAGATTACGGGGCTGGGTGGCTTCATGCAAGTGACGAACCGGCGCCCCGCCTCATCAGGTACAACAAAAGGAGGTTTGTGCAGAGAATGTACGAAAGGCAGTAATGGAGAGGCTTGGGACAAAGCTCTGCTTCCAGCTATAAATACCCCCTTCTATCCCCCATCAACAGAACCTTTTCACCATCATCACTCAACACTTCAGTTTCATCACTAGCACTCAGCACTTCAAACTCTTACAAACCAAACAACCGACCCCGAACCAACGTCCACCATGCTCAAGTCTACTCTTGTCTCCATCGCCTTGTTGGCTGTTGCCCCCCTCGTTGCGGCTGACAACTGCACTCCCGGCCTCCGATACTGCGGTAGCACTCTGCTTAAGAAGGGTACAGTTTTCTTTTCCCACGGCATTCTCACAAATCCCTGGTAACCTTGAGACTTACTTTCCACTTCTTTACAGGCAAATACACCGACCAGATCAACCAGGCTCTTATGGTTGCCGGCCAGGCCACGGACTACAACCACATCCAGTACTCTCTCTTTGACTGCCTCGGAGGTTCCAGCGGTGCTATCAAGTACATCACCTGGTGTGGTGGCAGCTGCAAGGACAACGGTTCCGGCAAGAGCGATGCTTGCTCTTAAATTCGTCACAGTTGGGTGACAGTAACTCTTGGGAAAGGTTCGGGCTTAGCTTCACAGGTAGAAACTCGATAAATCTTAAACATGTCAGTTAGTGATGGAGTTAGCATCTTTAGACGCTCATATAAGAACGGCCTATTTTCCTTCTAATGTTTGAACATCAGGTACAGCCCTGTGGCTCACGTGAAAGATCGTCAACTGAATGCTCCCAGTCTTAAATCAGACGGGAGGCAGATATAGACATTGGGGCGCAAGCAGTAGCATGGTTAAGATAGGTGGCCAAGAGGCGGCCATTTTGAAGCTGGCCACTAATGATATTAACGGCCACTACGGCTTTGCGAGTAGAATGAAATAGCATGAACTGCGAAGCCTTCGAAGCTGCCGACTTTTTTGCTTAGAAAACAAGCCTTCATGAGATTTTAAAAATCAACAATAACGCCTTATATCTCGGACCTCAGCGACTTCATGGTATCCTTGCGAAATTCTGTAAACCAAAGGCCGTATCGTCGACTCTCTTTTGTCGCTCGTTACCGAATTGAAAATTAGGGCGAACACTGAAGAATTATTCATTACTTCCACTGGGCAGCAGCAACTACTTCTACCGAAACTGTCCATCTCTTGGCGGAATCAGCGGCCTATCTACATACTAATCTTGGGCGAGTGGCGATGACTAAGCTCGTAACGGCCATTTCAGGCATGTGGATTGGAGATATGACCAGAGGTACTGTATGTAAGTCAGCATTGGCAGATTTGATTTACCGTTGGGACGGGAACCCATTATCGACTTATCATGTCAGACAGCACAGCCAGTCGATTTCCCCGCTCTAGGCAGACTCCGCCTCACGACTCAAATCTTCAACTGATTCTCCAAGATGTCTCTAACCGTGACCGGCACGCTATGTAGCAAATGCGTTGAGCTTGGAGACTCTTTCCAGAGGAAGTACGACGGCCATTCGCATGAATTCGAGAACCACCATGGGTTAAAGCACAAAGCCCTCGACAGATCCGCAGCGGCAGGCTGCGACTTTTGCCGTCTCCTGCGACAGTCCTTGATCTACAGTCGTGGTACCTCCAAGTTTTTTCATGACGGAGATTCCGGAAACTTTGACCGGATGGTGTGTAAGCTGAGCAACAAAGACGCCATTAAATATCCTCAGACGGACTTTGGAACTTGAATATGGGGAAAATGGGATTTACGGCGCCTCTGCTGAGGGTGAGATAATTTTGCCGCCCGGGACTAGTGTTGAGGATATCCGTCGCCAGCGCCCTAACTTTGGAATGGGGGGAGACAACGGAAGCGATCGGGTGAGCACGTCCGAAGAGGAATATAGCGATGATGACGAGTCTCGAACGGGAGACACTTCTCACGAGACGCCTCACGCAGGCCTGGGCCGAGAGGACAGTACAGAGGACGAAGTGAGAAGCAATGGAGAGACTGATGATGACAATCCTCTTTCCAATTACGAACAATCCGGCCGATCTACAAGTGTTGAAAGGGAAGAAAATGTCGGCGATCAGGATGAGGCACGCAAGGATCGGAAAACGTTCGGTGAAGCGAAAAAAAAGTTTCCAAGAGAACACAGCCGGAATATTCCGCCCCTCGAGATCAAAAGTAAGTGAACCCGCCTTTGATGGAGCCAATTGTTGGAGTATGAATCAAAACTCACATTTGTCTGTAGGCTTCTAAGGACGTGGAGAAGGATCTTGAGGCCCTGGCTCCAGTGGTAGCGGCCTGGCTTCAACGGTGCACGACGAGCCACGTCAACTGCAGGAATAGCTCCAGGGAAGCCCCCGACTCTGTCCCCCTGCCCAGCAGACTGATCGATGTCGGCCAAGGGGATCAAGATGTACGGCTGCATATCACTGCTGAACATCCTGTTCAGACGGGGCGATATGTTATATTGAGCTATTGTTGGGGCCAGACTAATAACAAAACCAGGACCTTAGCTTCTAACATCGACAGTAGAAAACGCCGTCTTGATATCTCTGAGCTCAGCAAGACCATCACGGACGCTATCATGGTCACCCGGGCTTTTGGCGAGAGATTTCTGTGGGCAGATGCCGTGTGTATTATACAAGGGTAAGTCCCGGAGGTCTCTAGGACTTCGACGCACGTCACAAGAAAGCTCCACCCCTTCCCCGTCGTGCAACTCGCTTGGAGACTGAGACGCGAGAACTAGGACAATTGACTGGTTCGACGAAGCCCCGAAGATGGGTGACTACTACAAGAACGCAATATGCACCATCGCCGCGACCAGTGCGATGGACTCCTCGGAGGGCTTCCTCAACCCCCGGCCCGCGCAAAGCCTTCCCGTACGCGAGTGCTCGTTTCCCGCCATCTTCCGCCCCGGCTATAACCAGCACTCGCAAGAATACAAAGTACAGCTCGTGTTCCAGCCGCAAGTCCCTCATAAGGATGACATAATCCGCAGCTCGCCACTGTATGAAAGAGGCTGGACATGCCAGGAGCGCCTTCTCTCCACACGAATCATGTACTGGACGGAGCACGCTCTCTTCTGGGAGTGTCTGGAGTCGGAGGGCTCCGAGTTTGACCACCACGGCCGTGTGAGGCAGCATCGGGGCCAATCATTTTCGGTCATGGCCCTCAAAAACATGAAAATTTATCTCCGGCTTCCCAAGAAGCGGGCCTTGGGCTCCGAATGGTGCAAACTCGTCCAGAGCTACTCTAGACTGGCGCTCACCGTCGAAGACGATAGACTGGTTGCTCTCTCTGGTCTGGCCAATGAGATCGGCAAAACCTTTGGCGACAAGTGCTTGTACGGCCACTGGCGGTCGCGTTTGCGCCAGAGCCTCCGCTGGTCGCGGTCACCCGGCCGCCGCAAGGGTTCATGTTCAGAAGATACCGCCGTGCGCCCCGTACCATCTTGGTCGTGGCCTTCCGTTCGGGACGCTGTCGACATCTCAGACTCGGATATAAGGGATGACGGCTCGGTATTCGCATGGTTGATGGAGGTGGTCGATGTGTCCGGAGAGCTGGATCATCTGAAGGTCACAACCGAGATCGGAAGCACATGCAAGCTGCACATTCTCGGGATGGTCGAGCCGCTGCGGTATGATTCCTGGAGGGAAACTGAATATGATACATCAACCATCTTGTTCTCATTCAAGGAACATCCTGAACTTGGTGATATTGGCATAATGTTCGACGATTTCAGTTGGGACTTCCCTGTGTCGGGAACTCTGTTGTGTTTGCTCGTTTCGCGCAGCATTTGTGAGCCACCCTATTGGGAGCGGTGGTCTGATACTGTGCCATTCATTGTTGTGGAGAAGCTTTCAGAGCCGGATACGTACAAGCGCATCGGGTATGGTGGGATGTCAGTTTCAGGTGAAAACAAACGAATTAGGGCACTTCCCAGTCTATTGAATACGCCGAGTTTGAAGAGGAGTCTGTTCTTGGTTTAGGAATATCATTGTGTAGTTTACGTGCTGCGATATGGGAATGTGTTGCATGTTTGCAAATGCTATCTTGTTGCAGCAGTAGCTCAAGCGTCTGCCTTTACTTATTACTGTCCAACCGTACATCAAACATCATTAATCAGCATGTAAAATGCCCGCTATAACATAAGAACAAGTAACGTGAAGAAGGGTTTTATGATGCAACTTACATTCACTCGCAGTCGCTCATGTCGCCGCCATCACCGTCGTGTGGAAACAGGCACGAATATCTCTACAAATGTGCCAGGCCACACGCAGTTGTAGGATTTGTGTCCTGCTCTGGCTACGCTTTTCCATTAAAACTTTTCCTTTCTTTTGATGTCAAAGGCGTAAGGGCCAACATATCCTCCAATACGGGTGGGCCAGTTACGTTAGTAAGATGTGTTTTTATAGTGGTCTTCCGCTTATAATAGATTAATTATAACTTAGGTATACATAATTACACCCTTTTCATAACGCGGCCTACCTACATAATCATCTTGAGGCTGATGGTCGTGTAATCTGTTACCTCTTCTAAATGAGATATATTCATTAAGAGGCCCCTACCTGTTTAGAAGCGATATGACACGCTCAATCTCCTCGTAAGTATAGGCTTGAAATCAACCACTCAAACCCAGCTTAAGGCGCGAGAAACAGAACAAAGCTGTCGCTTTTGCTTCAAATAAGAATCCTCATTGACCACTTCACATGCCTAAATTGGGCGCGCTGCCTGGTGTGATAGCCCAGAGCTAAGCCAGATGATGCGGTGCGAAGCCAAGGACTATCTCGTACGGTTATGTAAATGTGAGAAGGTGTAGACCACCAGCTTGAATGGGCACTGATATGCGGCTTTTCCTTTACACAACAGTTGGTTTCTAACTACTTGAAACCAGTCATCACAGACGCCATTCACGCCTTTCGGCCCACATCGTGTCACTTGCAAGGCCATATTTGGCGAAAGATAGCCAAACAAAAACGCCCTACGCCCTGCGCCCTGCGCCTTATACGCCTTAGATCAGAAACAAGCCCATAGGTTAGCAGCGCCCTTTTATGACCGTGAAATAAATAAGTCCTACTTTGGGCGTTCGGTTGTGTCTTTTATTTGGGTTTCCTGGTACCGCTATCGATATATTGCACGACAAAAGTTTGTTTCTAACTGTTGCGATAGTTGGAATACGGAGTCGTGTGGCACTTCCAGCCACACGCCCGCCAGGCTGAGAGGCCCAAGCCTCCCAGACCCACGTGACAGGCCAAGGGGGAATATCCCCACCTTCTAGTCAACAACACCACTTTCAACAATCATGAACCATCGATTAGAACCAATTTACTGTTATTTGTTATTGACGAACGGAATTCCGTTTCACCCCCTGTTTCACCCCCTGTGAAACCTACACTGATCAGTGGTAAACCTCACAGTTGCCATTAATTTGGTTAACTTCACAATTACCACTCTGCTACGGACAAACCGCAGATCAGCAAGGTCAACACCAGAAGAGACGACTTCTTGAACTGGATACCCAAGCCCAGGTAAAAGTAGGGATTTCGTGCTAACGAGAGAAGAAGCGAGAGTAACTGGGATCTACGGAAACCAGCAGAAGAAAGCTTCTTTTCCTCGAATCTACCAGCAATCCGATTATTCGAGTAACCTAGGGACTGCTACGCTCACCCTAGGCGGGATAAGGTTAATCGCAGCCAATTATCGCTGGCAAGAGCGTTCCATCACGCGTTTTCAACCACCAGAAGAAGAGACCTACCGAATCGACGGTCTTCCAACCTCTTCACGCCACAAGGGCGAAGATTCACGAATCCCACAAGGGACAACAACTTCCCCAACTACAACTATCCCCCACGCGCGGTGCCAATCACGAGGCGCCCGCTAGTTTCTCAATAAATCCCCAGACGAGGTGCCAACCGCGAGGCGCCTGCCACAAGAGACCTCCCTACCAGAAGAAGAACACGCCGAAAGGCGAGCGGAGACTACCGGCGGTAATCCGCCTATACAGCTATACGTATACGCCTCCGAGGCTGCGGCTTAGGAGAAACGCACGTGGTTGTGGGCGTCATAAGGCCAACTGTCCGCTAGATTCTAAACTTCCCAACAGTGAGGAGCGAAGCCCGAAGCGAGAAAGAGAGATTCACGAGAGAATCTACGGTAGAACTCTCTCCCTACCAATTCGAGACCTGTGTATACCCTCACACCCCTCGAGAACATCAGCGAGAACGGCGCCGACGGAAACAAACGACGAACCGACGAAAATCCCCGATTTCACGATTCTTTCCCCTTAGAATCGTAATATCCCGAATCGTCTTTTGACTCCCACTTCCAGGCCTGCATCTTGCACCAATCGCAGCTGACGCTGTTGAGGATTAGAATTCAAGATTCTAAACAGAAGTAATCCTTTTATACTGTCAGAATGGAGCGAAATTCACGAGAAGGATCGCCCGCGAGCGGCGTCACTGCCAAAAGCCAATCAACAGTCCCCATCCCACAGAGAATCGAAAGTATGATCGATCCAGCAGTATGGGGCAACTGGGCAATCGACCTTACAAACGCTAGCCCACAGCAACTGGGTTCCTATATGGGTTTCCTACTTGAGACCTATGAGAAGAGGAATCTCACGGGCCTCGAGCTATGGAACGAAGTTTCTCCCGATTTCGCCGACTGGTCAGAAGAAGACTTCCAGAACGTACCTCCCCCAATCCTACGATTCTTCAGAGACCATTTAATCGGTAACGGCGTCTACGTCGAAATGGATGGCAAGAAAATCTCGAAAAACGTGGCATTAGCCCTCAAAAAGGAAGAATTCCACTACTGGTCACCCCAAGAACTCGAACAAGGCGTCAAGAGATATCGCAACCTGAAGGCTCTGATAAAAGACCCCGAATTCCACGAAGAGATCACGAGACCGGCAACAGTAGCCAACAGCACAGGAGGAAGAGTCGAACCAACCCTACAGCCACCTCCTCCACAAGAACAACAACAGTGGCAACTACCGTACCGACCGCCACATCCCACGGTCTCTCCGTTAACAGACTTCCAACCATACGAGTCAACAGACCGTATCGGAAAGCAATTAACAGAATTCGCGAAACTATACCCCGACGATATGAAATACAGCGGCGATATGTACGATGTACGCGAAAAGAAGGGCTGGACCGGACCGTTTACTTTAGCAGCCATAAACGGCGAAACCTGTACTGTCGATACGCCACGTGGTCCGAAGACCTTCCGGTCTACCGTAGTCAAACCATACTACGAAGATCCCGATCAACCACCTAATTCCATCGCCGCGCCAGAAGAAGAAGAACCCGAAGCTGAGATACCGCAGCAGGAAGTAGTACGCGACGAAATTATCGTCGCCGGCGGAGGCAGTGAACCGGACGAACCGCAAGAGGCACCGGAGCCACCGAGAAGACGCCCGGGCAGACCCCGGAAGAGACCACTGCCAATCGCCCACTTCACAGAGGAATTCAACGATGACCCGGATTATCAACAAATATTCCTATCGATTAAGGAGCAAGCAGACGAAGAATTGGCAATCAAACTACGACGAGAAGGTGTTATTACTACACCAGGCGAACCGTTCGAACAGTCAACTAAACAAGAGATCAACAGCCTCATCGCTAGAGGAGTGTTCAAATTCACCCAGTTCAATAAGAGAAGGCACCAGAACGTACGAATCTTCCGATCTCGTATCGTCAACGAAGTCAAGGGTAAAACAACCGAACCCTACGAGAAATCGAGACTTGTAATACAGGGTTACGCCGACGATGGCAAGAAGGCTATATTGACCCAATCGCCAACGATTCAGCGGGCGAGTCAACGGCTAATTCTGTCAATTACCCCGTCACTCCTACGAGAAGGGAAACAACTATGGCTTCGAGATATCACACAAGCCTACGTTCAATCCTCCACAAGGCTCAATCGTACTATTCTCGCCTACCCACCGAAGCAAATTCAAGACCAGTACCCAAAAGGGACCATTATGGAGGTTGTGAAGCCTCTGTACGGAATCGCAGAAGCTGGAACCCACTGGTGGGCAACGTATCACAAGCATCACAGAGAGAATCTCCAGATGGTTACTTCTTCGTACGATCCATGCCTATTGATCTCATCTACCGAAAATCCACACTTTGGCTGTATCGGCATGCAAACCGACGATACCCTCGGTTTGTCAGACAAGGCGTTCTCACAATTAGAAGACGAACAGTTAGAAAAAGCGGCTTTTACGGCAAAAGCGAAGAATATCCTCACAATTGACGAACCCCTCCAATTCAACGGAGGGATAATCGCGCTGTCAACCGACAATTCGATCAATTTGAGGCAAAAGGGACAAGCCAAGAAGTTACGATGTATTGAGACTACTAAACCCAACCCAAAACAGCAATATGTCGAACAACGCGCCAGAGGGGCGTACATCGCGTCAATTTGCCAACCCGAGGCCTGTTTCGATTTATCCACTGCTGCCCAACACCAAGACCCCTCGCCAGAAGCGATAAAAGCACTGAATCAACGGATTCGATGGCAAATAGAATCGCCTAACCGAGGAATAACGTTTATCCCACTCGACCTTACAACAGCCAAGCTATTCGTTTTCGTTGACGGGTCGTTCGCTAATAACCACGACCTCTCCTCCCAATTAGGGTTTCTGATCATCCTAGCCAACGACACTTCCTCTGACAGCAACAACGGAGAATTCACGATTCACGGTAACCTCGTTCATTACAGCTCTACGAAGAGTAAACGAGTCACCCGCAGCGTATTAGCGTCAGAGATCTACGGGATGGTCGCTGGCGTCGATATGGCCTACGCCCTCGCCACAACCCTGGCGACAATCACTGACCACCTCAACCTACCAACGATTCAGACAGTTGTCTGTACCGATTCTTATTCGCTGTACGAGTGTCTCGTGAAGCTGGGCACTACCAAAGAAAAGCGACTCATGATCGATATCATGGCGTTGAAACAATCGTACGAAAGACGAGAACTACAAGAAATTCGTTGGATTAACGGCGAAGACAACCCTGCTGATGCCCTCACGAAGAGCAAACCAAATCGAGCCCTCGAGAGATTCGTTGATAGCAACACGATAACGATACGTATGGAGGGATGGGTAACAAGACCGTAACTACGGGAGAAAGTAGGGATAGGAGGCCGAATTGACGAGGAGACGGAACTGTATAGGGACAACGTATTCCAACCGCTTCAACACCATAAAAAGAGAGTTTCCAGTGTTGCGATAGTTGGAATACGGAGTCGTGTGGCACTTCCAGCCACACGCCCGCCAGGCTGAGAGGCCCAAGCCTCCCAGACCCACGTGACAGGCCAAGGGGGAATATCCCCACCTTCTAGTCAACAACACCACTTTCAACAATCATGAACCATCGATTAGAACCAATTTACTGTTATTTGTTATTGACGAACGGAATTCCGTTTCACCCCCTGTTTCACCCCCTGTGAAACCTACACTAACGACCCCAACTCTGATTATCAGACCTTCAACAAAATGACTGTTACCAAACCGTCCGCTTTGAGCGCATCAGCGCTTGAGATTGAATGGACAAAGAATCCAAAGACAGTTCCTGGGTCTGTTTCTCCTGAGGTTTCCAGCTTAAAAGCAACCACCGATCACATGATTACGGCTTCGTGGTCTTCCGCCAAAGGTTGGGACGCACCAAAGTTGACACCTTACGGGCCGATTCCTCTCTTGCCCTCTGCCAACGTTTTGCACTACGGAACAGCGTGCTTCGAGGGCATGAAGGTTTACCGCGGCTTTGATGGTCGTCTCCGCCTTCATCGGCCGCTGTAAAATTGCAACCGCATGCTCTCCTCAGCCGAGCGCATTTCTTTACCAGCTTTTGACCCTGAAGAGTTATTGAAGCTCATCCGAAAGCTGTGTGATATCGAGGCCCCAAAGTGGCTACCCAAAGGCAACACTGGTTCCGCGCTGTAAATTAGGCCCACACTCATAGGGACAGACAGTAGTCTTGGTCTGTGGGTCCCAGAGGAAGCACTCTTGTACATCTTCCTTATCTACTGGCCTTCACTTAACCCTTCGGCATCTCCGGGTGATGAGGATCTCAAAACGGGCATACGTTTGTTGGGGAGCTCGGAGACATCTGTCCGAGCATGGCCGGGAGGTACGGGAGCTGCGAAGGTCTCCGCCAACTACGGCCCAACAATTCAAGCCCATGGGGAGGCTCGAAAGCTAGGCTATGACCAAGTCCTTTGGCTTTTTGGGCCCGATCGTCAGATTACGGAAGCGGGCTCCGCAAATATGTTTGTCATTTGGAAGACGTCGATGGGAACCCTCGAGATGGTGACACCACCCCTGGATGAAAGGAAAATCATTCTCGCCGGTGGGACGCGCAGGTCTATCCTTGAGCTTTCGCGCAAGATGTTCGCTTCGGAGCCCACCGAAGGGGACATTGGAAAACTAGAGGTGGTGGAAAGGGAAATCACAATGTCAGAGGTTGTCAAGGCGTTGGATGAAGAGCGTCTTATGGCAGCATTCGTGGTTGGAACAGCAGCTTGGATCCAACCAGTTGCTGAGATCTCATTCGATGGGCAAACCCTCCGGCTTCCCGTAGGAAAGGTGCCGCATGTGCTGTTACTGAAAGAGAAGCTACAGGCCATTTTGTATGGAAAAGAGGCACATCCATTGGCTGATATAATCGATGAGGAGTAATAAAGATATATAGAGGGTTTGACCCAAAGAAATTTATGGGCAATGGTCATTATTTGTTTTCTTTTAAGCTGCTGCTACTTGAATGATGGAGAATGCACCATGAAACGGCTTGTAAAGTATATAGGCCAGGGAGCTGATGGTGCGAACTGAGAAGGCTGTCAGGTTCCCGCTGACAAAGAACTGTTTTCCAAGGGCTCAAAGAACCACAAGTATATTCTTTCTTTGATGGAACAACCTCGCAATATTTATATCGGCATATGAATTAGATGAACAGTTATTATGACCTTGGAAAAGTACCAGTTGCCGAAGCCTTCATTTTGAACTCAATTGTCCCATCGGTTGATAAGGGGTTCAATTGACGACATGTCTTGATCAAATCTTCAGGACTAAGATGTGGAGGAACAGGCGAGTCATAAATTAATAAATGGTCGTGCGAGAGCCTTTCCAAACCAGGCATGCAACCCATAAGTGAAACCCGAGCTTTTGACAGCTCCAACTATTTAATTAATTAGTCTCCAGTAGTGATTGCGCCGTTTTACTGATCAACAATATCCAATCAGGCTTTGTGTCGCAAGTGAAGCCCCACTAAGATGGATCAGTTGCCAGTGAGGGATGCCCGCTTCAACCAAGTATAGCCTCCCTTCATTTTATGATCGGCAACCAGTGCCGATGTGACTATAATGCTACAAATTCTAATTGCAACCGAGTGTTGAATAGTATAAGTTCCTTGGCACTACCAACTTTTGCAATCTTGCGACCTATTTTTCACCGACATTCCCTTTAAAAAACCGATTTATCATTCGTTATTTGCACTTCAGCCAAATGCGTTGCTCCACTTTCGCCGTTCTCTCCGTCCCCCTCGTGGCGCGTGCTGTTGCTGGCCAATATGAGAATTGGAAGTTCGGCAATATGTTCCGACTCGGCCCAGCTAAGAACGCTATTGTCAAGGCGACATACACCATTGCTACTCCGTCAGTTCCCTGTGGATACGTCCAGGAGAAACCGAGTGAAGAACCGTGGCTGTCACTCTGGGTTGGCCTTTCCAGCTCCGTGAGTGATCAGAAGGCAGATCTCTTCCAACCATTGCTTAATTGGGCCCCAAACAATGAACTGCAGTAAGATATGGCCCTACTAAATAAAAGTCCCGCTGGACTAACAATCATGGCGATAGGGGATGCCCCGCGCCTAATACTCAGTGGTGTGTTGCCGCAAGCACATTTAGCAATGGTAACAAGCGCTATAGCATTCCCCTTAATTACGACTTTTTACAGCATACTGAAACTGTCCCCAGGCCAGCAGCTTGCCCAGTCGTACATCCCTATTCCTGCTGAGACCAATGTCGACTTTGAGCGTACGTAAACGATCCCGATCATCTCTGAAGACGCTTTCAAAATGTAACGTGGATTTAGTCACCTATGATGCTGCCAAGGGCGTGACACAAAAGGTGTACATGGACGGTAAGCTTGTTTCGCAGCAGACCGATAGTATGGCCAATAAATCAACCTCAGAAATGCAAGTGGCTAACGTTAAGGGGCAGAGACCCAAGCCGGGCAGCGCCCTTCCTACCTCTACTCCAGCAACGAGTGCTATTTGGGCACGTGTGGAACCGTCAATGGCTACAGTAAGGCAAAATGCAAAATTGAATGACTTGACATTATGTAGCGGCTAACGATTTTGAAGCATGGGAGAATATTACTGTTGTGCTCGAAAAGGCAGACGCAGACTTCGGTCAGACCCTTGATCTGCTGGGCGCCAGCTCCGGAGCCGTAAAGACTGCAGACAATGGCAAGACCTGGAACGTTGATTCTATCAAGATCAACGAGGACCACTTCTACGCTGATGGTTCGAAGAGAAAGAAGTGCTAACCGTCAAACCAACAACTGTCCGCATCTCAAGGATGCAGATACTGCCTTCCTCAATGTTTGAGATTCAAGGTTCTTCTGTGAAGTGCTCTGAATCTCACAGCTTTCATTTAAATATTAAACGCATCTGATGGATAATACTGTGCACTGATTTCTCTAGCGGCACGTTGTAAAAGTACCCTGCGAAGCGCTATGAACGGTTCGAGGGCTGATTGGAACGTACTGCAAGATCGGGTTTGATTCAATACAGTTTTCCAGTGAGGACAATGTTGATAGAAACAGAACACAAATAACGAAGCCGCAGACCCAATAAGTTCTGGCCTTTCGCTTACTTTCCGCTTTACAACTACTACAAATAAGTCGCTTCTCAAAAAGCGAGATTGACACCTGGCCATGCCAATTAAACAGATCTTCCATGACCCTGGGTTACCATGAGCATGCTACCGACAGTGTCCTTATTGAGTGCGTTTTCAGCCTCGCTGAGCGACTGTGAAACAGCTGTGCATCCACGTGCAACTACATCGGCTCCGTATATCGCCAAAGTCTCCTCTCTCATAGATGCATCACCTGTCTTTCTAAGCCTAACTAGAGCATCAACAAAGTGATGACTATCAATGATGGCGTGTTGAAGACCCTGTCCTCTGACTTGTTCAAAGTTAGCACGCAAACTGGACGGCAGCAAATGGACCTTACATGGAAGCATGGGATGCGCAGCATCTCCAGCAAGCGTCACTTTGCCATCGTAGGTTTCCCAGGCCGAAGGAATCCAATAATTCATCTCGTCAATGTAGCAAGGGCTTCCTTTAGGGGTCCAATCCACCGCGGATCGGAAGGGTTCACAAAGGCCGGTGAGGTCGGCTTGAATGTATTCAATGGCTTGCTGGCCATTCAATCTGACCGGTTGGCCTTTCCAGACTTTTACCCAAAAGGTTTCCCAGGAAGCAACGTCATTCGGATCTTCAACCGACATCACTAGATTCTGATTAGCTCTGAATGCCGCACCAACCCTTCTAAAGAACTTACCGCCACAGCCAGCCATCACACCAGAGCCGAGCATCAAAGCGCATACTGGATGGGATTTTACAATCATGTTCACCTTTTCAGCGTCGCCATACTTGACGATGCAGTTGGCAATCATAAATCCGGAGGGGATTGGCTTAGCAGCCTCAACTCCTACGAGCAGCTCTCGAACTTTTGATGATACTCCATCTGTTCCTAATACGTAATTTGCATCAACACTGGTACCATCGTCGAAAGTAAGGTGCATGGTATCGTCGTCGACAGCAGATAGGGAACCCAATGTCTTGCCCCATTTAATGTCGAGGCCTTCAACCAGGACTTTCCGGAACCGACGTCGACTAACTCGCCGAGCCCCAGGGGTAGGATTCTTGAACAACATCTCGCCACTGTTACCATCGTATCCAGGGATGCTCTCATCCCACTCACTAAAGTCTAGGTAGGGGTTGCATACGGCGCTGGGAATCTTTTTGAGGGCGCGCTCGGGTAGCAGCTCTGTAAGTGTCGCCATTCCCCAGTGGATAAGAATGGTCCAGTCTCTTGGACGTGCGTCAACGCTCACATCACGCTCGTAGACGGTGACATCAAATCCATGCTGCCGAGTGTCAGCACAACTTAAAAGAATAAGTAGCATTGAAAAAAAGATGCCTTCTTTAGACCATGAGCAGTTATCAGGCCCGTTAACCCCGCTCCTATGATAGCGACCTTGGGTCCAGCAGCCTGAGGCGCTGATGGGTTCTTGATGGTGCTTGAAATAGCCATTGAGTAAGGGGTTCTGAAGTCGTAAAGTTTACAATCAGTCGTTCCTGTAAGTTCTTATAAGATCAAAAACAATCGGTAATATCTAGAGAAGTTGCCAAGGTTTGCAGCGCTGGAAGAATGACGCACTACTGTAACCCACAGCCATTGTTACACGTGATAGTCTTGAAGTCATTAGCTTTCCCCATCCTGGCGGCTTCTTCGGACGAAAAGTGTTACTCCACACCAGGTGTGACGTAGCGCTTGATCCATTCATCAGCTCTAAAAGGTCTCTTGAACAGTGCAGAATGTTGTTGTTACCGGCACTATAACCGATGATGGATCGAAAATTTCGGGACTGGATCCTCGAAGTGGAACAACTGAGCTAATGACGTGGGTACGGATTGTGGGCAGAATCAACGACTACGCTAACCAGACACTTTTAAGCTGGGTTTTCCACTTCGCTTGAATAGTTTCATTAAAGTGCATTGTGTTTAGAGTTTCACTAGTTGAATAAAATCATCCCGCCGTCAATTACACTAGAAGAGAACAACCTACTTGCGCGAGGGGTTGCTAATCTTCAGACTAAACAAAGTCCCCTTCACCATCGCTGTCGCCGTCTTCCGTCTCAGCCCATTGGAGTGGCTCTCCCCGGGAAAACCACTCATTATCAGAAGCATGCTTTAGTGTGTGCACAACTTCCCTGGCATGTCTTCTGAACTCCTCAACGGGAGACTTTACCCAGTCGTGTAGCATCTTCTTCAGCGCTGCCACAACTGCTTTGCCCTTCGGCGCGTCTGGGAAACCATTCTCCAATAAGTGCCTTGCAAATTCAATGCGCAAATAGCTCGCCAACGTAGGTTTCTCGACATCAATGTCATGGAGGGTGCCGGTGGGGACAGCCAAGCGCATAAGATATGGCTTCCAGTCTATATGGCTGTTGATAACTGACTGCTTGAGGTAATCCCACCTGTGGTGGTAGGGCACTCCGCTGTCTACTAACTCGTTGATTAGACCTGAGACATCATTCACAAATGCCTCTTCTTGGTCAACTTGTAGTGGAAGCACCAGTGTCGCAACCTTCAGCCTGAACGAGTCAGGAAGCACCTTAGGCTTGCGCTCAGGGTTTCTCTGCCATTCCAACGTGCGCAATTCTTCGATGGTGGCAATGACTTTTTGAAGGATCGGAAGTGTTATCGACTTCCACGATTCCACAGCTTCAGGAGACTTTTCCCCGGTTATTGTAGGAGTGACACTGTTGACCAATGACTCAAGTCGCGACACATCTCCTCTGTAGATTAGTTGTTGAAAGACTTCAAGCGCAAATTTCTGGAGCATGTCAGAGGTCACACGCTCAGAAGAGTCGGATACCTGTTGACCTGTGGCGTGATGCATCGTCTTCAGCAGTGAGTCGGTGCCACACAGGTTTATGGCACGGCTACCGCCGCCAAACATGTAAAGCCAGTGCTTGCCAGCGTCTGATTCGGACAGGCTAGGGCTGTCGCGCACTTGTTTGGTGACGGCAGCAACGCCAGGTGGCGGACAGATTTGTGCGAGTACGCTGCCTCTCATCATATCAAACTCAGTACGCGAGAGAAACTCCGGGTTACGGCCAAAGATGGCAAGCATCCCTGGGTTTACAGGTACAGGATGGATAACTTCCCCTGGCGGCAGTTCGAAGCCAAATCTTTTCAGAAAGACTTCTACCCACCGGCGGTTATTCTCGGCCGACTCCTTGACTATCTTGGATGTAAGGGCCGCCAGTTTCTTCCGCACATCCAGATCTTCAGAAAACCGCTGGTCCCATGTAGTAAAGATTTGACGCAAGACGTTTTCGCTTTCCATCACAGAAACGCAAGGTAGGTCGTCTCCAGCCTCGACATCCTCCCACGAGACAGAAGCGAGGGTACGCTCATTGAATGAAGAAGCTATCGGCACCGCATTCTTTTCCAAGAGGGAGATAATGTTGTCCTTGGTTGATGACGAGATACCGCCTGCCAGAGCACCGTACAAGCTTTCAATAATTGCGTTTCGGATGTCGACGTGCTGAGACTTTTCCAACAAACGTGAAAGAACTTCAGAGGGAGTCTTTTCATCCAAGAAGGAAGCGTCACTAAGGAGCTTTGCGAGCATTGTAACGGTGCTGACTTTGACCAGCGAAGGGGATTTTACGAGGCCATTAGGTTCTTGCTCTTTCGCTTCCTTACTCCTGTTTTCTTGCTCTTCGAGTTTGGTCTGTATGCTGTCTGTAATGTTGTTCAAAAACTCTGCGGCCTTTCTAGGAGGCAATCGGTTGAAGAACCCCTTGTTGAAGAGCTTCCGATGCCAAGAACTATCATCAGGTCTGCAAAGGATGACATCGCTTATCAATGGGAACGCCAGTGATGGCCTGTCACTGTTGGCTACCAGCCTGATAAGCCGCATGCACAGGCGGGTTGGTGTAAGAGCATCAGGATCTGATTTCTCAGTAGCCTCAACTGCTTCGAGAACAGATCGTGCTACTTGGGCCAGCAGTGAGGCAGGCGCCAATCTGATAAGGTTGCTCATCTCGTGGACATGGTTGTAATCGAAGTATTCCTGATCCACCGCATCCATGAAAGACTGATCCAAGTAAAGTGCAGGATATCGTACATCCGTACTGGATGGGAACGCTTTCTTTAGAATTGACGTATCTGAGCCCTCGAGGGTGTTGAGAAAGAGTAGGAGTGCCACTGCAAGGCTGTCCTTCGTTTTCCAGGAGCTGGGCCATCCGTGGCGCTTCAAGCTCCAGAAACTTTCGTGTTCCTCGACTTCAGTCCATATCGAATCTTCCCAAAGAACTTCTTGCTCCAGAATACTAGAGGACGCCCATGAGTAGCCTTGCTTGATCCTCATATCGAGAATGGTAGCTGGAATCTCCCGCGCCTCGTCAAGTTCGATTTCGCCAGTTTCATCCGACAATCTTGGATCCCATTCATTAGGCGTATCAGGGTCCTCAACATCCGGGATCGCAGGTTGAGGACGTCTCAATGTTTCGGCTTTTACGTCAGGTGGCAGCTTCAGTTCGTTCCTCTCGACGAATATGTCGGCCCAGAACCGCAGAGACTCTCGCTTTGTCATTCTATCCCCAGTCAGATTGTCGACAGCGTGACGCCATGCTTTTCGAATACGGTTGTCGCGCTCAGCCCCGTCATCCGTGCTATTAAGGTAGGCCTGGAGTGCGTAGTTGTAATCGTCGACGAATGGTCCTATAGCCGCTCGCAACTCCTTTTCGGTAGGAACCTCTTGCAGCACTGAATCTGGGCTGGCAAAGACAACTGACTCAACCTTTGAATAGACAAACGGGATATCTTTAACGTCCTTCACGTCGTCAGGGCATAGGTACTGCACAGGTAGCCCTCTTGGCCAGGCGTCTCCCAGGTCGTGGACAGCAGGATAATGTTTGGGGCGATAATTCTCCCACATCTTATCACGTGCCATTGCAAGTTGGTTCAAGAACATTGACGAGTTTGGCCGGAGATATTTTGCAAAATCGAAATCAATATCGTAAAGAAAACCTCTGACCTCACGGGGATAAAGGCGCTCCATGCCCGGTCTCAAGAGATATTCTTCTGCTTCAAGAGCAAACTCTAATGTGGGCTTCCAGAGCAAATCGATCATTTCGTCATCGCTCAGTTGGAGGGCATCATGGAGTCGGTTTGCACCACGGAACCGAGCTGCAACAACATTTCTAGGTAAGAGAAGTATGCGGTACCAATGGTATTCCTGGAAACCAGGTTCTCGTAAACCCATCGAGGCTGTCTCTAGCAAATGCAACAAGATTTTGTTTCCAAATTCGACTCTTTCTTTGATACTGTCTTTCGACTTTTCGAGGTGGGTGGGATTGGAAGGGATTCCGCTGAGTAGGTCGAAAGTTTCGGCGGCCAGAAAACAACCACTCAAGTACAGACTCTGCACGGTATTAGGGTCCTTGTTGAAGCGCCTCACCCAAGAAATCGTGTCGGAAAACAGCTCATGAGAGCCAGCTGCAACGCAGAGATTCAAGGCTATTTTAGACCAACCCGAGCGGAAAACCCAGTCGCGAGATGTGCTGGCCTTCTCTTTGCAGTGCTGGACTCTTTTTTCGATTCGTTCCATCAATTCCGAGTCCAAAATCGATCTCGCTCGCGACTTGCGTACCAGGAGTGCCTCGAGTATATAAGGATCGCCCTTATCGGTTTCCGGTTCTTTCGGAGACTCTAAGATGGAATCTCTCATTAAATCGGAAGGCTCAATGAACCGGGCGTCAGGAAAAACGGCGATTAGTCTCTCAAAAAGATGCAGCGAGGCATCCGGATCATCGTTGGCAAATGAGATGAAGAGATCTGAAGGCCAAGGGCCTTTCAGCTTCTTTAAGAACCCATTGGCCTTATCTGAAACGTCTTCAATATCGAATTGATAGTGTTGGGCGCTCTGGATGACGAGACGGAATAACTGATACGAAACCGCAGGGCTAACCGTTCGAAGTAATGCCACAATATCTTCTGCCGAAATGAATTCTGATGCAGGTGCAAGGCCGATCAGCTCAATCAAGTATCGCTGAACCTTGAGTCGAGTTGTGCGGGTATGTTCCCAGAAATCAATCACATAAGATATGATTCCGTCGACACGGGCGTTGAGATCTTCTGTCAAGTCGGGGTATCTCCTGAAAAGCTTGACGAGAAGTTCGAGGAGCTCGAACGGAAGACTTTTCTCAGCTGCTGGCCTTCTTCGGCGTAAACGCTTTACAATATGCTCTGCAAGTTTGGTAAACTCAGGAGACTCAATCGGTAGGGGCCCGTCACTTTCAAGGAGCTTTGACAAGAGCTGTTTGGCAAAACCAAGATTGCTATCGATGAGGCTTGTCCAGATTTCTTCATCGACTTTGGCATCTTTGGCGTCTTTCGAGAAGATGGATTCCAAAAACTTGGCCTCGTAGATGGAGGGATGTGTTCGCCGTAGAATAGAGCGCTGCCTTTCCGACCAAGTGGGTTGAGACTTTTCGTACTCGGCCACCTTGTCGGTGGTGCATGCTGGGAAGATGCGTTTGTAATAGACCTGAAGTGGCCTTGGGTCAGTCGTTTTGTCGGCATAAAGGAGCTCGACGAGTTCAGTCAGTCTTGCGCGTCTCTCTGATTGTCCTTGGCTTAAGGAGGCAGTCTTAGCCAGACCATTGCACAATAACTTGATCTCGTCAACGCTGAGACCACTCATCAATCTCGCGACGCCTGACGTGCCGCCCGCAGCATCCCAGACTTTGGCCAGTGACTCAGGCGAACGCAAAGCTTTGATAAAAGCCTTGATCGCTACTCGCCTCTCAAGCAGGCTTTCGGATTGGCGAAGACTGGCGATGGTGGATTCTGCATCGTGATGCATTGGGGTCCAAATGGAGAAAACAACATGGGGGATGGAACCCCGCGTTACGGCGTCATACAGATGTGCGGTTATGGGGACTAGATCGGCGGTGCTAGAACTGAGCCCTCGGAGATGTCGAGCGGCCTCGGTCGGAGTGCTGTTGCGGAGAACAACATGGTCAACAGACACGGATGAGTCCATGTTGATGCGGATATGCGTAAATCAACTGTAGCCAATGACAAATATCGTGGAAGAATTAGCAATTGAAATGTGATGATGATTATAAGTCACGAAGCAATGGTGCATGCCGAGACCATTTCCAGTATTTCAATGAGAAACAAAATGACACATCCACAGGAATCGAGACAGAAAAGTCCACGGGCAAGTGGATAATATATGTGAACTCGGAATCGGTTAGCCACATGCAGGTTGAGGCCAATTTGGTGGATAAGCTGATGGTGCCCTCAGCTCGGATTGGAATGAAACATCGGTGTATCCAAACAGTGGCTGTTGCTGACTGCATCGCATCTCAGTCCACTCAAAAGACGCTGACGTGGATATCGACTCTTGGTGAATTCGAAAACCAATCAAGCTGGTCATAATGGCATGTTGTCCAGGGGCTACATTATTCTGAAGCAGATTTGTGTAAGGACTGGAAAGACGCAGTAGCCTAACAATTGCGAGATGCATACTGCATAGAAGCCTGTACATCTTGGGGACAAGGGACGGATAAGCTAAGCTCTGTCTGGGTAAGCTTTCAAGACCCCTGATGAACCACGGCTGAAGAGGGAGACTCGTCACCACCAGGAGATTTACCGAAGACGTTATGTAATCTGTCTTTTGCCAAGTAACTTCCAAGGATGACTAAGATCCTTCTACTAGGAAATGGGGCCATGGCTGAATGCTGATTCGTGCCCTCATTCAACTTCCCCATTCATTCCGGCTTCACACGAGTCACACAGCAACTAAGCAGCCTCCCCCAGTCACCCACCTCTCCCCCCCCCCCCCCCCCCTGTGTCTGGTCCCTCAACTAAGTCGACATCTCGTGGTTCGAAAGTTCCAATGTTCTAACACTTCCTTCAACAGCGGAGCTGTCTGCTCTAAGGGGCAGCGTGTCTATATCGATATCAAGAGTATCTCAGCCATAACCACCAGACGTCTACCGTCAAGCGTGAACACTCACACTCCCTTCACATTGACCATTGCCTCTTCTGCTGCTGTGTCGTCACCAAAGATCGCCGTAGTGCACCCGGCTCCTCACAAATCCCCCTCACCTGGATGGAGGATCCTCAATCGCAACGTCCAAAGCAGGCCGCCTGTCTGGTCTGCCGCCGAAGCAAGATCAAGTGCGACTATTCTCCGCATGAGAACAAATGCAAGAGGTGCATTCAGCTCGACACTGAGTGCATTCGACCTACATTCCATGCTGGAAGGCAAAAAGGTATCAAAAAGTAAGTTCCCCAGCTATTCGGCTCCATCTCTTCAGAGCTATGGGCACCTGAAAAGTGACCGAAGCGTCGCCAAAAGAAACACCAATCCCTCCCCCCCATCTTTTCCCCCGCCTTTGATCCCCCACCTCGGTCACTCGGTTTGTTGGTCAACCTTATTGACTAGTGGACGCACGCGGTAGCAAGCGAAAGGGTCTAGATAAAGCTCTATACCAGATAGAACAGGCCATTAAGAGGTCCAGAACTGGTGAACAGTCTTCCGAAGATGACAAGGCCATCGGCAATCTCCAGGCGCTCCTGGAGGGCTCTCGAAATGCTCGGTCAACTACCGCCTCCTCTCACTTAGGGCGGGGTTCTTCTCAGTTCAATAGTCCCAATCAACAACCTGACCTTTCATCTGATGATGATGATGATGAGCTGAATGACACCCCAGACAGCAACAACTACATAAGCTTGCATCATCACAATGAAGAAAGCCTCGCTATTGACGATGCTGAGAACCCGCTCCAGTTGCTGGCGCGCGCCTCCAACTTGCAGCTGTCGCCCCAGCCCATCAACGGTCTGTCGCCGAAGCAGCTAGGTCCTCGTGCCAGTCGCAAGAAGCAGCTGCAGCAACTGCAGCAACAGCAGCAGCAGCAGCAACAGCAGACTGAGCAACCTGATGAGGATTTGGAGATGCAGTCCTTCTTCACATCTGTTCGTGTCAACCTCGATGTTGGCGATGATATCGATCCAATCAGCATGGGTCTCGTTACTGAAGAAGAGGCGGATTCACTTTTCGCATTGTAAGTCGGTTTCATGATACCAACTCGCATCTCACTCATCATACCGCGCAGCTTTCACAGCAAGCTCGCCCACACACGCTGGGGTCTTGATCCAAAGATTTACACCACGGGCTTCACTCGAGCCCGGTCGGCCTTCCTCTGCACTTCCATCATGGCGGCATCTGCTTTGTTCCTACCGTCCGCCGGAGCCTTGTCCAAGAGACTTTCCAACCACTGCAAGACCCTTGCCCAACGAGTCCTTACCAAGCGCCACAAGTCCGTCGAGATTGTTCTTGCTTTCATGGTAAACGTCCCTTGGATGTACCCGGGCCAACACAGCACCGACGACGAGACCTGCTGGTATGTGAACATGGCAGCCACCATCGCCATTGACCTTTCGCTTCACAAACTCCTGATCCCGGTGGAGATTCTCGCATCTGGGTCGAACATGGCATTGGCTCGCGGAGACTGCCTCGACCCTCGTATGGCTCTAGCAATGGATGGCTTCGGCCAGATCGAATATACTTCTGATCTGGGCCAAAGGCTTCTTCGACGCCGCGAGCGCTGCTGGATCGCTTTGTTTGTCTTGGAGCGAGGCATGTCACTGGCTCGCGGCCGACCTTACACTGTCCCGATTACCCGAATAATCAAGGATTGCGACCAGTGGCACAGATCCAGCATTGCCGACCCCATGGACGGCCATTTAGTCTCTATGGCTGTCCTCCGCCGCGACCTCGATGGATTGCTTGCCACCGTCCGCGCTCTGTGCGACGGATCTCAGGGCATATCTACAGACGGAGGTCTCATCGCACAGTCCATCGAGAGTGCCATCGAGAGATTCTTTGACCAATGGCTCACGGAATGGGGTTTCTCTATCGGCACTGGGCCGCAGCGACGCCTGCCTCCCTATGTTGAGATCCTGGTAACCCATACACGACTGTCGACCTATGGTGGCGTCATCAACCACCCGACAGCCCCGATGGAAGTCCGACAGTTCTTTCGTACGGCTGGCCTTTCATCCGCCGTTACGGTCATGCGCGCAGCTATACAAGGAGAAGCCCAGCTACAGTCGATTCCCAACAACACGACTATTATGGTCTCCTTCGCTGCCTGCTTTGCTCTCACTCTGAGCGCCTATGCCACAGGTAGCTCAAACCTGGCACCGAGCATCCGGAACCTTATCGAAGAAACAGCAGACGTCTTGGAACGCATTGGGTCAGCAACAAAGCACAGGAACGGCCTGTCTACATTGTACGGAAGATATCTTCGAAATATCGTAAAGAAGGCCGCCATAGCCATGGACGGCCAGCCACAAATCCAAATGCACCCGGAAACAACAATTCATAGAACCAGTCAGCTCAGCACACCTTCCTCGGCTGTGGCGACATCTCCTCCTATCAACTCGGCGAGAATACCGGTCTCGCAGCCACCTTACATGGAGTCCCAGCTGTGGCCCGGAACTCTACAGTTCTCTGCCATGTCTGACGACCAGATTGCCGAGGTATTAAATCAACCCGGCAATGAATTTGACCCCTCGTTCGCAGGTTTGTCCTGGGACGACATGAACAATTTCGACTGGTTGAGCTGGCCCAACCTAACGGAGTACGGTTTTTAAGTTACAATTACGTGACGTATAAATCACACCTTTATGGTCTCAACTGGAGCTGCAAACTGCCATTGCGTTAGTTTGCGCAGCTGCTCCATGAATACGAATGTCAACACGGTGTTTGGTCTGCAGAAAACGAATTAGCCAGCACCTCTAGAATCTCCTAACTCACTTTCGACTTACGTCAATCTCAACCACGCCGGGGTCCATCCCTTCATAAGGAACCTGGGACCCTCCTCTCGGAGACCAGTCTGAACAATATGGAGTAAGGACTTTGACGCTGTCAGCAAATATCCGAGCCAGCCTTCCTCGGGGTTACTCTTACACTTCCACCAGGTCCGCTCGCAGCGGCACTTTGGATTCTACTCTTCAGAACATCCGCGGGGGCGCAGATTGTGGTCGCCGCAGTTCCAGCGAAGAAAGATGCCACGGCGTGCGTTTTTATATCGTCCTTCATTTCAGTCTTCGAAAGAAGATATCGTTTTGCCGTCGAGTATCTGTGTTTTCTGTTTAGTCTTTTGTTGCCGTCATCCATAACTAGCGGCTATCCACTCATTTAGCACTTACGTAGCGATCTGTCCAACATCTGTTACAGATCGTCAGCTCAATTAACAAGCTTTTTTGGCTTACTCGCTTTTGACTTACTCATAAGAATGCTTCGCACAATGTTGGCTGAAATGCCTCTTCCAAAGGCGCCGATGCCCTCCTCTCTTCCAATCCTGTAAAGACCCTCAAGAGCATTGGAATAGGCGAATCTCTCGCCGACACTTTTTGCTCCATCGGCACACATTCGAACAAGGACGACCTGGACAGCTATTAGCATGAGGCATCAGGTTTAATGCCTGCGGTAGCGTACCTCAGCAGGATTGCCAACAAGCCCAGCCATTCCACCCGCCAGCCCCGCACATGTTATCGTCATAGCCGTTGATAGCTTCTCTTTGCCAGTCCATTGTTTTGCTTGTTGCGCGAAGTAATTATAGAGACCGAATCGAGCGGTCGAGTATGTAGTTTGTCGGAAGATGGATGCTGAAAGTCCAGACCATAGAGAGAAGATGCCTTTCATCAGTCAGTTCTCCGTGTTTTGACATAGCCCAATCACACCTACCATCGCGGGCTGCGAAGCGGTACATCGCTCGAAACATGGATTCTCTCGACTTCAAAACCTGCATGCGACTGGATTTGTTAGCGATTGCCTATACGTCGGTCTGTTCATCCTGTCTGTTTTACTCACTATTTCGTTTGGTCCAGGGGATGAGCTGCAATCACGCGATCAGTTAGAGAACGGATGAATAGCTTTGGACTTCGTCAACCAAACTTACTAAAGCAGACAGCCATTGAGGCCGCTGCACCTCTGCATTCATCTTGGTTAGATGTCTCCTTATTGTGAAGGTATTCTGAGGATTGTCCGACTCACCCAAGCCAAAAAGGCTCCTTTTGCTTGTTAGCAGCCATTGTGAGAATTTACAATAGAAGTCCAAGAAGGTTCTCCAACATCTACTTCCAGCGATTACGGTCCAGGAAGATGCTCTTTTGATAAAGGAGATCCCATGTACTTTTCCCTCATATCCAAGACCATCCAGTCTCATGGCATAGCCCACGGCCCCTCAATCTGCGCTCCAGCTCTAGTCGGAGTTCAAAAGTAGCCCCGTCGACTAGTCGGTACCTCGGCGCAATGATGGTGACATTGACCCCTGTCGACTTCGCTGACATCACATGGAACCCTGGATCGTCGGTACTTTTTCTTGAGTCCGAACCCCCGGCGCATCTTTTGCCTTCCGACCGCGGAACCTCTCCCCCCACCTATTCCGTCACTGAAATCAAACAAAACCACTCCACCACCCGCATCATAACCATCTTTTCCTGTTCCGATGGATGACGCGCCAGAAAGTGAATTGCAACAATCCGATAACCGTAAAGTAAAGGACAACATGTCGAAACTCTCTCCATCCCTCAAGGCTCTCATCAACGCGCCGTTTGCGCGTCCCGGCCAAACCGCCGCACCATCGCATATTCGTAGTGTCTACCAGACCATCGCTCGCGATGCTGCGCAGAAGAATCTCGGCGCAAAGCCCTGGATCGCTCTCTCCGTACGTCAATCCATGGTTGAATCAGCTGGAGTTGCCAATTGAGTGTAGACGATGGGCTGGAGTCCCCCCGACTGACTTTCTTCTGCAGGCCGCGGCCACGTTCACGATGAACTCACCTGATTCTCTTGAGTCTCTCTACAGCGTCGCCTCGGACGCCGGCCGTCCCGACAAGCGTGAGGCAGCCGAGATCATCCGCGAGATCGGCCTCAAGTGTATCAGCTTCAACGGCATCCCGCGCACCATCAACTGCCTCAACGCCTTCTACGCCGGCCTCCCGAAGGACGTAACCGCCCAGCTAGAGACGAAGCCCACTCGAACGCCCACCGCCGAGAACATTGGCGAGGTCACGGCCCGCGGCCAGGCGCTGTGGGACTCGGTGTATGCGCCGTTCGAGGTGAAGCTGTACGAGAAGCTCGCCCAGTCGCATCCCGACCTGCCGGTGCACATCCTCAACAGCCACTACGCCGGTTTGTTGTCGGACCCCAAGGAGCGCGGGGGCCTGGCGACTACCGGCCGAGTGTTGACCTCCGTGGTGGCGATTTCGTGTTTGCGGGCGCAGACCGGTGTCGGTCCGCAAGTCTTGTCGCATGTTTTCGGACTCAGGAAAGCGTTCGAGGACGGAACATTCAAGGCGGATAAGCAGGAGGACATTGAGGGCACACAATGGCTGGCTACTGATGAGGGTAGCGAGTGGATTTTGAAGTCGGTTGACAGCATCACGGAGGCTATTGGAGGCTCTTCCAGGGTAAATTTCGCCCCGGGACGGGAATCCAAGTTGTAGATAAAGAGGAGCTGTTGAGTTTATAAACTGTAGAATAATTAGCAGGGCCACAGACCTGAATGATCTGAATTATGTTAAGATGAACCATTTTTTACAGAGGTTGTTCAACCACTCAATGACCCCCGTCATGGAAATGATACCAGTCAAGCACCATTGCAATTATTCGCATTTTCGAAAGACAGGCGTCTCTCCGAGTCATTCAACCTGGGGGAGCCAACATCGGTTAGCGCGGCTGACGCCATCGCAATTCTTATCTTGCGACGTGGGGAAATAGCAGGGATCTCTGCCGCACTCCGACCTCCGAAACACACACTCGACGCTCAGCATAGAGTTGGCCTAGGCATGTTCTGTGATCATCGCTTACCTGATGGAGAATGCTCATTCAACTAGTCGCAAAAGAACCAGCGTGAGGCGTGCCAATGTAACGGCCTGTCAGCGATGTAAGTCGCGGAAGCAACGCTGTGATCAGAATATTCCCGCGTGTTCATCGTGTGCTCGCGCTGGTGTGGCTTGTGTAGGCGTGGATATAGACGGCCAATCAGCGCCTCGAAGGTAGTAAGGGCCTTCAATACTCATTCAAACAATTCACTAATCATGTTTGTTGCAGTTACATCAAAAGTCTTGAGGACCGAATTGCTGAGCTTGAGTTGGCTTTGCAGAGGCAAGGGACAGATACAGAACCTGCAACTGGAACTCATGTCTCTCGAGATGCTCAAAATGGGCGTGCTTCAACGCAGGAGTCGCATGATGAATCCAGTGACTTGACATTGTTAAGCCTCATCGTCCCCAAACCGGATGATTTGCAGGACAGAGGAAGCCCAGGCTATCAAGGTTTGCTGGACGACATTATTGTGCCAGAAACGATCAAGTTCCCCCCAAAGTCCACGGCGATCCAACTTGCTGGGACATACTTTGAACACTCCAACTTTTTCTCACCTGTTCTTCATGAAGAATTGTTTCAAAACACTATCAATGCCCTCTACCGAGACGAACAGTCTCCGCATGAAGGCACCCCAAGTCAGAAGTTCCAGCTTTGCATGGTATTGGCTATCGCTATAAGACTCCTCAACAGGACTGATCCGGCGGTTCCAACAACGGCATCCGACTCATTTTTTGCCTCGGCGATTGGGATCTTGACGGAACGTCCGCAGGCTACCTGGAAAGGAGATTTGGACCATCTTCAAAAGTTACTTCTTGTTGTACAATACACTATATTTGCATCTAACCTCTCTGCTGCCTGGCACTTCATAGGCTTAGCAACGCGGTTAGCTATTGACCTTGACCTTTTGAACGAGGCACGCCTGGGGTCGCGACGCGAACAGGGTCAAGGGCCGCATGCTGCGTCTCTTGCGGAAATCAACAAGCGACGACGTGTCTTCTGGTCTACTTACATCCTCGAAACAAATCTGTGCGTTATACTCAGTCGCCCAAGGTCAATACCCGACGAGGCCATTTTTACATCGCTTCCGTCAACGAGTGGGCAGGAATCATCCAGTCCATTGGCCAATCATTGTATTCTCTTTCGCCAACTGGAGTACGAGATTTTTCACACGTTGAATTACAAGCCTCCAGTCAATGGTGCTCTCTTTGACTATCAAGCATGGAAAGCAAGCATGAAGGACCGTCTTTTAGACTGGCACAACAGCGTGCCACCTGTTGATGCAACCTCCAAGTTAGCACCTCGAAACTTCTTCGACGGCGCCTTATACATGACACTTGTAACGCTCTTCTCTCCCTCGCGTCATTTCCCCAATCTGTCCGAAGCCGAGTTGAGAGACCTCGCGCAGTATGCTTCGAGAAGCGTAGAGCTGTACAGGGAGGGGTTCAAGGAAGGAAAACTGCGTTTCTACTGGCGGACGACGCCAAACCTCTTTCAATCCGGCGCGGCGCTGGTATACTGTATAAAGAACCTCACGTTGCGAGGCGCAGTCTTCGACGCAAGTGGTCTGAAAAGTCGAGTCGCCGTGTGCTCGACGGTTCTTTGGGGAATGGCTGAGCGATACCCCCCTGGAGCTTCTTATCGCGACCGGTTTGACGAGTTGTCTGCATCATTATCGGACGTCGATGTTCTTACTAACGAGCTGTCATCGGAAATTTCCGTTGAATTTCTTCTGGGGCAGAATGTCCTCCCATCCATGGATTTGGATAATTCGGCAACGTTGTGGGCTACAACACCTCCGACTCTTGATCCGTGGATATTTGACCAAACCTAATTCAGATGCAGGCAAAATGGGCTCTATTGGAATAGTGTGTGTGAAAAAAGTAGATTAGATAAGACAGAAGAGTTGGATGTGCTTTGACATCAAATTTGTTTGCATCATTCTTTGACGTTCAAGTATTCTTTCATTGTGGAGAAGTTGCTACCTAAAGACTTTTGAGAGGGTCTGGTGGTGCCGGATCACCTCTTAAACTCTTGTCAAATTCTGCCCTCATCTTCATGACTGGCTGCATAACCCAAGTATTGTAAGCTAGGATATCCGTCTCTTCTTTGGGATCGCGTATAACGTTAAACAAATACGGCGACTCGAGCTTTCCAGATGACTGATTCACCTTGGGCTCCCAGACCAGATGAAGCTTCCAATCCTTCCACTTGACGGCGCGCAGCTCGTCTTTGATATAAAAGAGGAATCCATCACGCTTCGATTTGGTCGATGCCGGGTCTTTGAAGAAGGCAACTTGACTGATGCCGTCAATTGGGCGATCTGACGGGGCGTTGGCGCCAGCTATTTCCAAGATGGTGGTAAAAACATCAGTGACATGCACTATCTCATTCGAGGTGACACCGACAGGGACATTTCCCGGCCAGCGAATGATGAAGGGCACTCTCAGACTGCCTTCCATCGCTGTGTGATATGTCCCCGACCATGGCCCAGCGGTGCCCTTGTATGGTGGTCTGAACTCAGGCCCATTATCTGAGGCAAAGATGAGTACAGTATTTTCACGTACTCCAAGCGCATCGAGATGATCAATGATCTGGCCCACCCGGTGATCCATCTCAGCCATCGAGTCGGCAAACTCTCCTTGTCCGGTCTTACCCTCGAAATCGCGATGTGGTAGTGTCGGGAAATGCAGATGGACGAGTGGGTGGTATAAGAAGAAGGGTTTCTCGGCTTCGACTTGACGCGACAACCAATCTTTTGACTGGTCCACTAGCATCTCATCGATCAATCGTCGCTTTTCTAGGTCATAAACACAGATGTTCTCGGAGTCTTGTCCTGCAATGCCCTTCATTATGTATGGCAGCTCAGCAACTTCGGGCGTGTATCCCAGTACTGAAGTAAACTGGCTTTCGTCGGTCGTTCGAGGAATTCCGAGCCACTCGTCGAAGCCCCGGTCAGACGGATACCGACCAGGAATGTCGCCGAGATGCCATTTCCCATGATGGGCTGTCGCATAGCCTTGCGGCTTGAGACACTCTGGAAGCGTCTGCTCCCACCGTGTGAGGCCTTGAGGGAAGCCCGCAGGAACAGATTGACGACATCCGGTTCTTATCGGATGTCGACCAGTCATCAATGCCGAGCGCGTTGGTACACAGTCGCTCTCGACGTTGAAGTTGTGCAGGAGGAGGCCCTCGGTGGCAAGTTTGTCGATACGAGGAGTTGCAGCTCCGCGGAGGATGCCACCGCCATAGCAGCCTAGCTCACCCCAGCCAAGATTGTCGGCCAGGATGAGCACGATGTTGGGTTTTGATGGATCTTTCGACATTGTTTAGAGATAGAGGATTTGCGGCGGGATACAAAGGAGTTGAGGATGGAGTATTCGCATTGGGGGATGTGTCCTTCAGAGAGGCGCCGCGCCGGTTAAAACTGCGTGCTCAATGAGGGAAATGCGACTACGACTCCCATCGCGAGGAATCGGGTTGACTTTCTTGAGTCCATCCCCACGCTTGCGCTGTGAAGCCATCGGCAATCCCTCCGAAGCTCCACCTTTCGCTCATCGCCGACGCTCACCTCCGAAGGCTAAACCATCCCTCCCAGCATTTAATCACTATCACCTTGCAACGCCGCGCTGCTGCTAATGATACGCGATTCAAGGATTGGATGGCGTCAATGAGCACTTATTATATCTAATCGAGTTTAAGGATCTTTTATAGAGGTGATGGAAGACTATAATTGCTACAACAAGTCTTTAACTGGCAAGAGCAGTTAGATTAACTGGTGCATCCAGTGCACGGAAATTGACCGCAATATTCTCACTAGATTAACACTAAAAAATGCATATCGATAACGATGTCAAGAGAAATCACGATGATGCTGAGGAAAGTCAACCATCCGTCGCATCCCAACAAACTTGGACAGAAGCGGAAGAGAAGTCTGTCGTGCGGAAGTAAGTCACACGCAGCAACCGGGACGTATTGTAGTTGAGACTAACAAACCAAGGCTTGATATGACCCTTATGCCACTTCTGGTGCTCGGCTTTTTCGCGCTCCAGCTCGACCGCAGCAACATTAGCAACGCCTTGACAGATACGCTCACAACCGACCTCAAAATCTCCAAGGACGATGTCAACCTCGGAGACCAACTAATGATGGCGGGCATCATCATTGCCGAAATCCCATCCAACCTCTTGCTTCAGAAACTTGGCGCTCCAATCTGGCTGACCGGCCAGGTTCTTATTTGGGGCACTGTGGCCTTGACGCAAGCTTGGATCACAAACGTGCATTCGTTCTTTGCCACTCGGTTTCTTTTGGGATTCTTCGAAGCTGGGTTCATACCAGGCGGGCAGTACATGTTGGCATTGTTTTACCGGGAGAAGGAATTGGCGTTACGGACGTCCATATTCTACTTTGGCAACTATTTTGCGACTGCTACTGGCTCGTTGATTGCGGCCGGTGTTCTCCAGATGGGCGGGATCGCGGGCTTATCTGGCTGGCAATGGCTCTTTATCAGTATGTAACCCTTCTCTTATGGAAATCGAAAAGCTAACAATATGAAAGTCGAGGGTATCTTTACGCTTTTAGTCTTCATCATCTTTGTCTTATTCCTCCCTCGATCACCCATACACACCAAGCCGATCCACGGCCGATTCGATCTCTTTACCCCGCGACAACGCGAGGTTATGCACGCACGCATCCTCCAAGAAGACATCTCAAAGACTGAGGCGCATGCACAAGTCACAGCTCGAGGGGTTCTTGCCGCCCTCACCGACTACCGCTTATGGCTTCATCTGATTCTCAACATGGTGTCTCTTGCTCCCAAGGGCGGCCTTCAACTCTATGGCCCCACCATCATTCGGAGTCTGGGTTTCAGCAAGATTCGCGCCAATCTCCTCAACTCCGTTAGCAGCTTCTTGGTCGTTGTACTCAGTTTTGTCATCGCTTGGGCTTCGGACAGAACCAAGTTGCGTGGCCCATGGTGCATGGTCGCTTTTCTGTGGAGCATTACCTTTGGCGGCGCACTATTCGGATCAGTAGACAAGGGCAAGTGGACGAAGTATGCTCTGTTTACTCTGTTAAGCAGCGGGAATGCGTTGTCGCAAGGCCTCAACGATGCTTGGCTGAGTATCAATATTCGGTCCGCTGAGAAGCGTAGCATCGGCCTGGCATTAGTGGTCATCGGCAGTAATGCTGGTGGATTAGCAGGGAAGCAACTCTTCCGCGAGAGCGATGCGCCCAAGTATACACGTGGATTTCTTGCTATCGTCCTTCTGTATATAGTGTCTCTGCCGGTTACTGGTATTATAATGTGGGTGTACTGGCGGCAGAATAAGAAGATTGATAGGGCAGCTGAAGATGGACCAAGCATAGATGACGAAGGCACAAGACAGCGTTTTCAATTGTAGGTTAAGCCTCTACAGTCACTAGGAGTTTATATAAGTATCCATATCTATCCTCGGTCTACCTGCGTAGGATAGAAACACTGAGGCGTTAGACCGGTATTGTCAGCGGTTGTTACAGTTTTCGCCTGATAATTCGATTCAAAGAAACAACAAGAGAATATTCCTCTATCTATGTAAAGAAAAAAACCCCAAACACTTTAATCCAATGCTGAGTTGTTAGAAACTCTTCATAAAGAGAAAAGGAATCCCAGATTTATCCAATGAAATTTTGAACCGTCGTGGTATCATGATCCTTCTCTCACCGAAACCGTGTATTGCTTTACGTTTACCAAACCGTTCCATGCTTGCATCGAAATCAAAAGCATTACAGCACCATCTTGAACTCAGGCTCTCTGTCATCGCCAGTACCTCTGTACTCGTCGTACTTGCCCGCAGCCTTGTCGCGGTTGATCTTGGCGCACCACAAGACGTTCAAGAGAGTGCTATTGAGAGTTGTCAGTCTATGGCTCAACAACTGCCAAAGGAATGGACTTACGCAACCCAGGCATAGCAAAGCAGGCCCAAGATGATGGTATGCCCCTTATGATAGAAGGGGCCCTCATAGTTGGGATAGACGAATGCTATCACAAGAGTCAGCAACAATGCGTCGATTCAAGACCAAGTAACTCACTTGCTACGAATCCTCCGCAGTTTGCAATTGCCAGTTGAACAGCCGATGTGGTTGCTCGCTTGTAGTGGCCTGCAGAGTTGTTGGAGTTCCAGCTGAGGACGCACGGGACTGCGCTGTACATGCCGATGGCCATCAGACAGGTCATTGCAAACCGTGTTTGAGGCGCAGTCACGTTCGCAATGGTGGCGTAGCCAACAATCGAAATGGGCAGAACAGCGAGCATAAGAGGACCGCGAACCCTAAGACGGTCTGACAAGAAGGCTACAAGAACTGAAAGTTGATGCCACATTAGTATCGTGGGCCAATTCGTTGACGTGCTGGGCTTACCGGTAACGGGAGTGGCAACTGCGTAGGGAATGACGGACCACAGCTGGGCCTGGTTAGGGTCGGGCGCAATGTGCAGATCGTTGATGATGGTAGGCAGCTGTGTTGTATTTGTCAATGCATTGAACGATTTGTGATTGTTCAGGTACAGATCACTTACGAATAGACCAAATGAGTACAAGCCGGAAAGAATGGCAAAGTACGCCGTGGAACTGAGCCAAACTTGAACGTTGAGAACACCGCGACCAACTTCAGACCAGCGAAACTTTTCCTCGCGTTCGCTAGCAAGACTAGCTACTGTTAGCATATAATCAAGCAAGTTTGACTATTGTTTCCGTACTTGAACCTATCCCCAGCATGGCCCTGGAGTCTCTGAATGGCCCATTCTCTCTCTTCTTCGGTCAAAATCTTGGCTGTCGCCAAGCTATTCGGGAGACCGATAGCAGCAATGACTCCACATACAACAGTCTTTTGAATGTTAGCGGCGTCATAAACCGAAAGAATGTTCAACTCACAATGAGACCCTCGATGATAAAAATCCATCTCCAACCCTCGAGATTCCCCTTGGGACCAATGGCAGACAAACCCCTCGCAAGAAGCCCGCCAAAGGCACCAGACAACGAAGCAGCCGTGTAAAAAATGCCAATCCTCAACGCCAGCTCGCCTCTAGTATACAAACCCGACAGGTAAAGCACCATACCCGGCAGAAGCCCACCTTCGGTCATACCAAGGATCGCACGGACGGCGACGAAGCTGCCGTAATTACGCACAAAGCCGAGGCACATGGTTACGATACCCCATGCAATGGTAAGGAACGGGAGCCAGATCCTCGGCGAGACCTTTTTCAGGACAAGATTGCTTGGCAGTTCACTGGGGCATGCATTAGCCGTTGGAGCGTGGGGGCGGGACATTCTTTTTTTTGTTTGCAGAAATTTGGAGTCATTGCGCTAATCAATAAACCACTTACCTAGCAATGTACGTGGCGTAGAAGACGGCCAAGCCTTGATTGTATTGGTTATTGTTGATGCCAAGATCCTCCTCCATGCCAATGATTTTCGCGTTACCGACGTTGGTTCGATCGAGAAAGGAGCATAAAAAGAGCAGGGCTAGTAGCGGTAGGACCCTGTTCATCTCGCATCAATGTTAGTGTTTGTTGTTCATCTCATCTACATGGCTTGTTGGTCTGATTCTGCTTGCCTCGTGTCGACCTTGAAAAGCAAGGACCTCGTCAAACGGGCCCGACGCTCAGCGTCAGCGGCCAACTGGCTCTCCGCGTGCTCGGCCTTGGGGTCCATGTCGTAGTCCTTTGAAGTACGGGGCATCTTGAAGCCTGTTTCTGTGTTACGAAAGGGAGGTTGTCAAATTGTAAGGGAAAGAGTATGGCAAACTATCAAAGCCGCAAACAAAAACCACACAAGGTGACTAGCAAGAAATAACAAGCCTCGTGACAAGAAAGTGCCAAGCGTAGAAAAGTCTTGGGAGGTTCCCTCGGCCGTTTTTGAAGTCCATCTTCCCCAGGTTTCTCAACCTGCGGGGATAACCAAAACCCCCCCGCGAACGCGAACTATGCTTACAATTCCCCCAGATCATCCATCAAGGGGAGACACTTGCCGTCATCCATCTCAACCAATCAGAGCATCTTGATTGACTCGCAGTCTCGGAGTCTACTTGTAGCCGCCGAGAATTGCCCAAGGATGCTGGGAATGCCCCGCTCCAACGACGTCAGATACGACCCCTGGACGCCCCTCCATCCGTGCCGAAGCCCCGGTTGACGCCAAGTTGGAGTCACCATAGTGTCGGCGTGCAAAACAATGGCCGACCGGCCCCGCCAGGAGCTCATCAAAAAGATGAAGGTCGCACCCACCTAACCCGAACCCAGAACTGTCACCGACTATCGGACTTTGTTTCTTTTTCTTTTCCCTTCTTCTTAACCTTCATCGCCTTGTTGCAGAAGCGTTTGGAAGGTCAGGTTTGCTATTTTGTGAGACAGAAAGTCCATCATGTCGTCAATTACTCGTCAATTGCGCCCGAGGGTGCTCGTCCGCGCCACCTTCAAGGCCGTACCGTCCATCTGCGCGCAACCGCAACGGTTCCCTCGCGCAGCGGCAGTGGCAAGCTATCGCAGCATTACTACTTCGCAAATTCTCAGATCTCAAAAGGCACCCGTTGTCAAGAGAGGCGGCTCGAAGCTGTACAAGACTGCGGATGAGGCTGTCGCGGATGTGAAGAGCGGATCGACGATCCTGAGTTCAGGATTCGGTCTCTGCGGTGTTGCAGGTGAGTAAAGAGCGTTTTGCTACCATTGAGACAAGAAATTCGCTGACTCGGCTTGAAATAGATACCCTTATTGGTGCTCTTGAGCGTAGAGGACCCGAGAGCCTTCACTCGCTCACAGCGGTGTCGAACAATGCCGGCATTGAAGGAAAGGGTGGCCTGGCGATTCTCACCAAGTCAGGCCAGGTTAACAACCTCATTCTTTCGTATCTCGGAGCGAACAAGGCTCTCGAGAAGAAGTACCTGACGGGAGAGATTGGCATTGAGCTGTGCCCTCAAGGCACGCTGGCGGAGAGAATCCGCGCTGGTGGCGCTGGTATCCCCGCGTTCTTCACACCCACCGGAGCTCGTAAGTACTTTCTTGAGATGGGCTTTGGATCTTACTAACATCACAGACTCATTGGTTCAAACCGGTGATATCCCCGTCCGGCTCGATGCGTCGGGTGCGGTCAAGGAGCGCGGCCGCACGAGGGAGACGAGAGAGTTCAATGGCAAGACCTTCCTCATGGAGACGGCTCTCACTGGAGATGTCGCGATTCTGAGGGCGTGGAAGGTTGACACTGCCGGAAACTGTGTCTTCAGGTGCGTACTTTATATACACATAAGATTGGTGTTGCTCAAGCTAAGCCGGACAACCGCAGATACACTACCAAGGCATTCGGCCCCATTATGGCCAAGGCGGCGACGCTCACCATCGTCGAGGCCGAGAACATTGTCGAGGCCGGCGAAATCGACCCCAACGACGTCGATCTCCCCGGCATCTTTGTCGACCGAATCGTCCCCGCGACCGCCGAGAAGAACATTGAGATACTCAAGACGAGGTCGGAGGAGGCTGACGGCGAGGACTTGTCCAAGCCCAAGAACGCGGCGCAGGAGCGACGCAACCGCATCGCCAGACGCGCGGCCAAGGAGTTGCACGAGGGCTTTTACGTCAACCTCGGTGTCGGTAAGTTGATGTCACGCCTTTGTTTGTTTGAACACCACTAACGGACCAAGGCATCCCGACTCTTGCTCCCTCTTTCCTGCCCGCGGACCGCAAGGTCTGGATTCAGTCTGAGAACGGTATCCTGGGAATGGGTCCTTACCCGACCAAGGACGAAGTCGATGCGTAAGTTGTCATCTTCCCTTGATGGAGCAAGCCGGAGCTAATGTGTCCCTCAGCGACATCGTCAACGCCGGCAAGGAGACCGTTACCCTCGTGCCCGGTGCCTCGACCTTCGACAGCGCCGAGTCTTTCGGCATGATTCGCGGCGGCCACGTCGACGTCTCGATCCTTGGTGCCCTGCAGGTCAGCGCCACCGGCGACCTGGCCAACTACATGATTCCCGGCAAGGTCTTCAAGGGAATGGGTGGCGCCATGGACCTCGTCTCCAACCCCGACAACACCAAGATCGTCGTCGCGACGGAGCACGTCGCAAAGGACGGCTCGTCAAAGGTTGTGCAAGATTGCAGTCTGCCTTTGACCGGTGCGCGCGTAGTCAGCACCATCATCACAGACCTGGTAAGTCGCATTTCCGCGTGTGATGTATCCTCACCCTTATTAACTCTATGCAGTGCGTTTTCGAAGTCGACCGCAAGAACGGTGGTCTGACCCTGACTGAGGTCGCGCCGGGCGTTGACGTCGAGGAGGTAAAGGCCAAGACGGACGCGACTTTCAAGGTCGCCGAAGATCTGAAGACGATGGAGTAAATTTTTGTAAATTGTATAGAAACGTGTTTGAGATACCAAATAGAGTGACGCGACATGGGAAATTCATAATTTCATTTCAAAACTTTAGCCTCGTGTTGTTTAAAAAATAGTAGTAAAATTCAAGTCTATGTGCATATGCTTGATCCAAACAGTCATCAATAAGTCATTCTCTCAGTGCGATTGACGCTTTGAATCGGGGGTATCATCCAAATCGGGGGGCACCAAGAGGAGTTTTCGCGGGTCGCATCCGCATGCGCCGGGAAAATCATCATCACAAAGTAGCAGATTAGGAAATTCGTAGCGTAGGAGCTTTAGTCGCTGTCGGAGCTGGAGCTGCTGCCGCCGCGCTTACGATCCTTGTTCCACTTCTTCTCCTTCTTCTTGTCCTTCTTGTCCTTCTTGTCTTTCTTGTGCTTGCTGCATTGTTGGTTAGCGACCCCGGGAGCTGAACATCCATCATGGTGGTATTGGTTTAGCTGGACTTACCCCTCAAACTTGTTCTCCAAAAGGTTTGCACCAATAGCGCCGGCGACCGCACCACCCAGTGTGCCGAGGAGACCACCTCCGGCCTTGTGTGCGGCCCATCCGGCAGCTCCGCCGCCTACGAGGGTGGCGCCAAGGCCACGCTCACCATCGGGTCCAACCGGGCCACCCTGGCCTCCGGGGGGGTAGGCCTGCTGACCATATTGCTGTTGAGGAGGAGGGTAAGGAGAGGTGCTGCGGTTGTCGTGGCCGTAGGTGGGCTGTTGAGGTCCTCCGTATCCGTGCTGCTGGTGCTGCTGGGGAGGGGCATTGTAGCCGCCGCCCTGCTGGTACGGGGAGTGTGACTGGGGGGGATAGTTGCCATGCTGTTGCTGATGAGGCTGAGAAGTAAGCTTTCAATTCGGCTGTCTAGAGTATTTTGGGGTTTTGGTTCCTACCTGGGAAGCGTAGCTTGGCTGCTGAGGGTATCCGCCCTGTCCGTAGTTCTGCTGCTGGCCGTAACCCTGCTGTTGGCCGTAGCCCTGCTGCTGCTGGCCGTAGTAGTCGTTGGCAGACATGGTGATTTTGATGTAAGATGGTTGAATTAGATGTAAAGGTTGTAAAGTGTTGGTTTACTGGAGAGTGAGTTGATTGATTGATTGCTTGATGATGAACATGAACCCAAGGAAGGGGGAGAAGCAGAGGTTATAAAGACATTGGACAAATGACGAGATGCCAGGATTCCCGTAGCTTTAGCTCCCAAAATCCCAATGGAGGTCTCGGAAATTGCCAAGGATTGACATGATTGTTTGCAGAATGGGGAAAACCACATCTTACTTTTTCCCCACATGGGCGGCAGCGTTTCGATTCCGCCTCTTCATCCACTCACATACTTTCGTCACTTGAGCGGCGCAGTCACTGCGCAGGGTGCCTTGTCAGCCCTGCTTAGCGCAGCCAGCCACAGCCAGTTAGCTGATTTGACAGGCATGTAGGGAGTACGAGAGTAGAGCGCTAGAAGGTTGGGCCATCTTAGCCATCTTAGCCACCTCAGAATGACGCGACCTCGCGAAGCCACTCGCACTCGGTTTGTCGGGTCCGAGGCGGCGAATATGCATTGTTCTTTTCATCATTCGTCGGGAGAATCGCAGCTGTCGCCTTTCCTCGGAGAGATTCTGCTTGGCTTACATTATCTACCTTGAGTGCCTAGGTACTATTGTAAGGCCACAAGCCACCAGCAATTGAGGGAAATACATCCGTATGAGCTTCAACAACTGATTGTTTTGTTTCATCGCTCAACTGGCTGGGCGTGACCCTGGATCTTCAGATGAACTGCAATCCACTTACTACCACACATTATCGCGTCAGCAGGTCCCTATCTGGTCCCCTGGATCCCAGATCGTCAAGCATTTGGTACGCGGAGCAACCCTGGACGACGGGGAATCATTGCCCAAAGCTGTGGGGCTTGTGCCACTAACATACGGCATCTCCGACTAAGCCGGCGTGTGGGGGGAGAATGGGCGCATTACCTCCGGTTCGCTCACGTACCTGGATAGCGGACGCGGGGATTTCGGCAGGACTGGTGGTGATTGGTGTTGGTGTTGCTTATTGTCGGATTATGCCTGGCAGGATCAAGCAATAAGCAGGTAAGCTTCACGGCTTCGGAAGCTAGAACAAATCTAGAAAATGCGGATTGTCGCACCAAATCAGCCGACAATGGTCGGGGATTGTGAGTTGGGGAATTCGTAATTCAGCCAGTCTATTATGCATTTGAAGAATTTCAACTGCGAGCAATGCACACAAGTTAGAATATGAATGGTCTTCGCTGAAAAACGCTGCACAGTTAAACACAGAAATAACTCAATTAAATGACCTTGGTAACTTCCTGTTTATGAACCATACGCTTTTTTAGTTGCTGAATTCGACACTTGCCGTCGTACGAGGCCGTAAATCTGGAAGCAATGACTAGCTTAGCCGATATGCAACGGCAAAACATATTAAAATTCCCTGGATAACCAAACGAAGCCATCTAAGGCAGGAGTAATAGCATCTGAAGAAAGTATTCGCTTAGGGTGCCTGAGCAATGCCCTCAATAGAAAGAAACAATTTTGTAGTATGCCTCTCAGCTCCAAAATAATCAACGCCATAAATCTTGTATCACGCGATGCAGCTAGTCGCAATCAACGTTACCCTGGCAGTTCATGGCAAGCAAATGCTGGCACCCCGAAGTTTGAAACCAGCCATTCTAGTTCGCTATAGAACAAGACAAGATTCCTCAGCCTCAATTGTCGAAACCTAACGGCGAAACAAGCAGCTCATTGGCCAGACCAACAAGCAAGGTGCCTATTAGACAGCTCGAAAAGACTCATCATGCTGCTAGGCTGCTTTTTTCAGCTTGACATTGTGGAAGAAGGTTAGAGCATTGACAGTTGCTGTAGATGCTCTCAGTAGTAACTTGCGCCTCAAGATTAATGGAGTGCAGCGTCCGTGTTGCAAGTATTGATGGAAATTCCCAGCTGATTCACAGTACTGGGAGACAAGACAAGTCACTGCCAATCGCAACACAGTGGAGATGACCCCAGATTTGACCCAGCCAAATGGGCGAAAACAGTCTTCATTTGAACTGACATACTGATCGTTGCTGTCGCAGAATAGCGTTCTAATTATGGCTGAGACAGCAGCAGAAAAAGAGGCTCAGATGCCTGAGCCCTTTCTGCCAAGAGTCAACGTTTGGGTCTGCAGTGCTTGCATACTGTGCGTAACACACTTTTTCCGGTTAATGTATTGCTGTCCTTGCAAATTCAAATCCAATCACTCGCTATCTTGAATGATAAAAATCTTAACACCTGCCGGGGCTTGTTCATTAAGTAACTTTGGAGCGTCTGCGTGTAGAGACCTTAAAAGGCGGTACTGATGCCACGATGAGTGCGCAAAATGCGGCGGTCTACTCAATGTTGATTGGTTTCAAGCGACACTTCAAACTCATAGTTCAGCTCAAAATGTCTGGGACGTCAAGTCATGCCGAGCACATGATCTGAGCGCTGCAGCGAGACCAATGAAGATGGCATGGAGCTTGGTTCACTTGGCAGTGTTTCCGCATGACCCCGTCCTAGCGGATCATGTAGGACGAACCGTGACAGCAGCTGAAGCTATCACACCAAGAAATTCGGTCTTGGCTATAATGTGTGCTTTCTCTTGTCGTCGTGTTATAAATAGTAGTTTCCCCGTTGCCTAGAAACCTTAAGCCCGTTCAAAACTAGTCATTTCTTGGGTTTTTGGCGATCATTCTTTTTCCAGGCTAGCAGCAACTTCAACCCCTTGGCGATTAATCGCATCACACTCACAAAGTAACGATCACGATGGCCACCACGACCGTTACCACCAAGGAAACCCATAATGAGGTACTAGAGAGCCAGTACACTATCGTCCGCGAAACCAGTAAGTCCAAGGAACGGAAACGTATCTAGGAAAGCAACTAAGTAGTTTGTAGCTCAGGTTGATCGCATGTTCTACATTTATCACCGCCTCGGAATACAAGCAAATGTCTTGGTCGCAGCTCGTTATGCCTCGGCGCAGACCGGTGCGCAGCGTACGGACTTGTCCGACGAAGCAGTCTTTGCAGCCCTGCATACCGTCATCACGAAGCATCCTGAATTAGGCTTAGTAGGAGTTGTGGAACCAGGAGACGAGGACAAGCACCTACTATCCATTGCATCACTCCACACAATTGACCTGGAGTCCTGCGTCGAGTTTATCGACACCGACGTGCCGGAGTTGGGCTCAGAACTGTTCGAGAAGCTCCACGGCCAATGGCTCTGGGCAGATGGAGAGGTGAAGCCAGGTCAACCGTGGTGGAAAGTCATTGTTCTTGGTCGCCGAGACATCGTCTTCCTATTTCATCACCTCGTCTGCGATGGCTCCTTCGGAATGACCTTCCATCGCGAGCTACTTGCAGCATTGAACGACGTACCCTCTTCGGGGTTGAGACAACAAGCTCCCCGGCAAGTCCACCTCGAACCCGCGAAAGTGAGACTAAATGAGAATCTTAAAGCCGCGGTGCACAAAAAGCCGCCATTCATGGGTGTCCTGTATAATCTGTTCATGTTTCTCTTCTTTCGCTTCTTCTACTCCAAGCTACTTTTCTTCGTCGACTATGAGAAACCCAGGGCGTTTCTCAAAGATCCCTTGGACATTGCGCTGCCCCATGAACGAACCGTCACCAAAGTGGCCAATTATCGCATTCCGGCCAAGAAGATGGACGCCATTCTTGCTGCTTGCCGAGAACACGGCACGACTTTTACTCCATTGCTGATGGTCATGATCACCGGTACACTGGCGGCAGACTTCTACCCGAAAGCGAAGGTCGGATTTACTCGGTATGCGGTCGACATGAGACCTGTCGGACAATTCGAAGACTTGGCTTCGGACCAAGGTAAAATGCTCAATCTAGCTACAAGTGTTCCGGAACCCGAGTGGTTGAAGAAATACCGTCGCGCCTTTACCACTTCGTCTTCCCCTAGCGAAAAGGGGGAAAAGACTAAGAATGCCAATTCCAAGGCCATCTGGAAGTTAGTCCAGCGCTATGGAAACCGGATGAAGCAGTTGCGCAAGGGCGGCGAGAATTCTCCCTTGTACAAGTCATGGCTCAGCGGGAACACAATGGGCCCAACACTCGAGGAGTTCGTGGACAAGTCCCTTCCCTCCCTTGGCATAATCATGCAGAATTCCTATTCCGTCTCGAACCTTGGAGCCTTAAAGCCGGATTCTGCGTCCCTGACTGGTCGGAAGCCAGCTTTGAGCATTGAGGAAGTGCAGTTCTCGACTGCCTCGCCCCATGGCGGTGTTGGATATCATGGCATCGTGTTTAATACGGCTGGTGTGGCTGGTGGGGACGTTGTGATCAACGCTTGTACTGAAGAGGGGATGGCTCCTGACGGGTTGGCTCGCGCGGTATTGGACGGTGTCATGGCTAGAATTGATGCGCTGATCTGAGGATGAGGCATCTCGGATGAATGAATGTATGATTTTCCAGTTTCACAGAACCAACCCTCTTCAGGTTAAAGGTACACTATAATTTAATGGTATGTGAGATGAAAAATTCAAGATCTCGACAACGATTGTACTCTAACAAGCGATACTGCGTGTGTAGGTTTTCTCAAGGAAGTTGAGCAAGTATCTACCTATTTGTACAAAGTGATAATGATAAAAGGTAGGAAGCATAATTGATTACGGGAAAGGGGGGGAGGTGACATGAATTCTATTTTCTGAAAGCTTTCACTTAGCCAATTCTCACATTCCTACTTTGATGTTATTTGTATGTTATTTGGGAGAAGCTCAGAAGACTTCAATTTAGGTGTATCTAATAATGCCGCCGACACCATGTATTTTGTTCCTCATTCGTGGTCTCGCACCTCGCTATCTTCATCCTCCTCGCAGTCTTGGTATTCACTCTCATCGCTTCCCAAGCTGCTCACCTCATCCTCAGAATCCTCCGAGCCTGAGTTTTTCAAGTAGTCCCAATATGACTCCTGATCCCACGGGTCCTGGGCAATTCTTTCCTGCAAAACTTCAATGTTCTCGTCCACGGATTCAATGGCTGCCTCCCACATCTCCTGCTTAACTTGCAATAATATCGCCTTATAAGTTGACAGAGATTCCCATTGTTCCCACTCTTTCTTCTCCTTGATCAGCGGCTCCAAGGCAGCGCTAGCTCCACGCTGGTTCGCGTCCGCAAGGTATTGACGTGTCCTCTGTAGTCTTCCAATGTCGAGTTGCAGGTTTTGCTCTCTCATGTTCTTGTACAATGAGACAAAACATTCGATCTCTTGAGGGTTAGGGCTTCGAAAATCTCCAAGTCTCCAATCTGGCGAATGTACGGTGTAGATAAAACAGTCCCATGGAGTATCGCCATCTTCATCCAACATATCCGTATTCAAACGCGGCAGTTGCATTCTTGCCAATTCTTGCAAAGCTTCTAAACCAGAATGTAATGCTACATAATGTAGCAGATTAACGCGATATTGCCGAAACCACTGCACTTCGGCACCTGCCTCTATGAGATACCTCATGACGTATTTTGTGTTCCGGGCTATCGCTTGTTGCAGCGGTGATTCACCAGTAGCATCACACGAATTAATGTCGGCGCCGGCTGCCAGGAGCAGGTGAAACTTGGCCTCAGTGGCAGCTGCGGTGGTTTCGCGCTTTCCCAAGTAAGCTAAAACTGTATCGCCCCACAAATCTTGTAATTTTGTCGAAGCGCCAGCGGAAAGTAGGATTCGAATGATTTCTGTGGGGTCTCCATCAGGTTCTCTCGTCGGGCGCGCGGCGTCCATCAATGCTGTGCGGCCCGTTGATGATGTAGCGTCAACTGGGCAACCGGCATCTAGTAAACACTCTACTATACAAGAATGGCCGTTGTCTGCCGCTCGCATCAGTGCCGTTTGGCCAGCGTAATCTGAACAGTTGATATCGCAACCGACACTGATGAGCTCGCGCACAGCTTCAAGGTTGCCACATTCGGAAGCTAGAGTTAGTGGAGTAGATCCTTCGTAATTCCACAGGTTGATAGCCCATGGGTATTTTGAGAAGGCGTCGCGGATTTCTTGTTTAGCCCTAGGATCGTCGTCCACAATACAAGCAGCATCGTGAAGTGGCGTCTGCACAGCGTCGACAATGTCCTCTCCGAATGACGTTATCACACGGAGGGCTCTCTCCTCCTGCTCTGGCATAAACGGTCTCCATCTGAGTTCATGCTTCGCTGCAAAGTACCAATCCCTGCGCATTAAACGGTGTGTAAGTAACCATCCTCTTTGAAAGCCGCCACTACAAGGGCCACACTCACGGATTGTAGCTGTCCTTGCGGAGCTGCTCAACCCAAAACTCAATCAAAAACTCCAAGGCATCGGCCGTGCCACCACGTATTGCCCACTATTGAGAAATGTCTGTCAAATTGTCGTTCAGTTACCCATTATGCGAAAACATACCTCTAAAGCGGTCTTTCCATCACACTGTCTATCATCAGGAAAAATCAGATTTCCATTCTGCATGCGCCACTGCACTGCTTCCCTTCCCCTATAATGTATGCTGGCTATTACACCGTCGTTCATCGGTAACACTCTAACAGGCCTCAATGACGCGCTTAATCCGGTAAGGATGTCCATAGATGCCTGTGCTGACAGATATCGCGAGCAGAGCCATGCCGGAAACTGGTATTTGAAGGTCACCACCGACCGTTTATTACCCTTGCACAGTGGTTCACTGCATTCGACATTGTTCCCGAATGTTAACTTGCGGTCATATGCCACGAAGAGATGGCCCACTAGATTTCGCGCCCAGCCCACAGAGCTGAAAGTCGACGGCCGAGACGAGTGGCAGCGACACCGACAAGGTTGCGGACACCTGCCTGGTGCCGAGAGCTTTGCTTTGAAAACGACCATGTCTGTATCACGGGAGTAAGGGGAAGTATTAGAATCTGGAATCGCCAGTCGTGTCATATTCTGTTGCAAGTCCTGAATTGGGCTTGTAATGCTTTGCTGTTCATATGCTTCCACCACACCCGACAGTGACGAATCGGCCTGAGTGATCCTCTTAGATGTTGATGTTGTTTCTTGCGACTCAATGCTTTGATAAGTCGACTTGATGGTGAAACTCTCGATGCGAAGGGTCGACTGAACTAGTTTACTACGTTGACTAGCCGTTAGTCGCTGACAGGTGTTGTTACTGCTGTTGGTTGAGAGGCAATACCCACTTCGTACACCTGAGGTTCAAAGTCAACAACGCGAGCTGGAGGCTTTCCCTGGCAACGCGAGCCTTATCGCGGCATTCGCGTAGTTCGTTTTGCAGAAGGAGCCATTTGACTTTCTTGGGCTTGGCTTTGCCATCTTTATCGGTCGCGCGCGTGCAACGTTGGCAGAATTTCTCGAGTTCGTTCGCGGTCTCTATGATATTGACCCTAGCTAATCGGAGGTCTGGGGGTTCTGGATCGTCTCCGAGAGCAATCACTACATGCTCCTTCGCTGCCTCGACGGCAACTCGAAGGCTCTCAACCTGTGTTGGTTAGGAAGAGAGTCAGTCTAGCACATTTTCATTTCAATCGTACCCTTGCAACCTGCGCGAGCGAAACCCTAACACCAACACCCACTTACCTCGTTGTTGAGCGAAGCCAACTCGATACCGATCCTTGGAATATTTCGGAGCAAGTTCACGACGTGGCGCCCAGCGACCAACGCCTGACCGATGGCGATGAAACTTGCTGCAACACCTATAACTTCCATTGCGAAAATTCTTTGCTTGATGCAAACGAACTGCGGCAGTCTCTATCATCCAGGGGTGGAGAAGAATGTTGAAGGTTGAAAAGTTGGGAGACGGAGAGGGGAATCCGCGCCCAGCCTGATCAAGGCGAACTGACCAATCTTGCATGAGCGCCTCGTGGTGCACATAGATACATACCAACCGCTTTCATTGGAGGGTGACCCAAATGCTGCACAGTGAAGTGTCCGTGGCGCAGGGAGCTCAGCCTGCCTATAGGGCAACTTTTCGCAATATTCCAAGAGTTCGCCCAACAGGCTGACAGGCGCATCGGTTGGCAGATTTTTGAACAGTAAAATATTACGGAATCATAAGCTTGAGTAACCGGACGGTTTACTCTCTAACAAACAGGCCGGCCATACCCATGCCGGTTCCGACACACATACTCACAACACCAACCTCTCCGCCGGATCTTCCAAGACCATGCAGCAAAGTACTCGTCATGCGCGCACCAGTCGCACCCAGAGGGTGGCCCAGAGCGATTGCGCCACCATCGGGGTTCACCTTTCCATCCTCATAAGCTTGCTCCAGGCCCAGCGCCCTCAGGCAGTAGATCGCCTGACTGGCGAAAGCCTCGTTAATCTCCCAACGGCTGACGTCCTTGTTCTCCAAGCCGAGCTGGTTCAACAGCTTGGGAATGGCCAGAGCCGGACCGATACCCATCTCGTCCGGAGCGCAACCGACGGTGGTCGCTGAGACGAACTTGCCGATGATGCTATCGGTAAGGCCGAGCTCCGTGGCGGTGCTTCGTCGCATCAACAGAGTCGCCGCGGCACCGTCTGAAACTTGTGATGAGTTGCCTGCCGTGCTGGCTCCGTCCGCCTTGAAAGCCGGCTTCAGCTTCGCCAGCGCCTCAATGCTGACGCTTGCGCGGATACCGTCGTCCTGAGTGACGGTGATGGTCTGCTCCTCTCCGACCTTGTTGCCCTGCTTGTCCACCTCCTGGTATCTCGTTGTAACCGGCACAATCTCCTGGGCAAACGACCCATCCTCCCTTGCGCGCGCAGCATTCTTGTGACTGCGGACGGCAAACGCATCCTGGTCGGCGCGGGAGACGCCGTATCTCTCGGCGACGTTCTCGGAAGTGATTCCCATGGGCATGATGCAGTCCCTCGCATCCTTGACCGGCGAATCCTTCAGCGCAGGCCACACGTCGACGGGGATCGCGCGGCTGCCGTAATTGCGGGTCATGCTCTCCATTCCAGCGCCGATGCCCACGGATATCGTCTCGGACCGGATCTGTGACGCGACGAGGGCGATTGACTGCAGCGACGACGAGCAGGCACGGTTGACGGTGTACAGGGAGGTCGTGTTGGGGTAGCCGACGTGGTTCATGGCCATGCGGGCGGCCTTGGAACCGCCGAGCTCCGAGAGGACGACGCCGACTGCGACATCTTCGATCTTGGCGGGATCGAGGTTCGGGTTGGCCTCGACAGTGGCCTTGAGAACTGTCGAGAGCAGCTCTTCGGGGAATGCGTCTTTCAGCTGTCCACGGTTCGAACGGCAGACGGGCGTTCGCAGGGATGACAGAATGACCACATCGGAGGGGGCCTTCTTCAGCACGGATGAGATTCCCTTGGGGAGAGACATGTTTGACTTGTGTTACTCGAAGATCCGGAGCTTTTCTGTTCTCTCAATTGATAAGGGAAGATTATGAAAACAGGTATTGTACAGAGGATAAAGAACAATTGAGAAGGAAAAGAAGACAAAGACGAGAAAACCAACCGAAAACTAGTCGGATAAACAAGAGCGATGTCGCTGGGGCATCGGGGACAGCTTCGAATGATGTACCGGGGCGGGGGAGAATAGCTCTTCCCCTTACTTACCCCAGCCCCGAACCTTGAAGCCGAGTGGGGGACCCGCACCCCAAGGCAATTGGGTTCGGCAACGAGAAGGTCGGTAACCGGGGCTAAACATTCTCCCGACAGAGGGCGGGCCAGTCACCGAGGTTCACCGAGGCTCACCGAGAGTATGCTCATCTTCACCTTCGGTTATCCCCTTTGAGAATGAGCTGTACACATAAGAGGAGCAATGCGTTCACGCTTCCAGAAAACCCTCCACTTCGTCGTATATCGAATCCTCAGGCTTATATATATTCAACTACGAGTCCTAAGTGTTTTTGTCAACGGTGATCCATTTAGGCGAAGCAAGTTTTACACTCCGCCTAGACCACACGTCGCACCTAACCCTTCCATGGTAATCAAGCTTTTTGGCATTACCAAATCGCGTACTATCCCAGAGAACAGAATATCAAATAACGGTATAACAGACTTCCAAGGTTGTTTATTGTCATCCCGACGATAGTGGTTCATGCTCAAGTGCCGCGAACACACCACCTTAAATACAGTATTTTGGAGACTAAAAGCATCATGGCCAAGACCCAACAGCGAAAATATTTCTGGGTCAAAACACCAACCCCGTGGTCGAGTCTGTATCACTAAGCTTTTCGTTCATTCGATCTTCAAGCCAAGAGGATGCATGCACGATGCATGAGCCTGGGAAGGCGATAGACCCACTGGTATCCTCTGGTTGTCCTGTTTCTCCCTCCCCTCTTTTTCTTAAAGTCATTGCCAGGCTTCGTCATGAAATCCGTCCGGAATGTCATTACGAAATTATGTTTACCTTGCTTTCAACCCAATTACTTTTACACATTGCATTCTATCGAGTCGTGCGGAGTAGTATATACGAGTCAGCGTCACGGAGCTCTCAGCATTTCCCAGGCCTCGGGCGGTCTGGCGTGATGGGGCTTAATAAGCACTCTATGCCCGCTGTCCTGCAATGCTCTTGGAAGACGAAAGTTAGGATCCACTCGTCGTGTTGATGGTGTCAAAGAGAAACAGAATTCCCGATTTCTTCTGTATTATGTGAACACATTCGTGTATGGGCATCTTTCGTAGCCTTCTTGTTTTCTTCCTGACAAGCTGTGACGCTGGCTCCATTACTTAAAATCCGGTTCCACATCTTAGGTTGTATTACTGTCAAGCCCCCATCTCTTTGAAAGTCCACCTTGATTTCGGTTTATCATACTTAACAAAACAACCGTTAAAATACGGTGATTGGAGCAGCGACTTCAAATTAAAACACCCTTTACGGGCGACCCGAGCTGGACCCTTCACCAAACAAATAGCGAAATATCTTAAGCCCAAATGACCAACAAACAAACAGAGCTAGCCACCATTTCTGATTCAAGAATAAAGAAACAACACTGCACTACTGAAAATAAGAGGTGGAACATGGACTAATTATTCACAATGATGGGGCAAATATGAGTTGGATGCGGCGAAAAACCTGACAAAGAACGAGGGAGGAAAAAAAAAAAAAAAAAAAAAAAAAGGTTAGGGCCATACTTATGTTGGGACATCTTCGCTGCAGTCGGAATTGCTTCTGGGCGGTCACGTTCACAATGATAACACGTAGGGTAGCATACATATGCATGCGGCAGATGAGCACCAGTTGGAAACTCCATGAAGCCCGTATCAGTGAGAACTGTTATCTTGATGAATGCCAATCGTCACGGATCCCGGAAGATCTCCGTATTGGCGGCCTGCAAACGCACAACGCCATCAGTCACAATGCCCACATTCTACATCACACAAATGGCACGCAAAACCAGGAGGATTCGGCAATCCACCCTAACCATGGCATCAACCTCAAAAAGTTGCAGCAGAACTCCACCTCTAATCCTCCGCGGGGGCAGACAACCTCTGTCCAGCCCTCCCTCAACCGCATCCACTCGACACGTTTCCGAGCGAACCAGAACTCATACCTTGACAAACTTCCCTCACTCCGGACCTAACGTAACAGTCGCCTAATGCCACTAACCCCAAACTAACCCCAGTAGTATCCATTCCCTCGGGTCTTGGCACGCGGGGTTCGTTCCCCAAATCCCCAGCAAAATGGCTGACCAACCCCAAAGTCCCCAATGGCGCTCTCACTCGACTTTCCAAGGAGCCATGTCCGCCTCCCGCTTACCCATCCCCCTTATCGTGCCCTTGCCCTTACCCTTTTTAATCTACCGCCATCTCGCTGGCTCACCCGGATCCTAAATCTGGCACCGAGAGCCCCGCGTCTTTGTATAGTTTCCTGTTACTTTCTCAGCCATTGAGGCCCGCGGAGCTTCTTTCCCCAGCTTTCGCATGGTGCCGGATGCCAGATGTTGCCCCCGCAGATCCAACTACCCCGGATTCGAAAGCGCGTTGACACCATTTGCATGGGGTGGCAGACAAACTGGTGAACAGCCATAAATACCCAGAATCCGTTGCAACTTGAGTTGTCGAGTTGTTTTATTCGAATCAAAGTTTGTTCCTACAACTCCATCCCGCTTTAAGCTTGTTTGTTAGGCCCGACTTTGTTTTTTTTTTTTTTTAAAAACCCTCCGAACCCGAGTCAAATCCCCCCAGGCATCCAATCATTAGGCGAGAAACTAGCGAGCTACACCAACTCAAAGTCGAACACGCAAAAAACTCAAAATGGCCGCGAGCGAAAAGCGTTCACCGTCCGTTGAGCGCGAGGAGAATGTCGTCAACCACGTCAACAGCATTGTCGATGATGAAAAGCAAGTTCAGCAAGATGAACAACGTGACTGGACCGGCACGGCGAAGAAGACGGACCCCGAAGAGATTAAGCTTGTGCGCAAGCTTGACTATCGGATAATGGTGAGTTTAGACCAACTGAATGTCAATGCTTGCATTATGCTGACCAGTTATGATTAGCCCTGTCTTTGCGTTATGTACTTCCTCAGTAAATACTCACCACGAAACCCAACTGTACGGTTCGGCGAAACTGACCAGCGCAGACTATGTCGACCGAAATGCCATCGCCCAAGCACGACTCAATAACCTCGAGGAGGACTTGAACATGACCGGCACTCAATTCAACACCACTGTTTCCATGTAAGCAGCCTTCATAACCAAGCCATAACCTAGAGTTGTTGCATGTCTGGTTGATCCTTGGATCGCCAAGTCGTTGTAACAACTTGGGTTCTGAACTGAGTCATCACGCTAGCAGAAAGCGTGGCTAACCATTACATAGTCTTTTCGTCGGTTACGTCCTGATGCAAATCCCCTCCAACATGTTGATCACCAGGATTCAACCTGGTTTGTACATGAGCGCATGGATGTTGGTCTGGGCTGTGGTTTCCGGTGAGTAAATTCTTCTCCTACTATATAACTGAAATAGAGAACTGACGGATCATCTCAGGTTGCACTGCTTTGGTTCAAAACTACGGCGGCCTGGTTGCTTGCAGATTCTTCTTGGGTATTACCGAAGCTCCTGTAAGTTACCCCAACCCAACTTGGCAACGCCAAGAGTAACTAACACAACATTAGTTCTACCCCGGCGCCACCTACATGCTCTCCATCTTCTACACTCGCAAGGGTAAGTCGAAGACAGCAAGCAACACCTGAAGTTATCTCAACTAACAAACACCCACAGAGGTTGCTACCCGCATTGCTGTGCTTTACTGCGCTCAGATCCTGGCGACTGGCTTATCAAGCTTGATCGCCGCTGGCATCTTCGCTGGAATGGACGGACTCAACGGCATCGCAGGCTGGAGATGGCTCTTCATCGTCGAGGGCGCCATCACCGGCCTAGTCGCCCTCTTCGGTTTTTGGCTGCTCCCCAACACGCCGCTCACGACGCGCTGGCTCAACGAGCGTGAGAAGCAGCTCGCACACTCCCGCATGGAGAAGGACAAGGTCTCTGATTCCTCGGACGAGAAGGCTTCCGCCATGGACGGTCTCCGCCAGGCGTGCCGCGACAAGCGCACTTGGCTCTTCTGCCTCATGCAGAACTTCCATCTCTCGGCATGCTCTTTCAACTCCTTCTTCCCTACGTGAGTTCCATTTTTTTTTTTTTACCGAGCTTGGTTGGTCACATGGATTGTACTAACAACCTCGAATAGTGTTATCAAGACTTTGGGTTTCAACACCACGATTACCCTGGTCATGACCTGCCCGCCTTTCATCTTCGCCGGTGCTGCCGGTATCTTTTTTGGCTGGAGCTCCGGCCGTCTTCACGAGCGCACGTGGCACATCACCGTTGGTCTCTTTACTGCTATTGTCGGCTTCGTCATCGCCGCCTCCAGCATGAACACCGCGGCCCGCTACGTTGCGGCCTTCGTTTTCGCCGCTGGCGCGTACTCTGTAAACTCTGGTAAGTCAAAGCCAATCATCAATGATCTAGCAGTAAACTAACGCGAACAAGTTATTATCGGCTGGGCATCCTCGACGCTTTCGCAGACAAAGGAGAAGAAGGCTGTTGTTCTCGCCATGACCAACGTTGGAGGCCAGGTATGTTGGAACTTAAACCCCAAACCTTGACTTTGACCTGGTTGCTAACGTCTTTGAATCAGATTGGTTACATCTACGGTGCCTACCTCTGGCCCAAGAGTGATGAGCCTCGCTATGCTATCGGCTTTGGCGCTTCGGCCGGATTTGCTTTGCTCTCGATTGCATGCGCCTGGTGCATCCGTATTCTCTTGGTCAGGGAGAACAGACGGATTAGGGCATCTACCTCGGAGCACGTCAACCTCTACGGATACTAGAGTCTGGCGAGATCAGTCTCCTTTGGGGGTAGTAGTGGTTTGTCAAAGGGCTGTAGTGCTATGGGTTTTACATACTGGGAAAGCATCATTCGGGTCCTGGGTTGAATGATGAGGTTACTGCAATTCATGAATGGAACTTGATACCTTTAAATAATGTGGCGAGCACCTCGGGCAGTAATGAGGTAGCTGGGACGCCCATGACTATAGTTTAAGAACTATTAACGGCTTTTTCCAAAGTCATCCTTTCTTGTCTCCAGTTCCTTGGTGATCTAGTTGATCATCGACGGTGATCGGCGTTCAGATATTGACATTTGAATAGTATGTGATATAAGACTAAATTCTCCAATCAAATAAGCCGGAAATGTGTCTGGCTCTTGTTGGAAACTTGTCAATATGATTGTCGTTTGAACTGTATCGTCATGATGGTTCGTGCAATTACGTGGTGGTAACAAGCTTTTATTGAAGCTTTGAGGTGTTTATTTTCTCTCTCAGAAATCCGAACTGTACAAAGAAAGCCATTGATCCTATTTCTTATCTATTTGTATGGATGAATGACTTTTTACAGTGTAATTCTATTCAACATACGGGCGGCATCATGGTCTCGGACGTCATCGTTCTGTCAAGCACGTCGCACGGCCCCCCGCACAACCGTCATTCAAACATGAATGCAACACGAGTGGACTTTCCCCACGGGTTCGTTCATACAAAACCGAACAGGTGTTCTTCAAGTTGACCTTAGGGAGCTCTTCTGTTAATTTTGCCAAAATCCCTTCAAAACGCATCACTCATTATGGTGGCACCGATCAAGAATGTGGCCGTCATCGGCGTAAGCTTCAAAACCTGCACAAACCACCATGAGTCTCGTAGCTCCATACTGACGCCGTTCAGGCAAGTGGAAAACTAGGCTCTCAAATAGCCGCAGTTCTTCTCAAAGCGGGCTTCAACATCACGGCGATTCAGCGCACCGAATCCAGCGCATCCATCCCCTCAGGCATAAAGTCCGTCAAACTCGACATGAACGACACCGAAGCCCTCACCGAAGCATTCAAAGAACAAGATGCAGTGATCTGCACCGCACCTGACCCGATCGTCTTTGCCAATCAAAAACCTTGGATCGACGCTGCCATTGCTGCTGGGGTCAAACGGATATTCCCTTCCGAGTACAGCACCAATCTAGACTCCCCGCTCGCCGAGGGCCTCCCTATCGTCACTGATAAAGTTCGCACCCGCCAGTACCTCATTGAACAGACGTCAAAGACAGATGGGAAATCAAGTTGGTCTAGCATTAACAACGGTCCCTTCTTCGAGCTTGTTCTCAGTTTCGGCGGCCTAGGCCCGGACTTCCGAGCCAAGACAGCCAACTACCACAATGGCGGCGACAACTTGATTGGGGTCACCAGGCTTCCGGATATTGCCGAGACAGTGGGGAAGATCCTCAGCGACGAGAAGGGGCTGTACAAAGAGGCAGAGAATAAGTCCGTGTACATCCACTCAGCAGCCGTGAGCGAGAAGCAGTTGACCCAGATTGCGGAAAAGGTCACTGGCCACACTTTTGAGACCAGAGAATCGGACGTGGAGCTGCTCTATCAGGAAGCCAAAGCCAAGTTTGAGAGCGGCGACAAGTCTGCCATGATGTTGTTTTACTACCAGATGATGTACGGCAAGGGCTATGGTGGCAGCGAAAGCTTCCAGGAGATGAGCTGGAACGAAAAGGTTGGTTTGACAACTCTGAGCGAGAAGGAGCTGGAGGAAATTGTCTGGGACACTGCTAGGAACATTGGTCTTGTTTAGTGACAAAGATACGGTGATACCGCAAAGTTTAGGCTTACTTTTGCGACTCCACATACCATTAATTAAATTTAGATCAAGTTGAAGTTCTATTCTGTTGTCATGCGTTAAATTAATGTTACAAATATGCTTTTTGCATGGTGGTTTGAAGTTATAGAAGGCGAGTTGATAGGTCGATCACCGTGAAAGACAGCAAAAATGTCTACGGTGAACAGGAAGCCAATACGTTAGTCATGTTGGTCTGGTATAAAAGTCAGGGGCCCCAGTTGTCACTATAAAAAGTTATTTTCCCGAAGAATTTGCCGGAAACTTGGTTAAAACTTGGTATCACTATATCGAAGCGACAATGTTGATCGCACCCCCTGTAGGTTACTAAACCAATAACTGCTCCCAGGGGAGTTGTGCGCACAAAAGCAAACGGGCGTCTTGGCACGGGCAAGAAATCAAATGTTGCACATATAGTAGCCCCGGGTAGTTTACTCTCGAGCGCTTGACTGTGGCGATCGCAATCTATGGTTTGAGTGAGATAGACCAAAAAAGGTCTTGCAAAAGTACATAAATACCCTCGAGCCTCAACTCACCAACGTATATTCTCACTCTTCAGCCTCAACTCATCACAATCAACAAGCCTGAACAACTATTTTCCCAGCTCTAACATTCCATTACTCGCGTATCCTTATCATTGCATGTGACCTGGCCATTGCAGTGAAGTCTACTTGTTATTGTTTTACCGCCATGGCCGCAAAGGCACGCCTTTGCTGCAGACCTCCCGAGGGCTATAAAGCGTGAAGAGCCGACCACCCAGGCCAACTGCTCCACCGTACATAGTCTTTGCAGGTGTCCTTGATCTTACTCTATTGTATTCACAACGGCTTTATATACTGAGTCCAATAAAAATGATGATTACTCACCAATGAGAGCGCTCGTAAATAGCGTGGAGGTAGCATTCTAAAGTCATATTTTCTAAATCATTGCATATAGAGAATACGGATGAATAGCTGCGATGAAAGTTCGCCTTTAACTACAATTTTTTGTTATACTATTCAGATACCAAGTAATTGCCAACTTTCTTTTTAATTACTACTCCCTAAAACCACAGTGCTCCTATCATTTCTTTCTTTCTTGGGTGCTTCCCGAGTGGTGACCGAAACCACCGCCCGATGGTCGGCCACCCCGAGAAGAAGTATTTCCGGTGTTATCTTTGTGGCCGCCTCGTGTGCCGGAGGCTTGAGAGCCTGTACCTGTCGGGCCGTTGTGGCCGTTGGGGCATTGAGACGTGTAGTATGGAGGATTGGGGTTGTTGGAGGCCGACATTTTGTTCGCGGTTGGGGACAGGTGGATGGATAGAGGGTAGAGTTAGTTGTTGTATGTGGGAGGCAATGTGAGGGTTGGTTATTCTGTGTGGTTTGTTTCTGGACAGTCTTCAAGGATGGGAGCACCCGCTTGATTTTATATAAACTCATAGATCACAAGTGAATCACCACACCAACGGGTATGTTGACGGTTACACCCACTTGACGTTGCGTAAAATAGTGAATTCGAATAGTCAGTAATACGCGAGCAGGTGCTAGGTACTATCTGGATATTCACCAGTAGACTTTCGAATACTTTTACCTACACATATCGCTCAAAATTATATGATTCACTACTAATTTGCGATCCTAAAAGCATTGTAGTCAACTATTGGGTTAGTTAAAACATATTTATTAGAACTTAATCTCCTTGTTGTGTTCCTAATAGATAGTAAATATGATAACTGCTGTTATGAATAAATTCTTATGTTTAGGTATCAAACAGAAAACGTATGATAACTTGATATATATTGAAACTGCGTTGGAGAACTTTGAGCGTGCGGGCCGGTAATGGTTTGATAGCAAAACACAATCGTAACGCTGTCGAGGATACTTTTCGTCATGGTTCACAAACTACTACCTATTGGAAATCTAGTATTTAATTTCGTCTCACTAAAGTCGTTTGAGACATGTTGGCATACTAATTGAATGCACAATGTTCCTGGCTGGCTAGGTATTCGTTGACGGCTTAGGTGGATAATTGTTACCCAGGGACATTGTTCTTTTATAAATGGCCTGCTAGCTTCTCAAAGCGGAGACTTTCTGACATGTAGTCCATGTACTCGCGCTGAAATCTTCGAGGCCCCTGCGCCGCTCAGATGAAGCTAGGAACCAAAGCTATTTCACAATTCCCGTCGTGTAGTTAACGTCGACCCGTCACCCGACAGCTGTTAGTCGAGACCAATATCTTTCATCCGTCGTTGATTAAAGCGATAAAAGCACTCTGTCTCAGCTTGTAAACGCTGCCGGCGCTATGGAGGGCCTGGCCTGTGACGATTGTGAAACCTTCTTGCGCCTTACTCAAGCGAGCCTCACCTAGGCTGTACCGCCAGTCCGAGGTGCGATCTCTTGCAATATGAACGCCATCTTTTACTTCTATGCCATGTAGATCGATCGCGTTCTTACTACTAGAGCTCGCCACTAGTATATCAGCGGCTTGGCCTTTGGCACTCGCAAAGCTGGGTGCCTCCTCGCGACCACGTTCAGTAAAGTGTCTTGCTGCCTCGTTGTATAATTGCACCCGTGTTGGATGAAGTCGCTTCGGGTCGAGCTTAGCAAAGACTGTATTGAAGAATATTTCGCTTGTCTGTACGTTCGCTTCTAAAATATCATGCTGAGGAGACCAAATCCTAGCTGCCTGTTGTTGCCTCGGCTCAGATGCTGCGGGGAGATTTTTCTCTTCGTTCTCAGGGACCTCATTCAGCGTCAGGGCTTTCGTTTGGTGTTGCCTATGATACGCAAACCGCACTCGAAGTATTACCATTGACTCGGCCATACGTTCTCGAAGAGTCATGCTCGCTCCGGGGAATATATAGTCAACTATTTGGCGTGCGTAATGTTTAAATAGGTGCAACACTTGTTTATTTCGATCCCAGTTCTGAAATCGCCGAATTCGCTCTTGTCTTTGTTGAGCCCCTGCAAGTTGAACAGTCAAACTGAGTTGACGAAGACTATAGGTAATATCTTGAATCGAAGTCCAGAGTGTAGACCGGGATGCCAGTGAAGTTGAGTTTCGTCATCAGATGGCGTGAGCAGCCTATAAGATGGAGTAGACGAGCAATCTGAAGAGTCATCAGACTCGGTAGGTGATGAAAGTTCGTCATCGGCATCAAATTGGAAGATTCTTTGCTCTATGTCCTTTGTTTTAGCTGTAGCTACCTTGTAGAAAGAGGTTCAATTGCCAAGATCCTCTTCCTTGAGCGCCAATAGTAGTTGCTGAACCAACTCTATTATTTATGGTGAGATCCTCCACCCCGGAAGACGCCCAGATTCACCGCCAAGCTATTCAAGCTCGCCATAAGCTCTTTTTTGAGCGCTCGCCAGCAGACGATTGGCGGCTTACGTTACTACCTATCCCACCGTCACTAGTGTAAGAATGGTGAGTTTTAGCTCTGCTCCACAAATGTCAGCCATGTGCATGCCCCACCATTGCAGTCAGCCAGAGACATAATAAGTGAAGATCCAAGCAGTGATGCTAAGTAAACAAAACTGAAAACCTTTTGTCAAATTCTGCCTCACATCACTCAACAGTTGTTATTCACCTGCAAGAAATCATGAATAGCAACAGCGCTGAGAATGCTATGATCGTTGAGGTGGGGCAAATGCCCCACCGAGCTTACATTCGCCGCCAGGGAGAGGACTGGGCTGGTGTCACTGACCCGAAGGCACGAAAGAAATTGCAAAACCGGCTGAACCAGAGAGCGCGTAGGTAAGATACCCTTCTGGAAGCAGTATTAGACTGACTTGGCGACAAGGCCGACAAAGGGAGTCGCACGGCAATGCTTATGACGGACCAAGCGGGACTCGAGGGACCAGCGCAGCTCTCTCGTCCTCCGAAGAGTTTGATACCGTGGATGAAGAGATCACGGAATATAACATTCAAAAGAGGCGTGAATAGTTGGACAGATTGGCTCAGAGAGTGTTACATAGCTATTTGATGAGCCAACCGAGCCCAGATCACCTGCTCAAGGTTATCCAGCTCAACACTATCAATGCGTTCACAAGAAATGCAACAGTTCTCGGCTTAGAGACCGACTGGCTCATATGCCACGCTATTTCCCCATTTGGTAAAGGAGTTGAGAGTTCAAAAGTCGGACGGCAGTTTGCGCCGTCGCAGTGCCCCGTCACCCTAGTACCGACAACGCTTCAGATGAGCATCGAACATCATCCGTGGGTCGACCTATTCCCCTCACCCAGGATGCGAGACAACTTCTTCACGGCCATGATTGGAAACTGGGACGAAGAAAAAGAAGAGCAGTTGTGGAACGATCTCGTCGAAACTGGCGGTGACATTGGGGGAACCGGCTTGATAGTCTGGGGTGATCCGTGGGACGCCCGAAGCTGGGAAGCAACAGTGCCGTTTCTGAGGAAATGGGGATGGATTTTACAAGGCTGCCACGATATCCTTAGGGCGACAAACTACTGGCGACGTAAGCGAGGAGAGAGACTTTTGGACTTTGGCTCGATGGCTTCATAGGTGGAGTTTGTTGTTTGAGACTGTCGCAGCATTCTCTTCAAATGCATGTACCCCTGGCTGCTTTGAAGGCTGCAATGGAGAGACTAGTGACAAAATTATTTACCGATTTATGGTGCAAACCAAATGGCTCTCTGGGGATGTGACATCAGGTCACTTACACATTGAGGGTCAAGCATGGATCCCTCCCCGCCAATGAGAGCTTCGGAGTGTCAGCCAAGTGCATGCCTCTGGATCGTCCGGACTCTCTCCGGAGCTGGTCATTATTGTCGCTTGGCATAGCGCGCGCTTTGATTATCCAGAAGACAGAACATAGTATTAGATGTCTATTTAAAGAGAGTTGTTTCTCGCGTTCAGAATTCTTTGCTAGATTGATTCATCAAGCAGTTCACTTCCCTTTGATTTTGTTCCAAAATTTATCAAACACGCTCACTTGTCACGCTGCCATCAAAGACACGGGCCAACATGACCAAGATTCTCTTGACAGGTGTTTAGTTCTGTTAATATTGATTTCTAAATGATGGGTATTTAGCTGACAACGCTGCCCTCGATGGCAGGTGGTAATGGCTTCATAGCCTGTAAGTTGTTCCCAAATCGAACAACAAGCACTTGATGCTGGAGAAGCTACAGCTGACATGAATACACCACAGCACACATCCTCAATATCTTGCTTTCCCGCGGATACGACGTCATCACTTCTGTCCGCAACGAAAAGAAGGCGACTAAGCTGCGTGCCGCCCATGAGAACCTCGAACCTGGCCGTCTCCAAATTGAAATAATCTCCGATGTAGCTGTCCCCGGAGCGTTCGACAAAGTCTTCCAGATTCCTGGCACAAAGGCTGTAATCCACGCAGCTTCGCCATTCCACTTCAACTCTTGTAAGTCAACGTGATGCCTTCGATAAATCAGCAGCCTGTCTCTACCCGCGGAGAACTAACAAATTCAAAGCTGATCCCCAGAAGGAGGTTATTGAGCCTGCATTGGGTGGGACTCTTTTACTTCTCGGTTCCGCCAAGGAGTTCGGTAAAGACGTTCAACGAGTAGTCATCACCTCATCCTTCGCCGCGATCCTAGACAACGCGCGCATGGATGACCCGAACACAATTTTCACCGAATGGAGCTTGAACCCGGCCACGATCGACCACATCACCATTTCCAAAGATATCGCCTATCGCGTGAGCAAGAACCTCGCCGAGAAAGCCGCCTGGAACTTTGTCGCATCGGAGAAGCCCCAGTACACTCTAAGCACCATAGACCCGCCGCTCGTCTTCGGCCCGCTCACGCTCCCCCTGGAATCTATCAGCGAGATCAACACATCCAACTCCGCCGTCGTGGACCTCCTCGCCGGCAAGTGGCGCGAGAATACCCCCGAGTCGACCGTGTTTGTCTGTGTCGACGTTCGTGATGTTGCTCTCGCGCACATTTTGGCCATGGAAAAGGAGGAGGCTGCGAACCAGCGATTCTTGACGATTGGCAATCGGTTCGGCAACCGAGATATTGTTGACATTGTTCGAAGGAACTTCCCTGAGTACGCGGACAAGCTTCCAACGCCCGATGTCAAGGGGGGTGAGCTTCCCAGCAAGGACGAGATGCATGGGTACGACAACAGCAAAACCACTAACATATTGGGCATTAAATGGAGGCCTCTTGAGACAAGCATTGTTGACTTGGTGAAATCACTGGCGGAGTACAATATCTAGTCACCTACAAGTCTTCATGTTACCATCTTGTATGACATGAATTGCATCGATATCGCCCGAAGTGAGACAAATCATCCTGGTCGGCTCACTTCTGCTCTGAGTTCAACCTTTGGGTTTAAATCCTATGGACTGCCACAAGGCAACAGGTACGAGCCCGTGAGGAAGAAAAGCTATTCAGGGGCTACCCAAGACTTCTTTTAGCTAGATAAATCATTTAAATCTAAAATACTTCTAGCATTCCTATATCTCAACTATCGTTGATGTAGTAAAAGCTATCCTGCTATGGCGGACTTGAATGAGCAAAGTTGGTAATAAACGAATGGTTCTTTGCAATGTTTTCAGCCGCAGCTTGATTACAGGGCCGTTGCAGACTTTCCAATCTTTATCAGCACAAGTATGGATTCTGCAAACGAAATTAACAACCAATAGGATATTTTTACCACGCTTGGTCTAGTGTCCCCCACCCCCAGCCCACTACTGTTTGGCGTATCCTACAGGAATGAGAACCTGGAGTTTCATGCAAATTCTCTCTACAATTTGCTACTAGAGAATCATAGGTGTTCACACTGAAAACCACTTTGTAACCTCTGGTATAACTTATGTAATAGTTTACAGGCGCTCTGTAGGCCATAAAAAATGATCTTCTGGATAGTATTTTGACTTTTCTTTTCTTCACGAAGGATTATGCCTTTTTACGATATCTCCTTCAATATTTTACCTTTAGCTTGTTTACTTACCCCCACAGTACGGCAAGTCCTTCCGGCAGAAGCTATTTACCTTCATAGCTCGGTACAAGAAACAAGCAGTTCAGATTGTCGGTAAAACTAGATCTATCTAAGTCCTGTTGACCCGAATTGTTTTACCCATCAAGGTACTCCGCTCTGTACGCCCATAGGGATGGATTTGCCTAAGATTATCACGTAGACCCATGTTCACTGCCAGCACATGTAAGCAACATAACATCCACTAGTTAGCTGCGAGCAAGGACGGCAAGATGCATTAGCACTTTACTTAGACATTCGAGCTAACACGCTTCAGGTAGTTCGCAAAGGGACGCACCCTGGCTATGATGTTCCTGGCGACATCACAAACGCTTCGACTTCTGGGTCTAGAGAATAGCGACAAATCAATATGTGGCAAAATACAAAATCTAGACAGGAGCAGAAGTGCCGCAGCACCTTGATAGTTTGACTAACGCATCTCTCGGCGGGACCCAGAGAGAGACGCCAGCGTGGAAAAAAGACTCGAGAGAAAGACGGAAGATCTTGCCGGCTTGGCTCAAATCAGGTATTCGGACTGGCTTAGGCTAGTCTCTCACCCTCCGTTCATTATATCTCTTTGTGTGTGCAAGTAAGAGGCGGAGTTACTCATTATATAAATGGCTATTACCTGCCTCATCTTGTTGGATTATCTGTGACTAGTCACTCAAGATCTGCCGAGCCTTCACCCTTTAATCCCCTGCTAGTCTATTGTCACATGTCAAGGAGTTAAACATGAAGACCTTCTACGCCTCATTCATTGCCGCAGCCGCTGGCAGAGCCTCGGCCCATGCCTTGTTCCAGCAGCTTTGGGTCAACGGCGTCGACTTGGCCGACCAGTGCGTCCGCCTGCCCGACTATTTCGGCCCTATTTACGACATCGAAAGTAACGACATTATCTGCAATCAGTGGCTTGGTGAGGGTAAGGGAAAATGCCCTGTCACCGCTGGTGACACCGTCACGGTTGAGATGCATCGCTTGCCCAACGCCCGCCAGTGCAATGATATTGTCATCGCCGATAACCACCTCGGCCCCGTCAATGTCTACCTAGCCAAGGTCAATGATTCGGCCACCATCCGTCCACAAGACGTCCCTGGTTGGTTTAAGATCTTCGAGGACACCTGGAATCCCAATGGTCCAACCGGCTATGACGACCACTGGGTGCGTACCCCTTACTCTTCTCCTCTCTTCTCTCATCGATGTGTCGGAGGGCGCTAACGTTTCCTAGGGTACGAAGGACATCCAAAAGTGCTGCGGTAAGCTGGACGTCAAGATCCCCAAGGATATTGCCCCCGGCGATTACTTGCTTCGCGCCGAGTTGATTGCCTACCATCTTTCGGGCTCTCAGGGCACCGAACACTATATGAGCTGCTTCCAGCTTACCGTCGCGGGCAACGGCACCGCCAAGCCTAGCCTCGTTAAGTTCCCCGGTGCCTACCAGCCTGGTGGCCCTGGTCTCTCCGTTAAGTACGTTCCCTTTGTCATTCATTGTGCCTGTATCCCTCCAGCTAAGAACCTGCGCAGCCTCCAAGAAACCGTGACCGCCTTCACACCCCCTGGTCCGACCGTCTACGCCGGTGGCACTACCAAGGAGGCCGGTTCGCCCTGCTCTAACTGCGAAAAGGTAAGTCACATTTTTTTCGGTCCTACATTCTTGTCTTTTGTTCGTCCTCGTGCTAATGCATTCGTTCAGAGCTGCCAGCCTCCCGCCACAGCCAGGGCCACCAAGCAGTATTAAAATGGGGTTGAGGGATATTAGCATGCGAGCCGTCTGCGGCTAAACAACAAGATTCCAATCACACCCAGAGCTCAATTTAGGGCCCTTTCTAGTTAAGAGACGCTGGACTTTATAGAGGCCTATAACGTGAAAGCCTCTTTGGAACATTTCTCTAGCTAGGGAGGTTTAGGGATCCCAAACATGTTAAATCTTGCAGAGTATATACTATTAAGTGGCTTTGTCGTTTAGATTGGGGTAAATAAATTTTTCATCAAAATCACGCGTAGGTGAAGCTAAGGCAAAAGTTTCAATTGTAACAAATCCATTGTTGTTATTTGTTACAACCCGTTAGTCATAAGACAACCAGAGCCGGACCTACAGGCCACCTGGCGACTAGAGGATATTCATATATTATAAGAAATAGGATTAGGAGGGGTATCTTTGGACGGAAGAATAATAAGCAAGTTTTGTGACAAACTACTTAGGAGTGAGTCAAAAGAGTCGATAGATGTTGCAGCCAGTTTAGGCAAAGTAGCTTTCTGTTAGTAGAAGTTGAGGCTGTAAGACTTATCATAGGCTGTAGTTTGTTAACTAGTAGGCATACTAACGTATCAAGGGGTAGAGCCGTCTTTTACACCGGCAGAAGTTATTCAGTGAGAGCCGTTGGTGTACAACTGCCAACTGGCCAACGATGTCGATACATGGAAAAATCCTGGTCTTCCTACTAATGGCGCGCTCTAATTTTCTCTGTTTGAAGTCTCTAATATGTCTTGTTGGCGTAAACTGATGTTTCTCCAAGTTTACTTTTTTTAGCCGGACCCATATCCCGGAACAGAATCTTTCCTGCCATGGTCGGTCACACGTTTTAGGTCGGCAAACAAGGCGTGTGTACCTACAGTCCTGACGATTTCATAGGTGGCGACTACATTGCTAAACATTATGCAACTGACTTTCAACTTTGTATATATTCGTATAGCTGAAACAATGACATTAACAGCTAATAAATCTTAGCCACATTAAGATGTCGTCCTGGGTTGTGAATTTCGAGGGTTTTTACTTGCTTTAAAGTTTTATCCTGCATTTTTCAGTTTGTTTCAAGCTCCTGTCTTGCGTGCTTAGAGGATGCAGCAAGTATAATTATATCCCTTCCATGCGAACATCAAATAGAAAAATCATGAGACTAATAGTTTATGCCGAGGATACTTCCCTAGTTCATATTTCACATCAGCGTGATTAGATGGTACTTCAGAGATGCTGAGTGCTTTAAATTTGCTAAGCAGATCCGTTAAGGTAGTTTTCTCCGATCTGGCCAAGCCTGTTCACGCTCTGTTTTGTTCACGCTACATTGAAAGACAGAGCTATTGAAGCCCCCTTCAAACCCCCGTATTGACCCAAAGCCCAGCAATACTGATCCTGAGAATATTACCTCCAGTGCCTAATACACGTTGTGATTTCAACAAAGGCTAGACGGCATGGTCCGATATACCTGGACTTACGGTCTGGAAGCCAGAGCTAGACTCCTTCAAAGTATACTCTATTACCAGTGTCGCGGATGATGGATTGATTATCGCGTCTTCAGAAATCTTACAACATATATTTGCTAGGCCAAAGACCTGGTAAGTTCCTGTAGCCAGAAAGCATGCAGCGGGCCTTGATCGACCTGATCATAGACTCTATTAATAGAATCTAAACGCTGTCGGATTCTACCCCACCTGTCATCCTATCTGCCACCTGGTAGGCAACCCCTACCGAGGTCTCGTGCTAGTGCCCGAAAAATATAATATGACCAGCGTCGTAACTAGTCGATTTACATGCGGATTCAGACACAATTAGTTACATATTCCAGGTAGAAACTTTTAAGAGTTTAGTGTAGGGAGCCCGTTCGTAGCCGACGAGTTGATGTTAAGTAGGGTGAGGAGAGAGTTGACTAAAGTAGGGTTCTCAGCGTAAGAATGCATTACAAACCTGGGAAAGTTTAAAAGAAAAAAAAAAAGCCTCAGATAGAAAGCAGTAAAAATTATAACAACAGTAGAATTCGTTAGTAATCAAAGCAGGGGATTTTTGATGTGGCGACGTGTGTTCCGTCAAGCCTCTTATGCAAGCAGTTGGTATCAATCGAAAAAGAAATTGTGCACGGAGTAAGAGTGGGTTGTACCAGTAGTAATATGGTCACGGCCTTTTTGACTAAAATTACACTTAATAGGACAGTGCGTCATCAACTTTTGATCAACTTCTGTAAGCTCAAACTTGAAGTTGATCGGTCTATAAATTTTAGAAGTGGCAAGAGATCACCGAGAAATTAGAGTTCAATGGAACTAAAGAAATAAAACTAGTTAACTTTAATATATAAATACTGGGTATTGCTGTATTATCACTAATCAGAATTCGGCCTCGGATATCTCGGAGTTCCCCGGCCTATATCCCCTCTACAGTGTCAAACGGAAGTAAAGACTACCAAATCCGCCAATGCAGAAGCTTCGAGAATAAGAACTCTGTCTTATGATCTCCTGATTTGCATTATAGAAGTGATAGTCGTGCTGGTGGTAGTGAGAGGCATTAGCAGGTGAATTGCGGTCAGACGTGGCCCTTCACACCTAACCAATAAATTGAGGCAATGCATCCTTTGCCATGCCTTGAACTCTTACTATTTAACTCTTACGAGATAAGAACAACCGTTTTTTTGTTTAAAAGGCAACCAAGATAATGTGGACAGTTCTAGAGCTAAGCTTCTTGGACCGACAGCTTGGGGAATAATTCGATGTACATGCATAGTAGAAGTCTTCTCAGAGAAGTTATGATCTTAGTAAGCGGTCTCGCTGTTCTTGAGGCTGCTCCGTGTCCGTCCACTGTGGTTGTCGTCGTGAATGGGTCATGTGGATCAATCGTTCAGAATGCTTGGGATGTACCTTACTCTAATAGATCGCACAGCCCCGTGACGCGCATAGACAAATATGCAGAACAAGGAACAAAATGATGTATATCTCTTCAAGGTTTCCCACAAAGCTTAAAAAGGGTCGTAAAGACTTTGACTATAAATAAGCCAGACAAAGGAAACAAGAATAGCTTAGAGCTAACAACCTCACTCTTCCCTTTTCATTTATTGTCTACGATTGCTTACACTACGTCAGAATGCGTTTTTCTACTTTCACTGGTGCTATTGGCCTCTTCGCTGGTTTGTCGGTCGCCTTGCCAAACCCAAAATCAGCCTCGACTGTTGGAAAGAGATGGGACTATTGTCCTAGAGCAGGGGAAAGGTGTACGAACATTCTAGGTGGAGTTGGCGGTTGCGTATGTGGTCAAGACCTCGATCCAAGATACGACTGTGTTTGTATCTAAGTAAGCTTCCTTGCGCAGAAGAATGATCTTGACAAGTCCACTAATTGATAAGATGTGTCTAGGCGCTTTAGGGAGGCATTTAAGAAAGAGAAGAAGACTTGGACGGCCGAACGTCAATCGAAGCGACACTGCGAAGTACCCCACTGGTGGAATGTGCGAAGCGGATGCTGAACTTTGTGCACGAATTTGACACGACTCATTACCATCCTATCGAGCGCGAATAGACCCCATTTCTGCCAAGTCTCAAAATCTCCATTTTATATCCACCTTTTCTCCACACGGTTGTTACGATGTAGTATGCTGTACAGTTAAGATCGCCAATACCTGTCACACTCAAACTCCTAAAGATCAGATATACCTTTATTTCAAGGACATAAATTGACGAAAATGGTACACATTTGAGCCTTGATCGGTTTTTACCCCTCCCTTGGCGCAAATGGGGTCCATTCGCGCTCGATGGGTTTCTAATTATCAATTTGCTCTCTAAATCATTTCCAAGTTCTTCTATATGCATTCTTTGAAGACAAATTCGGCTTTACGCCATCAGTTTTACGCTCTTGGAATTCAATGCTTCCTTCTTGCCGTCTTGATTCGAACCTATTGGTTCCCTACCCTCAGTTCTATGTACAAACAACATGTGGATACTACTGAAAGGAAACGTTCGTGAAGCTAGAAAGACACTAGAAGCAAGTCATGTACTGTATGTAGTTGTTACGAAGTAGCCAAGACTCACCGACAAACCGAGTCGGTTTAGTCACGTGCTTTCTAATGACACTCCAACTGTACCGCCGGTCTTTTGTCTTGCCTTACATCAAACACTTTTGTGATAGATCCTTGGTGGTCATCTTTCTCAGTGTGGTTGTAACTTTGATTAACTGTGGTTTGATCTTGCGGGCTTTTCTTCAACCAATTTCCGTACCAAGCGGATACAGTTTAAAAGTTTTGATCTTAGGTAAAGCTAACGCCGCTCTAAGTCTTATTACGGATATAATTTATTTTTACCCTACAGTGTTAGCAGTCCGATAAGACTTGGAACGATGCAGAAGGCCGGCTTGATCACAAGCTTCGGGGCTGGTATTTTGTAAGTGAATCTCTTTCCCTGGCGACAGATCAAACTATCTACAGACGCGCTGACGAAACTTAGCACCTGCGTCGCCAGCGTCATCTCAGTCCTGAGAATTACCAGCGTGGCTGGAATTGTTTTGCGACTGTGTACCACTTCTTCGATCGCTCCTGGTCCAGGCAGGGATGCCTCGAATTGGACAAAAAGGCTCCTACAGACCACTCTGAGGAGTCACCAACCACTCGGCGCTCGAAGAGACCTTACATACAGTATGCCTCCGCAGTCGCCAACATGCCCAGCAACACCACAACGGCCCATGTACACGAAGTTGGGGTGAGCTTTCATGGAGATATGGAAGGATACTTCTCGAGCCAGCAAGCCATCTCTAGCCCGATAGTCCCATGCCACCGCTACCAAGTAAGAGACAAAGGGTAGCTCAGAAGCAGAATTACAACGTTGCAAATGCCTACACCCATCTGGAGCTCGGTATAGAGAAGGAGGCCGAGAGTGACCTCCACAATGATGCTGCGCGTGGCGCAGTGTAATGTTGGAGAGCGACCGGCACACTCGGCTTTCCTCGAGCTTTACATGGCAGAACAGGTTGATGTGGTTATCTCTCAGGAGCCATGGATAGGCTACAGCGACAAATTGCAAACCAGCGCGCATCAAGAAGCCTAGTCCTGATCCGTCTCCCTCCTCGGCTTCTAGCTTTACAATTTTGTGCCAAGATTTTAATCTCGGTGAAAAAAATAGGTCAGGCTTAATATACCAGTTAGTCTAAAAAAACGTCGCTACCGCCGGGCATCCGATAACCAACTACCTTACGTCTATCACGGCGACGGGCCAGGATGTATTTGCCGATAAAAGCGACGACAGCATTCTTCGAATACCGAAAGCCGACTCACAATTCTGGGTGATGACTATGTCGACGAAAGCAACGAAAACTATCTAAGCAGATCCCCGGACTAGAACTACTACTCCAGACTCCCCATCGAGTAACATTTCTATCTTCACAACCTTTCCACTTTGTATCTCACTGCCTTTGCCAAAGCATCTTTCGATCTCGTTAACTCAGTACTTAACATGCAGTCACTCATCCTCAAGGCTCTTCTTCCTTGGTTCATTTTGGGGCCCGTGCTTGCACAATCTGCAGGGACAGAGGAAAGCCTTGTTCTGGAGCAAGCTCCTGAAGTCCTACGGCCCTACGTGTTGCGCAAGGGATCTGGACAGGCTGTCTCGGTTGGCCAACAAGTCTATCGGCTATCTGTTACTGGAAACTCCTCAGCTGGGGCATTTTCCCTCCTACAGACAAATGCGCCTGACTCCAAACATCTAGGCGTGCTGCCACACGTCCACAAACTGCACTTTGAGAACTTCTACTGCACCAAAGGGCGATTCCAAGTTTGGACCAAAACCAACGACACTGAGCAAGCTCGAATTCTCTACCAAGGCGACTATGCCGCTGTCCCCCAGAACACGATCCACACCTTTCAGATCTTGGATCCCGACTCCCAAGGCACGGGTGTCATTTATCCTGGCGGCTTTGAAAGACTTTTCCTCTCGGTTTCGGAGCAGCCGTATCTCTCTTCTGCAGGTTCGCCCTATACACCTGCTACAGCCGAAAATAGCGCTGGCGAGCAACTAAATCCAGACGCAATCGCCACTTGGGCAACATACGACGTACACGCTCATTTGGAATTCACACCCCGGCGTGACTTGGTGAATGGAAGTGCAGGGGGCTCTGGCTACTGGCATGATGGCCCCAACTTTCTCGGTCCTGATAGTAAAACCCCGAATTTCATCGCCAAAGGTTATGGTCCGAAGTATTTAAACACGGACGGTGGTGTTTATCGCATCATTACTCCCTTTGCTACGAAGAACCAAACGGACGGCAAATTCTCTCAGGGCACTGTAACGATGAGCCCAAAACTATCCAACCAGACGGCCATTCACGCAAATCTCAAGCAGCATGTTGCTTTTCAACTGGAAGAAGGATCTTTAGTCGTAAACGTTACTGGCTATGAGACCTCAACTCTGATATAAGGAGACGTTGTTTTTATTCCAGCCAAAACATCCTTCACTTATTACGCCTCTTCCTCTTTTACGAAATTCCTTTACGTCAGCGCAGGTGGCGATGGTTTCGATTTTGAGCTGCTCCGCAGATCGCAGCCGTGGGATTTCGTTACCTATCCTATTCATGCTGGCTATACAGCTCAGCTCAGCGACGGTCTGGTTTGAAGAAGGAGCCAATGAAGAAGGAATTGAGCTCCATAAAACTGTTAAACAAAGGACGGTCGCAGGAGCGGCTAGAAGTTTGATAAGGGCTTTGGTTATAGGCATATACTTAACTACAAGCACATGTGCTGTATGCGTTAAACATACAGAAGTTTAAGATAAGTCTATAAAGTCGTTCGCAAAATAACACTGGTAAAACCTTCGTACTGTCTGGTTTTGTTTGTCGAACTTCTAAGTACTCTGCTTTAGCCCCTGTGAACAATTCCAGCTGATAGAATGCCTTCGCATGAAGGTAAATCCTTAAATTGATAAAACTTTATATATTTGTCAAGTCGAGGAACGCGGTAAGCCAGACTTGCTGCCTTAATTTCTGTTAGTAGAACCTACTTCGTCTAAGCTGGCCGTAACACTACCGTTTACTACCATATTTCAGAGCAGAAGGGGGGGGGGATCCTAAATCTTCAATGTAAGCCTACTCTTACTGGCTTATCTATGGGAGAGCAGACGGGATCCCGAGTTTCCAGTGGGTATGGTCATATGTAATAGTTTTAGATAGTTAGAAGATTATTAGCTGAGCGTGGCGAGGTTCGTCGCTGCGGGAATAGCACGACATTGACTGTGGACAATGCTTGATGATTGATGAGAAGTTAATTTGGATGCTACTCCTGACTGAGTGCTGTAGAGCGTTACATCTGTCATAGGAAATGCACCATCATGACAAAGTTCCAGTTCACGGTTCGATTCCTGACCCCTGATTTTCTGTGCCTGAACACGACCCTGCCATCAATCTTCCAGCTTAGTGAGGAGCGAGCCTATCAAACGTATATTTGAGTATATATATCAAATTCCCACCGTCATTATTTTGGTCTGTCATTCAAAAGCCCTGCTACGTTGTCTAAGTTCAGCATTAGAAACCTTTTGTAGAGGATTACCTGACCTGCATCCGGTTCAATGACAGATAAGTTATGTTACCCACAGGACTGCGGTAGAACACAGCGATATGCAAGTGTTAGAAAGACATATGGTAGTCACAAATCAGAATTGGCACGCCTAGTCCGAGAGCTAAGGCCTCTCTCTGATCTCGGTGCTGCGAAGGTGGTATATAACTCTGGCTGTGTTGAGCGCAGCGAAGGGAACTGAAAGGTTCAGGTCTTGTATAGTATGCTGCACTCAACTGAAACTATCCGAGCTTTTCAACTGAGCCCCATTCAGCTAGGGTACGCAGCGAGCTCCAATACAAATTGATAGTTTACAGCGCCAAGCAGCACGCCTCCCAGGCACATTCCATGTTTCCTATTACATGACCCTACGAGACACAGACTTTCAAGTAACACGGCGTTTGCCAACTGATATATTGACAAGACTGACAACTAGCCAGCCCTTAGAAATCTTGAGAATGGTTGTTGTAACACTTTGTCATTCCCGTGGCTATTAACCTGCTCAAATGAGGCACTTGCGACCTACGTGGTTTACACTCCCCGTCAAGACTAAACTGATCCGCCCACGGTTGTCTGCTAACATAGTACTAGTAATGGACGATCTCTTTGGTGTATCTATTACTCTTATCTGATAACTTCATGGGCGATCACGACATCACAGTTGTACTTGGGGACAGCCTCGTTTCTGAGACTAGCAATCAAACAGGGCAAATAAAGCGTAAGCCTGATATCAAGTCTGAGATTAAAAAGAGAAAACCGCAACACAAAGTGACAAGTGCCCCGTAAGTATAAACAGCGTCAAAGTAATTGCCAAGTCAACGGAACCTCGCGGCTTTGATACAACCTGACGGGCAGCTACAAGGTCTTGATAGTAGAACATCAGTTAATATACGTCTGACCCAAGATCTCGATGTTTTTATGGTTCAGGAATACTGTAACTGCAAATGATTCAATATCGATATGAAACCAACACAGTTAACAATGTGCTTTTCCCGTTCCGTGGTGGGAACGTCGTCTTCACCACAAGCTGCGTAGATCAAGCCGTGAGCCTTGTCACCATGTTCCAACAAGCGAGTCCGTATTTCCCTTGGAACGTGTTCCTCCTCGTGGATAACGCAGGCGCAGTCAGGCCGTCACCATCGTTTCGGCGATGTGTGCATTTGTGAAACAGTAAAAACGGCCTTCTAACCGTGTACCAAGCGATTGTAGACATGTTCACGGAGCCGCTTATGATATCCTTCCATCACATTTCGCGTAGTCTTTCTGTTGCTGCTAACTTGTCTAGTACATGGCAAGTGATCATCTCATGAATTAAGGTGCTAGGCAACCCATGGCCACCTTTATAGTCTCCTCGCCGCTTCATTCATAAAGGCACTACTCGCAGCCTCTATATCATTCCCAGGCTTGGCGAAAGCCTTGCCAAGCGCAGCACCAAACACCCGAACTCAAGAAAGACAGGCGCGGCACGTCCGGCCCCTATTACGGCGCCACACAAATCCCCACAAACAAAAGAAGCATAAATCAACATCTCAACTCCTCCGAAGCACCCGATGAACCGCAATAACTCTAGCACAAACAACCTTGACCCACCACATATAAACATCTAAGCATACCTGAGTGGCAACGCGGGGGGAAGGAGGACGCAACAGTCTTCTCAGCCCCCTCTTCGGGGCGAGCCGAGACGGGGACCTAACTTACTTTAGATTACTCCGAACCGATTCCCTTTTACGAACTACACACGTCAAATATCTTGTCCATGTACGCGTAACGAGCAAAATGCGCAAAATGTAACATGACCGCGGCTCCGCCACGACACCAAAGAAACCCCTCCTCTAATCCCCGAGCGATCTGGATCCGACCGTCACTCAGCTGATCCGCTTCGCACGCCGCACAGTCCCATCCGAAGAAGGGAAGTAGTGGAGTTAGATACCGAACGGCGAAAGAAGAAACATACCAAACACATTCGTCCGAATATATCGGAATGGGGAAATTTACCCAAACGAGCGGTCCATTTCGCGGGGAAAAGATTTTCGCTCAGACAATGAAGCAGAAGCCCGTTCGGACGGAAGACTGAGGTCGTGCGTGCTCCGTCCAGACCACCGCGCTGAACAAGCGGACGGACGGCCGGTTAAGGACATGGGAGGGCAGAAGGGGGAGTTTGAGGTGTTTTAACATCCGAAGCGTCACGGATAGAATCGAGGGTTGGTTAACTCCGGTGTGGGGCCGTCGACATGTGGTCCCGTGTTGCGGCGGATTTACTAGCATTACCTTTTCACGCCCCAGGGCAGAGAGCACCTCCAGTATACTATCGTACGTAGGTTCAGGGACGAAGAGCTACCCCGATGTTGTTAGGGGGGACGGGTAGCTCCGAGGAAGTCTTCTTTCACTTGCCGACCACAGGCACAGGCACACGTGAAATCGAGCGTGATGGACGGAATGGCATATGCCAACCAAGGTAGGTCCCTCGACTTCAAAACACTGGCGGGGGAAACTTTGGACTTTGCTCTTTTTTGCCCGCCTTGACCTTTCGTGCCTGTGCTGTTGTCTCCCCTCTCCTCCTCCTCCCCTCCCCTCCTCCCTCACCCACCCTTGCTCGCTTGTTCTGCTGGTAGCTGACCGCGGCCTGTGCTCGTTGGGGATGTCTGCAGGGACAAGACGACAATGTGCCCTGTGTATGCCCGCCTAGGTATTGACATTCGGTACGGAGTGTAGTTGTCATCCGGGTCACCTCGGCCGAAGGTTGGGGGGTGGAGGGAGGGAAGAAAGGGCTCATGTCGGACGAAAAGGGGAAACAGCAAAAAGGAGCAGTCTAGTCTAAAAAGGGTAGTATTTCTATATCGGGAAAAAAACAGGTCAGTTACTTGTAGTCACGATCATGGTCACAATTGCAGCAGCAACAAAACACGGAGGAGATGGTGGTGAGATGCCGACATTGTTCAACAAGAGGTGGGAAAAGACCGCCCGGTCGGAGGTGGAAATGCCGGGAAATGACGGAGACCGGCGCCTTTTGCTGGCGACTTTTTTTCTGTGGCTCGGGTGGGAATTCCAGGGCACCACACATGATCGGGGCGATCCCAGAGCCCGACACGATCAGCCCCAGCAAATGAGGTGCTGAGATCGGGATTTCCAGGGCTCACCGGGTTGGTGTCTGGGAACTAAAGTCGGTAGGGGGGCTTACGCTTAGCAGCAGCACATGGAAGCGGGTGTCAGAGCCGCTGGGAGTGGCTGAGATGGCTGGCCCATGGCGTTTTAATGTGTTTGTGTCTTTTACTGATTATCCATTCACTGCATTCTTAAAAGTGAGTCTTGGATTATTGGGGATATGGGTTTTTTTTTGGTCTCAGGTTATCGCACCAAGTGAGATTTACGAGAGACGCGTCTGACAGTCTAGGCACATGTACTACTAGTATAAGGCAGGCATACGGAATGGATCCTGTGCTTTGCCTTGCGCTGCAGAAAGATACCCATGTCATCGTACATAGTAAACATAGAAAATAGTGGTGGGGAGCGTGATTTCATTGTCCTTGGAATATTGCCCAATCGGGTAATGCTATGTGGTGAAGACCCACAGAACCGCTTTCGAGTTCGGGTTCGGATTGTGGAGACTCGCACTAACATGTACGTACATACTACTATTAGTAGCAGCGCGTACTCCGTACTGGCAGAGCACACTATGTGTACTAGTAAAAACCAGGGTAAAGGAGCCCGTGCAATTTTAATGCTTCTGGGGAACATGCTGCACACAAGATTGAGTTGGGCTAAGTCGAACTGAAATAAACTGAATCTTGACGGCAAGTCTTCAATCACTCTTGAGGATATTCATTGATGTCGATTGGCTCACATCGCAATGGTACTTATCTACTAGCATCAGTATGCGCACCATTCGTTTGCTTTCCCGGAGAGAAAAAATGACGGCAGACGGGAGACGGGCTCGGTTATGTTTCCGTCAGTCTCAGATAAGCCAGCGGTGGCTGCAGATGGATGTGAATGGGGGCGGGATATGATTGGAGGGCAACATCATCACACGCTTCTACTGTTTTCCACAGGCGTGCAGGGCGGCCAGGTGCGACTGAGGGTGGTGTAACTACATAGTATGCACAAGGTTTAGCGGCCTGCATCGCTAGGGGCGAAGACGACGGATCCGGGGTATCGGGTGCATAAGTTGCATCATATCGAACCGTATAGTCCATTCTACTTGGAGAAGGACAAAATGAGATCTTGACAAGAACAATTTGAGAATTGCAGAATGGCTCGAATGATCGCCATCTCTCATGCGTAAGCTTCGATCCTGTCAAATTCTAACACCCGGCCGTGTTGGCGTCTGCCGGCGGAATGTTTCACGGGGAGAGGCGGAAGGCCGCCAGATGGAGCAGTACAATTGGCATTCGGGGCGGAAACCCGCCAGAAATGGACGGCAGTGATGATGATCTCGACACCTGGCGACCGGCGGGATCGGAATTTACTAGTTTCCGATGACTGGATATTGGCTGTGTCTTGGCCCTTTCTCACCCTTTGTTGGTCCCAAACAGCTATGCATGTGTGTTACCCCAGCCCGAGAGTCTATCCCATGTCAAGATTACCTGTTTCGCCCGTCTGGTGTTGTGTCACCGGAGCAAATACCTACCTGACGCCCTACGACCTGTGTCATGCTGGCATATGTTCACCTGGCAAAGGTCTTTTAAGACGAAGGCAACTAAGCTGTTGGGACGAGTCAGAGGGGTCACAGCCAGGGATAGACATGAGAGGAGACAAATGGGGTGTGGAAAGACAAAAAAGGAAACAAGAAAATCAGAATTAAAAAAAAATAGAGCATGCTGTTCCATGGTGAGACCGCGCTAAGACGGTGCTGCCTCGCGAGCAACTAGCTGTAGTGGTAAGCCATGCTAGACACAAATTTGCTAGTATTGCGTGACTAACCAACCAAAAGTCGTAGTAATACATTTTGGTTTTTTTCCTTCCTACAGTAGACTCGAAGTGGGTTTTATCGGAACGCTGCGAACAACCCGCCCGACATTGCATCGGCATCGGGGTTGTCGAGAGTCGGCGCCCAGTACTAACTACCGTGAAGATCTCGGGGCAGAAGTGTAAGGGGCAAGGGAGAGAGATTGGGTAATGAAGTATGATGTGGATAACACCAAAAGACCCTCAGGCCTTTTCCCCCGGTGGGAATCCCAGGGGCAGACAGCCTGCCGCATGCGTACTATGTAGGACATGATAAGTACTGGCAGTACTACCATGTATTGCAGAAGACAGAAGCATAAAGGGCCAAGGGGTGCAGCGACCGGGGGGTGTTTGTGCGCCGGTCGTAAATCGTCGTCGTAAATCGGGGCCCTGTGGTGATCGCCAAGTTTGGGAACGGATGCAACATTGGGCCTGGGATTGGGGTCATTGCGGAAAATCCGAACTGGCTAATCTAGTGGCAGCGTCCGGGTTTGCCTCTGTATTTCTTTGATTGCCTGTGTTGAGGGCGTTTTGTGAATGTCAAGCAGTAAAATACTTAGACTATTCTACCATATATATTCGTCATGAATCATTATGCTAATGGCTTCTCAAGATATGCAATATCAAGGGTCAGTTTTGGGGGACTCGATTCTCCTTCCAAGTGGATGTACAAAGTCTAGCAAGAGCCAGTAGGAGCAATTGCTGTACGGAGAAGCAAAAGAGGGCAGGGGAAAGAGAAAGATTTCCACCGTCAGGCCAAGAGGCCGGCGCGCGTAGGTACCGCCTTCCGCCCAATGAGCCGCGCCACCAGTGATGCTATCTATCTCTCGTTATTATGTGTATCCATTTACAGCAAGAAGGATGGACAACAACTACTCTAGCAAGGCGTGGTGACCCTCGGTGACGGGAGACTGGAACATATGTGGGTCCCGTTACCTTCACTCGGGAAAGATGTTGCGGGTTGTCGGGCTGCTCGAGAAGCCCGAGACAGGCAGGCAGCTCGCTTGCGGCTCCTTAGCGAGGATACGTACCGTTGAGGAAGGTCCACCCACCCCCTTTTGCAGCCCGTAAGCGTGTGATGCGGGGCCTTGGTTGGCTGTGTCGCAGCTTCCAGTCAAATTTCCCTTGGACGCCCGGCGGGGCTGCTGCTTCTTTAGTGGAGTTGGTAATGGGGGGCCGCTCCAAGAGGTGGAGACTTTGAAGCTCTGGGCAACTTGCAAAAACAGCAACCACGTTCCAGAAGGTGCCCCTTCATCCCTCCTTCCCTGTCAACCCGCCAAAAAGAACCACCAGCTAATTACTTTGTTTGTCATCATGGCCAATGAGATACATGGCGAATGTGCTCAAGGTGCTTGTCCGTTGCGGTAGACGGATCTGCGCCTCTCGTACTTACAAAGTAATGCCAGAGACTAGACTAGCCAGCACGACAATCCGTAAATCGAGCAGTCGCAGGCCAAGACGTCCAGGCCCCCCAGATCGCAAAGGACTCTTGATTGCATCCGATAACAGGGAACCCTTTCCGGAGTGGGCCACCATCCCATTTCTCGGAGGGATTTCCATCCGCCACCAACTACAGATAAATGTCTCTTCATTTTTTGGAGGGCATGTCGAAGGAACAAGCCCTGTGGAATAGCAGGTTTTGCATCTGCCGTTCGTTAATGGCCAGTGGGAAAGGCAGTTTTCGTCGACAATCTAGTAAACTTTGCGCGCAGGCCCAGGCGCCGCCGCCGCAGGGTTGGGATTCTTACACGAGGCGTAATAGGTTCAGAGCATAATGCCGGCCGAGATGGTTCTTCCATGCTGGGGTGAGATTTGCGACACGGCTGACTATAATTACCACGACAGCGATGTGATGGGATACGCCATGCGTCTAGCCATGCGTCTGGATGAGATGCGATGGTGATGTGATGGGGCAGATGGAGCGTAGCTGCTTTTCCATCGTTGGCAGCATCTGATAACGAGAGACTCTGGCCCAGGCCTGAGCCTGTCACAGTTTTCTTTTACTTTCCGCAAGATCGTACAGTAGGAGCATGCCACAATTCCCTTCTGGGTTCGGGAACTGCCAACATGCCGATAGGATTGCACCATGCAGGGCGTTGTTCCGAGCCCTTGCGGTCTGTCGGATCTATGAGCCCTTGTGCTCTTTTATTTTTCGGACCTGGAGTCCGTGGTACGGGTTGTACTGCCTGCGCTAAAGTGAGTGCTCTATGGGGATTAGATCAAGCATGTGTAAATCAACAATTGGGCACAGTTATTTTTTGGTCCGCCTTACGGCCGACGCTGCTATTAAGAATCTGCAATGTAGGAGTACTCCAACGGCCAACGATGGGATATGGCTATGCTTCCATGGGGCAGAAGAGAGCCTGGATATCCGCGATAGATAGAGCAATTCGTGGATATACCCCCTCATCAGGTGAACCGTGTATGAGAGTTCGTCAGGTTTTTGATTGTAAACGTAGCAGGCCAGTCCCTGATTGAAGATGGTCTGGTGTGGTGTGTGTTTACAGCGAGACACAGTTGGTGGAGGTGCAGATCAGTCAACACCGGCTGCTTCGACCGTGAGCTTCGGTCGAAATACACGTGGCAACTGGTTCAATTTCCGCAATGTGAAAACCCGCCAGCCTGCGGAGTTTGAAAATACATGCCTTAATTCCTGAAGCCTAGTCGAACAGTCAGTCTCTCTCTACTTAGCGAGGAGTCCAGGCTGGATGGTACCGTTGCCAGCAATTCAAATTCCGCCGGTATGGCGGGAGAGCGCCAGCATGATCCTAAGATAAGAATCCGCACCACCAACTTGCCTTTTTTCTCACAGGTTCAGATTACGAATTAGGCGGAGAAAGTGGGTAGCCCGGGTGGGTTAAACTCTTCGTGGAGAGGGAAGGGGCTAGGGGTTCTGGGAACTTCCTGGGGCCCGGTGAGCGCGTCATCGACACGCTACTGCAGTGGCCGTACGTAGTAGGAGCACGGTACCAAAGGTGCTATGTAGGCAGGCAGAGTGGGCAGGCAGGCGGGAATGGGGGGTACGTATCTCGCTTCTTTCCTGCAGGCTGCGTATCTTTTCAGCCTACCAGCACGGGTACGTACCCCGGACAGTTATCCACTTTGGGACGTTTCGATTTTCTGACAACGACCCTTCTTGGGAGGGCGCAAAGTATCCGTACCGTAGCTTAGCTGAATATTTTATTTATTTTATTTATTTTGGTCTTTTTGTTATTCTACCTCTCTCGCTCTCTCTTCTATGCCTCCCCTGTTTTTTTCTACACCCCCCGGTTGACACCCCCAACCTAGCACGTACACCCTCCTCCCCGGCTCCATCCCGTCCTATCTTTTTTTTTCTTGCTCTTTCGACAAAGTACCTAGCAGTGCGCCTCCTAGTGCTGTTGCTGCTGTTGCTGACATCCTGGTCTCCCCGAGCTGCTGGGATCATTCTTTTTTACTCTTTTAGCCTGCCCTCCTCCTCGATCTGTATTACTTCTACTTCTTCTCTCCTCGTCCTGTCCATCACCGACGGCCTCTTCTTCCCTCTTTCCCCTCATCCCTTTCCCTTAATTCTTGTTGTTCGTGTCGGTCCTTAATTACACCTCTAGCATCGTCTGTAGTCTAGACGTTTAGCACTTAATCGCCCAGCTTAATTTCGATACGCGCCGCCGCAGAGACCGAGAATCGACAACCTCACGAATTTCACGATACCAGTGCCGATCGGGTTGTTGTTACACCCGTAATCCTACCGGCCTGGTCCGATAAGTGGAAGGTTTCCTTTGAGAGACATCTGGGATAGCGGCAAACGCCCGCTACTCCCCGAACCCACTGCCTACCATGGCTTTCGCCGGGATGGCCTCTATCCCCAACTACGATAGCACAGCTCAGACTTCTGGCGTGCCCATCACCTCGGGGCGCCAAAACCACCACGAAGAGGAGGAAATTGCCGCCGCGAACCAGAATACCGTTGATACCGCCGCCACCTCCGTAACTGAGGTCGGTGGCAGTGATGCCGGTACCAAGAAGCGCTCCAGCCCTCCCGAAAGCGCAGACGATGACGATTCCGAGATGGAGCGCCGCCAGTCACTGGTCCAGTCTCTCGCCCGCCACTACTCCCATGCCTCAGGAACTGCTGCTGCGCCCGGAGGCAACCCTTTCTTCGCCGACGAGAACTCCCCCTTGAACCCTCACTCCAAGAACTTCCAGGGTCGTGCTTGGGCTCGCGCCGTTGTCGATCTTGTTCAACAACAGGGCGCCTCCTTCCGCACCTCCGGTGTTGCTTTCCAGAACCTCAATGTTTACGGATATGGTCAGGCCACCGACTACCAGAAGGATGTCGGTAACGTTTGGCTGAGTGCTGCCGGCCTTGTTCGCCGCTTCACTGGCGATGCAAAGACCAGAATCGATATCTTGAGCAACTTTGACGGTCTTGTCCGCAAGGGCGAGATGTTGGTTGTTCTGGGACCCCCCGGTTCCGGTTGCTCGACCTTCTTGAAGACTATTGCCGGTGAGACCAACGGTCTGTACACCGATGACAAGTCCTACTTCAACTACCAAGGTAAGTTCAACAAAGAGAAGAGGTGGCGTCGGCTGTGGCTTGCTGAGTGATGTTTCTTCGCCTGCGAAATGCGACGGCTCACCCCTTCCGCCCCTGTTTATGTGTAGAGTGGACAGCGCTAATGATACGCAGGAATGACCGCTAAGGAAATGCACACGAACCATCGTGGCGAGGCCATTTACACCGCAGAGGTGGATGTTCACTTTCCTCAGCTGTCCGTCGGCGATACTTTGACCTTCGCCGCCCGTGCCCGTCAACCCCGCAACTTGCCCGAGGGCATCGACAAGGCTACTTTTGCTAATCATCTGAGGGATGTTGTCATGGCCATGTTTGGTATCTCTCACACCATTAACACTCGCGTTGGTAACGAGTACATCCGTGGTGTGTCGGGTGGTGAGCGTAAGCGTGTCACCATTGCCGAGGCCGCTCTTTCTGGTGCTCCCCTTCAATGCTGGGATAACAGTACCCGTGGTCTGGATTCTGCCAACGCCATCGAATTTTGCAAAACTCTGCGCCTGCAGACCGAGCTTTTCGACAGCACCGCCTGCGTGTCCATTTACCAGGCCCCCCAGAGTGCATATGACTTGTTCGACAAGGTTGTTGTGCTGTATGAGGGACGCCAAATCTTCTTCGGCAAGGCCAATGAGGCAAGACAGTACTTCATCGACCTTGGCTATGACTGCCCTCCTCGTGCCACCACTCCTGACTTCTTGACGTCCATGACCTCCCCCCAGGAGCGTCATGTTCGTCCCGGCTGGGAGAACCGTGCCCCTCGCACTCCCGACGAGTTCGCCGCCTGCTGGAAGAACAGCGAAAACTACAAGGCCCTTCAGGCCGAGATTGAGGAGTACAAGCAATCTCACCCCCTCAATGGTCCTGATGCCGAGGCTTTCCGTGCCTCCAAGAAGGCCCAGCAGGCCAAGGGTCAGCGCGCCAAGTCTCCCTTCACTCTGTCTTACGTCCAGCAAATTGAGCTCTGCTTGTGGCGCGGATGGAAGCGCTTGGTCGGTGACCCCAGTATCACCGTCGGATCTCTTATTGGAAACATCGTCATGGCCCTCATCATTGGAAGTGTGTTCTATAACCTGCAACCCAACACCCAGAGCTTCTTCCAGCGTGGTGCCCTTCTCTTCTTTGCCCTGCTCATGAACGCTTTCTCTAGTGCCCTTGAAGTAAGCCTTGCTCTCCTTGAACATAAAACATAACGCTGACCTTTACAGATTCTCACCCTGTACGCTCAACGTCCTATCGTCGAGAAGCATGCCCGTTACGCTCTATACCATCCCTCCGCCGAGGCTATTGCATCCATGTTATGCGATTTGCCGTACAAAATTTCGAATACGCTGGTTTTCAACTTGGTGCTCTACTTCATAACGAACCTGCGACGCGAGCCTGGGGCCTTCTTCTTCTTCCTGCTGATCTCATTCTTCACGGTACTCACCATGTCCATGATCTTCCGTACCATCGCCTCGTCGTCCCGTACGCTCTCGCAGGCCATGGTTCCGGCTGCCATCCTTATCCTGGACCTTGTTATTTTCACCGGTTTCGTTATCCCCATCGACTACATGTTGGGCTGGTGCCGCTGGCTAAACTATTTGGATCCTCTGGCTTATTCTTTCGAGTCGCTCATTGTCAATGAGTTCCACGGCCGCAACTTCGAATGCTCGCGCAACCAATACGTCCCCAACCCCGACGTTCCTGGATACGACAATCTCCCGTCGGCTCAGCGTGTTTGCAGTGCTATTGGTTCCGTTGCTGGCCTTGACTACGTCAACGGCGATGACTATGTCGGCTCCGGTTTCCGCTACGATTGGAACAACCGCTGGCGCAACTTTGGTATCCTGATTGCTTTCATGATGTTCTTCTTGTTCACATACATGGTTACTGCCGAGTTGGTCTCCGAGAAGAAGTCCAAGGGTGAGGTTCTCGTCTTCCGCCGTGGACACAAGCCTGCGGCGCTCAAGGAGAAGCATTCTGATGACCCCGAGGACATTCGTGTTGGACCTGTCACCACCGCCGACCGCAACCGTGTTAGTGAGAAGGGTGGCGGCGGCAACATCGAGGAGCAAAAGTCGACTTTCCACTGGAACGACGTCTGCTACGAGGTTCAAATCAAGAAGGAAACAAGGCGCATTTTGGATCATGTCGACGGCTGGGTCAAGCCTGGTACCCTCACTGCTCTCATGGGTGTTTCTGGTGCCGGTAAGACCACACTTCTGGATTGTTTGGCTGATCGTACCTCTATGGGTGTCATCACCGGAGAAATGCTTGTCGACGGTTACCACCGTGATGCCTCCTTCCAGCGCAAGACCGGTTACGTTCAACAACAGGATCTGCACTTGCAAACCACAACCGTCCGCGAAGCCCTCAACTTTAGTGCCCTCCTTCGTCAACCTGCTCATGTCCCTAAGCAGGAGAAGCTCGACTACGTTGAGGAGGTTATTAAGCTACTGGATATGGAGGAATACGCTGATGCTGTCGTCGGTGTTCCTGGCGAGGGTCTTAACGTCGAACAGCGTAAGCGTCTTACTATCGGTGTTGAACTTGTCGCCAAACCCCCTCTGTTGCTCTTCGTTGACGAGCCTACCTCCGGTCTCGACTCGCAAACATCTTGGGCTATTCTCGATCTTTTGGAGAAGCTTACCAAGAGCGGCCAAGCTATTCTTTGCACGATTCACCAGCCTTCTGCTATGCTCTTCCAGCGTTTTGATCGTCTCCTCTTCCTTGCCAAGGGTGGTAAGACTGTCTACTTCGGTGATATCGGCGAGAACTCCAAGGTTATGACTTCTTACTTTGAGCGTAATGGAGGCTTTCCCTGCCCCGCTGATGCCAACCCGGCCGAGTGGATGTTGGAGGTCATTGGTGCAGCCCCCGGTTCCCACACTGATGTCGACTGGCACCAGGCCTGGCGCAACAGCGCCGAGTACGGCGAGGTCAAGAAGGAATTGCAGCGTCTCAAGGACGAGCGCGGCCCTGAGATGCATGCTACCCAGGACAAGGCCAGCTACCGTGAATTCGCCGCCCCTTTCTTCGGTCAGCTCAAGGAGGTTACCCATCGTGTCTTCCAACAGTACTGGAGAACCCCCTCGTACATCTACGCCAAGGCTGCCCTCTGCACTCTGGTTGCTGCTTTTATTGGCTTCGTTTTCTTCAAGGCCCCCAACACCCAGCAGGGTCTCCAGAACCAGATGTTCGCCATCTTCAACCTGCTTACCGTCTTTGGCCAGCTTGTCCAGCAGACTATGCCTCATTTCGTCATTCAGCGATCCCTGTATGAGGTGCGCGAGCGCCCGTCTAAGGTGTACGGTTGGAAGGTCTTCATGCTCAGTCAGATCATTGTCGAGTTGCCCTGGAATACATTGATGGCTGCCATCATGTACTTCTGCTGGTACTACCCTGTTGGCCTCTACAACAACGCAGTCGCTGCTGACCAGGTCGCGGAGCGTGGCGCGCTCATGTTCCTATACTTGCTTGTTTTCCTGCTGTTCACATCGACCTTTACTGATTTCATCATCGCCGGATTCGAGACCGCAGAGGCCGGAGGTAACATTGCCAACTTGCTGTTCATGCTCTGCCTTATCTTCTGTGGTGTCCTCGCCAACCCCGACTCCATCCCGCGTTTCTGGATCTTCATGTACCGCGTATCACCCTTCACATATATCGTGTCGGGTATGTTGTCGACTGCAGTCGCCAACACTAATGTTATTTGCGCTGCCAACGAATATCTCCACTTCGATCCCCCCTCGCAACAGACATGCGAACAGTTCATGGGCCAGTACATCCAGATTGCCGGTGGTTACCTCAGGGAGCCCAACGCCACTACTAACTGCGAGTTCTGCGTCATGGATGATACCAACCGCTTCCTTGCCAACGTCAAGAGCGACTACGCCGACCGGTGGAGGAACTTTGGCATTGCCTGGGTCTACATCATCTTCAACATCTTTGCTGCGCTCGGCCTCTACTGGCTGGCAAGAGTGCCCAAGAAGGGTGGCCTCTTTGGCAAGAAGAAGACCGAGTAAACTTATACCCCAGAAGCGAATGAAAAAGTTTTGTTGGAAATGATGGAATGAAAAGAGAAAGGAAAACATGACAAGACTATATTGAACAACGTGGAGGTTTATTGTGTACGAGCAAGCTGATTAGAAATGACAGGCCGGGTGCAAACCCGGAGACGTTGCTGCTCTGACAAGTTGGAGGGCCTGGATAGATGAGTCCAAAAAAGCGATGGGCCTCGGTCGTTTTGTGTCTCGCGGTTGCATGGCGGTGTAAACACATTTAGTGTATTTTTTTTTTTCAATCTCCTATACCAAACCTCGTGTAGAGAGGATACCATTCACCACTTTTCTTTATTTACTCATAAACTCATAATAGATACCTGTCCTTATGGGAAGATTTTTGTGCACACCTAGAATCTTAGCAGTGACTGTATTCGGAGTGAAATGTGAGCTCATGTCCTCTCAGGGGGGTTAAATTGCAGTGAACACTGTACACGTGAAAACAGCGGTCGGGATAACTGCTGTTGCGCTAAACCGCTGTTGAGCTATCTGCAGATTCGCATGGGTGACGTAATGGTCTATCCTCTCTGGGGGAGAATCGATCGCAGTGCACTAAGGTACTTATCTCGCCTTTTCATCGTTGCTGAATGTGTCCATGACTGCTGCCCCTTTGAGAGACGAGAAATCGCACTGAAACTGAACTGGGGCTATCCTTGTCATTGACATGGGATGTGATCCCATTGGTTGGTGTTGTAGATCGTGTTATATTAGAGCTGGGTTTGTTCCTTCCTGACGGGTTCGAATGAGAGTGGAAAAGTCAGAGTATAGATGTTGATTGAGGTTGAGATTCGGGTTGCTTGTCTTGGTGTCGGTCTGCGTTGTTTTGCTCCCTCTAGGGGAGAATGTATTGCAGTGAAGACATGCATTTGCAGGGGCTCATGTTAATGCATAAGTTGGTAAGCTCTATTGGTAGCGTCTTATTCTTGGTTTTTGTGCATGCCGAGGGCTCCGCTCTCTAATGGTCCGCTGAGGGCTGCGTGTGGGTGAATGTGAGCCCACATCCTCTGGGGGTGTTTAAATTGCAGTGAAGTGTTCATGCAAGTCAGCCGTTCGCCAGCCCTAAAGGCTCTATCGTAGGGTTGTATATTATTGGATCACTCTAGGCTAGATGTGGCAGTACGGCCTGTCACTGGGTGCCTTTTATTCTTGGCTTGAATGTATCCATAGGCCCATCTCTCTTTGATGGTCCGCTGGAGGCAGCCGAAAGCACAGTGAAAGAGTTGAAGAGAACTGCAAACAGGCTTATGGTACTTGTCCAATCGAGATATATCCAATCCCATCCAGTGGTATAGGGCACCAGCTTGGTTCCGTCCTTTTGACTCCTAAAACAAGGAAACCTGGCAGTACTTGAATAATACCTCTAGGGTAGATAATTTGTGTAATAGCATGTAGATCAGATAGAGACATTCAGCATATAATGATTGAATTTTGTACAAGAGACAAGTGGGAGCCTTGGTGTATCTGGTTGGTTGGCAAACATCTTGGCTCCCTTTGAGTGGCCACAGGAAAGCAACGGTTGCTTTGCATGTATTTTGATCGAGCTGTGGATGCTAATGGTGTTGTTGCTCTTTTACAATGCGTTGCTTCTGGAGAAGAGAGCATTGCCGTGAAATGTGAGGTGACAATCACCTGCGCAAAGTAGCCTGCCGTACTCATCTGCCTTATTTTTCTGCCTTTGAGGGACATTGATTGCAGCGAAAGGTCTGAATAAGCGAATTCCAGAAACAAGAGAAACCGTGGTTGAGAAATGTTATTGGTGGCCGTTCATCAGTTTGCTTTGCCTTGTCCTCTCCGGAGAGGAACACATTGCAGTGAATTTCTTTGAGGGCTTTTATCTAGATCTTGAGTGGTTGACATACGGTAGTACAAAGTTAAGTTAGGTGGTTATCACCCATCGTTGGCAGCCTGTTTTGCCTTTACGCGCTGCTAACGTACTACAGGCCTCGCTTGACAGCCTCACTGAGCATCATCACTTGCGATTGGTACATAAGTGTTCTTGGCCTGCATCTTTTTGATGTCTTCGGGTTTTGCACCTCTGGACAGAACAGAGATCGTAACGGATTTGTGACATTGCTTTGCAATCACGAACCGATCCTTTACAGTATTGAACACCACAGGCCAATACTTGTCCCGCCTTTTAAACCTCGTAACAAAGCTACCGAGCAATACTTTACACCTGCCAAAATTTCTGTTACAATAATGTATGTTTGTGTAAATCTGATAGGGACATCCTTTTAGAATAGTTGGGGTGTGTAGAGGAGAGAAGTACCTCAGAGAATATTTGGTTTAAGGTAGTCAGGAACCTCTCGTATGCCATTGAGCGGCCGACTTCACTCAGGCCGATGTAATTATAACTTCATGAAACTGATCGAACAGAGTAGTGAACGTTACGGTAAGAGTGGGCATGGCACTCCCTGGTGTAGGAATGAATTTTTAGGAAGCCTACGCGACGTTGTCACCCTCTGTATTTGAGCTTCAAGGTAGCCATGACCGTCACTGAGGATACGATTTTCATTCGGCGATCGAACAGCAGTTAATGGACAACCAATGGACATGTGGTATTCCGAGCTTGGCGTGATGTGCGGACTCGTAGATGATCGTGTGTCTTGTTTCATCGAGATGGAGATGAATTGCAGTGAAAGAAAAGTTAGTTTAGCCTGAGGAATTAGGGCGTATCAGTAGCTAATGCGGCCATGCCACACCATAAACTCGTGTTGTGACATGTCAATCTTGAACAACCTAAGGTATCCTGTAAAGAAAAAAAATAACAGTCAAGGCACCAGCTTGGAAGGCAAACCGTTTGCTGGTTGTGCTAAGCTACGACTGATTATTTTGTCTCTTTTCTTTTTATGGGAAGAATCAAGAGCGTGCTTCAATCTGGCATGTTGCTAGTGAATGAGTTTTGGAGAGGTAACATAAACAATGCTGGTTGGGTTCGACGCATGGTTGCCTGCACCCTTTAGAGGGATTGAAATTGTAATGGAGAAATGGATCTTGGCAGAGGCTGGTAGTGGGGGGCACTCCTACTCCTACAGCCTAGTAAACAGTGAGGCATAAGAAAGCCCGGTTCGAGCCAAAGACTAAGGGGATGGATTTGAATGAATGAAAACCACCATAGCGACCCTCGAGGTATACACGCTACACTTCGTGCCAAACCCACCTATCTGACAGATATTATGAAGCGCCAGAACCCGTCTAGGGTTGCAGTATCGGCCGCACACCAGTCTTCAGCAAGTGCAAAAAAGAGGTGCTATCCCATTGAGCTAAACGCACAAAAGGACACGTAACAGCAAGTTGCTTACTTGTTGTTTGGCTGCATTTAAGTAAGAATACTGCGTAGTCAAAACTTAGGACACATCAACCGTGGCATAGTCCGCAACAGCTGCAAATCTTCTTTGAATTAGGCCCTTGGGTAAGAAGCAAAATGCAGCTGATAATCTGCTTATGTGTTATTCCAGACAACTGGGGAATTCAGGTAGGATCGGCGAAGTTTTATGCAGTACTTAGTTTTACAAACAAACATACATTCTCTTCATGAATTGGAATTGAGATACTTCCTTGCTTTAGGCAGAATCTGCAGCCTGTCGCTCTCAGCAAGGCAGTGGGATGAGCAATATTTGCCTCGATGTGTGGTTTTTCTACGCTAACTTTGCTATGTCTAAATGGGCTCAAATTGCAGCGAGAATCCGCGTTGGTGCATTGGAAGGATCCGTGTGGGGGCATGCAGGAGTACTGCTCTTTTTATCCCCTCTGGAGACGTTGAAAACGCAGTGAAGGAAGTAGAAAAACTACGTCACATAACAAACGACCTCCTCTTGATATCAGAATTTACTTATGAAGAGGAAAAATTGAGTGACCGCCTTTGACGTTTACTGCCTGTGGATTACTTAATAGGTAATACTAGAGATGCTGTTCCACTTATCCGAGGGTTCCAGGCCAAGTTTACATTAGCATATCAAGAAACAACCATGTATTGAAGAATCCCAGCTTCTACATCTGACTTTAAGTAAAACCTCCTTGGAGTTATTAGCTTCGATACGTGGTGAACTAAGCGTGGGATGCAGATGGTTTGCCGATATAATCATCTACAGCTCATGTTTTCATCACATACGGCCATACCCACTGGAAAACTCGGGATCCCGTCCGCTCTCCCATAGATAAGCCAGTGAGGGCCGGATTAGTAGTTGGGTCGGTGACGACCAGCGAATACCTGGTGTTGTATGTTTTTGGCTCTCTTTTTACATATACCTTATAAACAGAGATGCTATTTCGTCATCTTTTAATTCCAGCACCTACCCGCCGCAGGGAAGATTCAGTCTATTTCACTTACTAAGCAGGGCTAGGATCGCGGCACCTTTTCTTCTTTCTGTCTGGGTCCCTATGTCTAACGAGGGGGAGGGGATAGTCTCGCAAGACATAAGCAGACCCTCAAAAAATGCATGAGGGACCCTCCCTATGCCTGATCCAGACCTAAACAGGCATCGGCAGACATGCAGACGAGAAGTTATTATAGTCACCCGGTCGAGATTGCTTTACCACGAAGAAAAATAAGGCACATAGAGCCTAGTTCGAGGACGTATACATGATGGGTTAGACACCACAAGCCTAATCAACCCTATAGAAGGCTCCAATCTAGTCCCCAAAGGCGTTCAACCGTTGGCTGTAGGTAATAGGTCAGGCGCTAGAACCCGAGACTGGGAGTCCACGAGACGATGAGCAGTTTCTTATGTAGAATCGTGTGGCTTCCGAACGTATCCTACACAGTTCATCCGCCTCCTTCCGCTACCACTAAAGAGAGCCAAGCCATTTCGAGCTTGACAACTATTGAATGCCTTGCAGTTATTACTGGGTTGTTCTCAAGTCCCACTTAAACTGGTGATGTTCCGGTGCCAAGGCACGGCAGTATCATACAAAGAGCACCCAATCTACTAGAATATCTCGACGGTGCCGTGGTATTGTTCGGGCAGTAGGCATACGGAGGAACGCGGAGATTCCAGCGAGACTACCCACACGCGGAAAAACACGATCAAACACGTTGCAACTCGTCCAAGCCTAGAATCTCCTCCATGTTTCCAAACCTCTCAATCCTTCCTTGTGACAGCAAGGCAACGACATCGCGGCCCGGTTGCATACTCTGTGTCACACCGCTAAACCTATGTGTGATTCCAATAACGGTATGACCTTTTTCGATAAACTCTTCATGAATGATGCCGCGTATTGCAACTTCGGTTTCGGGATCAAGTGAGGAAGTGGCCTCGTCAAGAAGGACAATCGGCATGATGCGTTCGCCCTGAAGTTGGGACCCTGGAGAGGGTGAAACGGAGCTGTCGAGAATCTTTCGGGCCTTTCTTGGCGGAGAGTCTCCCGCTTTCAGATGTGACTATAGATATGTTCGTTCCAGGACCGCCACGATGGCCCTATTGGGGAGGGAACCGGAGGGCTGGAATGATTGGATTAGTTTGGTCCTATCCAGACTGCACTGATCTTTGGGGTGGAGTTGCTTACGTCCAGGTTGAAGCGAAGACTAGCTTGGCCGAGGACAAAGGGGTAAGTCTACTGGGCTCATAACAGACAGATCATGAGTATAGCCGCCAGCAGCATAATGAATGTGGGGTAAGCGTGGTTATATCTCTTATAGTAATCTGCTGGGTCTACAGTAGGTCTCAACAAACGAGTGGCATTTATCCTATGTACGGCAGTCCCGGCCTGAACATGTGGTTGACTGTAGTGACTCTATGCGGTCAGATTCACTCAAGTGAGGGTATTCCTGGTTCTGCCAGTTGGGCTGTCCACTCAAATCGCACTCAGTCCGGATTGACCCTCGACTTCGCTGCGAGATATTCTTTCGCTGTCGTTTTCCATGAACCGAAAAATCACAACCCGGCCTGTTCCACAACCAATGACCACCGCAGGCCCTTTTATGGCTGATACAAATGATCGATACTCCGGCGGCAGCCAGAGTAGATGAACAGAATCTCTTTTGATCCACACATCATTGGAGCTGATTGAATAACCCTGGAAAAGCGGTTTCTCAGGTGCGTGAGATGTTATGAACGTTGAATTGCTCGTAAGTTTGCCTTGTAGATCAATAAGACCCATCTCCGTATCAAGTTGCAACCCATCCTCGGAAAAATGAATGTTGTGAAGCAACCGAGTTTTGGTAAATGTTCGGATATGATGCCCGGTCACGTTGTCCCAAATCTTAATGGTATTGTCGGAAGATGCCAAAGATTGCTGGTTGCTGTCGGCTGGCAAAGTAACCATCGACGCGCCGTCCCAGATCCTGATGGGCCTATTGTAGGATGCCGATGCGATTCGGGCGCCGTCGCTCGAGAACGCTACTGCGTAGATGATGTTGAGGTGGCCTCTGAATGTCCGAAGACACTGACCTGTAGTACAGTCCCATACCTTAACGGTTTTGTCAAAGGATGCTGATGCCAATTGAGTGCCGTCGCCTGAAAAAGCCACCGAACTAACCAACTGGCTATGGCCCTCAAGCGTTCGCAAGCACTGGCCCGTGTTGTTATCCCAGATCTTGACAGTCCTGTCTGCGGATGCCGATGCTATTCGGATACCGTCGCCCGAAAAAGCCACCGAAAAGATAAAATCACTATGGCCTTCAAGGGTCCGAAGACACTGACCCGTATACCTGTCCCACACCTTGATGGTCTTGTCGAAGGATGCTGATGCCAGTCGGTTCCCGTCGCGCGAGAAAACTACCGCACAGACAGCGCTACCATGGCCTTCGAGCGTCAAAAGACACTTGCCATTACTAGCATCCCAAACTTTGAGAGTTTTGTCGGAGGATGCCGATGCTATGTGGGTGCCGTCGGCCGAGAAAGCAACTGTGAAAATGATGTCACTGTGGGCTTCAAGTGTTCGACGATACCCCACCAAAGCGCTGTCCCATATCTTTACGGTCATGTCGGAGGATGCCGACGCCAACCTAGTGCCGTCGCCGGAGAAAGCCACTGCATGGATGACTTGGTTATGGCCCCTCAGCGTTTGCAAGCACTGGCCTGTGCTGCTCTCCCAAATCTTCATAGTGTTGTCGGAAGACGCTGATACTATACGATCGCCGCTAGCCGAGAAAACAACTGAATTGACAAACCGGCCGTGACCCTCGAATGTCTGAAGACAATTACCTGTTCTATAGTCCCAAATCTTAATAGTCTTGTCGGAAGACGCCGTTGCTAGCTGATGGGTGCCATTGCCCAAGAAAGCCACCGCATTTACAAAGTCGGTGTGACCTTCAAGTGTCTGGAGACACCGGCCTGTGGCTGCGTCCCAGATCTTTACAGTCTCATCGGAAGACGCCGATGCTAGCTGAGTGTTGTGGCCCGAAAAAGCCACTGCATTGACGGAACCGGTGTGGCCTTCAAGAGTCTGAACACACCGGGCTGTGCTGCTCTCCCAAATCTTGACAGTGTTGTCGGAAGACGCTGATGCTATACGATCACCGCCAGCTGAGAAAGCTACTGAGTTGACAAAGTGGTTATGACCTTCAAGCGTCCGAAGACAGTAGCCTGTTCTATAGTCCCAAATCTTAACGGTCTTATCGGAAGATGCTGATGCTAGCTGATGAGTGCCCTTGCCGGAGAAAGTCACTACATTGACAGAGTCGGTATGACCTTCAAGTGTCTGGATACACTGGCCTGTGGCTGCGTCCCACACCTTGACAGTCATATCAACAGAGCCAGATCCGAAATGGCGCCCATCAGAAGAGCAGGCTACCGAGACAACCCGGTCGCCGTGACCCTCTAGTGTCTGCAGACAGGCGTCCCAGCTAGCCTCTTCTTCCGTGATTACTTTGATCCATGCCGGTGCTTCGTCCTCGAAAAATTGACGTATGATGCTGTCGGTAGGGCTGAATAGAAGGGCTGCTATGTATACTTGCAATGGACAGGTTTCGATCATGTATCCGTGTGATAGGACAAACCGGCGCGCATCTCGGACCACTTCTATCAGCTTCGGTGCTTCAATATTTGCCTGTGAGCATTAGCCAGTGGCTGTTTGGGGCGACCTGTGATTGAACCTACAACTAGCACCTCGAGTTTCCGCATCGCTACAACTGCCTGCGATATGCCACGAAGAATACTCAGAGCCTCGAGCCAATAAAGGTACTTGTGCTTGATGAAAGTGTGAACAGTTTCGTAAATCTTTTCATGTGTATAGTTAGGGCTAGTCGCAGGAAAGGCAGCATCAAGATGATCGACCCAGTATGTGCAAAAGTATTTGAGTGGGTCTAAAGGGTCTGGGGTTGGTGGTGAAATGTCCTCTGCAAGACTACCAGGGGCGCGCAGCTCGTAGATGTCTCGTCTTAGCGTTCCGGATAACGCTTCCATAGACCTTGAGAAGATGACATAGTGCTGGTGCGCGATGCCAGAAGGTAGAATATGGTCAAATGCAAAATATGTCTTGTTCAGCAGGAAATCCTTGGCCGATTGATGTACAAAATAAACTATGCCCTCGCGAATGGTGAGTAACGAGCCGCAGCAGAGAACCAACTCATGTACCAACTTCGACACATCGGGCTTGCCCACGCTCCGGCCGTTATTCTCGGAATCGCTGTTATCCCAATCACTGTTGTCCGACTCTGTCTCGCTTCGTAGGTCACAAACCGATCCATACTCAAGGAGTGATAGAGGACGGTAGAGCACAACAGTTACGGCAAGTAACTGCATGCATTTCTCATGAACTATAGAGTCGCAGATCTGCTGCATCATTCGTTGGTAAAGAGCATCCAGCCCCGGCGGAAATGTCGCGACTATTCTTTGAACTTCAAGCACAGGCACTGCCTTGAGTTGTTGGAAGACTAAGGCCACCCAGAGGAAGGTATCGCCTGCGTGGTTGGAAAGGTAACGGAGTACTCTGTTTCTTGTCTTTAAGTCATAACCCTTGTTTTCAGCTAGCTCCTTCACCTTCTGTTTGATATAGATATCAACAGCTGCTGAAACGGACTCTGCATGCAGCTCTAGCGAGAGCCTCTGTGCTGCGGTCCGTAGCTGTTCTTCGATCTGTAGCCAATTTCGGCTTGAGACAAGCCACTTAGCACTTGTTGATTTCGATGTTTCCGTTATTAGATGGAGCAGCTGTTCAAGACCCGCTGAGCACTCATCCAATGCATCGACGAGGAGGAAGACGCCTTGCAGCTTCGAATCACAGAGCATGTTAGTAAAGATCTCAGACATCGCCTGCCAGGCATTCGCGTCTTGAAAAAGTGCCTTCCCGCTTTTGTCGTACTTGCTCTTCGTATATGAAATGAGGGACGGTTCTTGGTCGAGAAGCATGAAGATCAGGCCGCGCAAAACGGCAGTCGCAGTGTTGAGTCGATCATCGGTGGCTTGACAGAAGAAATACGACAGCATTCTCCCTTCAGGGTATGTTGCTTCAAGCTCATCGATAATACCACATAGCAGCATGGTCTTACCCTTGCCTGGGTCGCCCTTAACCCAAAGCAATCGCTGGTTCTGGTCGTTACGCCATTGACAGAAACTAAGGTTCTCGAGCACCCAGACGTAAGAGTCAGTGAGCAAACCGCCCTTAATGTCCTGTATGCGCTTCTTGTCGTCGCGGGGATCGGTGACACGCAGGTCGGCCAAGCATTTCTTGAATTCTCGGCTCTGTTGCATCTCATTGTTTTGCTTTGTCTGATGGTGAAGGGCAGACTGAATACTCCGAAGTTCCTTGAGCTGTTCTTTTGCATTGTCCTCTATTGACTGGAGATGTTGAAGTATCTGTTGAGTGTTGTACTGCTCTAAGTCGTTTCGCACGGCGGCCTCAACGGTTTGTATGTCGTCGATCTTGCCGGCCCAATCGTCCAACCTTATCAGATCTCTGAAGAGGATGGCAAGCCGACTTCTGTGGTAGATGCAGATACTCTTCATCTGGTAAATCAAGAGATTTTTGTAAAGCTCAACTATATGTCCTTTTAGCAGAGCACGTAGTCCCTCAAGGTCCGGGCTGGCATTCTTTGGTTTGAGGAGGAGATCAACCAAGTTCCAGTACCAGTTCATCCTCGACACAACATATTCAATGCCATCGCGATTGATTCCCGGCTCGACGACTGGATTCGCGAGCATCTTCAGAGCGTCAGTATATTTTTGGATGTTCAGTTTTGTAGTTTTGAGGAGTAATCTGACCTCCAAAGCGAAGGAAACGCCGACCCAAGCGATGGCAGCTTGAGGAGCAGCCTGCAAAGCCTTCCCAACTACCTCCTTCAGCGGGGATATGATGTAGATCATGTCACTAATCTTCTGTTTCGTAGCTGCATCTTTGCTCGTCTTCTGTAGCCCAGCCTCGACAAGGCGCTCCATCTGGCGCCATCTTCCCTGCGAGGTAGGCTTGATTTGGTTGTCAGCTACAGCGGTTGAGGTGAGGTGGTCCTCCGAAAGTTGGGCCGATAGGAGTTTCTCGTATGCTTCGACTATTTCGAGTTCGCTTGACTTGAGCTCGTCATACGCTTGGTTCCACAGCCGCTCTTTCAGGCTTGCTGTTGATATCGGTGTCTGTAAGGGCGTGGAAGCCTCAGGAATAGGATCTGAAGAGGGTGAATTGTGATGCGAGACAGAGCCTAACTTGCTAAGCTTAGATTTGATCTTACTCCCAAGCAACTTGATCTTCATATTGGTCTGTTGGCTCTATGCTCCGTAAGCGTAATGGGGAGATGATTCAAGGTGGTTGCACTAATCGTATGTGACTGCAACAGAGGGTGAGTACTTAAGCAATATTCTCTTCCCTCGTCAGGCGGGGCAAAGCGACTAGAACCATATTTCGGTGCATGAAGATAGACCCAGGGTGGGCCGAGAATGTGTGCGGGTGGTAAAACTCGACGAAGAAGGTGTTGCTCGTCTTGGCATGCATCTGCAGCTTTATGCCACGCGTAGGCGCTCTTTTCCCGCGTTTGCTTTTTTCAGTCACTGTCTTTTGTTAATGCCCCCCCCTTCTCCCTCCCTCACCCCCTTTCGCAATTTCCACCAGTAACGTAATAATAGGTGAAGGTGGTCCTTATTGGCGCTAAATCAAAATTTCTCATGGCTCTGCGAGCGATGTCTCAATGTCATGACGGGAGAGTTCCCGATGGGGTTCATTTCAGCAACGGACTTATGTATTCATTTTTGGGATGTGATACGTTTTATCTTTGAACTGTTCGAATTGTGACGCCAATATCTGGTCCAAATACGCAAAAGAGACCCTCCTGTAAGGAAGATAGTAGAACTGCCTTACATAGGAGTAGAGGATGTCTACTACCTAGGTACATAACAGATGAAAGAAATCGGAGATAAAAATATATCACAGGTACCTATGGCGACTACCACGACCACTTTCAAGATGAGGGTCAAGAGGGAAAACCTGATATAGGTAGACCGTCTTCCATGCAGGTCATGAAGGCCACTGCAACGTCGGTCTAGCCAGCGGCAGCTAATCGGTTGGAGGGCTCTCTGGGGCTTCCAAGAGCACAGCACGTTCCAAAAATAGTTATTCGCAACGTGGGGGTGGCGGAGAAGTGAGGGTGGAACGTTACCTACATCATGCAACAACCTCGGCCCAACGCGCATGCAGACAAGGCGCAGAAACGATTAAGTAGCTTCATTTCCAATACATATTGAACAGTACAGCGAACACAGATACTTTGACAGACGCAAGTGAAGAAAATAGACCATATCGCGGCCAATCCTCCAGATCGGTCGCGATATATAGACATCCTCAGAGAGATCCTCAAGTTTGTCATGATCACGCTGAAACTGATGCACAGATCGGCCAAACTGAATCCAGACGTAACTCACACCATCAAATTGATCAATGACACCTCACGCCCTCTGGTGCCATCAACAGCAGAAGTGACTTCGGCCGCCGACAAAGAGACGTGGAACACTTTGGGAACAAGGGCATTGTAGAAGATGACCCTCATGAACATAGATACGGCTCGTATTGTTGTTTCTGTTGCATTCGGTTAACGCCATTGCTACAGATCTCCCGAGGAGTGTGTGTCGTGGGGGTCCGCAGACCGTATGGTACTCGTATGGCCTTTTGAGAAACGAGAGTAGGACCGGCGATGGAGACTGTGCGAGTAATCATATGAGCCTTCGATGGCTAAGCCTGGGCGCAACGGATTGGGCTTCTCAACATTGCTCTAGCTGCCGGTACCCTCATTTTCACAAAGAACGCGCCTGACGTCCGCGCAAGGACACTTGCTTGCCCACATGCGGTGTCTTTCTTCATCCAGTTTTGACTTCGGATTTGCTGTGCCGCCTGTCTGCTTTGGCCGCATTCGTATCTATGGGAGTCCGCTCTGTCGATGTTGTGGAGGTGCGCATATGAGTGACGGCGGAGCTGGTCACTTTACATCTCACTATGTGCGCATCCAGTATCGAGATTCGCGTCCACACTTCGAGCTTGTGGATATCCTGGCTTTGCGTGGCTATCTTCCAGGATAATCTGCTCAATCTCCCTTTTGCGGTGAACGACAGTTTTTGTCGTTGCCAGGGAATGCGCGGCTCTTCTGGCTCCGAAGCATGGTTCGGCGTGAGCACTCGCATTGGAGTTAAAGCCCCCAAGTCCTGCCCCCCAATTTGGAGCCAGCCAGCCAGCCAACAATTCTCCCGCGTGGGAAGAAGGTCACATATCGTTTGCAGATTTGAAAGTTTGAATAAACAGGGAGGAGATATGTCTTGAAAAAGCATCGCCTTCCTGGAACGGACGTGTCGCGTTTTCAATAACTGCAACTGGTATGCACTTGGTTCTTCTCTTGTATTTATCAAAACATCGCCGATCATAGCACGCCATTGACTGCATATTAAGCATCGCTCAACGTATCTCCAGTCAACGCTTAGTGAGTTTGGTCTTTTAAGCAGCAGGCAATAGGCAGGCTGTCATGGCGTGATATATGCGCTGTTGGTTGCCGTGACTGCTCGGAACACATTAATCATGCAAGATTGTCTTCTTGCGGTCTCATCTGGATGAAAAAGACCGCCTCCGCTCCATCTGGATGATTCCAGTAGACATACATCCCAGTTGGCTCAGTCTTGGACGATTGAGAAAAAATAGGCGGATTATCAACAGCGCGCTCCATCCCCACCTCCCACCATACCAGCTTACAGCTCCGGAGCTTCAACATCACTTATGTATTACCACAACTATTGACCCACGCTTTATTTCTAAGCAGCCGACATCACATATGCCGTAATCTCAGCAGCATTATATGACAGTTCCATCCGCTATTCAATTAGCAGTCATATTTTCCTCTTAAAAAGCAGCTAGCTCGAGGACTAAGTACTTATAATAAGTAGATACAAAAGGTCTAATCTTTCTAGGTGACTTCTTATATCTAGAAAGGCTCTAAACCATGAATCACTTCGCCAATACAAAATACGAAATTGTGTCCACTCTGGGTGATATAATTTTTAAACTCCTCCAGGGCAAGAGCCTGAAAAGAACTGCAGGGAACAGTAGTAAATGATTAATGAGCTTTGAAAATCTTGGATCATAACCTTGGCCATTTAGTGCCTGAAAAAACACGTATTTCTGACCCCAAGTGTAGAATGTACACAAGAAATAAGGGAACAAGTTCTTTAAGTATTTAAGGGCCACCCAATAGTACGATAAATCTGTCTTGAGCGCATCCTGCTTTTTCGAGGGCCGGAAGCTACCAGAATCTCAGCTTTGGGTATTTGTCACGTACATTACCCCAAAAGCCATGAGCTTCCAAGTGGGAGGCAGATCAGTAGCGACTATATAATCACAGCCACAACATACATGAATCGCACTATCATATCTATACAAATATAGTGGGTTTACCCACATGGCAGTAGATGGCAGATCTAGCGAGGCTTGACTTTCATCACTCCAATCTCGGCATTATGCAGTCTTGGCATTGTAGCGTGCGGGTGCCACTCACCGATGAGTGAGGTGTTGACAATCGTGACCGAGTCACAGGTGACAGAGGGAGATCTGCCAAATATATTAAGATAATATATTAAGATCGCCATTTGCAGCCCTTTGGACTAGAATCAGTAACAGGGCAGGGCACTAAGTGGGTCAGTGTCAGCAAGGCCCGTGCACAATAGAGATAAAATTGGTTCCTGTGTCGTTAACGCCGGGATTAGATTTCAAAGAACAGCACATTTAGATTATCTGACTAGGATTATCAGAGTGGAAACTGGGCTGGTCAGCTTGAAGCTAAAAGCTGACAGCAATGATTAGAATTAGATGCTTGTGCAGGTAGAGACACTTCCGCCTGAAACAACTTCCTACGGCCTCTTTTCTCTCTCTCTTATTTTTTTTTAGTAATCATCACCGCCAGCAACTAACTGTAGCTGGTAATCTAAATCTAGCTCTGTAAACATGCCATACCCCTTTGTAAGAAATAGCCGGGCCAGGTTCCCTAACAGATGACTAACGTAGAATCTGTTCGCACCCTTTATATAACGTAGGTAGATAACCTAATTAATTCAACACTTTGGGCAATTAAGTAATGGAAGGAAATACGGTCGGCCATAACGGCCACTAGATAAAAGGAATAGTTTTATTCCGTCAGAACAGCATGTAAGGGACAGGCGAAAAAGTCCTTCAGCTTGTGTGGCTTGTACTCAACAGAAAAGAGCACTAGGCGAGACCAAAGAGAGAAGACGAGGTCAGGGTGCCTACATTGTGGAGTAGTGCTTTGCAACTCGGCTGATTGCTGGTACCTCTTCCCCATCGACCATCACAAGATGCCATTTTTGCCAAGGAGGGGTAAAGCCAATCAAGATTCCTACACATGATAGGTTTGTTAGCTTATATAATTCCATTTCGAATACATTAAATCTTGGTAAAATTTGAGTGTTTAGACGTACTAGTAATCGCTGTCGGTACATTAATGTCATGTCTGTATGCTAAGAACAATATGGAGAAGACGACTTACTGCCTTTGTACTGAATGTGCCGCGGGGGAAAAGCGGCTTCACAAGTGACAATTTGAGGCTTGGCGAAAATAGCGTCTCGTGACGGTCGATGGGATAGACAATAGAAGTATCCATAATATAGGCTTTTTGGTTGACTAGAAGGCGTCTAGGCTATCTCCTGAGTAGTTAGTTCCTCTCAAGGGTATGTACCTGTTGCCAATAGGCCCTCGATGTGATAATGTCGAGTACATTATCATTTCGCGGATTGAACCGTTAATAAGCGATTCCTGTTTGGTACTCTAGTGCGTCAACTTCGTGTTGCAGTCTAAATGATACTTCATTCCGTAAAGCATCTTAGTATTCAATATTCTAAAACTTAATTACAGTAGATGCACTCCCAGTAAGAGATAACTATCGTTTAGCGACGTCCTGTAACTGTCAGTAAAAAGCCATTCATTCTAGTCACCACTCTCTGATCTCTCTCCACACGAGCGTGTAAGGCTTTTAATGCTTACATAGTGCAGCTATTTTGTTTGATTTACATATCGATATTGTAGACGTGGTAGTGCGGAAAGACATCAGAGAGTTGCACAGAGTTGAGATTAAGGATGAAGTCCTTTTCGCTGGCCCCTGTAGAGAACTGTAGAAAATGTAGGGGACCGTAGAAACTCTGAAAATTGTAATGTAAATAGACAGGCTATAAGCAATCGATACAACCGCAGCAGTGCTTGGGGAGCTCATTAATGCTGTACATAAATGATCTTCCGGGTACTTGGATCAGGTGGGGCGAAGGCATATCAGCAGGGCCACTAGGTCGATTGGTATAACACTGCCAAATCGGGCTGTGTTCGTGCCAAGAAGGCAGGGGTCTGTCTGTGCGAGAAGAAAAAGAAAGTTTGAATTCGAATGAAGCCAAGCTTTTATTGTTGTTGCCTACTGATAGAGGAATAATATAGCATAGATACAAGAGCTCTTTATGGCTTAGACAGGGCGTAATAAACTCTGTATGTGTAATGTTAGAGGTGCCTAATAAGTCTGGTGGAAGTTGAGTTCTGTTCCAAGGTGCCGGCGGCAGGAAAATCCGAGTCAGAAGTCACTAATTGCACGTATAACCTCTTCAGCCCACACGCCGTGTAATATATTCTCGAATGTCTCCGTCCGAGCTTGGCGATGCTATGGATCGGCGAAGCACTGACGATTGCAGTTCATCTTCACGAGTCGGATGGGGCAACCCATGATATTTTCAAAGCCCTGCGGGTAAAGGCGTAGTATCATCTTTCTCCTATGACCAGAAACCAAGTATATAGAGTCAATGGGTTGTGCCCATTTCTCGTCATACTCTTACTTCACCATCTTACCCACGCACACACAAGCACATACACTTCTTCAGAAACTACTTCAACAAACTTACCTCATCATCACCATGAAGGCCTCAATCGTACTTCTTGCCGGAGCTTTTGCCACAGCTTTTGCTGCCGGACTCGAGGCCAGGAATGGCGAAATCGAGCAAAGAGACATTGAAATCGAATCAAGGCAGGAAGGGACTGGTTATAATGTAAGTAAATGGTCCGCCCAATACCTTGAAACCTTTAATGTTAACGCCAATCCCTTTCTAGTGTCAAGCCGGTGGTAATCGCTTAACCAAAGACTGCTGTTGGACAAGCGTATCTGCTTGTAGGAGACACAGCGGTGTCGGGATGTGCCAGAGGGACACCAACTACTGCCCCCAAATCGTCAAGGATAACTGTGTAAGTTTACTATGAATAACTATATCTACGACGTTATAGTAACTAATCTGCTTTGCAGAAAGCCTCCTGCTGCCGTCCTTGGGTTGATCCTACCAGCAAGAAAATCACGGGAGGCTGGGGTATTGGCTGCCCTTAGAGTTGTCATACTACTCGGGTCTTTCCGCTCTGACCACAGTTTCAACAACTAGAGTCATGGCTGGACTCTTTACATCCAAGGTGTTTACTTACGGGTCTCCGTTCCAATAGTAGCTAGGCGGTACGAGCTTGGTTACCGCTATTCGCAATGCGACTGCACATCTGTCGCGTTTGTGGGCAACCCCGAGTACTCTTAGTCTTGGTCCCAAGTTATAGTCAATATGTACAACCTTATCAGTTGGAAAACCGTGACTATTCTCCCGTAGACAAAAATGTGAGAGAGTGAGCACTCGGCATCCCCCCCATCTGCCTAAACAGGTATATAGTAAAGTTGCATGTGCATTTGAAATTAATGGCGGTATCAGCTGTAGTTGCACAGTCGTTACATGCAGTAGGGAGGTTAGCACCTAAGTTTTAGGTCGTTTACGCCATCAACAACGTATAGCTTATCTAGGGCCCACAAGCCAATTAGAGCCTAATACACTCCAAAATCAAGGTGAAGAATTAGATGCAAGGATAAGCTGTAACAGTAACAGCAATAAATTGATGTTAAACATATAGAAGTAGGTCTTTTAGCTTCTCCCAGCCCTGTGAAGTAGAGCAGTTTTAGCCGAGTTGTTAGCCACAGCTAGACCTCATCTCTATACAGGATTCTCTGGCTGCTCAACTTAAGCTTAGCCGGTCACCTAGAGCTCAGGTGTATGTCTAACATACTCAGGTCTACTCTAGCTTCTTCGGCTACTACTTACCCACCACTCAGGGCTACTCAGGGCTACTCAGGGCTAACTCCCCGTTACTCACAGTAGCCAGTAATAGCTCAAGCCGAACTATAACTACTCGATATCACATAAACATAACCTAGAGCAACTGTCGCTAGCTAAGTAGGTTCTAGGAAAGCACTACGTCAACTCCTAGGTACGTCTTATGAACTATACATAACTCGATATACAACTTAAACAGAAAGGGTGTTGCCTTCTAATTAGTAAGCCTTCCGTTCCAAACAGTTTAATTCAGTCGAATAGTCTTCCCTTCCAAGGTAGATCTTCAGCAGGGGCTACAATTTTAATTTACCAAAAGCAGGAGTCACTAGTCGCCTTCAACCCAAAAACGAAGAATATAGGGGCTGTATTAGCAGCTAGGTCGGTAACAACCAGCGAGCACCTAGTATTATATGTTTTTCTTTTTGTGCATGTTTATGGGCTACAATGACTTCATCTTTTATACAAAGTCACAAAGATTGGCATTCATAACCGTTTTAGTAGTCTGCCAAAGTACACAGAATAATTAGATGGTTGTTTCCATGCTTCTTTATTTCGTTGTTTCAACTTGTCCATTATCGTTAATCCAGAATGGCTGGCAGTTTTTCCGGTTTTGTGTTAAAACTATGACTTCCTTCCTTCCCGATATAGATCAACGCCAATTTAGGCACATTTGGGACCATAAGCAATTAAAAGAAAGGTTTATACCACCAACATACAAGTCAGCCAATCTTCGGGTTGGAAGAATTGCAAGTGGTAACTCAAAAGGGGTGGCTGCTCCTCTGATGATAGACTGGTTGCAAATATCCCATTTTTTCACTCGGCAAAGAAAACAGGGATGATGTCTAAGTTTTTAGGGTGTCGATATGCTTTTATAGAGCCTAGTCTAGATGCCTTTGGAGATCCCAAAAGAGTTTGATGAATTGGGGTCAGTAGGTGCTTCAGTGGGGTGTCAAATACACACTTTGACGACTGAGGGTTTGCCATCTAGTCTTCTTTCAATGACCGCGGACGCTGCCTCCCAGTGACATTTACTAATCAGCAGAATCTGCAAACAGTCACGCGTTTCTTCCTGTTCCCCCTTGTGAAGACTACTGTGGCGCAATAACCGTGTCATCCTGGCCGTGCGATACACCCTATGCGCAGACTAACCTGCGTAGATCAGTAGAACACGGTGGCTGGAATGTTGAAAACCAGTAATTGGTCGTACTTTAAGCCGATACCGTGAAGGTTTCCTTGATATGTGACTCTAGAACCTCTTACTCTTCATGCCTGTACCACATGTAACCAACGCAAAAAAACATTTATTGTGTAAAACTATTTGTTAGATTCAATCAAAGTTTGGGACTATACTTCTTTCTATGTGTACTACCTATGCTTCAGAACCCCGTAGCAAAGCGACAAAGCAGGCACTTTGAGATGATGCCCATCAATCAGAACCATTATCACCGCCAAATGTTACCGTCCACCCCACCCGTAATGCATTCGCCGATTGGATACCTTACAAAGAAAATGAAACTATAATGGTGGCACACTTGCTGAGCCATGCTCTCAAGGATGCAAACATGATTATTTGCAAGTGAATACTTAAGAACGCTGAACCGGGGTTAAATAAACGTTGAGAGGCCCCTTCTCCCATAGCAGGTAAATCTTTTGTCGGCCAACCCAGTTGGTGCTGTCATCTGCAATCTTCATGTCAAAGTTCCACAACATGCGGGTGAGAATCGTGCGCATTTCAACATAGGCCAAGCTGAGAATGGTGTTAGTGACCGTAAACACGAGTTGGTTGGCAAAATCATGAGGTGCGACGTAGGGATTCACTCACTTTCTTCCAATGCAGTTACGAGGTCCAAGGTGGAAGGGCTGGAAGGCGTCTTTGTTGTCGCTGGCGAACTTGGGGTCTCCCAGCCATCTCTCAGGGTGGTAGTTCTTAGGATCCTTGAAGTTCTTCTCGGAATAGTACATGGCCCATTGGTAGACGGACACAGTGGTCTGTTTTCAAGAGTTAGCATAATAATCTCAAACACCGTTCTTCTAGGCACTTACGCCCTCGGGGACATAGTTGTCCGCAATAGTTGCGCCTCCTGCCGGGACGATGCGAGGCAGACCGATGGGGACGGGAGGGTACATTCGAAGCGCCTCTTCCAAGCAAGCAAGAAGGTAGGGCAAGTTATTCACAGAGACGAAGTCAATCTCGCTCTCATTTTTGAACGTAGAGCGGACTTCTTCGGTGAGTTTTCGAAGAGCCTCGGGGTTCATCAAGAGGAAGTAAGTTACGCCAGAGAGAAGAGTTGCAGTTGTCTCGGATCCACCAATGATGAGAATGCTTGCATTGGCCTTCAACTTGTCAAAGGTCATGTTCTGTTACTGGTGTTAGCATCAATGAGATCCCAACAGCATCATCATGACCTACCCAGTCATCCTTCTTCTTCAGAAAACCCTCGATCAGATCAGGTCTGTCCTGGCCCAGTTCCATACGGCGCTGCAGTTTGGCCTTGGTGAAATCCTCGTGAACTTGGCGTTCACGAATGGCCTTTGCAGGAACCATGGCCATCATCAACTTCCCAATGAAGGGGTAGTGAGTAGCCAGTTGAAGTACGGTACCGAGACGCGCCATCTGAAAAATGGCCTTCACCCAAGGATGATAGTCCGAACCATCAAGACAGCCAAAGGGCTCGCCAAAGGCCAAATCGCCGATAACATCGAAGGTGGTGTAGTTGTACCAGGCGGCCAAATCGAGGGGCTTCGCGCCGTTGTCTCCATGCTCATGAAGTCGTTGAAAGAGGAGGTCAATATACTTCTTGATGATGGGTTCCTGGTCGCGCATGCTGCGCTCGCTGAATCCGTGTGCAAGCGAACGGCGGAGAGTGGAGTGCTCCTCGCGGGGAGCATTGACAATGTCGGATGGAGCTCCGGGTACGGCACGGTAGAACTTTTGGGACTTGTCCATCTCTGCGCCGCCTTGAGAGCGGTGGCCCATGATGTCCTTCCATGCTCGAGAATCGTGGAACGCGAGCTCGTCGGGGGCGATGCGTACTACGGGGCCGTACCTGTTGTGCAAGTCGAGCATGTCATAGGGCAAGGTTCCAGTGAGCAGCTGATAGCAAAACGGGATTCGAGTGGCGCGCATCCATAGTGGGCCGGGATACTTTCGGAGTGGGTGAAGGTAAAGGTTGTAGAAGAGGTAGCCAAAGGTATAGGCAAAAACCTAGTAGAACGTTTTGTTAGATTAAGCACCTCAAGTTGATGCGAATGTTAAGCAAAGGGGAAACCGTACAAGGCCGCCAATGAGGCCAATTGTGTTGACCAAACCGAAGGCGAACAGCGCCATTATGCGTTTAGTTTCGATGCAAGAGATAGAGTGAAAAAGAGGCGGTTCTTGATCGAGGCTTGAGGCTTCAGCTTTTCATCTTTTGTCAGGGCGTTCCATCGTGCTGGTTTTATTTCCTCTACTTTCAGACGAAAGCGAGCAGGACGAACGTCCCTCCCATGTCTAAGAGGAGGCATCTTTCTGTGGGTTCCTTGTTCTTGATCCTCGGCTTAGTACAGGTTTCCGAAATACGCCTCTCTCTTTGCGCGTATTGGACATGAGCGCCTTGAGCCCAGTCTTCCCCGCCTACATTGCTTCTGAGGTATTACACTGCCACGGGCTATAACTCCACCCGTTGCGTTTCATTAGATGCGCGGGCAGACCACGAAAGCGACAATTGCCATGCTTGCACCCACCGTCAGTGCTCCTCCCGCAGTGCCACGATATGGGGTTGTCGGTCTCGGGTTCGGTCTCGCTTTGGATTGGCCGTTACGTCCCGACGAGACACCTCGACCAATGGCCCCAGTCGACATGTCTCTCTAAGCAGCGAATGGCCAATCGCGGATTACATAGTTCGCGGGGTTCATGGCCGTTCGGACTGATGAGTTAAATCTTTCTATACTACCCCAGAAGCGACCATTAGGCAATTCTGGGCGATGCTGGGCTGATAATTTGCGACCTAGTCGGCTTGGCTGAGTAGATCAATCGCAGATCATTTATTCCAGGCCATAAGCGGATGGACTGCAAATTTGTGCCACATTGACGGGTTATTAGATGGTGTCACACCCCGAAAGCGACGCCGAGGTCAATAAATATTGATGAGCCTTCTCTATCTTCGCATTCTAGCGCCAGCACGGGGTTAGGAGGAGGGCGATCCTCTCAATCGGAGTATCGATTCCCGTGCTGCAGATCTGTTTTTTTTTTTTCTATTTTTTTTTTTTTTTTTTTTTTTTACCATTCTCCTCTTGCTATGAAGGGAGCCTTTCTTCGCCTCATTGGCCAGGAGACTATGCCTAGAAATTCTGCTCATACGCTGGATGCAGGCAATACTAGCTTTGAGGTTCAGACTTGAGGGCCAATTGGCTCCAAAATTGGCACTCGGACCCTTGATTTCGGACGAAGTTGTCCCCCGACGGTTGAGAAATGAAGTCTTTGAGATTAACTTTGTGGGACGTTGTCATTTGGAAAATACCGCATTCAATGTTCTCCCGACCACCAAAGGACCCGACAGCTAACCACATCTGCATGTCGCTTTAATGCAAGGGAATGAGTATCCTCCTTCAATTTCTTTGCATTATAAAATGAAGTTATTGAGGAAATAGATCTTATTGGTGCGATGATGGGTGGCGGCCCCAATTGTTCCGGCCGGTTGCTCAACGTACCAGCCTGGGTGACACGACTGTGCGTTAATCAGTATCGAACAACGAGGTCAGTTTCAAGTCAAGAGACAGGGGAAAAGTTGAGAAAAGGCCTAGCACCAATTGATGGCCAGTAGCTAAAGACCAGAGCTTACTGAAAGAAACCGAGAGTCCAGGGTGTTCATCGGACCATGTTTCATCTGTAATAAACGGCAACCGTTATTTGGAGGATGTTTTGTAAATCCAATACCTCCATGTTGAAAAATCCATGTTTTTTGGCCGCCAGAAGGCCTTTGTCTGGTCGTGGGGGCACTGCTAAAGCAGCACTCATCTTCCCCAAGGCCTGGCGACCGAATGTCACTACATTAGAACTAGCTGCTTTAATCTGCACTCGCTCCTCAGGGTCCATGGCTTTGGTCTTCTGTTTTTGAAATACAGAGATGGAAGAAATATCTTGGCAAAAGACCAATCAATTAACTTTCTTACCAGTTTGGATGGTAAAGTCCCCTTACCACGCTGGACATCAGAGACAGGGGAACACCCTCTGGCGAGCAATAAAGGTTTGGGGGGGACAAAGGATTTCCAAGTGTCCCTAAGCCAGCATGCATTGTGCGCATGCTCCAATGAGATGTTTTGCTTCTGGGGATGCTCATCGCTAATGATAGACTAATAAGGGGTCCAAACGGGACTTCCCCATGATCGGTCCGGTCCGATGCAGGTCAGCTTAGAGCCCACCTCCGCACTTTTGGCTCAACTCGCACCCAATAATAAACAAAAGGGGGGCAATGAGCTGAACGGAAAACAAGCCTTTTGAAGTGTCTGACTATGGAAGACCAGCCAACCTGAAAAACGCCGCCGGGGAAATCCATCTTTGTAATTGCATCTCATTGGATCGTGGTATCGCTCAATAGGTGCTGATGCATGTGGCTGGCCTAGTAACCTGCGTCTCCCCGTTGATCTGAATCGTTAGGCCGCAGGACAGGCCGGCCATGCAGCACCATTACCGAATAAGAACTGATATGTTGTGCCCAAATTTCCTCATGATATAGTTGAGGGTCCGTCCGTCCCGAGCGCGTCTCTACCCCTCTCCTTGGCCTTGGCCTGCAATCACTCGACAGTCAGTATCTCGAAGAACCATTTCGCGGTTTCCCAAGTCGACTTTTTACCAAAGGACACGAATAAAAGAGCTGTAGTTCACAAAATGCTCGACATCGCCATCGTCGGTGGCGGCATAGCCGGCTTGACAGCCGCCATCTCCCTCCGCCGCGCAGGCCATCAAGTCACAATTTACGAAAAGTCGGCACTGAACAACGAAATCGGCGCCGCCATCAATGTTCAGACGAACGCGTCCCGCCCGCTGATTGCGCTTGGCATGGATCCCGCGCGGGCAAAGTTCGTGAGGGCGAGGGGCAGCAAACGCGTCCGTGGCGATACTTTGGATTTGATCCATAGCCTTGATCTGGGGTCTGTCGCGGATAGGTATGGGTCGCCTTGGTACTTTGCGCATCGAGTCGACTTGCATCAGGAGCTTAAGCGCATGGCGACAGCGGCTGAAGGGGGCCCGCCGTTGACGGTGAAGTTGAGAAGTGAGGTGACGAGCTATGTAAGTTGTATCTTCGAGCGCTTGAGACGGAACACTGATCGTGCAGGATCCCGAAAATGCTTCGGTAACTCTCGCCGATGGTACTATCGTCTCTGCAGACCTTGTCGTGGTGGCAGATGGCATCCATAGCGGCGGCGTAGAAGCCGTCCTGGGCTCGCCGAACCCGGCAATCCCAGCTGGGCAGGACAACTTCTGTTACCGCTTCCTGCTACCGATGGAAGAGGTTCTCTCTGATCCTGTCGCGGGCCAGCTTTTTGATGATGCGAGCGGGAGCGTCCGAATGTTTCTTGGAAATGGGAAGCGGGTAGTCACATATCCTTGTCGAAAGTTTGTAGAGCCGCGTTCTCGACGCTTCTCGGCTAACGGTTCTCAGCGGTGAGGTGCTTAACTGCATTGCGATTTTCCACAGTGAAGTCGGTACATCGACGAAAGAAGGTGTGTAGATTGCCTCGAGTTCGACATCTTGCGTTGGTTTATAGCGTACGTGACTAACTGTCAACAGATTGGCATAGCTCAGTGGACAAATCTCATCTCGTTGAGAGGTTCTCCGACTTTCACCCTAGCGTCATTGCAGTCTTGCAGTAAGTCATCAATAACGCAGGCAAAGCACAGTACACTGACGGCGAGTAGAAAAGCAACCGAGGTGAAGCAGTGGCCCTTGCTTTACCGTGCCCCTATTCCTACGTGGCGGAAGGGGAGAATGATTCTCATCGGAGATGCCGCTCATCCGATGCTTCCACGTAAGTTCACGACAGAAACCACTTCAACTTAGACGAAGCTGACATGATGTAGACCAAGGCCAAGGTGGCGCGCAAGCGATCGAAGACGGTGTCGCTCTCGGCGTGTGCTTCTCAAATATCGCCTCGCTGGCAGATGTCCCTGAGCGGCTCGAGGTGTTTGAAACCATCCGGAGGAACAGAGCCAGCGCGGTCACGATCTTCAGCAACGCAGCACAGGACGAAGCGGAGAAGATCAAGGAAGCGGCGTCAGAGTTTGTCCAGCCAGTGGAGAGGATTCCCAGTGAGTGCAGGACCTTCATTTTTGTGAGCCATTCTGACATTAGTTCAGCCAAGCCGGAAGAGTTCTACGACTTCCACTTCGATTACGACATTATACAGGACTCCTTGGCGCACATGCAGAAGCTATACCCTGGTTTCCAGCTTCCAGGGGCCTTTCAGCAGAAAACTACTGGCAGGGCATCCCTCTAGGAGTTTGGTGGTCTACAGATCAGATCAATACTCCGAGTAAGTCATTCGGCTGACGGATAACAATCCAAGACAAGACTTTAGGAAGTGTGGATATATTCTGTTTACTTTGAAATGTTTATATACAAAAGGGGATGGTGAGAGCATTGTACAGAGCGCTGAGTAAAACCCCCAACGTCTCCCTAAATCTCAGGTCGGTCGTGACCTAATAAGACCTCCATCTTGCAGCCTTTTCTGCAGTTGGAAGGAATATATGCATATGTTGTGTCTGTCATTTATTCAGACCATGTTTCTTGTTCGTCGCAATTTTAACGTCATTTCGTACAGCTTTGAACGCTGACCTCTCGGTGTCGTCCATGATCGGATCCCGAGCCCAAGAGGTCACCTTATTTCGCCCTCTTCCTTTGGTAGTGATTGTAATCGTTACAGTCGTTGCTATTCGTTTCGTCATACTGTGTCCCTTGCTGGAAATCGCCCATCTTAATCGTCTGATTCGTCTGCTATAGGTCGCCAACAGGAGACGGCTCAACACCTCATCACGAATCAGGCGAATAAACCTTCTGGACAGCCCTCTCGTGCGCAGCCTGCAAGAGCTCCTTCTCCCGCTTGTGACGGCCCCTCATCTCCCTCGCCTCCACCGGCAAATGCTCCTCGTACAACGCATCCCTCGCCTCCTTCTGGTCGATGTAGAACCCGGCGAGGAGCAGGAAATAACATCCGATGGGAATCAGTATCCTCCACAGCATCCACGTCGTCGTCGGCTCCGTGACGTACCACAACACCGTGGCAATGGGCGTGAAACAGAAAAATAAACTGGCGACGAGCGCCATGGCGGTCCCCGGCTCGGAGCCGAGCATATTCCGCGAGCCCATTGCGACGTGGAACGCCTTCAGCTCGGCGTGCCACTTGAATTCCCGGTCGTGAGACGCCTCCATCTCCGATAAGCGGCCGAGGTAAGCTTCCACGGCGTACACGACGCGGGAATGCCGCTCCTCGAAGGGCGTATCGGCCTCGGCGGCCGCGGCGAAAAGGGTGTCGAGCTCGGCGCGCGCCTGCTCCACCAAATCGGTGTGGCGGCGTTCGTCAAAGGGGTCCTTGGTGGGAGACGGCGGCGGCGGCGGCAGCGGCATCGACTTTTTATCCGTTTCGACATTCGACAAGTCGCCGCCGAGGAAAAACCCGGATTCGATGGGCTTAAGGTCACGACGGCCCTTGCGCCGCCATGCCCTCGCGACAAGCCCCGCCGACTTCTCCTCGAGCTCGTACTCGGCCTCATCGTCGGCGTAATCCTCCGGCTCGCTCTCGCCGCCGTCCGTCTCAATCTCGCTCCCGCTCCCGCTCCCGTTGTCCTCCTCCTCTCGCTCCGTCTCGTCGAGAGAAAAATTCGACTCGAAGCGGTACGAGCCGCCGTCCGGCCCCTCGCTCGCAAACATTTCGCAAATCTTCACCAGCGCCCCGACGCACTTCATCCCCAGCTTCCTCCGCCGCCTCCCCCTCTCGGGTTTGCGGTCGTACACCCGTCCGATGGTGTCTATGCACCTCTCGACAACGGCAAACTTTGCATCCTGCTCTTCCCAGCTCCCAGGGGACGCCGCGATGGCAGCCTCGGCAGACTGCTTCGCAAACACCCTCAACTCGTCAATGGTACTTTCGACCCTCTCCGGCCTAGGCACAGGAGCGACGATAAAACTCGCCTCGGACTCTGTCGAGCTCGCGGGCTGCTCTTCCTCCAACGCCTCCGGCACGGTCCTGGGGAAAGACGAAAAGTTCATGGCCGGCGGGAACATGGGACTCGGGGCAGTATGCGGCCTTTTGGTGGTGGTGGTGGTGGTGCCGCCGGGTCCGGAGGGACTGGCGCTCAGGGAAAGCGGGGACGGCGCGGCGGCCATGACGCTAACCGATGACCGGCGCTGGATCTCGCGCCAGCCCTCGACCATGCGCTTCATGAAATCCGCCTGCTCGGGCATGATTCTTACGACCTCGTCGGCGGCGCTGGAGAGGAAGTCGGGGGTGATGACGGGACACGTCGAAGAGCGGCGGAACGGCGGCGGACTCGTCGCCGTCATGGGTCTGCTATCTGTGTCATAGTCCGTGGCATAATCTATCCTTGCTACTTTTCTTTCTGTGATGATGGTGGTGGTGGTGGTTATGGGCGGGGGTTTAAACGGGGGGAATTCTTCCTCCTCCTCCTCTTCGTCGTCCTCCTCGAAGAAGCCGTCGCTTTGCGAACTTTTCCTGGAAGACATTGGCGTCTCGAGGCCTCCATTCGCGCTGTAGTCGTCGTCTTCGTAGTCGTCGTCCGTGGAGGACATGAAGTCGCCCAGCTCGTCAGATAATCTCCTTGGTCCCTGCGGGCCGGGGGATCCTTGGCGTGGGCTGCTTGGGTGATCCCTCATTGTTGCAGTCCGTGGTGTGGTGTGTGTGTGCGTGTATGTGTGTGAGTTGGTGTGTGTGTGTGTGAGTGAGTAATGTGTATTGTTCGTCGTGAGTCGTGAAAAGGGTTGGTGAGTGAGAGGATATGTGGGTTGGGATGAGGGACACTTTAGGAGGATTTGCAGACAAGGGTAGGCTGGCCTGGCCGGTCTGCTGGGCTGGGCACGCGGGGTGTGGGAAGGCAAAAGGGCGAAGCGAAGCGGTGAAGCTAAAAAGGCGCAGAAAAAAAAAAGAATAAATAAAAAATAAAGATAAAGAAAATTAAAGAGAACGGAGAAAAGAGAGATCGTGACGCAGATTTACTCGACTTCGTAACCTCGCACTGACTTTTGGTGTTTTATATTACCCTTTTTTTTTCTTTTTTTTTCAAAAATCGAGGTAATATATGATGCAGAAAAGATGTGTAATAGTAACAAAATCAGACGGAACTAAAAAATCTCCCAGTGTTGAGACGAAATTTTGACGCCTCTCTACCACCCCAAACCGGCGTACACACCCCAAGTATATACCACTACAAACTATTAGAAAACTAACCGTCCGATCAGCGGTCAAGTTAACCTTCGGTGAAAAAGACCTGGGCACGGCAACATCAAGACGTGCAACATTCCACTGGGCACGGACGGGAGACATTCGATCTTCAATTTTTCAAGGTTGCTTGCGAACGAACCATGAGGGGCAGGCCAAAAAGGAGGGGCAGGGGACCCAGAGTGCCAGACTACTACTACTGCTACTACGTACAGGCCGAGAGACAAGATGGGAGAAAACGGAATAGCGGTTGGGCGCCAGAATGGCGCAAAGGGGGTCTGTCTTCTGCGTGTGTGTGCGTGTTCTGTACATTGGTATGCATGTGTGTGGATTCCCATTCTGCAGCGACTTTCCCTTCTGGATCGCTTTCGTATCACATAGTCTGCCTAGATAGGGGCACCTAGATAAGTGTGATGTTGAGCTTTACCTCTCCAAGTAGGCCGCAGAAGTGCCCTACATGCGTACTACCAGTACGGAGCATGTAGATTCAAACTACGACCCCTGCTCCTTTCAACCATCTGCCTCTCTCGGTTATGCCGTCCCAGTTTAAGAATGAATCCCCTGTTCAAGGTGGCGATCTGTGCCTCCTTTCGGGGGGTCCCTTTTTTGCAATAAATCCAACACTTTCTTTTTCAATAAAATCGTCATAAAAATTCCTCATCCCATGCTTTCTCATTAAAAGTTTGACAGAGGGGTGTACCTCCCCTCTTCTCTGTATTGTACAAATTTGTTATTCTCTTCATATGCCTGTTTCCTCCCTAAAACCACAATGAACCTCGAGGTCCAGAGTCGGTGGTATCATTTTCGAATGCAATTTTTCTCTTTCCGTATCCATAAAATGTGCAGATTGCCACGTCAGAAATGCCCTGCAATTGCGGTCCAACGCTGCAGCCGCCGTTCTATCCCCACACACCGCTTCACTTTCAAATTGGGGGGCGGGTTCCCCCCATGTTCATCGCCTTTTCTATTTCCCAGCCACCGGATGGGATGAACCATCCCGCGTCCGCGCCTTTCCGCGGCCACGGCCATGCTGGACTGGGACAAACTTGACAGGCGGCTGTGACAGCAAAGCCAACCGTTCGGCCCTTAACTGTAACCGTACTGAATCCCGAGCCCGACTTTGGGATTCTCCTCCACTGGTCCGTTCATGCGCATCCGCTTCGACTGGCTGGCAATGTTCGACAGCGCTTCCTGTGCGTTTGATGCTCCGCCGCTGAACTTGCGCTTGTCTGGTGTTGCGTGACCCTTGGCGATGCCTGGGAAGAGCTTCGCGTGAAGTCGGGCGCTCTTCTCCGCCGGCGCCGGGGTGACGTCGCGTGAGCCCACCGAAGACGCAACCTCGAAGCTCTCGCGGGGGTCGCGACGTAGCATCTCAGAGGCCGCCTGGCTGGCCTGGCTCTCGTACACTTCCTCTTCCTCCCCCTCGCCGCCACCTCCAGGTAGAGGTCGACGAGACCCGCGGGAGCTCGTGCGCGATGCTTGAGACAAGAATGATGCAGACTTTGCCACTGATTCGAGGGCCTGGCGAGCCAGCTCCTCGTTGTCGTCGGCTGAAATGGTGCTCTCACGGCTCTTGTGGGTAGGCTCTCGTACAGGTGGCGGTGGTGGCGGAGGGGTGCCGGGAACAACATGGATGCTGCTGCTGTACCTGTGCCGGGGCTCGCTCTGGGGAACAAGATTCACCGACGGCAAAAGACCAGACTGCTCGTGACGGTGGGGTCGAGAGAGCGGCGTTGTAGGTAGGGACGATAGCGATTGCGTGTTTCGGGTGTGCTTGGGAGGCATGCGAGGGGCGGGTCTGACCAACTTAGTTGGCGTAGTCGGCGCGCTGTTGTTGTCCTGGCTGAGAGCCTGCAGCAGAGCCGCAATGGGCTCGGGGCCATGATCCCGGTCGACCCGTGCATCGCGATTAGCGGATCGCGGGGTCTGCTTGGGAGTCGCTCGGTGAGCCTGCTGCGGAGTTGAGACGGTCGGGTGGTGATGTGATTGCTGCTTGGGCGTCATGGCACCGTGAAAGATGCCGCCCGGACTGCAGAGCATGTGAAAGTGTTCCCGATTCTCTCGAATACGGTTGAGCAGCATGTCTCGCTCCTCCGCCAGAGTCACAATCTCCTCTTCTTTTTGTGAAATGACTTTCTTGGCCATCTTCACCCGCCGAGCCAGAGCCTCGTTCTCCTCCATGGCCTCCTCGTAGCTCATCTTCATCTGGAGATACTTGATCTGGGCCGATTCAGAGGCGGCGCTCAGCTCCCGGACAGCCTGCCGCGAAAACTCTGCCGTCCTAAGGGCCTCAATCTCTCGGCGGGTCATCTCGTGCTCGACGGCAGCTCTCTTGGCATCTTCGTCGGCTTGGAGACTAAGCAGATTGTATTGTAGCTTGTGGTGTGCAGCCTCCATCTTCAACTTGGCATGCTCGTCGATGCATGTCTGCATCATGGCCCGCAATTCATCTGCTGTCGCTTCAAGAACCTGCTGGGGTGCTGGAGGCAAGTATTCCGACCCAAGACCGCCATCTCTACGGACTGTTGTGTTTAGGACGGTAGCAGGCGGCGAGAAGAGTGCAGAACGTTGTGAACCGCCATAAGTAGCTTGCAGAGCACCATGACCGGTGTGTGCAACTACCTGTGACGAGGGAGGCGGGGTTAAGGAAGAGGGAATGACAGCGGCGGAGCTCATCCGGTCGTCGTTGACTTCGGTCTTGAAAGATTGATTGGGGTCGATTGGGGACGCGGGGACTTCAGTTGACGGCAGGGTCACTTGTGACGAATTTAATGCGAGGACATCGTTCTCCTGGGGAGTCGTGGGCTCGTCAACGACAGACCGGTTGTCGGTCGGGGTGCCGTTGGGCTGCTGGGCAGCAGCGTCGGAGTCGGCAGCCATATTGGATCGTAATGAACAGGAACAGACGAATCAGAGGTATCGTTCAGGTCGTGGAAGTAAGGGTATCGACGAATTGTATTCGTAACAGTATGTAATAATATGCGAATCTGCGACCGAAGAGTAGATATCGAGCCAACGTGAACAAGAGCGAGTGCAGGTGCGGAGACAAGTCGCGTTGACCGCAGCACCACGTCAGCGATGGAAACAGTCGGAGGGGATTGATTGAGCGAGCGGAGGATATTGCAGAGGATAACAAGCACCGGTCGAAATGATGTAGAGGTAGAGGTGGCGGGAGAAAGGGGGGAGGAGAGCAAAGGCTCCTATCGTGACGCTTCGACGCCTTTGTTTGCCGCACGGATTGTGATGTGTGTGTGTGTGGTGAAGGAGGATGGTGATGGTTGTCGGGCGGTTGCTGTGGGGAGCAAATGAGCAGCACCGGCAATCAGCCTAGCACAAGCAATAAGCACCGGCAAACAGCTGTGAGTGACTATTACTGAGCTGGGGCTGGACGGCTGGGCTGGGCTGGGCTGGGGGTGGGAAGAAGGGGGAAGGGGGAAAATCCACGGAAAAAAGAGGCTGGCGGTGGGCGGCTGAGACGTAGCTAGACCTAAAGTGGATCCAAGGTGAATCAAGGTGAAGTGCACGGGCCATGAAGCGCAATGTGGGGTTTTTGATTGGTTCTCTCACCGAGGTCAGAATTGCCTAGCTTTGTTCCTCTTTTTGGTGCTTTTCTACTATTTCTACTATTTCATCTCACCGAAGCCACAAGATGGCTGGGAACGGAACTCGATTGCAAAATGGCTGCTAACCACCAACCTCCAGCAGCTTTTAGTCAAAGCTAGATGCTTCTAATTCAAGATTTTTTTCAGGTGCTAGCTAGATGCTAGATGCTAGTAGCTAGTCGCTGAATACTGGGTTTCTCCCTGCCAGTACTCAGGCCTTGAGGTATTCTAGGATTATCTGCTTGAATTGCTCAAATCCGTCGATGAAGCAAACGTGGCCCGCGTTCTTTATAATCTTTAACTCAATCTTTCGGTCCTTGCCCGCTGCTTTGAAGCCCTGTTCAACCTTCTCCCGCATTTCGGCCATGGCCTGCGGCAGATTGGCATCGTTTTCCCCTACAATTAGCAGCGCTTCATCAGCTCCAGCTCCGACCTTCTCAAATAGCGGCCGGATGTCAAACTTGTCGCTCTGCAGAGCATGAATGCAGGTCTCAAAGCCGTCAACACTAGTCTGGTTCATGATGGCTCGCACGCGGGCCGCCTCTTCAGGGTTGGCCTTGATCCAGTCGGCACCGAACCATCGGTCCATCGTGCCCTCTACTGCCTCCTGCATGTTCCCGGCCTTCCGCGCTGCCACGACACGAGGGCCAAACGCATCTTCCACTCCGGCGTTCTTTGGTGACGCCGCAATGGTGTCGCAGATGGCCACCTTGTGGACAATACCGGGGTACTTGTTCACAAAGTAGAAAATGGTGGCAGCACCCATTGACACTCCGATCCAAGCGAAAAGCTTCTCAATCTTGAGGGCCTGTAGCAAGTGGTAGACGTCGTCGGCTATCGTCTCGAATTCCGTGTCGAGGCCCTTGGGCGCAGAGGACTGGCCGTGTCCCGGCTGGTCATAGCGAAGCGTGCGGAATCCGTTCTCATTGAGTACCTTGACGACGTGGTCCCATGCCGTGAATGGCGCGCTCAGTGAATTGGCTAGTAACACCACGGGCTGTGAATCCTGGCCAGATAGATGATACGAGAGAACCCGTCCATCGGGGAGGTTAAGCTGCTGTGCGGTAGCCATTGTGAACCCCTCTATTCGTCTTCGGATGCCGGCTTCCGGGTGATGGTGAGATGAATGTAGGCTGTTCTCAACCCTTTGGGGTAAGATTTGAGTGCAAGTAAGTCTCGAATAAAGCGATTGATCCGATTATCAGAGATCTCAAAAGTTACAAATCGTATGAGGGAAGAAGTTACCAACCCAGACGCCTTTTTGAGACCTTCACGTCATCCGTCATGTGACGTCGCGGGGTCAAGCTGCTCCCAAGCTCCGATAATTGGCGATGAAGCTGCCGGTGGGGGAGGAGCTTCCACCACCCTGCAGCGAGACTGTGTTTTGGGATTTGCGGGGCAGCACAGGCACTGTCTAATTTGGCACCCAGCGCAACAGCACAGACTTGCGTCCAGTGCATCACTTGAAGGACTATTATAATCTTCCATTCAATAACTTGCAACCCAAAGAACCTGTAAAAAACCAGGTATTAAGACGCAGAGGACTGTTGAGGAAGCTCGCCAAATTTGCTCTTCCTTTCATAGGCCAGTTTTCGACCTTGATTTTCACAACAACCAGTGGTCAAGGTGCCAGAGTGGTTAATGGGCTGCCCTGCTATCAGTTCTCTGATTCCAGTATAGGCAGTGGCTTCGGTCGCGCAGGTTCGAATCCTGTCCTTGACGCATGACTTTTTGTTTTTTCTATTTGCCCTTACCTTTGTGATTCTTACTTGAGTTTTGTTATTGTCGTTTTCTATTTTCGCAGCTTGATGTGTTATATGCTCTTTTAGCCAATCTTACTCGGCCCACCGCTATTTGTAGCCTGTATGTTCATAGATCCCAGCTGAGGAATACTTCACTTGAAGAGTACAGAAAATTGTCCATTTACAAAATAGTAATGTCATGAGTTTATTATCAAACAGAAGATGGTTGAGTTGAGCTGGGTTTTGTCTTCTTTACTGCAATTCCAATCCCATTGAAATTGCCTTAGAGCTGCAATAGCCAATGTTAGCATATGGTATCTACATAACATACACCATAGCATACGTACCAATGTGCGTCCCGACGACCAAGGCAGTCTCGCCCCATTCAGCAGCGCCCGATGCCTCTTCGGTCTCCCCTGTAATCTCTGGAAGGCCATCCTCAGATGCCTCGAGTCAACCGGCTTCCTCAGCCCTTCAGGCTCAGCGAATAGTCCGCAGTAGCAATCTTCCGCCCTCTCGGACCCAGGCCGGCCCTCGGCACGCGCCAACTCCTGCTTCTGCACCTTCAGCGCCTCCTCGGTCAGATTCTGCACCATTTCAGATGCCAAAAAGCCCAGAATGTCCAGCACATCATCATTAAGCCTGTTCTCCGCGATAACGCCGAGGCCACACCATTCCCTGAACCGCTTCGCTTTACGGTACGTCATGGAAGCATGTCGGTACTCTGACCACGTAGCGTATTCGGCAGCAGTCATGTGTCTCGTCTTCTCGTCGTTCCTGCGCAGCCTGTCCAATACCGCCTCGCTGCTCGTCGCAGCCATGATGTCGTCCTGTCCCATGTCCGGGACCTGCTCCGAGAAGAAGGAGGATACGTCCCAGGGCAGGGATATGGTGGGGAATTTAGTCTTTGATGCGGCTGCATCTTCTGCAGGGTTGGCACTGGCTTCCATCTCGGACTCTTCGATAAAGCCTTCCTTGTCGTCAGAGTCTCGAACTGTCTTGCGGATTGCTTTCCAGGCGAGAAAGGTTCGGAGGCGTTCGATGCGTGCTGTGTCGTGGCGGAGTTGAAAGATTATGTCGTTGTTGGAGAAGATGCGACTGCCGCGGCGATTGGCGAGGTCGTTTGCCGTTTTGAGCTGTTAGTGTTAGGAAAAACAATTATGAGAAATAGAAAGAAAATATGATCGGGGGTCGGAGTGCTACCATGTGGACTATCTGGTCTTGAATGAGTTCTTCCATGAGTTTGACAGTTTGGGTTGAGACCTCTTGGGTTTCCCCTGCGATGTACATCATCTGCCATGTATGAGGTATTAGCGATTGAGGAGGACGAAAAAGTGGTGGAGTAAAGATGCTATGGGAGCAGAATAGCCAGAAATGTTTCAGCAAGTAAGTGAAAAAAAATAATACTAACCTGTTGAATCTCTTGTTTGAATCGAGGTTCCATGGCGAGATGTCAATAAGTGCACCAACGAGGAAATGTTGACAGCGATAGGTAAGGCAGAGCTGAGAATCACCAGAACAACCATACAAGTCTACTTCAAAGGCAGAAAAGAAATACAGATGGCAATCAAGCTCTTGCAGATATTATAACAATGCATTTTAGAGGGTGGAAGTGTTGTAAAATTCATGTTTGGCATTTTATATCAGCGCTGTCATGGGTGTTAGTGCGAAAGAATCAAGATGCACTGTGCTGGATGAGAAGCTTCAATTGTTAGCAAAGAACGGGTATATTTGGGGATTTCGTGAGGGATGAAGGCCGTGGGAATCGTTCCATCTTCCACATTTTTGAAGGATTATATGTGGGTCACAATGGAGCTTACACGTAAGTCCCCTAACCCACGCATAACCGTATATGATTGGTGTATTCCAACTGCTGGCCCCCACTTTCTGCTCAGCACAGTGCACAGTGTTTCCTAGACTAGCACCTCTAGTCGTGTCGAATTGAGGGTTCAGAACGATGTATATTCCGTTATGTGTGTAACTGTCTAAGGGCCCTTCAGGGGCGCGTAGGGAAGGGGGTATGCCACCCCCTGACCCGGGGCTCGGCGCTCGGAAATAGTGTTCTGCCGAGCGTTGCCGAAGCCTCGCGTAGCGCGCTCAATCTGACAAGTCGAGAGGGCTTATAAGTCATCGGCTGTTCACATCGTCTAGTAATTGATGCATACGAAGTATGAATGCCACAACTAATGATTTTTGCTTTCGACAAAATTTGGATAAATATCTTTAGAGCTCAAAACATCCTCTAAGTTAACACCTTGAGAACTGATCGATGCCTTTTATAGAATTGACTGTTTTCATGACCAAAGCAGAAAAACATAATCAATGAATTTAACATGAACTGGAAGAACTGATTTAGATGTTGCAGAAACCTGTACTAATCGGCTCGTCGCTGTTTGAGGTCGACTTCGCTACTATGCTATGTGGATGGGGTGTCGATGGGATGTTGCGGTCAACGACATCCTCAGCCGTGTCGCTGATCGCATCCGGGTGGTTCTCGAAGACAATTCCGTTGCCGAGATCAAATGTGTTTTTGACTTTGTGTACTTCCTTAAGCTGGTCTATGATCGTCCCGATGGGGTCCTCGACACCGTTTCTGCAGAAAGTATTCGAGAGCCTTCTCGTTAGTGATCTTGCTGCCTAGGCCGGACAGGAATGATCGGCTCTCGGCACGGCATTTTTGGCGGGAACGGTATCGTAGAGGGCGCCAAAGACGATGCTCTGCTGCTACAGGAAGCCAGACCATTGCTGGAGATTGGTTGGGCACCGCTTATCCCGCGGATTTGTGATGGAACCTGTTGCGAGAGTTGGAATACGGGGTCGTGTGGCATGCCCAGCCATACGCCCGTCACGCGTAAGAGGCCTAAGCCTCCCATGCCTACGTAACAGGCTAAGGGGGAATATCCCTACCTTCTATTTAATACTACTACTTTAAACTACAACGAATAGTCAATTTTTAGGAATTTTCTTTTATTTGCTATACAGACCCGTACGGGACCTGTTTCACTTTGTGAACCCTACATAACCCTTAGAGGTCAGTCTACCGTCGGATTCGACAGTAAATTTGATTTAAACAAGTGAATGACAGGTAGTGATGTGTTCATCGAAGTAGGTTGGGGTTGGTGCTCTGCCTCATCGGCACGGTGTCATTCTACTTCGGCGCAATGTTGTTCTTGCTGTCGTTCTCTTTCTGCCTTGTCGGCGCGCTCTTGTTCTCTGTTACGTACGAATTCTCCAGTGGATGGTTGCATTATCAAAATCAACCGTCAACCCCACCACGTAGGCCTTTAACTCCGCTCCTAGATCCTGTTTCCTCAAATTCAATTGGCGACTTTGCTACCGTGATCGGACAGGCCCCTTGCTGTAAAGCTTTAGCCCTGAAGGACTACGCTATGATTGAACTCACCAACTCGACTCTAGATCTGCGGACGTGTACTCGTGATGCCTGTTCTTGCGGTGGACTTGGATATACACGCCAGCCCCGCATCGTCGTCGTATCTGCCCACAACGCCACACGATGTTCTTGGCCGCCTATTCGCAGTTTTTGTTGGTTCTATCTCTTTTCTTTAGTGGATGCTCACGGGAAGCCATGCCGATTTGTTAGTCACGGACTGCACGAAACGCTGGCCGAGTCCAATGCACACGAGTAGATTGCGTGCTCATTGTGCTGTGACAGGAGCATTAACGTTTGGTAACCGAGTTTGCATGCATTCCCATCTTGTCAGCCATCTCCTCTCAACACACTGTTTTTCAAGATACCGCACGTATGTAGGGGGCATCAGATGGCAGTGTGCTGCATCCGAATCTGGTTTCAACTTCTCCATTTCTGGGCTTCTGTCGCAGCTGTTTGTGGGCAATTTTGGGGCGAACATATCATGGAATATGCATGCTACTTGCTTTACAATTTGCTATGCTATTTGCGATCAGTCATAGTCGGCTCTTGGTACATATACTGAAGGAAACAATATGGGTCAACCACGGACGTGAGTACGCAAGTCTGAACGCAGGAAAGCCCGGTCGAAGGGCTGCAACAGCCACCCAAGAGGCAGACCTAAAAGCCCAAATCATCAGCTCAAGTCGAGATGCCTGTATCAGATAGGCATATTTGTCATTGTTTTGGCCTCGCAGGTTGTTCAAGGGATCCGGGGTAAGACCCCCTTGGCATCATAAGCAGTCTTTCTTGAGATCAAGAGAGCTACTTACATCTATGAAATCCGAACCCACCGGGCCCAGGACACCAAGGGATAAAAGGCAACGAGAAGGCGGACCTATGGGATCCCTTGAGCGGTACTTTAAGAAGCTTATCACCGATTCGCAGGGCTCCCAAGCCTTTCCTCGAGTGACAGACTTCATCCACAGAAAATCTGCCCTCGGTACTAAGAGCTGAGCATCACCTAAACCCTGACTGAAGAAACATACTTATTAAAAGACTAGGAAGACCTAATGGAACTAAGAAAAAAGCGCGAACTAAGGCTGAAAAGGACATGTAGGAGCCCTCGGGCAAAATTTGGAGGACATTAGGAAAAGCCACGCCAACTACCTCTCCGGAGGTATATTGCAGGGGCGGCTGCGCCCTTGCTGCCATGGCGTTGAATATAAAGACCATCCATCGTAAGAAGATGGCGAACGCTAGTAGACTGGCAGTTAACTGTTACCGGTGTAGTACGCGAAGATATTCTCAATGTTCGTTCCAGCCTCGTTAGGAAGACAGCAGTCGCCACCGTAATGCTTGCACCAGGCAGAGCCTACTCCTGCCTTGCTTCTGACGACAACCAGGTTGCAATCGTGGGTGGTCCGGAGATAGCCAGTGGGCGAGACAAACAACCCGTCCTTAGCCTTCGAGTCCCAGTATCCATCTTTGTCGTAGATAAGCCCAGAACAACTGTCGAAAGTCGGGACGTACCATCCCATCTAGTTTCTTGAACCACCCCCGGAAGCCCCGGACCCCATGTTGCTGTTAGGAGGATTTGCCCAAGTCCAATGAGGTGCATTCTTGCATCGCGTCCAGTGAAAGGCGGCGTCGACGTTGCCGACAGCAAGGGCCGACACGATGAAAACAACAATCTTGAATTGAATCATTTTGAAATGCTGAACCTGGCAAGATTGGAAGGTTTTTGGCTAACGAAGTTGAGACTCACCCACGAGCGGGTAAGAGGTTTCGGATAAATGGAGTGTTGAATTTATGTTGGTTGTTTTTGGACTGAATGATTGTAAGTGTGATTAGAAAAAGAGGTGTTTAGGAGAGGATATGAGTGGGATCTTAATAGTCGCTTGTCAGGAAATACCGTCTAGGCTTTGCATAAGTATCTTACCATAATGAGTACGATATCTATCAAGTTTCATATTCAATCAATCTTTTGAATGAAATAGAAATCATCTCCATTTAGTGATAGCGCTTAACCTGCCTGTTTGGGCTGAAGTGATCAGCGCTTGGGCTACTGCTTTATTAAAGGCTGGGTGTCTATCGCGCAAACACTTAGTAAAAAAGTGAAATATTCTCATTAGGAAGATTTTTTTAGTGTATAACTGATCTCTTTTTTGGCGGAAAGGATAGTTATAAAAAGCCGTTTTAGACACAATATCTGTCAAGCTATCCTGTGGTTGCAGATGTATTGATGACGAGTATACCAACCAATACACAGTTAGTAATGCATAGCATGAGTGAAGCTGCTCGTACAGACGTGGTCAACATGTGAGAGTTCTTGTTAGCGTCATGTCGTCGGTAGCCGCGGACCTTTCTGAATAATTTTGTCACCTGGAATATTGTATTTTGTCCCATCGAAGAGACAAAGAGGGCTCTGAGACTTGGGTGATCCCGAAGGATAAATACTTTCGCGTCTAATAGGTCGGCTACCACTCACCTAGTCGTGACACCACGTGAAAGCCAATCAACGAGATCCGGGTCATCAACAAGGGGTATTTGGACGAGTACCTAGACAAGCAAGGCCCGACCCAAGCAGTAGATGCGTCAAGTAAGCAAACAGGGCAGGGGCATGACTGAGGCTCAGAAGTGTGGGCGTGGGGGCCTGGAGCAGGCCCAGGACTCGAGAAAGGACATGTAAAACCAAAACGATGACTTACATGGTAGCACGGCCGCTCGTACGTACGAAGCACTCTTTCATGTTATGCGATAGTTTGACACAGACGAAGCACGTCTCGGCCGAAGGAACGAGCACCAGCGGTTACCTCGCGGCCTTCGGATCACGGCGGTGGTCTCGCGAGAGAATACGGCCCCGACAACTGGCTCGCTCCGGTTCAGCACGGCCGTTGAGACCGTCCCGCTAGCTAGGAAGCCGAAGTCGGACGTATCGATGGGAGACGCCCCGGAGCTCTCGGAGAGTGTCCGAGGTACGCTCCCTCCCATTCACCAGAAGTACGCCCAAAGATCGCTCCAAGAACTAATACAGCACGCACAGTACTACCCAGCGCTCCACAACCCCCCAACCCTCCCCTCTTTTTTTGGGTTATTATACTATGTAAATTGCTTGAAGGCAGTCTAATGGCTTCATTTTGCAGCCACGAGTATTAAGGTCTCCACCAATCGGGTTTCTTAGAGGTATAGACTACACTGGGAATCTTACAGGAGCAGAATCCCCTGAAATAGAATCCACAGCATCTCACGTGTTGAGCGAAGAACGGGCTTTGAATGCACTATCAACACAAACCATTAAAGAAAACAAAAAGGGTGTATGAGTAAGCTGGCCAGCAGAGATTGAGGCGCCGTTACTGTTGTGCATAATCCATTTGTCAGCAGGGCTCATTTTCAGGTCGGTATGGTATAGCAGTGTTAGCTTGTACTCTGTTGATGCCAAGATGGAAAGAGATCGGGGAGTAGAGAGGCCGTTTTTCGCTGACTTCTGTTTATTATGTCTCCAAGAACATTGCCATCATGACGTGTATCCAGAGTCACACGCAGGAGCCCTGTACGCTAATGTGGCATCAGAGCTGCTAATTACAATTGCCTCTTGCTAAGAGGTCGATCATAAATGCCGGTAAATTTGTTCCGCACGCCGATTACAGAGGCTCCGGTCTGTGGGTACATCAGAGATATTCGACACATCCTTCCATAATGATGTGGGCGTCTTGTGAGAGATTATGTTGGGTCACGCCACTCCCAACGTGAGGACCATGTGAGTATACCACTCTACGGTCATTCTTTTCCTGTAACTACTAGTCAAGCGTCATCAGCAAGGCTTCGGAATTGCACACTTTTATATGTGATGTACTGCTCTACTCTGCTACCTTGGCCACCGCTCGAAGTATTCGACCTTAAATCATGGTGTGGCGTAGTGGAACGCCCGTTACAGTAGTAGTGACCCTGCTGGTAAAGAAGGTCACTTTGGCTGGCCAGCCAAAGCCACTCCATAAAGGGAGCGTGTTTGCATGTGGTTGCGACGACTGGCGCTTAACATGCCAAAAGCGGAATAGTTTGTTCGCCCTGATGTTTTACGAGGAGTTCCGACTAGCCAGGATCGCTGCAGCAGCCGGCTGGTCTGTGTCCCTGACACCGCATTGCCTCCCCATCACCACCTCAGCAACCCTTACAGAATCTGGTAGTATGACTTCCAGACCTACTCCCCAAGACGCGTCTATCCTAGTCGTAAGTGCCGGCGTCTTTGTCGTCCACCCCCCTGCCAACCAGGGCAAGAACCCCATCCTCAAATTCGGACGTCACAATTACGGGTACGTGACAGAAGTGCGCGTCGGAGAAAGCGACGATACAGAGGTATCTGAGAGGATGGTCTCTTCGCCGAAACGGGATGGTAATAATGCCACGAGCGAATACCTCTCAGGTGATGCCAACGAGGATCTGCGCGAAGGTATCCGTCAGCTTGCGCCCGAGTTCGCGTCTGGGCCTTTGGGTCAATCGGCGGTCGTGCTGGTACTCCAACGCCCCAGAGGGTGATTCCATCATGAACCATTACCCATATATTGGTGGTCTTTTCTTTGCCACTGGTGGTGCAGGTCAGTAAGCGAAATTCTTTTAAGAAGAAGGCGCCTCACAATAAGGACAGCCAGCTAACCCCAACTTCGTGGCACGAAGTTCGTGGAAGCGCTTTCAAGTTCCTTGCTGTGTTGGGCAAGGATGCGGCGGATTGCTTCAAGGAGACGGCTTCGTCGGAGCTGAAGCACAAGTGGAGACGACCGAGAGTCTGATCGGACGCAGCAAGTATTCAAGCTGGGAGATGGAAGCCATGATGGGCCGCCCTGAGCAAATTTACGGCATTGGGACAGGCTAAGCTATAAATACGAGCCGCGGCGTTCCAGAAAGACAAGAATAGAATCTAGAACCTCCACATAGAGGTTATTTACGACTGAGATGGAATTGAAAATGGCAACAACTTCAGGGGTGGCCGGAGTACCGTGGAGAACGGGATGTTTGGTGCCCTTGTACGTATCTTTTAAGATTGATTGATGTTGTTGAATAACTAGCAATCCTTACCTTTAGACGTAATACTATGTTGATTGCAAGCAGGTGTCGTTTTGTAGCCAAATGCTGACAGCCGAGTCACTCCACGGCTGTTCTCGCCCCCTGTATTTAGATGAGACGACAACGCGAACTTCAATTCTCTCTCCACCTTCGTCGGCTTTGCCGCATGTAACCTACGGGGCGATCTCCTTTGCCACCAATGATTCAGGTAATGGTCAGTTGATCTGCCTGCCATTGTCCCAAATGCAGTACTTGTGCCGTTCTTTGCGGCTAGGAGACATAGATCAACGACCGCGCCTGTCTTGTTCCTCCGTAATGGAGCCGTGAGCGTCTAGAGATTGGAGGCCCCTTTCCATCTTTTCGCCCACATCTTTAGACAGGTCATAAAAACTGAACATCCATGTCAGTATTGGTTGTAGCCGGCACCATGCTTAACCTTGAATGGCCTGGCTACAGGACAGAAGCAATTTCAGGGGTCTTCTGTGTGATGGGTCACGGCGCAAAGATTTCCTTCCCTAGACACTACGTGTATTGCTCCGTACATTAGTAGGTACGCAGACTTGGTCTTTCCCTTGCAGTAGCTTGTGCAGAGCTACTCAGTAGGGCTTTGAGGTAGTATGCGTTTCTATGAATCGAGGTATCAGTATTCGTTTGGTCAATTGCTCAACTGTAATTTTGCATTTATCCAGGAATTCAACAATGGCAAAAGCCTGAACAAATTCTTCCTTGTAGGCCACCATCAAAAGTATCCACAGGGAAAAGAGTAGGCTAAAGCACTGTACTCTGTGTTGATTGCCCTAATAGCTGCCATGCCTGAATGTTTGAAGACCTCATCTCGAAAGGGCATTAGCATTGCCAAGGTCTCGGTTCACGTGAACTTTAGATATGAGGCAGGTATGATCGCTAGAAAAAGGAGTTAGGAGTCATTCAGTTGGACATCGATCGATTAGTTACCTTCGTATCCAGCCTTGCTGAAAGCCCTTGTAGCCATATTTATTACGTATTTTGGAGATTTCGCGATCCCGAGTCGGTCGTATTCTCGGGACTTCGTGTTCCCCGGTGTTCTCCCTAAACTCCAAATTATAGTTTGGATTGCCAGGGACTGGTTCACCCTTGTTGATGCGGCTTTGAGTATATAATGGTCCGACTTCTCAGCTCTAGTTCTACAAGATCTAATCACATCACTCAGTCAAACCATCTTGTTTAAGTCACTCGCTCAACAACATCTAATACGTCTCTTCACTTGTTTTCCATAATTTTCAATATGAAGTTCACCATCGTTGCTGCTCTTGCCACCCTCGCCGTCGCGGCTCCCGCCACGGACCGCCGCGCCACCTGGACGCAGTGGTTCGCCAACGTCGTTGCCGAGCCCGAGCCGTACAACAACAGCAACCTCACGTTCGCTTTCAGCTTGGCTTTCACCGACGGCACCATCTACAATTGTGCCACTTCTTAGTGAGACGCGCCGCTCTCGATAGACTCCGGATGCGAATGCTGACTTCTATTGCAGTGACACCAACACTGGCGTGTCTGCCAACAACACGTGCACCTACAAAGGCCAACCCTCCGATGTTACCGCCACCGTCGCAGTCCTCGGCGGCATCCAGAACATCGCCCCGTCCGTTTACATGCCGGCCACTGAAACCACCTACACCGCCAACATCACGACCGCGAACCCTCAATACTCTTGCGCCCACTCCGGCACTCCTGGCAGTGGCGTCAAGTGCATCACCACATCCGGCACCTTCACCGCCACAGCGGTCTAAAGCCTTGTTGCATTTGTCACAGACCTTGGTACGGTGGAAAGGATGCTACAAGGCAATTTTAGCAGGCGAGCTGTATCGTCGCCACGGAAGACAATCCTCTAGTCGTTTGTAGACAGACTGCATTTTGGTTCTCAAGATTCTCGATACAGAAAAAGATACTATTAGACTAGTCCAATGTCAGAAAATAGCCAGGAAAATAGCCCCCCCTGTCTCTATGCTGCTTAGATTGGAGCCCCGCTTTGCAACCCCTGTCGGCTTGTCAGTATAGCCCCTCATACTTTTGGTGTTGTCATGATCAGAGTTGTGGATGGAACTTGCATACGAAAGAGGATCTATGAGGAGACGGTGGTGAATGTCTTCGGCAAACAGAAAAGGATAGGGACCGTTTACAAGTAACGCTGGAGTGATTTAAGTATGATCAGTTTTAAGATTGGTGTATCAAGTAACACGATCCAAACTTTCCGTGCCTCAAAATTAACGCACGGCTGGATGTAGCATGTTAATGTTGCGGCATGAGTCTGCAAATTCACGTCGATGCGTGGTTTCTTCTCGGCTAATATATGAAGGTCAACGTTATAGATGCTTTGTTTGTAGTACTTTTCCCAACTCTATCTGTCTGTCCCAGCGGAGCTACACAGTCGGCGAGACATCCTTCGCCCTTGAACAACAAATAGCCCATTACATTCAAAGTTTGTGCCATCCGGACTAAAGCCAACTGTTACTCGAAACCTTCGTCCTCCAGCTGTTCACTCCTGACTGTTGTCACAAAGTCCATCTGAATTTGTGGACCCTTCGCAAGATTCTGCAACTCGTGAGCTGAGACTTCAGCCGAACGTGCAATGTGCATGTCGCGCATACTGGCATACGACCTCTGTCAGCCTCGTTGGCGTCTGTGTTGCCACCACCACCACTGCTTTCCCCCTGCCTCTTGGGGTGATCTCCCAGATTGGGACACTCCTGCTCGCGGGACCGCTCATGATGACCGTGTTGCCAAACTCTCGTATTGGTGTTCTCATGAAGGCAGACCTATCTAGTCCTATGTCGTGTGCTTCTTTTAAGGCGCTGCAACGTATAGTCGTCATCCATAAAATCGAGTTAATTAAACCATTGAGGGCAAGGGCTGACCCTGCGAAGGCAAAGTAAAAGGTGCCCAAGTCAATACCCTACAGTGCAGTAATGCGTCCGACCACCAATGATACGCTACAAGTTATGTAGGCAAATGGATAGGTCAGGAAGGCTGGATGATATCCTGATGTCTGTCGTTCCTAGAGTTTTTCGTTGTTTTCAACCCCTGTGATGGTTACTACGCTGTAAGTTGAAGATAGCTTCTCGGGTAAATAGCCACAGCTTCGAATCCGACACCACAAAGTCTAGAAGGTTAAGAAATAAATGATAATAGTAACAGCTATTAAGACTATAACCTAGACGTAATAGGCTTAAAGATATTAGGGGTTGTGAGTGTTGAAAATCTAATACTTACGGAAAGACATATTCTATGTTAGGTTATAAAGATGAAGAAATAAAATAAAAAATGATGAAAGTTAAAAAGCAAAATCAAACAATATCCTTATCATACTTTGGCTCCTATGAAGAAAGATTACCCAGAAACCGCTGGGTATGCCTCAGAAGTCCGCACTCCTGCTCTATTGATGTTGAAGCCAAAGATTTAGAGTGCGACAATGGCTGTTTAGACCACCCACGGTGAAGGGTTGACACCCAGGCCTATTGTCAAAAAAGTGTTCACAGATATGACCGCAAGAAAGAGACTAGCTGCCAAACTTCTTGTCGACCCTAGGCAGCCCTGGGCCCAACAGACAGGTGATGGCGCCTTTGTGCGGTTCACCACTACCCAATAAATAGAAGTTCAGCCCGTAAGTGAGTGCCTCCATTATTTATGCAAAGTAGGAGGTTGTAAAGCAATATGTGGAATGGGTTGCGAGCTTAGGGTTCGGGGCCTGCGTCAGGTGATTGAAATCTGGTATCCGGTGGAGGACGTCCTGGGCTTCCGCGGGCAATCTGTCGAGCTCCAAAGTCCGACCAAACCCAGTAAATCTGGGGCACGGCGCATCGAGCCCGAGAGACGGATCCGGAAATTTTGGAGCGGTGGCGGTGGCGGCGGAAACATTTTCTCGGCGGGCCTTGCGTCTCTTCCGTTTTCTCTCTTCCAGTCGTTGCAACAGTAACTTGTACGAGATGAAAACCAAAGCGCGGTTGTAGGTAGTAGAGAGAGATATGAGAAGGCTGTCATGTCAGTATGATCAACCCAGCGCGATGGTTGCTCGGGAGAGGCGCCAGCGTTCGGCGTTGCGCCGCATCTGACATAGTAAACAGACATCTGAGAAGGGCATTTATGCCCGATGCCAGCCTCTCAATGATGGTCATGGGTAGTGAGCAAAACCCGCTCCCTCGCAATATATGAGCATGTGTGTGCTCCCAGACATCTGGGTAGGAGCTGGTCTTCTGAGAATGTTCTTCCAAGCTACGAACGATAGACCTGAAAGTTCTTACCAGCTCATGCGACAACGGGAAAGGGAGCGACCGAAGGCGAAGGATTCAAGATCCTTCGATATAACGGCCTGTGACATTTGCGGAGCAGGATTACCATAAATGAGGCGTGGAATGCAGATCATGCGACTGCCGTTTAGTCCCGATCCGCTAAACTGCGCAGTCTTTTCTCTTCTCTCTCCCAACACCCCTGCATACACCACACATGTCTGACGCGCAATCTGACTGGCTGCATGCGAGGTCTTTTGCACCCCTGTCGCCTCAAGGCAGAGTCCTTTGCCCTCCATATACCAAAGTGGAAGTTGTCCCTGCGAGGCGAGTGACGCCTGGTGGGCGCACATTGGCTACGGCGGCCTCACACTCTGGTTCGCGCACTTTGACCCTGGCCTGCTGTCGTCAACCATGAATTCTGCAAAAGTCTTGCTTTCCCAAGTGCATTTCTGCCGACCGACCAAAATCGCGTTTTGCCATTCACTTTGAAAACCGTTGCTTATATACTCTTCGTCGGCATTAGCGCAGGAACCTTGTCTCGAGCTCGTGGAGTCTTCCCAAATGCCACTAAAGCCGTGCCAGCCTGATTCGGCAGTTGAGAGCAATCTCCGACGACAACATGTCCCATCAAGATGACAGTAGCGGGAGGGTATCGCCTCTCTCGGTGGTGGGCATCGTGAAGCGCTTGAGCTCCCGGTTTCGGTCTTCAAGTCCTACGCTAGAGGAGAGGTCCACTCATTACACAACACCAGAAGATACAGCCCAGTATGTGTCTGATCCTCTAACAATAGACCCCCAAAATGCGCCTCAAACATATCGTCAGCCGCCGCGATCCTATCCCGAGACAGAATGGGAAACTATGAAGAAAGTCATCAAGTACTACTACCTAGATGTAGATTTGCGACTGGAAGATGTGGTCGAGGTTCTATCCAGGGAGAATGACTTCCACACCAAGTAAGGATTGCTATAGACTTCTATATCATCTTGTTGCGAAGAAAGATTACTTACCACTACATCACAGTGTCCGGATGTGCAAGACTCGCCTGAAGAGATGGGGTTTTGCCAAGAACAACAGCAAAAACCGAAAAACCAGCTTCCGTCACGATATCAAGCCGGCGAAGTCCCAAAACCTGCTGAAGCGTGCTGCCGTTCGTCTCCGTAAGCGAAAGTCGGAAGAAGGCCATACTATGGAATGTACCCCCATGGAAACTGATGCCGAGATCATTTACGATGAGAGCCACCAAGAAGAGCCCACGGACGAAGAATTCCATGACGACGAAACTCAATCCATATTCCCCATCTGTGATCCATCTCCCTCGGCTGAGACGAGTAGCGAACATACGCACCAAGCTTCGGGATCCGATACTGAGGTTGACTCGATTAACCAAGACGTCATCATGCTTGGGGCGGATAAAATGCTATTCCATGAGCTCGTGCCAAGCGAAGCTCCCGAGTTAGTCATTTCTCGTGATGCAGTAGACAACATCTACGAAGAAGTTTGCCCTTATCGTTACGGGGACAAGAAATTCCGTCTGATTGAGGAATTTGAATCGTGAGTCGAAACCAAATGACCTTTACAAGCTCTGTTCTGATTCCAAATAGAGGAGAGCAGTACTACACGGATTCCCTCGGATTTGGCATGCACATCAAGGAATCCGCGTTGAGGTTCTGCTCGGCAAACTGTCCATGCAAAGGCGCCCATTTCCCTGCTGATTTCTCGTTCCTCGTAACAGCATCCAAGAATAATGTCCAAGTCAGATTCTTGAGCGACGCGCTCTGGTCTGAGATTATTTCCGTTCTGCCTTGGCACGAGAGGCCAAAATGCGAGTACAGAGACATTGATGCACGAACGCTCTTCCACGACAGGGAGGCCCTAAAGAAGCAGTTGGAGAAGGTATATTCGGCTGCTCTTGGAAGTTCCGAATCGCAAGAGGCAATGTCGTTGTCTCTAGAGATGGAGCTTCTGGTTTACGGACTTCTCAACGAACACATGTTCAAAGTGAATGGAAATGACCTCAGAGTGCCTATCTTCAGGTTTGGCGACTTCACACCTTGGGACAACAGCCGACCGCCACGAACATGGCACGAAACCCCTAATAAGCTCGAGACCCAGATCGATCGGTTGGACGAAGCCTTCCGGGATACCAGTCAGATTTACGAAATGTATGCGGGCGATATGGGCTCAGGTATGAGATATGAGTTGGATAGTACCCCTTTTTGCGCCGAGCTTCACGGTGCGGGTCTCACAACAGATCGAGACGCTGTTTCCAAATCTTGCAAAGAAAGCGACGAATTCATTTACTACAAAAGGACGGTAATAAGCTCCGAAGCTTTCGAACTAGACTCACGCCAACTTAAAACGCGAGAAGAATTCACGATATCCAAGGCTAAGAATGTGGAGCGAAAGGCTTTCACTGTGAAGGACTCACGAGTGAGCCCGGTTATGACGAAGAAACTGGAGGAAGGGACTTTCAGCGTCAACGACTGGATCATGAATGCTGCTATGGGCGGAGATATCAGTCTCGTGCAAGCTCTTCTCGATCTTGGAACTGACACTGACGGTAAGCTGATCTCTTTAGACCATGTAGGGGAAGCTCAATTACTAACCATCATCTCGCCAGTGTTTGAAATCGACTGTTCGAAATCACCTCTATGCATTGCCGCAGAGTTTGGCGACATTAGAGTTGCGCGAGCCCTTATCAGCCGAGGTGCAGATGTCAACAAGAAGGACCAGCAAGACAGAGCGCCTATATATCTCGCGGCAGCCAATGGTCACAAGGAAGTTGTTCTTCTTCTTTTCGAACATGGCGCAAACCTTAACACCCGTGGCGAACTTGGCTCCCTGCTCAATGCCTCGTCGATCAATGGACATCATGAGATTCTTCGTGTTCTACTCAACCGACACTACGGGCTTGCCAAGCGCGCCGAGTCATCTAGCTCGCAGTCTCTTTTCAGAGACGAGCGCAGAGAGATGGAAGAAGCCTTGGTACAAGCGGCGACAAGCGGTAGCCCGGCGACTATGCAAGTTCTTCTCGACCATGGGGCAAAGGCAGACCGGCTACTTTCGACACCAGGCTCGAAACTTCTACCTGCTTTGATAGGATCTGCAGCCTCTGGTAACTACGAAGTGGTAAATATACTTTTACAAACAAAGGTGGATGTAAGTGGCGTTGATCACCGAGGCACTGCTCTCAGTGCCGCCGTGAGCAACGGCCACGACGCCATCGCCCGTTTGTTGCTCACCCACGCCGGTGGACAGGTTTTGGCCGCCATTCGTCATTTGAGAGCTTGCGGCAAGCGTATCCATATAGCCCGGTTGATCAAAATCGTATCTCAGATACAAAGAGACCAACGTGACGGCCGAGATCTTTCGCCAAGAGGGATGGTGTGCACGACCACCATACAATCCTTGTGGAAACGCTTTCTTCGCCAACACTCAATTATGCTCACGGCTGCCTCCAAGTCATCGACAAAATTCAAGGAACTTTCATCTAGGCTCTCGGACTATCGGGACGGCTGGACGGCTGGGATCAATGCCATGCGGAGATTATGCCGCGGAGAGATCCCAGTGAGTATCCACGACACCATCCCGTTCCTGTCTCTCGCACGAGCAATGGTTGAAGCACTCGACGGATTTCATCACAGCGACTACATGGTGGACTTCAATTCTGACCTGAAAAGATGGCAAATGCTTTTCACGTCAGAGGATAAGGCGACAGAGCTTGAAGCATATCGGGACGCCGTTTGGTCAATGTGGGGAGTTCAAGTCACGTTTGATTCTACCGAAAATTTGGACACTGACGATACGGTTCTGCAACGCTTTCACGACCTCGCAGCTACACTGGCCACTAAAGCGGATGCGTTTCTTGGAGGCGGGCCCTTAAGTAACGCAGATGTCATCATGAATGAACCGGCTAGGCTGTTCGAAGCGACCCCTTACCATGGCGAAACCACAGAGCACAGCGACGACAGATACCAACATCGTGAGAAAGACAGAATACCTAAGCTTCAACAGCCGACACCGCCAGAGCAGCCCGGGGAGCCACCGAGTCGAACCCTGGCGGAGGAGATTAAGAAAGACCCAACCATCCTCGAGCCTCTGGCAACGCTCCTAATTGCGGGCGCAATTTTCGCCATAATAATAATATTCATTCAAGGTTAGACTCACCGAAACATCCAGAGGTCAACAGCTGTTAACATTTTCATTCATAGTGATGGCAAAGCTGGCACAGCTTTCCGTATCGCTACGTGTAGCATTTCCAAGCGTCAAAACATTAACACAACGGTACCACATTCTCGAAAGCGAGTTGGTAAAGGGTAATAGTTTGGTACATATCGAGGGTATACAGGGGAGTACCTACTGCATCATTTGACATATCCAAAAAGAAATACGTGGCTGTCTGGCGTTTTTCATTCCGAGATGAAGTGTAGGTTTTCTGAGCATTTTTGATACCCGAGCGTAACTCGGCTCATCGGCTGGGCCGTGTCTGATTTCGCGCGCATACAATTAATGTCAAATTTGTTGAACATAGTTGCTCACAACATCTTATTAAACTTTGAATGTTTCATTTCGCTTTCACACTTGCCGCCTTTCTTTTCAGAGAATTGAGAGGAGGTATTTCGAGGTTGACACAGCAGAACTGATGTATCTTGCTCTGGAAAAGATGCTCTGCGCCAAGCTCCAATGGCTTTGAATAGTAACCAGGTTTATGGTACGAGAAAAAGTTATAATTCAATGTCAGAAAAAGAAAACGCCATACGGGAAAAGCATACTTGTTCTTGACAGTTTGCATTGCAGCAAGCTGCATCGCAAGTTGGTTCCACCCAATAGAGATGTAGTGGGCTTTAGGCGCCATCATTTTAACTGTAGCATACCTCACTACATTACCATGGAGCTTTAAGTTACATTCTGGAAACTAGGATACTAGCAAGCGTAGTCTTCCACCGTCTAATTTTCAATTAGGTATGTAATGCGCCGACCGACATGCTTGACAGCTAACGGCGATGTGGGGTCAAAGATTTGACACTCATGACTGCTGCCGTGTGATGCTTGATGGTACCAACATCAATTATGTGTTGCTATGACGTTCAAGAGCCGTTCAATGAATACCAAAAAAAGGAATGGGATTCGGACTTCGGGTATTTGGTGGCCGATTCTCTCGTTCTCGTCATGTTCCAGAAGCTGAATCCCTGAAGCTCAGACGTCGGATGGTCGGACGGTGGGACAAGAACCACAATACCCCAATCAGGTCCCTCCGAACGCGAGGGAGTAAATATTCATCTTCTCCACATCCGGTCCTGTAACCGAGCATAGGCAGGGTGCCGGACCTCTTCTTCCACTCGGCAACGCGCGGAGGAACCTTACGAGTAAGAACTGAGTTTACGTTTCCAAGGCGGTTAACTATGCCTCGCGCTTTTCCCCAACTTCTGTTTGCGCTAGTTGCCTTGCAGTTTGGGCTAAGGTCTAGAGTGGTTAGACATTCATCTTGCTTTGCATAATATGCCAAATCAAAGTCGCTCTATGCTTGGCAGCTAGAGAAATGCCGGGTAGCTTCCCGATGGTGGAGTTTAAAGACGGGAATGGGGCAGAGCAGCGAAACTGCTAATGAGTAACCAACACCATGGGCGCAGTTATTTTTTCCGTGGCCATCCCTCCCCAGTCTTGAAGCGACAGGCAAACTGACGGAGTTTCGTTTCCTCCGAACCCCCACGTTTCACAAGGATCAAGCTCCAAAAGTCGGCACTGGCAGCGGAGAGGATTAGAAAATAATGACCGGTTCGAACGGACACATTTGAACCCCGTTTTGGGGGGACCCTACTTTTGGTCCCCAACTTTCTCTCTACAACTGGCATCCATTCATCGCGTGATTCTGGCTCTTTTGCGCGATTGACCTTCATTGTTTTGAGTAGACATAACTGATAAAGCTTTTAGATCCAATATTGACCATGGCGCTGGGTAAGCTTTCCAAACTCCCCATCTCTTTAATTTGCCTGCTGGAGCTATTCCCTAGATTCGAGCGCAGTATGATCTGGCCAGACAGTGGAAGCGCTAACACTGAAATCAGCGGCTGCTGCGGTGGCTGGTGGCGTAGCCACCACAATGTATCTTGATGCCAAGTATCACCTCTCGAAAGACATACGATGGCTTCGAGGTCGCTATATGACGGCCAGGGCTATCGAAAACGCTAGTAAGACCAAGGCCGCTATCTATAGCGAGTTCTACCCTAACTTTTCTTTTTGCCAGTTAAGAATGATCGGGTTTCGCCATATTACATCTTCGAAGAAGCCGCGCAGAGAAATCCTTATGAAGAAGCCATTTGGACGCGGAACGGTAGTGTGTCATGGAAGTTAACCTACGATCGAGTAAACCAATATGCCCAATATTTCCTTTCACATGGCATTAACCGTGGGGACTTTGTTGCATTTTTCATGCAAAACTCGCCCGATTTTGCCTTCGCTTGGCTAGGTTTGTTGGCCATCGGTGCAGCTCCGGCCATGATCAACTACAATCTTACCGGCAAGGCGCTCCTTGGTTGCATAAAAATCAGTACCGCGAGGCTTATCCTCGTCGATGGGCCTCCAGAAGTCGCCGATAAGTACCAAGATGTACAGACTGAGTTAGATGTGAATGGAATTCGGGTCATCAACTTGGTAGAGGAGAGACCGCATATCTACCAGAGGGACCCTATACGACCTCCTGACAGTCTGAGGAAAGGTATAAAGCCAGGTGATCCAATGGCATTATTTTACACGAGGTGAGCCCTCTTGCTGCTACAATTATCTGTTAAAGGCTAACATTCGCAGTGGAACAACCGGCTTGCCCAAAGCAGTTGCGTTTCCCGCCGTCACTGCTACTGGCTTAAGCAGCCTCGTCATGCAAAGATCACCAGGGTCCAGCGAGAGATGCTACATATGCATGGTTAGTCTTCTTTCTTTCGGACCCTCTATGATAATTTGTTATTAACTCAACAACAACAACAGCCATATTATCATGGGACTGGAGGTATCGTAATGATTTCGCAAATGCTTGTAAGTTAGACTTTACGCGTCATCATAGCTGCCATGCTGACACTGAATAGGCAGGATCAACCGTTTGCATGGCCCCAAAGTTCAGGGTTTCCACATTCTGGGACGACATTCGCGAATCCCACGCAACGTGGTTCGTTTACGTCGGCGAAACGCTCCGATACCTTGTAGCAGCACCGCCCTCACCGCGCGACAAAGAACACAGCATCCATACCGTACTAGGAAATGGCTGCCGACCAGACGTATGGAAGCGCTTCCTAGAACGATTCGGCGTCGATGCGATTTGCGAGTTTTACAACAGCACCGAGGGCGTACTGGACCTTCGTAACTTGTCGCGGGGAGACTTTCTTGCCCATGCCGTTGGCCATTACGGATTGCTGCTCCGGCTAAGATACAGAAACATGATAGTTCCCGTTGCGATCGATACGGAAACTGGTGATGTTAAGAGAGACCCGAAGACCGGGCTTGCCGTTCGGATGCCTTACGAGGTTGGCGGAGAGATTCTGGTCGCGCACCCGGGAGAGCGGGCGTTTCCTGGATATTTCAACAACACAGATGCAACAGACAAGAAGTTTGTGAAGGACGTGTTGAAGAAGGGGGATACTTTCTATCGGACTGGTGACTCGTTAAAACGCGATGGTGATGGTAAATGGTATTTCTTGGATCGGTAAGTGGCCGCTTCGGTTTCCTCAAAGAAGCTATTGCTGACATATAAAAGCCTCGGCGATACCTACCGATGGAAGGGCGAGAATGTGTCCACAGCAGAGGTCTCCGAAGTCCTTGGAAGTTATCCCGGTGTGAATGAGGCAGTAGTCTACGGTGTCTCTCTCCCCGGCCATGATGGAAAAGCTGGCGCTGCTGCACTGGACATCGCTGCTGATAGGAAGGAATCGTTTGATTTTGCCGACTTTTTGAGGTTCGTCTCAAACTCGGGATTCTCGAACGTTGTCACTGACTTTTATAGCTATTCGCGATCAAAATTGCCCAGATATGCCGTTCCGATTTTCATCCGCTTATTAAACGCAAGCCAAGCGAGTCACAATAACAAACAGAATAAGGTACCGCTGAAGAACCAAGGGGTCGATCCAAGTAAAATCGAAGGCGGCGATAAACTCCTATGGATTGAGAAGCACGGAAAAGGCAACACATATGTCCCATTTACACAGGATGACTGGAACAGCCTCGAAATAGGTCGCGCAAAGCTGTAAAGAGGATGATGATCTACATGTATGGCTGATTATACGCTGGGAGCAGACACTGTATCTACTGTAAGAATCTATGCTCCAACATCCGAGATATCCTATGACGAGCACGTGCGATACCTGTAGTCGAATACCGCTTTGGGGCAAATCGCCGGCTTGACCATCGGACAATCTCCCAGACAGTTTACTCGCATACCACGGCAATGCGGGGAAGAACAAACGGAGACAATCCCCGGGGAAGCCAGCCAATGGATGTTTGTGATGCCAACCCACCGATAACCAAGCTTCATGACGGCGCGCCCAAGAATACGATGAACCCCGCACCGCGCAATGCTACGACAAACGACGGATTGCACACGCGGGAGAGCACCCCTGCAGCATTCACATGAGGATCAGCGCGATTTTGAATGGCTGGGGACCGAGGCCAGCAACCCTGATTGAGCTGTTCTAGCCTATCTCTGACAAGGTAGGTATTGATGATATACAGTCGATGTCCACCCACGGTCAATCTCTCGAAGTTGGGCTTGTTCGCCGCTATTTTGAGTAATTGAATTACTGTGCCTATCATGGCGGGAATCAAGCGGGCACGCATCACATTCGCTTTCATCATCACTTGCGTGCTCATCCTACTTTTCAGGAGTGGCGATGCGAATTCCGATTCACAGTCAGCGCAGTGGACAGAGTCCCTATCGCCTGAACAGCCTCAGTCCGACGCAAATCCAAGGATTGACATGCCTCCTCCTGATCACGTCGAGATTCCCATCGTCGACAAGAATGCTAATGCTCAGCTACCGGCGCAAGAAGCGCAACTCGCATTCGACGCCCATAAGCTAGCAACTGCTGACGAATTCCTTCCGCACTTTGCTGCGGTGATAATCGAGAAGGGCATTTCTCAGAAACAGGCGCGCGCAACATGCACATGGCCAGCAGATACATACGTCGACTTCCAATTTTCTGACTCGGTAGAATGGGTTCTCGAGGATAGGCCAGTGTTGGAGATCGAGCTACGGCGACGCGAATGGCACGACTTTGTCAAAAGTGGCATGATACCGTACACAAGCGTCAAGGACCGATTTTTCGGGAGGGGTTTGGTCATTGTCGCGGGCAATGCCGACACGATAATGCGCGTCAAGGTGATCTTACGCCAGCTGAAGAAGCTCGGTTCGTCAATACCCATTGAGATTCACTACTGGGATAACGAGATGGATATCGGAGTCATGGCGGACCTTAACGCGCTCTACACGCCGATATACTACAACGACTTGTCGAAAGAACATAACATTGTGCACATAAAGAAGGACGGATATTTCGGTATTAACTATCAACTAAAGACAGCAGCTTTGTTGAATGCCCGATGGGCCGAGCCAATATTGTTAGACTCGGACAACATTCCAATCTTGGACCCGGCGACCCTGTACGATTCCGTTCAGTATCAAGAGTACCACTCGGTATTCTGGCCCGACATCGCTCGCACTAGACCTCAGAATCCTGCTTGGGCGATCTTCAACACTCCGTGTCGAATGGCCGAGTACGAACAGGAAAGCGGACAGCTGCTTGTCGACAAGACGCGATTTTGGTACCATTTGCAACTTGCGTCATGGCTCAATAACGAGCAGGGAAAATACTACAATGAGATGTTGTTGGGCGACAAAGACATGTTTCGTTTCGCGTGGCACGCGTTGAAAACCAATTTTGGCAAGCCGAAGAAATGGTTGACGAGCGTCGGGACGGAAAACGACGGTTTCTACTGCGGACATTCTTTCGCACAACATCATCCCGATGACGGACGCGTAGCATTCCTCCATGGGGGCCTTTTGAAGACGGTGTCACTTGAGGTGATGAGGTGGAATCGAGATGTCAAAGGAGGTTATCTACGGCATTACAAGAAAGCCTCCAGTGAAGAAAGTCCCGAGGTCAACGTAAACGTCGCCATTAAGTTTGACGGAGCAGCTTACATGCCCGACCATTCCGAAAAGTTCCAAGCCGCTCAGTGCACCGACATGTTCGACGTCGAGGCAAGGGACATGAATGAGATTCTTCCCGGCTTCGAGCAGACATTCCGCGAAATTGGGGGCTATTGGCAGCTAGACCAGGAGGATGTGGTTAGGTTTAGCCACAGCGACTTCCCCCAAAAACGGTGAGAGCAGTTGGGAGTAGGGTCATGACACTGATGGGTGACATTGGCACCACGAGGGCGCCTAGAGCATTGAGCAGTGACACTTGAAGCTTGGGCACCGAATAACCGCACCCGCCGAGGTGGCGGCCAAGCACGATCAAAGGATGAAAGGTCAAAGACAAAGCATGGTGAACAAAGATAGCAACGCTCCGGTGCTAGCTATCTTTGTCGGTCGAAGCCGTGTGCTGCATTGTTCAGAAAACCCCTCAAAAGGCGGCTATGCTCAGACTTGATGCTAGCAAATGTGCACTGAGCTTGTTTTCTCAGCTCCGAGTCTGACCAGTCCGTGTCGACTGATTGTCAGCAGCCTCGTGGCTCGTCATCGAAGGGAAGCAGAAAGGTTGTCAAACGCGGGAGCAGTCAGGGACATTTGATTGTCAAAACTCTTGGCAAGGCGGTAGTGGAAAGGAATCAGCCACACGGTCCATGAGAGACATTGAGAAACAAGCCGACAATTTCAATCGAAGAAGCGACTAACTGGATAAGATGACAAGGCGTGTTGGGAGCGCAGAGAGTGCTTATGAGCTCAATTCTTGGTGAGCCACTGGCGAAGTATGGAGTTCTCTGGTCAGTTAAGGGGAATGCCCCATCAGTAGTCCTCAAATGATGGTCAGCCCAGGACATTTCTGGACGCTGCAGAAGGATAATGGGATCAAGAAAATGATTGAATACCCACCCCTGACGGCGAACATCTTCCCCGAGCCCTGCTCCCCGACAACCTAGTACAACGATGTCTCGTGTTCGAATTTGGTAATGTTTCAGGCATTTGACAGGCCAAGTCACACCGTTAGAAGACTACTGTCAAAATGGGATTAGCGGCTGAATTCTCTCCTGAAGGCGAGCGGTGCTGCTAAAACAAACGTTTCCCTTTGCAGAAAAAGTGATTTGTCTACGCTACCCCTGAACAAAGGTGCTCCCATTTTCAAAAGCGGAGAGTTAGACTCTGGAACAGGAAAGGAGTTCATTCGATTCTATCAGATTAGGTTAGATCCAAGAGAATTTCAAGAGCTAAGGTATGTTCTGCAGCACAAGCCAAGTCTATTCTTGGCATTGCGTAGGAAGATGGGATGATAGATGCTTACTTTACGATGCATTGCATATCGAGACACTGCATGGAGTTGAGATGAGGACTCAACCTTCAAGCCCAAGATTTTGCTCACTGATAACTTCTCAGTAAATAATCCGCTGAAAGAAATCGACAAGAAAAGAGAGAGAATAGCAGATGGTGCGCTCTACCTGTAGCCGGCACACAGACCTCTTTGTTTCCTCGCCGTCGAGGCCCCTTTTCCCCGTTGGGCCAGCCCCGGCGTATCTGTCCAATAACATCCAACATAATTCTCGTCTCGTTCTGCATAGCTTGTGGAGGCGTAGCATGAGTGCCCTGTGCTCGGACTGAATCAGCTCGGCCCAATACGAGCAGCAAGTCATGACAGAAAAAAGAAAGCAACTCTCAAACGCCTTTGATGGCTCCGAAGCGCCCCCGGGTTAGTCGACTGGTCGGCGCTACTCATCTCCACACCTAAACTCTGGGACGGCTCCTTTTACCAAGAATAAACTTGAAGAGTAGCAAAGACCGCCACGCCACCAGGTTATTGATGGGGAGATATAATGGACCCAAGGTGCCCCTCTCTGTCGCAACTTTTGGATCATCATCTCACGCCTCAACAGGTCTTTCACCATTTCCACATTCTTTCTGACTTTTTTAAGTCGTCCTTTCCTTCATGTAAGATAATAACTTGGTACTACATATCATTACTCTCGCTTTCTTAGTACCTGTTGACTTTCGTTCACTTCCGCTATCATGCGTGTCACTCTCTTTACCGCTGCCCTCGCGGCCACCCCCGTCTTCGGCTATCCGGGCATGAAGAAGACCTTCTCCGATATCCGTGCTCGTGTGAATGCGGATGACAATGGTCCCGATTCTGATAAATATGACTCCACGGAGCTTCTCGGGGATATCGCAACCCTCGAAGACTCTAAGCTTACCACCGTCGGCAAGAGCGTCAAGTCCCTCCTTACCGGCGGCGACAACCCGGAGAGCGATGAGGCGTACATCACGTCTGGCAGAGCTAACAACCTCCCGGCCAAGGGGTCTCCAGCCTGTGCCGCCGACACCTGCTGCATTTGGAAGTACATTGCCAATGATCTTCAGGGTGTTTTCAGGGGCAAGGCTGGCCGTTGCACGGATTATGCCCGTGCCGCGATCCGTCTCGGCTTCCACGATGCCGGTGGCTGGTCCAAGTACACCGGCGACTATGGCGGTGCTGATGGCTCCATCATTCTCTCCCCTGATGAGATGAACCGTGGCGAGAACAATGGTCTTCAGGAGATCGTCGCTCAGACCAAGATCTGGTACAACAACTACAAGGGATACGGAATCTCCATGGCCGACTTGATCCAGTTCTCTGCCAACGTTGCCACCGTCGTCTGCCCCCTCGGCCCCCGTGTTCGCACCTATGTCGGCCGCAAAGATTCCTCCCGCAACTGCCCCGACAACATGCTCCCCCCTGTCACCGGCTCTGCTGATTACCTGATTGAGCTGTTCGAGAACAAGACCATCAAGCCCCACGGACTGACTGCTCTTATTGGCGCCCATACTACCAGCCAGCAACGCTTTGTTGACCCGGAGCGTGCCGGTGACCCGCAAGACAGCACTCCCGGTGTCTGGGATGTCGCATTCTACAAGGAGACTCTCGGCAACGCGCCCGCTCGTGTCTTCAAGTTCGCTTCCGACATCGTTCTCGCCCAGGACGACCGCATCAAGGATGAATTCCAGGCCTTTGCCGGCCCCGGCGGACAGTCTCACTGGAATGAGGTAAGCGCTAGACATTCCTACTTTTGCCTGCCATTTCTTAAATACTAATACCCGTTCCAGGACTATGCCCGCGAATACATCCGCCTTTCTCTGCTCGGTGTCAACAACATCAACAGCCTCACTGAGTGCACCAAGGCGCTGCCTCCCCGCATTAGCACTTACAATGCTCCTGACCAAAAGGTTCTGGATAAGTGGCTCGCCACCAAGCAACGCGTTGCCAAGATTGCTGAGGAGCTTCGCAACGGTGGTAACATCAGCTCTCTCGGCGGTCTCATCGACAACATCCTCGGCTGGATCAAGAGCATCTTCGGATTCAGATTCTTCTAACTACACACTCGCTCACAAACTACCACATTCATTTGCATTTGGGAAGCACAAAAGAGGCAAGGCGTCAGGGCTTGAATTTGGGTACATAAAACATTGCCTGGTATGGCAACAGTAGATACCACCATATAATGTGTATATTTAATAACAACCACTCGTTTGGAAACTCATTACACCGGCATCTGAGGCCTGTCCGTTTTGAACAAATGGTGTATGCTTTGATGATTCGACTAAGTCGTTGCTCCCACCCCACCCGAAGCTCTTCCGCTGTTCTTTTGTCCCCCACCCAAGAATCTGGCACGGCGAACTCTACCGACTCAACCCTACCGTGACCCGCTTCAACTCCACAACCATCACGAAAATATCGTATGTTCCATCATGAACGAAATTGAATCAGACAAACACCATCCCCCACATCGCAGCGCATTAAATAGCGCTCTCAGCCCTGATGGTCTAGCGGTATGATTCTCCCTTAGGGTTGTCTATGACATCTCAGCTCTGGGAGAGGTCCCAGGTTCGATCCCTGGTTAGGGCCCATTTCCTTTTGTATCCTTTTGGAATAGCTTGGCGGCTGATGCTTTTTTGACTGTTGTACGTGTGGACTGCTCGTAGCCATATCTACAATGCTGCTTGATTTGACGTCAATGTGGCTTGTACACTATTATGAAATACACTCTCATTCATGTTTCCTACCTCTGGCTCATCTCAGCCGATATGGGGTAAGTACAGATTTGATCACTGTGATTGACTACCGTCGCGTTGCGCCCAATTCTTACTTTGCCTAGTCTATGGCACTTTGTTTCGCAATTTGATAAACCCCAATCGTTTGTTAGGGATAATCGCCAAGACAAAACAACTTGGCAGCATGTATAAACAACTTGAAGTAAAGTATGACGGTGCATAAACTACAGTTATACCAACGTATTGCGGGTTCACTTTTATCGTTACATAAAGACAGTCCATTCCTTTATCCATTATGTTTCCATTCAAATTCTAGGCTGAAACTAACTCATCCAACGGATTCCATTCCACCCCCGCAATCGCTTGAGTTTGATCTTCCTCGTCTACAAATACTGTTGAGAACACACGTTCGCCGTCACACATACGAATTCTTTCAGCCTTGAACCTCTTCTTGTGGTCACTTCTGAAATAGCGAAATTCGTCGAGTACAGCCATATCAGCTCCTCGTGAGACCAGAATCCCTAGCGTATCAAGTAGCGCGTGATGATGCGCATGGGGGACCTTTCTACCCTCCCGGCCACGATTGAAACAGTCCAAGACATATGCGGCCATGGAATCAATCGTTTCCATAATTGCGGTAGAAGACTTTTTGTTCTTGTGGTTGATGCTAGCCCCTTGGTCAAGCAGGAAGTTGACAAGATCTCTATGGCCGTTCCACGCCGCAGCAAACAAGGGCGTTTTCCCATCACTGTTGGCAGCGTTGACATCCAAACCCTTCGCAACGAGAAGCTTTACTGTCTCCAAACGGCCCCTTGACGCTGCCCAGAACAAAGCATCGTCTCCTTCTCGGGTTCGCGAGCTCAAATTAGCGCCGTGGTTAATGAGGAAGTCAACGACGTTCCGGTGGACAGAGCCCATCGCCAGGGACAATGCCGAGCGTCCCTTATCGTCCATAGCGAGGATGTTTGCGCCTTTATCAAGCAACAGCATTACAACATGCAGATATCCATTCTCTGCGGCTAAGTGCAGAGCTGTTTTCCCTCTTCGAGTGGATGCGTCGACTTCTGCGCCGCGGTCGAGTAATAGCCTTACAACACCTAGTTGACCATGTTTCGAAGCAGCCAGCAGCGCTGTCCAGCCGTTTTTGTTCGAAGGTGCTTTGACGTCTGCGCCGCGATCTAGCAGCATTCGTATATAGTCTAGTCGCCAAATCTGTGCGGCGCAGCTCAAAGCCTTAGGAAGTTGCTCGATGGTGATGGCGTCATTGAAGCTGGCGCCATGCTCTAGTAGAGTCTTGCCGACTTTGTTTGCCTTCTTCGGCATCCGATTCTTCAATACGTGATTCAGGGGCTGTAACCCTTTTTCATCAGCAGCATGGACATTTGCCCCCTTCTTCAGCAAAATCGCAACGACCTGTGGGCTTCTCGCCCATACGGCCCAGAACAGCGCAGTCCATCCTTTATGATCCACTGCATGAATATCTGCGCCCCGTGCCAGCAACAGCTTGACGGCGGCGACGTTTCCCTTTAACGCGGCATATGATAGGGCGGTCAAGTTGGAATTGTCCCCTGCGTTAACTTGAAATTGTGCAGCATGCGGGGAATCAGGGTGCTGAGCCGCAAAGTCCAATAGGAGTTTCACGATCGAATCACCATACTTTGGATAGAGCAAAGAAAATTGTACTAGGCTTTTTCCTCTCAACCCTCTCCAAGGAATGGACGAAACGGACAAAAGAAGTTTGAGACTCTCAACTCGCCTGTTGGTTACAGCGACCGCAAGAGCATTCTGTTCCGGGTCTGCAAACGGCTCAAGACTGGCACCGCCGGCAACAAGTACCTGGACAATCTCAGGCCTGTCATGTTCATCGAGACAGCCAGTCAAAGCCGTATGGTTCCTGCCATTCTTCACGAGAGTCTTGGAGTTGGGGTCGGCACCTAGCTGAAGCAGGAGCTCAATCATAGAAGGCTTCGTGAAGGAAAGAAATGAACAAACATGTATCGCTTGACCTCCTTCAAAGTATCCGTGCGATGCTGGCTTATCGAGAACTGCTCCGTTTTCAAAAAGAACCCGAACGGCCTCTTCGTGACCTTCGCAAGCCGCAAGGCTTAGCGCAGTGAATCCTAGCTCATCGCCGATATTGACTGGAATATCACCAGTTTCCAGAATGGACCTGAGACTTGCAGCATCGTTTCTCAAGGCGGCGATGTGAAGCGGTGTCGTTAGGCCTTCAACATAGTCGGGCTGAACCCAACGAGGGAGTTGTATCAAAGCTTCCTTAACTCTCTTTGTTGAATCGCCAGTAACCTGCGGATTACGTTTTCCGCTCAGAAACAAAGCTTTGGTGGTTTCCCGTGGAGAATATTGTTCTGTCCAAAACAAAATAGGCAAGTTCCTGCGATCGTCTTCTATGCTACTCTCAGACGAGTCGGAATCGCTGGGCTCCAGAGCTCTCCATTCCTCATCGTTCTGGGCCTTTCGCAACTGATACTTTCGATCAAAGTAAGGCAGTGTCTGGTTTCTACGACTGGAAGACTTTTTCTTTCGTGCCTTGGGCCTTTCATCCGCTACCAACGGAGCACTCGGCGGCAATGGCTCTGGCCAGCTCCCAACCACGGCCTGCCCGCCGTTGAAAAGAAGCGTCGAACCCCAGGGTTGGCTATCCGAAACCTCCTGTTGAACTGCCCATCTTCGATCCCAGTAAAAGAAATCCCCCTTCCCTCCAGCTGCAACAAGAAGTTCGACGATCTCGATGAGGGATTCGTTCCATTTGGCTACTTCGAGTCGACCAGCCGCCTGAAACTCTTTTGGAATGTCGCCGTCTCTTAGTCTTGACCATACAAGATCCAAGGCTGTCATCTTTTTAGTATTCCTTTGCCACCTAAGTGAGTAACATGGCGCGTTCACGTCGAAATTGTGTTGAAGCAGCAGTCGTACAATGCCAGAATGGCCATTGTAAGCCGCGTGGTGGAGTATTAGCTCCTGACAAGTTGAGCACATTTCGGTCTTCATCTTTTCCGAAAATGCTTCCAAGCCTAGTAAAAACGATACCAACTTCGTCTGGGTCAACTGAGTTGCTCTCGTCGTCGGCCTGGGTTGTTCGACGATGCTGTGCCAGACAGGCCACGCCCAATCCTTCTGAGTCTTGGCATCTGTCCCATGATACATGTAGTGTACGGCACCACGGTTCGCCAACCATTCTAGCCCTTCAAAAGGTACACTTAACCCATTGCGAAAGATATCTTTCATGACAAGGTCAGAGAATATTGAGCGACCGGTCTCGGGATTCCGGCTGAGCAGTTTATCAAGCTGGTCTTGAGAACAGTGTCGAGAAAGCATTTCTACAGCAACCATGTCTCGTCGCCACATGGCCCAGTGTAAAGTTGTTATGCCTTGATCGTCAATAGTCATAATATCCGCACCATGCTCCAAAAGACGGGAGAGAAACTCTCTACTTTCAGGAAGCTTCCAAGTAGCGAAATGTACGAGTTTGCCACCGCCACTGTCGTTTCTAGCAGGAATGATATTCTCGGCCAAGAGGTACTTGAAGCAACCAATGGCTCCCCATTCTATACAAAGTTGTCCAAGCTCAATAGAGTTCCTTCCAAGATGCTGGAGAAATTCGGAATGACCTGAGTGACAAAGGAGCTTCTCAAGGCTGTTGGTGTCGTCGTAATATATGACATTTTCGATGGCTTCGCGCGACGGTTCTGCTCCGCTCTGCAAGAGTAATCGCTCGGTCTCGTTCTTGGCTAAGTGATAGTTCTCGCCATGAATAGCAAATCGTTCGGCCTCTGCTATTTGGTCACCCCCAGGCTTAAGAGTCATGAAACGCACGACACTCGAAAGAAATTTCGTTGTGCAGTCCCATCGATGCGACCCGTTGAAGCAAAGCCATGGCTTGTCTTTGGAAAGGGAGATCATCTTCCTAGCGATTTTGTGTTGGAAGTACATTGATGAAAAGTATAGAGCGTCCGGGAAGTCTATAATAGGCTCGTTGTGTTCCTCGTGTAACGCGAGAATCGCAAGAGCCACAAGAGGGCGGCCCCTCAAGATAGATGCGAGGAATGGTGTCACGTTTTCACGCTCATTGCCCAGAAAGATGGTGTGAACCTTGCCGAGAGTGTCTAGACGGGCTCCCGCTTCGTATGCCAGAGGAGCAAGCTGGCTAGCCTCGGTCTCCGGAAGGCCAGAGTATGCCAGCCAGTGAAAGAGGATGGGTATTTCTTCGGATGCATCTTGAGGCATAAAGCTCTTCCCAACCGTTTTTTCCAGTATCTCCCTTACGTCGGAAACGGTCCCAGCCATCATTGCTCTTCGCACAGTAGGTAATTGACCCCCGTAAAAGTCTTGAGCGATGGGGGAATCCTCATAATAGTGCAGCACAGCTCTCTGGGAATCGAATATACAGAATACTCCGTCTTTTTCACACAGGTGAGGCCTCTGGCGTCGAAGTTTCTGAACCATTTCCCAATGAGCTGGCCAGTGCTGCGCAAGACGGTCAACAGCGCCTCGTAACCCTCGAAGTGCATCTAGACACAGAAAAAGTCTGGAAGGAACTGAGGTCCCGAGTTCGGTCTCTGAAACCATATGGGGACATAAGGAAATCGCTTTGTCGTATCCTTGTAAAGCCGCAACAGCCATCCACGCCGCTCCGAGCTTTCTGTTGCGTGGTATCCCCAGCCCTGATATGTTGGACATGGCGAGGTTGAATGCGTGTAGGCTCTTGCGTTGATATTGTAACGGGATGGCGCCAGGGCCAACCCCAGGGCAAACTTTTGACATCCATTGCATGGTTGCCCGGCGCAGATCGTGAAGAAACTCCAAAGGCAACTGGTCATTCGGGATGGAAACAGAAACATCCTCAATATTAAGGCCTCGGACATACTCCACAGGATCTGGAATATCTCCGAGAGCAGCAAGATGTTGCCGGTAGATAAAAAAAAGATCATTCCGAGACCTGTTTGTCCACCATGACGATGCATCAACTGCGATTTTCCAATGGTCCACATCTTTGGTCTGGTCAATTAGTAGAGTCAAGCTGTTTTCAAGTTTCGAAGTAACTTACTCGCTTAACAATGTTGGTCCTTTGCTGGAGTCTTACTTTTTCTCCATCCTCGTCAAGCTTCTCCTCTAAAATGTGGCCGAATTCTGGTTTTTCGTCGCATATATTCCTTTCGCTAGGCTCTAGATCTTCTTCAACTCCTTCGTTTCGTGGCTGACACCTCCTGACAGCCAGCTCGTCATCGGACGGAGACTGTTTGCCTTCGGGTTTCTCTACGCATTTTAGTCGATACGCGTGTCTACGGCGCTTTTTATGACGTGAGCTTTTTGAGTGAAGCCAAGCCAAGACTCGTGGAAGGGTCCAAGTAAGAAAGTCTGAGGCTTGAAAACTGTCTTTGCCGGTATCGGTACCAGCATCAGTTCTTGGGTTCTCTTCCCCGCAATCGTCTCCCGGAGCAGAACCACTCTGATCTGAGTCTCTAAATAGAGAGTGCTTTGTCAACAGACTGGGTGTCTGTTTCTCTTGTCCTTTGCTTCTAGGGAATGCCTCTTCATTTTTTTCTCTCTCATTGTATCTCTCATCATCTTCCTCATCATCTTCCTCATCATCTTCCTCATCGTCTTCCTCATCGTTTTCCTCATCGTATTCCTCATCGTCTTCCTCATTATCACTTTGTTCGTTTTCTTCTGCTCCAATATTGCCACCACTAGAGTAACCATCACTCTCAGTTCCATCATCTAGTGCAATACTGGTTCACAGTGCTTTTGTTAGTAATAGAGTACATTGATCAAGTTACACTGTGGGAAACTACCTACATTGGAACCTTCCGAATAAGGCGCTTAAAAACTGGCTGCAACATTTCAATAATCTCTTGGGTAGTTGGCCGCATGCTGTGCTCTGTATGCAATGTCGAAAGAATGATGCCAACTAGTTGGGGAACATCCAAGTCATTCGACTGGACCTTGGCCACGAGTCGGCTCCTAAGAACTGATATAAGACTATTGGTATCTTTCCAATCCAAGGTCTGCATCTTCCTAACTCGCATCATCAGGTCAAAGTTGCTAGTCGGTGGGTTGGTACTAGCGAACGTCGACAAGACACTGGTTTGTAGTTGAGTGCTCGACCCCTGAACGCCGTAAAGCTGGTCCGTGGTATTACGCCCCCAGATGCTGGCAATGACGAGTCCATAGGAGTAAATATCACACTTTTCCCAATCTATGAACGATTTTTGTCCTTGGACTTCAGGCGCGCACCATAAAGGAGTAAAATGTGTCGGTCCGCCCTGGATATCATCTGAGCTCCCGCCAAAGTCTAGCAGCTTGGCGATAACTCCACGGTTTGGGTCCGGGTGGTTCATGATAATAATGTTTTCTGGTTTGAGGTCACCGTGTATGAACCCCGCTCGGTGAATTTCCCGCAGCCCCACGGCAATATCCAGAGTAATGTGTTGTTTCTGATGAGATGAAAAAGTTGACGAGTCACTGCCACGGCTTCGAATGACATGGTCCAGAGTCCCATAGTTCCCTAGCTCCATCGCCAGCATCGGAAACGGCTGGGCCTCGTTCCAGGCAATAAAGCGAAGCTGGGCAATGTTCTCATGACTGCGGAGCAGCGGGTGGGCAATCGCTTTGATCTCTCTCACGATCGTAGCAAACACGTCACTCTGAGATGCCCTGGCGGCGGAATTTGAATCGACTACCGGTCGAGATACGAATATCTTCAGGGCCAATACGGTATTCGCTGGCAGTATCTGGTTTGTCTCATCGTTTGTAACATGCTGGACAACCTGCGAGCTGAGACCGCTGCCGAGTGCAAAATGGAATCTTGTGAACTCGCCCAGAACCCCAACGTGAGTGATAGTGGCAGAAGGGACCTGATACGCTTCCGAAGCCGCAAATACGTCAAGGGCGTCATAGAAGTCGTACTCGAGCTCTGTTGGTGTCGACGACACCCCAAAGCTATGCGGCTCATCGCTGGTCCCTGCCTCAGATGCACAGTCAAAGAAGGCTCGTCCGGATCTTTCCATAATGCTGCTCTTAGTGCAAGAGTTTTTTCTGGTTTAAAGAAAGGCGCGAATTTGTCAAAATCAATTGTTTCGGGGATCACAGCATAACAAGACATCAAACAAGTCGCCGTCATGGGGTGAGCGAATGCCAAGATGATGCCGGGACTGGTAAAGCGAGGCTGTTGCAAGTCTGCCTAGAGATGTTTAACGCCCTTTATTGGGTGGCACAAGTGTAAATTTGGTAAAGTCAGCTAACATGGTAAGGCTCAAGTCGCCTGGCGACCGTTGAGTGGCGGCGACAGCCCTTTATCTCCATTCATTCATGCGCCTCACTCCGAATTTTGCCAATGTTATTCGCCAAAACCTATGGTGTTACCTGTCAGCAAACGAGTACTGCTCCGACAGTGCTTGGCTGATTACGGGCCATTCACAGTACATAAGACAGGGCTTGTCTCCCACTGCCGCGAAGCGAGTTGTGAGCTGCCTTGCTCCGCCGCAAAGCAAGGCGGCATACTAAAGAGGCGCAGCGACCCCGGTCTCTCAATACCTCAGTCGGGCATCGGCTCCCAGGGCCACTGGACCCATAGACATTTTGGCAAAGATTCTATTAGATCTTCCCCTGATCGTAAAATAAACATGCAAGTGCTGTTTGCAGCTTCGCTGATCACACAATCAGTCAACTAACAACCCTAGTCACTAAGCATTTCACAGTTGAAGTTGTCAACCTTGTCATTCATTACACAAAGACACCATCCAAGCTCATAAACGGGCTTCTTTAGAGACGAAGTACCCGTTTCCTTTATCCTTCTGCGAGAGTTGAAACAAGCGGCTTTTTTGGAGCTAGTACAAGTCTCTCTGTTATGCATCAAGAGGTTTTCACTATAGAGGTTTAATAGTAACAACAAGACTTTGCAATTGCCTAAATGATGCATGTTATACAAAGTAGATCGGCCTTTTTTGTATCATATATATCCTTCGATTTGACTTTTTTCGTTACACGAGGCTCGTTTGGAGTTATTCCACCTACTCTCTGGAAAATCCTTGTCAGCGATGGTCTTACATCAGCGACAATATGTCTACCTCCCCGTTATCTGTGACAAAGAGGTCAAGACTATGCTTCATAATGAGGGTAAGAAGATTAAACGTTGGCGTCTGACTTCACTCTAGCTTCCTGCCTTACTCGAGCTTCATCCTGGACAACTCGTGACCTTCGAGACTGGGTGTAATAGCTCTAGTGATATACACAATGAGTTTTTATCTAATGGCGTTATGATTACCTCCTTACAATAAGACGTCTTGGCTCTGAATTAACTTCTCACGTTCACGAGTACTGAATTACATGAAAATCAGTATATTCGTATTCGGTTGTTACTACTCCTAGATCCGTATCCTTAGCCTGTGGCCTATTCTCTGTTGCTTGACAGCGAATCATTATTAAAATAAACATGGCAATCAACAGTTGGACAGCCAACTACTCAAAGCTGTGCCCGCCCTTCTCGTCTTTTCCCATGAATGAGTTGCCTAGATTTTAGGGCTTTGCAATGAACTTGAACGTGAGCGGCATAATAGCAGCAGGATAACGTCTCAAGAAAGCCGCCCTATCACCGCCGGTGTAGAAGGCTGTGCTTTGAGTAAAAATGTCGACATTGATCGGATCTTAAATAGTTGAAAGAATTGATCATTAGTTTTCATTATTTGGACCAGGTATCGATGAGGGGAATCAAAATCAAGATGATATACTTACTACCGTCGGGGTTGATCCATGTTGCGGTGATCTCATTGGTAGTCGGGTCATAAACCCACTGGTGATTCGGGTGTTAGCATTGCGGTATATCAGGTAAAGGTAGGTTGAGGAGAAGGCTCGGCCGTTTCCGACTTGGGTATACTTACGACATCGGATTCGCTGGTGCGCGACTGGCCTGTGCCAGTGGTGTAGGCATTGCCTACCGTGACAGGGGGGCTTCCTTTGGGAGCTACAGAGGTAACAGAATTAGCCACATGTCGTCTTTTGGTCGTCTATGCAAGTAAATTCAATGGATTAACTTACTAGGATTGGTGCCGCCAATATAAGTATAGCTGTTCGATTGGAAGATGGGTGTATTAGTAAACATATTGGACAAACGCTCGGCTGCAAACAATGTGCCATTAGTTTTTGGGTAAGAAAAAGAGCTTACTGGAAAGAGCCAGCAGAGAGAACGCTGTTCGCATCATCACGGCCTTGTAAAAGACCAAGGATTGTGTTGGGCTGGGGACTGGTGTTGTCTCCCATTGCAATCTGCAACTGCTTGGAGGGCAGCGTCGAGCCAGTTGGAACCTGAAAAGTAACAATCAAAGCATTGGCCTCGTTTACATCATAACGTGTCTGGCCACCTTCGAATGGTGTCTTGGACATGTAACCAATAACTTGACTGTTATCCCTGTTGATAGCCTGGATAATGCCGCGCATTGTGACGGTCTGAGACTTGGTGTAAACCAAGATTCTGTTGCGCCCACCACAAATCCTATTTGGCATTAGTTAGTGTACGTTTTCGTGGGCACTGTCGTAACTTTTGGGTCTCTTACGAAGAGGCATCGCCCAAGCACGGGTTGTCACAATCCGAGTTGGGAGCAATCGCACTTGTGGACGGCGCGGTGTTGCTGCAGTAGCACTCGCGGCCGTATTCCAAACCAGCGAAGGAGTACCCTGCTGCGCCACAGGCGGCGACACATTTCTGCACTGTCATGGACTTGGGGTCGACCTCAGGGTTGGGTTTGCCAGGCAGAAGACGGAAGTTGGCGTCCGGGTCCCTGGTACAAGCGGGGGCGGTCAATATGATACCATCACTCCGATATACGACTTCTCTCAAGTGCTTACTTCATACACACTGGGGTGTTCCAGCCGTTGGCACTCTGCAATACAGCTGCTGGGCCCATGGTGAAGGCGTAGTTATCCCGAACGTAGAGGTTCATGGCAGCAGATCCTCCGCAGAGTTGGCTCGGATTTCCTAAGTGAGAGGCATTAGACAGGCAAACTCAAGTATTTGATCGAGCCACACTTACCTTTGCATGGATTGTTGCAATTAGTGTCGGCAATTGGGCGGTTTTGGCCAATCATGGTGTTTCCACAGACTAGAAAATCATCAGCATGGGGAAACTCAGTATCAGTAAGCTGAAGAACTATAACGTACAGCATTCCTGGGACCACTCGAGGCCGGCAAGAGAGTAGCCCTGAGCTTCACAAGCATCCAAGCACCCCTCAACAGTCATGGTATTGGGACCAGTACCTGCGGCAGGGCAATCAAGTCCACGCATGTGTCCAACGGTGTCACTATGATGATTTAGCTTACATGTGGCAGTTGGGACTCGTAAGGTCGAGGAACTCTGACAAACTTACCTCCAGCAGTTACTAGAATGGATCTTCCAGGTCTTGTAGGCCTGTACCACACTTGCGGTTGTGGTACGCTCATTGAGGTTCTGGCGCCGAGTGAGAGTGCCATTTTGAACTTGGGCCACCAAGTCGCAAGGCAACTCAGCACCACAGCTCTTATCTGTAGCTGCCAAGGCAGCTACAGCCAAGGATAAAAGAACAGAGAGATGCATGATTGTTGATAGCAAGGTAAGATGTTGAAGTGATGTGTGATGAAGAATGATTTAGGAAAAAGGATATGACATGGGCTTATATATTCCATCGCTCCATATGACAAGCTGGTTACTGTTGGGAGAGCCATCCTAGCGGCTCGGAACATACCGACCGCTACGAAAGATATTCTCCTTTCCAAAGTATCATGCGAGCTCTGGCAACAACAAGCAATTTGGCTGGAACAGCGTCCTGTCGAGCTTACAGTTGAGGCTTCAAAACACTAAAGCCCCTGAATAACGCCTCTTTTCCTTTGTCCGTGTACCTGGACCGCACGCACGGTAACGGCGTAGAACCGACTTGGCTAGCACTAGCTTAGAGGGGAACGGTTATCCCCCATCCCCACATGTTGACAATGGAATTTCAAACTTCACCATGGTTGACAGCGTCAAAGAAGTGTGCGCCTGGTAGTTGATGCTGGCGCAAACTTGGCATTATATACGCTAATACGCAAAGTATGGATTACAGAATTGTTCGAAAGACATGAGATTACATTACTCAACGCGCTCAGCTTATTGCGTCTTTTGGCTCCCGAGTTTACCTGTATACCTACGTCTTGGAAGATCAAACATCTGGCCATTCTGCGTAGACAATTGGCGGCTAATGAGCAGCCAGCCTCTTGTTTTCCTGGTTCCTAATTTGGTTAATGCTGGGCCGCCGGTTTATTTTCAGTTCTGGGGAAGCTTACTTTGGTATTGAAGCCGAATCTCAGCTGAACGCCATTGGCGGCTTTGCTAAACCGTTCAGAGACAAGCGCCAAAGCTGCTACCCGTCCCAGCGGTGTACGATAGCTGTAGCTATCATATGTTGTGAGCTTGCGGGGGCAGGATATACCGGCTAATTGTGACCAATATAACGCACAATCTGTGACCGCTTAACATGTGAGCATGGGATTTACTCAAAGCCTTGTCTGGATTCAACAAACTTTGTCGCTCAGGAGCGGCCAGACCAATCGCCACTCCCAGGTCTTTGCACGTCCCTGGTATGCTGCGCGGGGCAGGTTGAAAATTGCTGGAAGAGCATCTCCGTCAAAATCAGTCCAAAGCTAGATCCGACTTCTGTCTAATAGCAAATTGTTTGGCTGGTTGTTTTGTGTGTGTGCACGGTCCAAGGTTAAGTAAAGACCAACCTTATCTACAATGGCACATGAAGTATGTTGGGACATGTAAAAGCCCAATTAAGCTGAGAAAAAAGGTTTGCTCAAGTGGTTATATTTGGCAATGTTTCATATGTACGTCGGGGCGGCCCTCTTGTTGACGTAGTTGTCAGGACCTCTTGTCTGCGTCAGTCCTGTGCTGTCCCGATGAAAAATGGGACGACACGTCTTATAACACCATGAACCCCCGCCCAGTGGCCTCTTGGCATGCAAGATCACATCTTCGTGTGATGAGAGACAATGGACAATAAGTGTTACCAAGCTTACCCGCGCAACGCCATCAGCCTTGAGTCCCTCCATCCGATTGAGTTGAGCTCGGACTTTGACAGCAAGAAGGACGAACCGATCAACTTCTCCGCATCAGCGCCGCCCACAATCTTAGAAGTGCCCCTAAATGAGACAGATACGCAAATAGAACCTGGGCCGGTACACGTGGAAGATGCTAAGCTGAAGAGTTGGGCGCGTTGGGCCCTGTTCATCATGGCTTTCTTCATGGGTGATGTGCAAGACGGGCTTGGCCCCTTTCTTGGCGTTTACCTGCAGCAACGCGGATGGGCTCCCGGTCTGCGCGGCTCAGTCAACACGGTGAGTGGCGTGGCCACCATTATCGCGACTGGGCCAATTGGTGCGCTTATAGACGCGACGAAGTGAGTACTTGATAAGCACTGTGAAACGAGTAGTATCATTCGTTTTTATCACCTCGAGGTAAACTGATTCTGGAACTTTGCCAGTCATAAGCGCCTTCTCGTCGCCACATGCGCCCTCCTTGTCGGTGTGTCGCAAGGGCTCAACCTCCTTAGCACGCACCCGGCGCTCGTATTTTCCACACAAATCGTTTCTGCCGTCGCAGGTACGAGCATGATGCCTCTGCTCGTGGCGCTCACACTTGGTATTTGCTCTCATGACCGTGACGAAGACGACGCCAGCAAGAGTAAACACAGCTTTCGCTCACTCAACGGGCGCAACCAAGCGGCGAACCATGCCGGCAACATGGTCAGCGCGGGACTGGCGGGTCTCCTAGGCTCACGCTTCGGGCTGACGGCGGTCTTCTGGCTGGTCATTGCTTTTTGCGTAGCAACAATGGTGTCCGTCTTTTTGCTGCCGGAACGGGCGATCGATCACAAAGCCGCAAGAGGAGGGCCTCCTGCGGGTGATGGAAACGGGACCGATGATACTCGGCAAATTCGAGAAAGAAGAAGCTCAGAGGCGGCTGATGACGAAGAAAGTGGTGAGAGTTCCCTGCATGAGAGTCCAAATACCAGCCCAAAGGCCAAAGTGAACACGTACTTGAACACCGCATTTAGGCTCTTTGTGAATAATCGACCACTCGGCGTTGTAGCCGTCACCATATTCTTGTTTCACCTTGGCAATGCTGCGATTCTCTTTCTTTATGGCCAGGCACTCGTGGCTGCAGGCGAGGGAGATCCCGCCGGTACAACTGGCCTCACTGTCATCATTGCGCAGGGCACCATGGTCATCATGTCGATACTGACGTCGTGGTTCGCTGGCCGCCAGGGATACTGGTTCACTGTTTTGATATCATACGCCGTCTTGCCTATCCGCGCCGCCATTGCAGGACGGTTTATCAAGAGCTGGGGCGTCTGGCCTGTTCAAATCCTCGATGGTATTGGTGCAGGTATTCAGAGCGTTGCAATACCGGGGCTTCTGGCCGTCATGATGGCTGGAAGCGGACGAGTCAACGTTACTTTTGGTATCGTTGGCGGCGTGACCCGCCAGACTGGTGCTGCCATCTCGCACTCATTAGGAGGCTGGATGGCTCAGGTCAAGGGGTATAGCTTTGCGCTATATTTGTCAGGCGTCTTTCCACTTGTCTCGCTGGCGATGTGGGCTGGGTGTTATAAGATGTTACGGCCAGTCATGGATAGGAAAGCCAAGGGTATTGTTGTATAGACACAACAATACGTGTGCAAATAATAGGGGCTTTGTGTCACTATATCTTGAATAACGTTTTTAAAGTTTTCTCTGCTTCAAACCAAAATTTCCGTTGCTAAGTTCATACCTTTCCTATCAATTAATATCAAGTTCAGACGCTGGTGGCGGGCTGTGTGAGGAGCTGAGTTGGTTTTGGGCTCCGGTCCTTGGCTATCTGTATTGTAGCCTGGATGTCAACTCTTAGCTGTGGCTCTAGAGACTAAAAACGTACACGAGATGGTATCAAATGTTGTCTTATTCTATGGAAAGAAAACAAGACTGCTCCTCCTGAGCTAAGAAGCGTCGCAGGCCTTTACAGAATAAAAGCCAGCACCTATACTTTGTGACTCTCAACAGCCCAAAAGCTGGTCGTAGAGGCAGCCGCTCTGAGACACAATCTCGGCAACAATTATCCGTAATTTGGACGAAAGATTGGCCAGAGAGATGTTTGCCTGGCGTCTGAAACGCCTATCAAATACATGGCATGAAGCTACCATTACGTCATCGGCTTTGGTTGCTTGAAAATATTCACATTTTCGCCTCAGCTCTTTGTACCGGCATCTAGCTGATACTTTCACAGAGCTGTAGTTTTATAGCCGAAAGCATATCCACGCATGTGGACATCTATCACCGCATGAACGCCAAAGTTCGACCTTTTTAAGTCCGATCTGGCGATCTCTTCTAGGTAGACTCCGAGGTTTCGAGGGGCAGCCAGAGCGCGATTAAAGTCCCAGAATCTCCTTAACCACTTTGGCCGTGGCCTCCACAATCAATTCATGCTCGTGAGAGTGTATCCTCTCCTCAAACTGAGCCAGCGCCTCTCCCTTTTGGCACGGAATCGTCTTGGTCATGATCGGCTTACCCTGATCCACTGCCTCAATGACGTTGTGAACCATGATGCCTGTTTCCTCGATCTGGCCAGCCTGGAACGCTTCATAGGCACGCTCTATCGCACCGGCTCCATCAAACTTGCCTTTATAAAGTGTAAGTGTTGGGGACTACCATAGACTAGGGGACTTACCTGGTAGTGCAGGGTGTAAGTTGATGGCCTTGATTCCCGCGCTTTCCAACGGTCTCAAGAAGGGGCTCGTGAAGACGTGCATCCATCCGGCGAGGACCACCAGGTCTGGCTTTTCAGCCAGGACTTTCTCCGCCAGCACGGCGTCATACTTCTGACGCGCCTCAGTCGCCTTTGCCTCGTCCTTTTCTCCCTTTGCCAAAAAGCCATTGCTAATCATGTTAAAGCACTCCCAAGGGATGTCTATTTTACGTTAGAATGTTTCATTGAAATCAACTCCAAGCAGGATAAGCCTACTTGCTTGTTCCGCCCGAGTCTTTGCATATGCATTTTTGCGATTCACAATGAGACGAATGATCTTGCTATTAGGGATCCTTCCTGAGGCAACGGCGTCGATAAGTGCCTGGAAGTTGGAGCCATTGCCAGAGGCCATGACCAGAATGCGGCATGTCGGCTTTTGTTGGTCGGACATGGTTGCGGTTGATTAGTGCTGTGCACAAGTTGGAGGCACCAGAACAAGTATGTTATGTCCAAAGAAGATGGGCTTGACGAAAATGGTGTGGTCGCGAAGGAATAAGTTAGTGGGGAAGATTGAAGGGGGGGTAAACCAACACCACCTTTCAATAATAGTACAAGCGCATTGAAAAATTTGAGGAGGGGTTGAGGGGCAGCAGTGGAATGACCAGGGCTTGGGGTGTTGGATAGCTCGGACTAGAACAATGTTTCTCCGATGGGGTTCACTACATGTTAAACTTAGGTATCTGTAATAGCTGGAAAACCACAAAGTAGACCCCTAAGATACAACGAAAAACCCCTCTTACCCCACCATGCTTAGCATCGGCCGCACCCGAACAACTGGGTAGGTGGGTACCTAACCGCCGATAGCTTCTCAAGTATCCGTATTCCGGCCCCGCTCCGAAGCCAGCCCTATTTCTTGTGTATATTGATGGGCCGTTTTCAGTCGGCCTTGGTGAGCTTGTATTTGCTTAGATCCCCTCTTCTGCTGTTATATAGATGACCGGGAGCATCCACTACTTTAGGGGAATAACCTAGCGTCTGAAACAGTCACCCCCAACGGTATTTCCAATACCTTAGCACCTACCATTCCGGCGAATACAACAGCATACAAGGATAGATACATGACAGTGACAGCGCCGAATCTGTTCTTCTTGAGCCCTTCTATATGTTATTTCATCACGGAAGTCGTAGAATGTCTTGTGCTCAAAATGTCTTACCTTGCAACCCCCAGATTTACCCCTCCCTCAGCCTCAGCCCTTCCGGAGACTATGTGTCTATTCTCGAGACATTCTTGATGGATCCGGCGTGTCTACCTCACCTCACCAGTTGGGCATGTTTCCCCCCGGTAGCTGGGTTCCACAAACCGTTCAAAGTCCGCAGCAGGAATTTGTGGACTGCCCGCCGGCCAATTGAGCCCAACCCAAGCTTTTATGCTAAGACACGTGTGAACGGAAAACTTCAGCTCAAGAAGATGATCGACAGGTTACCTGTGGAGTGTAAATTAACTTGGCTGCAGCAAGGATTGGGATACTCGCCCCTTCGTTAGATGTGTTCTTGTTAAATCCTCAGCCACTTGTCATATCCTCCTCAGTAGGTATAGATTAATGAAGCTCGGCTGTGAGCTGTCACACAAGGCCTAAGTCTTTAGGGAAGAGGTCGGACTCTATGTCTTATTCTGGTCGCTGAATAAGTCACTCCTTCTATTTAGAATAACACTTCAGGCGCGCTTGCGCAAAACGGTGTGCATTCCGCCGAAAGAGACAGTGTTCCTTAGAACCTTAACATCTAATTACAGGATTATATGATGGAAACTGGTGAACAAGACACACGTGCAGACATTTGGCGTTCCTCGGCAACGTGGATATGGCCTTTTTGGGACGGCGGCCACGAAGTGTGCATGAAAACAGCCAAGTGAAGCTTCCATGCTTGTGCGAATCCGTCAGCTTTACCACCCTATTGCAAGCATCTGTCTCTCTGGTTTTTCGTCCAAAACTCAATTCTGGTTGTTAACTGATGAAACCTTCCGTTGCAGCTAGTATCAGCTTCAGCTCAGCTGTTATCTTGACCAGCATTCCAAACGAAGCAAACGAAAACAGGACCCTAACCAGCACCACGAGGCTTTACCATGAATTTACATGAGTTGTATAAAATCCAGCATCTTGGCGACTCTCAACTCTGGAAGAAAGCACCTCGCATGAAGGCCATCTTTCACACAAATATTTCCTGTTGACAAGCACTAACACCATGGCCGCCATACTAAGCCATATCTTTTCAGAACACGTTCCGGGGTTGCCTACCGTCGCAGATATTTTCAAGCAGCCAAGTCTTGAGGAGAGGAAGAAAAGACTTCGTGCCAGAATCACGGAGCTCTCTCTCGTGGACTTTGATCCTGGCGTTTTCGACAATGAACTCTTGAGGCAGGGCATCGTCACTAGGCTTGATCAGCAGAACCTTGAAAAGAAAGCAAGGAGGGGCAAGGGCAATATCTCATCGGGTACTTACGATGGGACCCAAGCCGCCGTCACCCACGCCTATAAGAAGATCGAGCGCAGGTAGGTACCTCCCCAGCCAGCCAACGGTTGCTATGCTGGGCACTAACAGGTACCCAAACACAGTTTCGAGTCCTACTTCGATGTTCTCCAAATTGAGCCCACAATCCCCCGCTTCATCGACTTGGAATTTAAGAAGACAATCTACCAATACTCATCCTTTCCCTACGATGAAAAGGGCAACCTTGCGTACCCGCCTCACCTCCAATGTGTCCCCCTAGCAAACGACGTGCCCAAGCTCTGCATCTTCAATGCCATGGGTCTCATTGAGACGGGCGTTATGGTTCAGCAGGTTGTCCCCGACAACTTCATCAACAAGAGCGAAGATTTTCTTTTCGGCAAGCTCGACGCCCTTATCGGCGGTTGCCCGCAAGCTGGTCCTACTATCGCCGATTGTGAGAGGTACAATCGGTTCCATCGCAAGACCGGCACCGACATCGAGCGCGGTACCAACATCGGCCTACTCCCAGACTGGTACAGCGACCGCCGGTTCGCAGACCAGGCTTTCACCGGCACCAACCCCACCACCATCGAGAAGGTGCCCGCGGACTTGCTTGCGGAGTTCATCGACGCCGCCGAGAGGAACGGGTACACCTATTGGGCCAAGACGCTGTCGGATCTCAACCCGGCGTCTCTGTTCGTTCAGGACTGCCGCTACTTCCGCAAAGCCTGTGGCGTAGAGCCCGGAGAGACGATGCACTGGAAAGAGCCTATTTCGCAAGACAACTGGGCTTGCGCCGCCGTGACTCTCTTCCAGCTCTTCGGTGACGGCAAGCTCCACCCCGTCGCCATCGTCTGCGACTACAAACAGAACATGGCCAGCTCCGTCACCATCTTCAACCGCCGCCACCGTCCCTCTGACCCTTCCATCTTCGAGAAAGAAGACTGGCCGTGGCGGTACGCCAAGACCTGCGCACAGGTGACGGACTGGATCCGTCACGAGGTCGGCGTCCATCTCACCCGCGCGCACTTCATCGAGGAGTCCGTCATCGTCGCGACTCACCGCACGATCCCCATGGAGCACATCGTCTACAAGTTGCTCCAGCCACACTGGTACAAGACGCTCTCCCTCAACGCGGCGGCGCGCCAGACGCTCGTACCGCAGGTCATCAAAGATCTCATCGGCTTGAGCCCGGATCAGACGTTCAAGTTCATGGCGTACGAGTTTGAGAGCTTCGACTACGTGCAGAACTACGTCCCCAACGACCTCGCACGCCGAGGGTTCCCCAACACCAAGGAGGGTCTCGAGGATAGGAAGTACAAGAACTACGCCTACGCCAAAAACATCTTGTCCATGTGGCACGTCATCCGCGACTACGTCATGGGCATGCTCCTCACAGTCTACGAGGAGGGACGAGCGGACGAGATGGTGCGCGAGGACGTTTTCATCCAAGATTGGTGCAAGGAAGCTCGTAACGAGGGCCGCATTACAGGTTTCCCTACAATCCAGACGCTGGATGAGTTGTGTGATGCAGTTACCATGTGCATCCACATTGCGTCGCCGTTCCACACCACGGTCAACTACCTGCAGAACTTCTACCAGGCGTTCGTGATCGCCAAGCCTCCAATGCTGTGCCAGAACCTACCCCAGACTCTGGAGGAGTTGCTGGGTTACACCGAGGCAGACATGACCAGGGCGCTGCCTATCGGACGACAGAGGGAGTGGCTGCTCGCGGCGCAGGTGCCCTGGCTTCTCAGCTTCAAGGTTGCCAGCGACAGCAGCTTGATCCACTTTGCGCACTCGCAGTGGAGGACGCACTGCCGCCTGGACAGAGAGAGCAGGAAGATCCAGAAGATTAGCGAGGCGTTTTACTATGGCCTTCGTGATTTGGAGGTTGAATTCCTGGTTACGAGTAGGAGCATGGATAAGGGGAGCATTCCTTATACCGTTATGGACCCGGTCAATACTGCAGTGTCGATTCTTATCTAGGGTGCTTTCATAGCAAAGAATCTCATGCTTATTCTTCTCACTGAGGCTTACTGAGATTTAACTAGGTATGAGCTATTGATAAACTGTTGTTAACCTGAAGTGAGTGTTGTATGGTGGTATGGTGACGTATTCACTGGTGCCCCTGAAAAGATGTATTCCCATCCTACCGGTAAAATGAAATATTTCTTGTAGCGGTATCTGAGAGCACAAAATCCAAGTTCCATAAACATATTTTATCGCCTATTCGAGGCACAGACACCTTTTGTGTAAGCCAACAAGTTTATGAAGCACTAAATCGTCAGTTGATAAGATCAAGAACTTCAGGAGATACTTGAAAATATCTTGACAGGAAGTTTCCAGCCTACCTACAAATCTTTCTTGTTTGTCGGAATTGGTGATTAACATCGGCTAATAGGCCGCCATATTTCCAACCTAGGTCGTCGTTTTTTATCACATAAACTCCAGCTCGGTGTTTTGATATTATGTGATCACATTGATCGCTGAATTAGAGAGGAACTGAATTATGACGGTCTCTGGAAGCCTCCCGAGTGTAACGACTGGAGTGTGTTGGCATTAGACACCGGACTCTTGAAATGGAGTTTAAAAGGTATTTCCAATCACGCCAATAGCGATGTTAATCCAACGAAAAACGGTTATATCGATTTAACACAGGGTTCATCGAATTAATCCCTCACAGGTTGGGTCCTGCTAGTTTGGGAAAGTGCGGTGTCGAGGTAGTTGATGCCGTAAACTCGCGCTTTCTCTAAAATAAATTTCTACTTCGTGCCTTCTCAATGAACACCTGCTTAAGGTGGTGTAAATCCAAAACGGAAAGACGATGGTCGTTCCTTCTTGTGCTGCTCGTTGACATCCAACGTCTTGTTTGTCTCTCCCAACGACTTCATCTCAGCATCAACACCAATTCTCTGTTTCTCTATTCCAACATACTTGACGGCGTTTTTTTTTTATCCATTGTTAGCTCCACTACTACAACGTTTCTGACCAGCTAGCTACGAACACGACGACTATATCCATTAACGTCTGGCCTGGACAGCAAGATCACTGCAATGGCTCAAGTTGGAAGAATCCCCCCAGAGCTGGTCCGCATGGTTTTCGAATGCCTTCGGGGTCCTTCTACCGCATGTCAACTATACAACTGGCCTTCGGAACAATCCATGCTCGCACAGCTTTGCAGAGTGTGCAAGGCTTTCAGAGGTGCTGCCGAGGCTGTTTTGTACCGAAAAGTCTATCTAAGGATTTGGGAACGTGTCGACAGGAAACTCTTGTCTCTTTTAGTAACGCTAGTTCGCCGCCCCGATCTTCGTCAACGGATTTCTATGCTCCAACTAGACGTGTCACCGAATGACCATGATGACGACGTCGTTGTTCGTGCAGAAGATGTCTTGCCTTTGACGATTGAAGCAATTCATTGGAGAATCCCGTTCAATGCACACTGGGTTACCAACATCGAAAAACGGCAAGTAATGCTGTCGAATCTCTTGCTCACACAAATACGCGACATCAGAGAATTACACTTGAAAATAGACTTTGAGCGGAATTCGCATCTCATCACCGGGGTAGGGGTACCATCTTTCTCCGCGTGCAGCTTCACAGCACCATTTGTGGGACGTGCGCTGGAGTTTACCAGGTTGAATGTTGCCAGCCTCTACCTACTTTGGAACACTGACTACACTTCTCGGCTTTTTGTCAACTTGTCCAAAATGTCTCCGAACCTCTCGGAGCTCTCTCTCAACAGGTTCTACATTGTTCCAAGTATCGGCTACACCTTCAAGAACGTCAGGTAATGTTGTTTATAAAACGTACAGTAAGATAGACAGTTGTGCTGATATATTTTTTTCAGGCGCCTAAACTTATTAGATGCTCACATTCGAAGCGAGGTTGAGATTGCCCAGCTGATGGGATGTTTTCCAAAGCTACAAGACTTTCGTTATACAAGAATGGGACCTCATATGGACGTGACCACGCCTCAAGCCATTTGTAGAGGCCTTCAACAAAACCCGAAAATTCTCAAGACGATATCAGTCGATATCATATCAATGGAACAACCGGCCGCGCCTTTGCTTCCGTTGACGTTTGAAGCATTTGAGAATCTCACAGAACTCAGCCTTGACCCCCTTCTGTTTGACCCGCATGACATGGACGGCATGATTCCGAACGGACTGGTCAAAAACTTACCTCGGTCGATAACAAAACTTGTCCTCTTAGGCTGGGGTGAGTTAGTCGAAGAGGATATCAAATGGCTCGTTGAAGCTATGCAACAAGGGGATTTTCCGAACTTTTGCGTGCTGCATATTTATTGCTGCTCATCCCAGGCTGAAGAGGTTTACGAAATGGTGGAAGAAATATTCGAGCCGGAGTCGCACCCGCCAGAGAGGCTGAGAATACTTATTACAGTCAGACACCATTAAAAGCTTGACTAGCTGTGGGAACAAGTCTCCAGATAAGAAAGATTCTAACTTGAATGGTTTATTGGAAGGAAGATGGCTTGGGTTAGGGGTGAAGAAGGCTCTTGTTGGTCATCAAAGAGTTGGAGGAGGCAGGGCTCTTGTTGGTGGGAGTAGTTCGTGTGATGGTGCTGGAGCTGTTGATCAGGGGCTGAAAATGCCGAGCAAGAGACCCCAGTACAAAGTCAAAGGATTCTTTTGGGTCCTAGAATAATAGGTTATTACAAACTATGTGCAATGCTTCCCATTGCTTCCCAAACCATGCCTCGAACAGCTCTCCACCCAAGTGTAAACCCTGCAATCAGCAGACAATACGCGGTAACGCATGCACACAACAATATCAAGATTAAACGCTGGCATGCTGCGGACATCATTCAGAGCACCTCCGGTTGCCACGCTCAATGCGGAAAATAAAAGCGTTTACACAAATGGTCTGTTGATTAATCGCACTCACGGCTGGCGCCGAAAGTGGGAGGAAACAATTGTTTCAACCAGAAGGTTTCCCATCGTCTTGGCATCCTATATTTACTTCTGCTGGGTAGTAGACGGGGGGGGGGGGGGCAATATCAAAGTTGATGCGTGACCCGTCTGTCTATTTGGGGAAGCACTCTGGGGAACCCTGAACAGGGCAGGCCGCAAACCAACAACACACCCCTCCTCTTTGGGTCCATAAAATTGGACGTTTCAACTAGCGATTCGTCTCGCGGATGGTGGTGTTGAGTTGAGGTTCAAACATTGGGGGAAAAAAAAAAAAAAACTTGGCATGTAGGTAGGTATCCGGGGGGCGGATAACCCCGTGGGCATATCCTTCAACTGCTGTTTGCTCTCATTGTCGTCCTTCCCTCGTCGCATCCCTGGATACAGGTAGGGTCGTAGATGATCGATGCAATGATTGGACCGCATCAGAGGCGAAAAACAGGCAGCATCCAACCCGCTTGAGACAACACCTTCAACTGGTTCCTAAATCTTCCGCGTTACCTGCTACTGTCCTCTGTAGAGTACCTATAGTCACAGATTTCTCGTCGACTGGATGAAGGAAACACGCCACGCACCGCCGATCGTGCATCTTCGTCCCAGAAAAACAAGCCTCGGGGCTGCGGCAGGACGATCGGATGGGCCGCCAACCGCATTTTAGAGGCCGGCCTGGATCCGTAGGCGAGCCATACACCGTCTACAACAACGCACCACGGAGGTTTCACGATGGGTCGACTTTTAAATTACGGTGACCAGTCGGTCCATAGTAAAAAAAAACATGCCATCACTTTTTCACACCCGGTTTTTTTTTTTTTTTTTTTTTTTTCTCTTTCTCTCATGGTCCGTGACCGGTCCCGTTCGGTGGGGTACCGTGTCGGATGCGCAGGAAAGAGAAGATGACAGAATAAATCCGGCGCTAGTGACGGTCTGGATTAGAGCCACTTTTTTTCCCCGGCGTCATTTACAACCTTTTTACTGTCGGTGCCCAGGCCGCAAGGCAGGCGGGAGGCGGGCAAATGTTCGGTCACGTCGGCTTGACTGTGCTGTGCAGCTGTCTGTCACTTTCATAAAAGATGATGGTGATTGTTTTTTTTTTTTTTTTTTTTTTTTTTTTTGAGATAACAATGTTTATTGGTTTGATTTTCTGAGTGTTTTTGAGCGGCGACATTGGCTAAGCGGCGACACGTTTTTGTAAATAGTTTTTGAAAGTTTTCTTAGCAAAAAAGTATCCCTTGAGCATTCCTAATTTCCCGTCAAACAAAAATGACTTCCTTTCCTTGATCCAACGCCGTTGGCTGGTAGGACTGCAGAAAAATAATAATAAAAATACATGGTTCAAAAACGGGTGGGTATGGGGGGTATTCATCGTGAAATGAGGAAAAAAAAAACAAAAAAAGGGTCTGACCCAAATCAAAAAATCCAAACTCCATTCATCAGACGCCGTTCGTGCCCTCTCTCTCTCTTGGTCGTCTCGCCACCGGGAATAAGGCCACAACGGGGAGGCCGTGTCACGGATAGTATCCGTGTGGTGTTGAGAGAGAGAAAATGGGGATGCCGAAAAGTTTTCGTGGAGCCTCATAGCTTGAATGTGGATTGTGAAGGCTCGGAATTCATCGGCTTGTCGAACATTGTGGGTTGGTTTGGCCCAGGGGGGGGGGGGGGGGGGGGGGGGGGGGGGCCGCAACAAATGTTCAGCCTGGCGCGCCCAAAAGCGTGAGGCGTGCCGTCCGTCCATTGGCGGTGGATGTGGGCGTGTGTGCATTTTGATTTGTGGTGTAAGGTGAGTTTGTGTTTTTTTGGTGTAATGGGTGTGGTGTTTTCTGCCTTATCGGAGCCTCTCTCGGTGTAATGAAAAGCGGAAGTGGATGAAGCCAGCTACGGAAGGGGGAAAAAAAAAAAAAAGGTTTTCACGCCGTTTGATTCCCCTTCAGATTGGCTCTCGCTCGTTCATTATTGAGATGTTTACAGGCAGGTACGGCACTCCTGGTGACCGCAGGAAGGGCATGAGTTGCTGATGACAATCATGCTTCCGCATTTGCAGCAGCTGGGGGCGGCAGGCAT